AGTCATCCAGATTTAGGAGAGTTAACATGAGATGGCAGCCTCTTATTCAAGATGTTCTGCAGCTGTTCTAACTAGCACAAATGGTGCAAGCATGCAGTTTGTTACCGCTGCTGATAGGGGCGTGTTCTTTTGTCGGTTCTCAACCTCTACGAGAGAAAAAGTGGTCCCTGCTTTGCAGACAGAAGGTTCCAGTTCTGTACATCTCCAATTAAATGGATTGAAGCCAGATGCATTGGGGGGGGGATCTCTGCCAAGTCACCAGAGAACCACCAGTAACCAAAGTCCATATTGTGCCAAATGGACCAGTTAATGCCGAGTAACAAAAGAAGGCAAGGGAACAAATCCTTGAAAACGGCTGGGTTTATTAAAGCCCCACATATTCGAAAAATACCCTTTTCCTTCTCCAGAGACAACCACCTAGAACCAGGCCATTGAAGACAAGCTGCAAAATTAAATCTGCAAAGCTGTATCTGATGAGAAGTATTTGATCATGCAGATGGTTGCCTTTGATTTAAAAACCTCTGGCAGCTTCTAATTAATCCCAAAGTTTTCTTAATCCTAGAACAAACAAGTGGCGCCAGATCTCTGTGACATTCCTGTGGAAATCCCCCCAGGAAAGTAGCACATTGGCATCCGGATTAAATTTTCTGTCAAGAACTTAAAATTGACAGAGGAGAAGTATGGCCATTTGAGAACCCCCTTTGCTGAAACGATGGATGTCTCTTTTGGTATAGGTGGGTATGAACAACATTAAAAAGCTGCTTTATAATAGGTCAAATAATTTGTCCAGCTCAGAATTCTCTACCTTCTCTCAGCAGTAGCTCTCCACAGATCCCAGAAACTGCTCCCTGGCCCTTTTTAATTGGAATGTTGGGGATCCTGAGAGTTTCTACATGAAAAGGAGATTCTCTTCCAACAAGCTATGGTCCCTCCCTGAACATTTTGGAAGTTCTGCCTCTCCTCACCCCCTGCTTCTAAAGGCAAACACAAAAAATAGTGGATTAGTACAAGTGGGCACGGGTGGCACTGTGGGTTAAACCGCAGAGCCTAGGACTTGCCAATCAGAAGGTCGGCGGTTCAAATCCCCGCGACGGGGTGAGCTCCCGTTGCTCGGTCCCTGCTCCTGCCAACCTAGCAGTTCGAAAGAACGTCAAAGTGCAAGTAGATAAATAGGTACCACTCCGGCGGAAAGGTAAACAGTGTTTCCGTGTGCTGCTCTGGTTCGCCAGAAGTGGCTTAATCATGCTCGCCACATGACCCGGAAGCTGTACGCCGGCTCCCTCGGCCAATAAAGCAAGATGAGCGCCGCAACCCCAGAGTCGGTCACGACTGGACCTAATGGTCAGGGGTCCCTTTACCTTTACCTTACAAGACCTAATGTATATAAAAACACTTAACTGACCACCACTATCAAATCCTCGCTCATTACAGCTGCAAAAAAGGAGTGTATTTTCCAGCCCATATTTTGAAGCCATGCTCATGGGTGAGAGGGGATCCTATTCTCAGCTGGTAAGGATTTGGATAAACATAATTTGGGTACTTTTCAGTCCCATGTCATTTACTAGACAGTAGCAATATCATTTGTGGGCAAACCTAACAAGCTTTTGTCTTGGTGGGTTAGAAGCCTCAGCTGTTCATTTTGGCATGTTTTTTGTAGAGGTGTTATATATATATATATATATGCTTTAGAACTAACATCTGTGTTTCAGGTGCCACTGAAACTTTCCTGGAATAACACAGCAAATGCCACTAACGCTTTCTAAAGCGAGTCCCCCGCCTTGCTTGTCCTGCTCTACAAATCATATCAGGAGGGGGTATTATGAGGAACAGGAGAAGGCGTTGCTTTCGCTGATATTGTGTTGCTTCCCAGCACTGGAATGTAAGCAGGAACAGAGTTCAACCTACACTGGAACTTCCCTTAATGCCAGCAAATTGCACACTAACTGGGATTAGTCGCACTAAAACCAGCTTTGGGAAATGGCCAGAAACCATGTGAGAAGTCACTTTCTGGTTGTTTACCCATTTTCAAACACACGCCCAACCGTTCATCAAGCTAGAAACATGAGGGCCTTTCATGACAAACATGAATCTCCCCAGCTATCCAGTCCATGGTCCTCACACAAACTTTAATTGTGGATTGCTTTCATTATGTATTTTGTGTTCTCATTTTGTATTTTTATGTTGTGAACCGCCCTGTAATCTTCAGATGAAGGGCGGTATACGAATTTCATAAAGCACAATCAGTTCTATTTTTCTAGAAAAAGAGGTGCCTGAACTCACCACAAATGCCTCCCTTGTTCTCTTAGAATGGCAATAGGGCACACCCTGAGAGGTGCCGGAACTGAGTGCCTGTGAATTTGGGGGGGGGGGGAGCCCTGATAACAAAAATAGTAATAGTAATACAGTGGTACCTTGGGTTAAGAACTTAATTCATTCTGGAGGTCCGTTCTTAACCTGAAACTGTTCTTAACCTGAGGTACCACTTTAGCTAATGGGGCCTCCTGCTGCTGCTGCTGCGCGATTTCTGTTCTCATCCTGAAGCCAAGTTCTTAACCCGAGGTACTATTTCTGGGTTAGCGGAGTCTGTAACCTGAAACCTGTAACCTGAGGTACCACTGTATTATCTTCCCCTTATACTACCAAACAGGATGGAAGAATGATTAGGAGAGAGGACATTAACAAGTCCCATTGCTTCTGTTATCAAAAGTTTGAACAGAGCTGGGAATAAAGCCATCTGATTTTGCCATAGGTTGTGAATAGTTCGGTGGATTTCATGATTTCATAAAGCGAAATAGCTATAGGCCTGAAACATTTTGTTGTTTCCAGGACTGCCCTCCCCCCCCCCCCCGCCAAAGCTGGATGTTTCTGGGATGTTTATCTCCATGTGGCTTGGGCCTATGTGCCATGAATGACCTTTACCTGCACATGCAAGTGTTGTAACATGGATCTATGGTAGGTGCGCAGGAATAGCTGCAAGCACTGGGTGACTGTGATGGTTCTCCTTCATACTTCCAAGCCTTGTCCAATCCTGAGACTTTCTGGTTCAAGCACATCATTAAAGATCATAGTTCTATAACCACCCAGTTGTACCATTCTGAAGCGGAGTCAAGAATTCCCTTTGTTCTTAGGTGAAAACACGCTTGAAGGAAACATTACATTTATTGCATAATACTGGGCTATGTACACACATAGAAAATAAACATCTGCTAGAGCTGTATTTAACGCTGTAGTAGAAAGAGGCTGATTGGCTACCCAAGTAGCAAATCAGAGTGTTAATTCCTTTTCTTAAAATAAAATAAAAATCCCCTGATACCTTCACAGCTTTTTCATCAGAAGGTGCAAAATATGGTTTCAATGCTACGATTAAGCGAAGGATAGACAAATACCGAGGCCCCAATCCAACCCAAGAAGACTGTGATTCAACGCCAAATTCGACATGGCATCCTATGGGGCACACCACCACTTGGGACTGCCAACAGGGAGTGGAGGGTAAAATCCCTCCATCCCCTGTGGCCCAGCTGGCTTGGCCCATGTCAAGCCGAGCAAAGTCAAAGGTCAAATCAAGTTTGGCACAGAGTCCCCATGATAACAGCCGAGTTGTGACTCACTCCACCGCTCCTCGCAGTACTTGAAAGGTCATAAACAACCAGCTTTAGCAGGACCCAGGCCACCTTGTTATATAAATAAATCCATTCTCCAGGATCACAAGTTCAGATTAATAATGGACCTTGGAAGAGAGGAGAGTGCTCTTCATGACATCTATGGTGGATATGGGTTCTTCTGGGGTAGGGGGTCAAGAGGTAGGGGTGTAGAAACTGCTTCATCAGCTTCTCTCAGTGTAAATGTGTGTCAGGGTCCTGCATTTCTCCGCAGAAGACAAGAGATAGTAACATCCAGTTCAGAAACAGGGGACCTGTGGACCTCCAGATGTTGCCGGGCTCACGGTCCCATCATCCCTGACCACTGGGCCAGGCTGGCTGGGGCTGATGGGAGTTGGAGTCCATCCAATATCTGGAGAGCCATGGAAATCCCATCCCTGATGGGGCAGGATGGTGGCTGCTGCCCACCCTTGGGCTGAAGGTGGGAAAGGGTTTCTGCATTACCTTCCAAAAGACCCCCAAGTGCAGAGACAGTGGGGGGTGGGAAGGGAGACATGAGGTGTGTTTTGTGGAGGAATTGCTGTGAGAATCCCATCACTGAAATGGTGGGGGGGCAGGGAATCATCACTGTATTTCAAAACACACACACACAGCTGTTAAAAAACACCCAACAGCATAAAATATCAAATAATTCAGGTAGGCCACCTAGGTCTTCATGAGCATGGCTCGTTCCCATCCCTCTACATGCAAGGCCCTGAAATTCTTCTGGTCACACAGAAGGCAGTAAAATTATTTACCCCTCCTCCCATTTTTTTGTAGACAATGGGAAACAAGGAGCAGAATATGTTAGAAAATTCAACTCATAAAACCTTCATTTCTGCCCAAACATTCACATACTAATCTTCTCTGTGTTAAATTATCCATTTCTTAGCTCCCCGGTACTGTTGAACCCCCAAGGAGCACGCTTGTTTTACCACAGCAATTACCTGTGATTGGAGAGGTGGTAGGGAACCCGTACGTGTGGAGACAAGGAAAGCTTTCACACAGCTTTATATTTCCAAACTGTGAAGAGACATCTCAAAATATTGAAGGTCTTTTTAAACAAGAGGACGGGCGAGCAAGGGAAGAAAAAGGCATCTAACAGCCAGTAAGATGAAAGACGACGTGTCAACAGATTTTTGTTTTTGAAAAGTAGTAAAGTCAAAATCCTGAGGAACGTTGACCAGACTTCACGAGGGGGGGGGGTGTCCTTGATCCTATGCTCTTCCCTTCTCTCCTCCCCGCACCAACCCACCCTCCCTATCTCAAGGAGTATCTTTATCCCATTTCCCTTACAAAAATAAAAACAAGACAGTATTTCTTTTCTATACAAGAATTGTCTGTGTTGGGGGCGGCTTCCCCTCAGGCCAAGCTGAAGCCCTCATAGTGGTCGATGGCTTGAGTGAGTCTCGTGCTCAGGATTTCTTTGCTGCTATACTTGGGGAGGTCGAGAAGGTTGTAGCAGGTATGCGCCACCGGCAAGTACTGCTCCCCGCTGGAGGTGGACTGGATTACGATGCGCAAGCTCGACATGCCGTAGATGGGGATGCGGTCGCTGCCGGTCAGAAACACTGGAAGGGGGAACATAAAAGCATCAGCGGAGCCCTGAAGAGGCCATCCTGTTCTCACAAGTGGCCAAACAGATGATATGGGGGCAATAGCTTTTGAGGGCCCACCAACTGGCATTCGAAGGCATCCTGGATCAGGCACTGTAAGCTTACCCATCCCAAGCACATATCATTCTAGTTACAGGTAGGTAGCCGTGTTGGTCTACCGTAGTCGAAAGAAAAATAAATAAATAAATAAATAAATAAATAATAAATTCCTTCCAGTAGCACCTTAGAGACCAACTAAGTTAGTTATTGGTATGAGATAAGGTCTAAGACATAAAATAAATGTTCATAAATGTATCGGGCAAACACCTACATCAATATAGAAACCACGTGTCTGAAACAGTACAGGGAAACAGCCCTAAAGCCATTTTGACTAATTTCAGTAACCTCAAATATTCCTCTGCGGTTTGGACGGAAATGGGAAACGCCTCCCCATTGTCTCTGTGCTCACAAATCCTGCCTTAAGGGCACATTTGGGTAGGAATAGGGTGAGCCTGTAACCTGGACTCAGGAATTAAGTATTTATCATCACAAAAGAATGGCCAGGCTATCCAGGTAAACCTTTAACAGGTTTCCGGCCAGACAGGATTCTGCTGTAAACCACCCCTTCTGTGATGGATGTATTGAGGGATGGGGTGGGGGGGAGTTGAGCTACAGGGTGCAAATTATTGTTCTGGGTTCCTCCTCCCTCCTGCTTGAGGGGTGAGCACCCTGTCGCAACAGTTTAATAAAGATCCGGCTTACTAGCTGTTTTGCTTCTCAATATTCTCTGGTTGGCCTCTGTTGTTTTCTCCTACCGATAGTGAACCTACATCACGATGCGCAAACTCGACATGCTCGACCCCATAAGGGAAAAGGAGCCTTTTTTCTTATAACAATTCCCTTTTAAAAATACCAACACTCTTCCCTCAACTCATTCTTTCTTCTTCCTGAACAAGTTAAGAAATCGATGGAAACTATTCTGTTTCGGTGGGCCTGTTCAGGCACAATATTTGGTGTTATCTGTCCTTAAATTTGTTTCTAATGTTTTGTGCTTTATTCTTTTTAGAAATTTTAAATATGTGGAGTTTTTACTGCGGGTTTTTTTTTATATAATTGAAGTGTTTGCTGCCCTGGGCTCCTTTGGGAGAAGCAGCGGGAGATAGATTTAAGTGTGACAACAACAATACAGACAGCTCCCCACCCTTGTTTTCCACATTCAACAAAAGCCACATGTTGAGTCTCCTCCTTGGCCACTTTGGACCGCTGACTGCAGAGAAAGTTCCATACACAAGGGAAGATTCCCCGCAAGCAGAGAGGGCCAGTATCAAAAGCTTCACCACAATGCAGAAGTGAGATCTGGACAGGAAGTTCCAATCTCAGCAGCTCACTCCCTTCACCACCGTGCCAGAGAACAGGTAAAGAGAAACCTGCCACCTGGTGGAAGGCATTCAGGTGTGTTTCATACAGTGGTACCTCCGGTTGCAAACTTAATCCTTTCCGGAGGTCCATTCGTAACACGAAACCGCACATAACATGAGGCGCGCTTTCCCTAATGGTGCCTCCTGCTGCTGCCGCACCCCCGGAGAGCGGCTTCCGCTCGCATCCCGGGGCAAAGGTCGCAACAAGGGGCATCTACTTCCGGGTTAGCGGAGCGCGTAACCCACAGCATTCGTAAGGGGGACGGTAAGTAACAGACTCTGCTAACCCAGAAATAGTACCTCGGGTTAAGAACTTTGCTTCAGGATGAAAACAGAAATTGTGTTCCAACAGCGGGAGGCCCCATTAGCTAAAGTGATATCTCAGGTTAAGAACAGTTTCAGGTTAAGAACGGACCTCCGGAACGAATTAAGTTCTTAACCCGAGGTACCACTGTATATATTAAGCTAGCAAGAACAAGTTATTGGCTTCGACTGTCGGAATCACCACTCTGAAAGCCAAGGGGAAACTGCCATCGCACTAAAAAAAACAAAAAACTAATTACTTACAGAGAAACTTTTTCTTCTTTTCCAGAGGAAACTCGTGAAAGATCTCCCAGAACATTTGCACGGTTGGATGGGTAGCCGAGTAGTCCCCTTTGTAAACTGCGCTCTGTAAAAAAGGGTTAGTTTTAAGAACTCATGGTAAACCTGAAAGACCGCCTGCCCCTGTATGGACCTGTAAGAATGCTTACATCATAGGGTAATAACTCCCAAATGGGCATTTTATGCTGTTGCCCCTTCTATGGAATGTCCTTCCCTCTGCCACGTGTAAAGCAGCAACTACCAATTGCTTCAGATGTCTTGTAAGGACTTTTAACTTTCTGTCCAGTTTTTCCCTGACCCATTAATATAGAACCCTGATTTATGTGTAAGAGTCCCTTGAATTTCTGTTTAACTTGATGTTATATCATTTTATTGGTTTTAGGCTGTATTCTTGTTTTAATGGATGTTGTGTTTTTATATCGTGCATGGAGATTTCTAAAATATTAAGAAGTTTAGAGATGCTTTCAAATAATGTAATAACTTTCAAAGGCATATATATTTTGAACTTTGTAAAATGACTCAGAAGGTTGCAAATGTTCAAACTGCATTCTCTAGCTTGGTCCAGAAGGGTTCTAAATATCTTCATAATTTAGAGATGCAAGCCGATTGAATTCCAAAGCTGTTGGATGCTGATTCCCCTGACACAGCTGTTCACTCAGAGGATGCTGAACCATTTTGAACCAACATGCTCTTTTAAGAACAGGACCTCTGCAGCTCTCCAGTAAGGCTCCAATCCCAAACATACCCGCTAGGAAGTCGGCCCTATTGGACACAGTGGGACTTACTTCCAAGTAAACACACACAGGATCGGGCTGGCAGTGGAAAAGGAGGCACCACACTGAAATGCACTGAGCACAGCATATTGCAAAAAAAACAACAACCCCAAAACCAAGGCTCATTATTATTTTACTTCAAGAATCATTTAAGCGATGGCTTTGCTTTCATGTTTAGTTTACTGTTTGGTGCTTTCTCCAATGAACTGAACCATTCGGCAAAATTCTCCCAAGTGTCAGACTAGGAACAAGAAGGTGCAGGTTCATATCGCCTACTTAAGTCAGGAAGCTAACAGGTTGATATTTCATCCTCTCCTACCTCGCAGGGTGGGTGTGAGGATTAAATAGAGAGGAGGAGAACCATGCACACTTTGGAGGACAGGTGAGAGGGGGGAAATGGAGAAAACAGTAAATAATTAAGAGAAAGATGGGGGCGTTCTTAGGTCTCACATTCTAGCCAGACAGATTCTCAGAAGGTAAGGATTAAGGTTTTACTCAGGACAGTAGTGTGGTGGTCAGGTGGGATTGCTATGAGGAATTATGAAAAATGAAGCAAGCCATTGTGTCAGCAATGAAAGCATTGCTTTGGCTGGGCTTGAGCCATTTGACATGATTTCTGATCAATCCAAGCCTCTGCATCTCTGCCCCATTTCTCTTGCCTGACAAGTCACGTACACAGACCGGTTGCTTCACCAGGCATCCTCAGTACGTAAGATAAGGAGGTAGCTTTGATGTAGCTTTTGTGAATCTTTAGGTAGATTTTAAGGGCCAGGAAGAGAGTTTACAAGAAGGCGGTAAATGCCTGACTTTCCTTGCCGTCCTTCCTTTCCTGTTTACTGCCTGTTTATGACCTCTGGGTTTGCTAAATGCATTCCTCCTTGATTCCTGTTTATTTAGCCTAAAACATGTATGCATGCTCAAAGTAGTTCTTTGTAGTTAAAAGGATTTCTCTGATCTAACTTTGTCCCCACGTGGTGATTTTTTGAAATGCTCATGGCAAATCTGAATGGTTCTTACAAACGCTGTGTAAGAGTTCTTTTGTTAATAAAACGGCCTGGACGAGGGAGTGGCTATTGACACTTCCTCCCAGAGTCTTGCTGGCCAAGCCTCATGTCTATTTTATTAATCAGGGTCCAATCCTTCCTTTGCCTTCGGAACACAACAAGTAGCAGTTCTAGATTCACAACGGGCAAAATGTACAGAAGGGTGTGCCTGCTTACCTCTTCCAGTTCCTTCCAGTTGTAGTTGCTGCTCCCTACGATCATGGCTCTCAGCTCGGTGGGCTGGAACATTTCTAGAACTTTACCCCCACACACCTTCAGGAAGCCCGTGGAGAAAGCCATGTACCACTCGTCTACCGAAAGGTTAAAGACATAATTAACGTACGCGTCGACGAATTCCTCCCTGGGGGATTCAAAGAAACGGCACTGGTCATTACGAAGAAGCAAACAGTGGCAGATAAGGGTGTTGTCGGCTGAAGCCACTGTCCACCCAGACAGCAAGGGATACCACTTCCAAAGGTTGTTTGGAAGATCACGCACATTTCATAAAATGCATTTACATTGCAAACCACTGTACAATCTGCACTACTTCGGCACAGGATTTTTAAAATTAAAACTAACAAATGCCTGCAGGATCAGGCTAGTTGGCCCATCTAGTGCCTGGCGTGCTCTGGTCCCTGGGGTCACGAAGAGTCGGACACGACTAAACGACAACAGTCCAGCATCCTCTTCCCATAGTGGTCAATTGCATGAACCAGCTGGGGGGGAAAAACTTCCCCTTCTCCTGCCATCATATTTTCAGACTCCAGAAAAAAAGAAACCTCAAACCAAGCTCTGGGCGATGTTTGCCTATGCAAATCTACGACAAATATTACCAAACAATATGTGCGGTGTTAATCTAAAAGACTTTGGATCCATTTTATTGTTTCGCGTTCCCTCCCTGGACCAAACCAAATGTCAGGAAACGAGGAAGGATGAAGAGCAGATGGCAGAACCTTTTCTACTTTATTGCATTTTTTGTTTTCCCCAAGCATGGTCCCTCGTGGCTTCCTGCGCAACAGTACTTCTCCCCCACCCCCTCCATCTTTTATTTTCTTAAGATTTCTATCCTCCCAATCTGAAGAGCCCAATACAGAGCCCTCTTGTTGGGCTCATCCCAAAACAGCCACTACGAAGGACCCTGTTGTGTCACTTGTGAAATTATCACAGAGAGCATCTTTAGGCATCAGACGGTATGCACCTGTTATCTTTCTGCACTGGAATTTTGTCTCCGTCAGGGATGAGGTTCTTCTGCTCCGCCACTCCATAGCTTTCTCTGCACATCTGTTTGTTTGTTTTCCCAACCCAGAAAAAGACAACAAAACTGCTTCATTCTGTATCTCATCAACAAAGCTTAATACAATAAAAAAGGACATAAAATCCTATAACTGTAGAGTGGAAAGGGACCCATGGGGGAATCATCTAGTCCAGCGGTTCTCAACCTGTGGGTCCCCAGATGTTGTTGGACTACAACTCCCATCATCCCTGAGCTCTGGCCTTGCTAGCTAGGGGTGATGGGAGTTGTAGTTCAACACCATCTGGGGACCCACAGGTTGAGAAAGGCTGATCTAGTCCAATCCCCTGTAATGCAAGAATCTTTTGCCCAATGCAGGACTCGAACTCATGTTCTTGAGATCAAGAGTCCCACGCTCTACCAATTTGAGAGCAATGTGCAGTTTATCTCTGACCACGTTTCCACACCCTTGGCATACCGCTGGATTGTAGCCAATGAGGCACAATCCAGATTAAAATCAAATGAGCTCAATTTCCATCGACACCAGGAAGAACTTCAAAATGCAGCCAAACCTTCTCTGTGGTGTCCATTTCATGAACACGGACCTGAGCCAAGATGTACACCCTCAAAAATGGGTGTTCCTTTGACAGCGTGATGTAGCGGTTAGAGTGTCGGATGAGGACATGAGAGACTGAGGTTCAAATCCTCACTTGGCCATCAAGCTCACTGGGTGACCTTGGGCCAGTTGCTGTCTCTCAGCCTAACCAACCTATCCTATTCCCCCCCCCCCCAAAAAAAGCTAACAACCTTTTGGTCGACCTTATAAAAAAAAAGCTCAATCATCTTTTTCAGCTCACTTTAAAATACTGATTTCTTATTTTGGTGCTCCCCAGAATAGGGCTCGTCTTATACATGGGGTCATGTTATACACGGGAAAATAAGGTAAACGCAAGAGACAGGCAGATAGATGGTCTTACCGTGAAATATAGGCAGAATGTCTCTTCAACATCATCCCCAGGGTAATCTAAGAGCTGTTGAAGACTCCTATAAATAACGTAAAGGAAACGTAAAGGCAGAAAGACATTAGAAGAAGTCTGAATCTGAGACACACCCTCTTCCTTGCCCTGCTATTAAGGATTTATGGTATCAGATTTTAGGATGAAATTGAGGAAAGCGGGCCAAAAAATACAATCTGATCCCAAAAAAAGTTACAGGAGAGAGTTTCAATTTGAATTATTTGTTCATTAACAATTGTGAGAAAAATAAAACACTGCTGCATACTGGAATCTTCCACAGTTACGTTAAAACAATGTAAAATAAAGAGTATGTGAAATGCAGAATTCTTATCTGATAGATATATGATAAGAACTCAAGGAGCCACACCCAAACAGTTTCACGTTATTTAAGTATATAGTTTATTTATAGCACGTAAAAATGGTAGGTTTCAGGAAGGCGTTCAACCTCACACATTATTTTCTGTTTTGTAAATATCATGCTTTGTATGACTTTGTTTTGCTTTTTATTTCAATGGGCATAATGAAAAATAAAAATTCTCATCCCCAAAAGGAACACAAATATCGGTTTGGGGCAACAGAACTCCAACACGAAATATTCTCATTGGAGAAGGATGAAAACATAGGTGTATTCTTTCTTCCAATGGTTTGCTTTTTCCCCCTCATAACAGAGACACATGCTGCCTTCCATCCCCAACCCACAGCGCTGCCCCAATTTTATGAAAGTGCCATTGCCAAATTCAATCTAGGCCAATTACGAAGCGGACAGGAAGACATAATTCCAATACTTTCTACCTTCCTTCTGTGGGTGAAAGCTCCTTCAAGTCTTCCAAGCACGGCTTCACATTCAAGAGTTTCTTGTAGAGAGCCAATGGAAAGTGAAGATCCACAACAGTGAAGTTGTATATGGCCAGACCGCAGACGATGCCAATCAGGTGGAACCAATTGTGCTCTACAAAACACTTCGGACACACAAAGAAAAGGACTAGTTAGCAGGAGGAAAGCGTCAGCAAGGAGCTGGAAAGGTTTAGATCTGGAAAGCGGCTAACAATCCACACACACACACACACCCAGGCTGTGAGTCTCCAAACTACACCAAAGCCAGGGTGAATAAAAATCAGTGATTTTAAATATATATATATATATATATATATATATATATATTTAAAAATTTTAAATCGGATTTTTAAAATAAAATGCTTTTGGAGTGAAAATCTTTCTAAAGATAGTTTTCTATTTAAGTTACATTATAGTCCAAAGGCTATTCATCAGGAAATAAGGATTTGTTTTAAGTTTTTCATGTGTGCTAAAACTCAGTCTAAGGTTTCTCTATTAAAAAAAAATCATTAACCGAATAAGTTAACAAACATGGATTCATATGCTATAATGTTATTGTTTTAGTTATATAAATTGTTACTAAGGAAATGATTTTTTTTCTCCTTCCAATAAAGTGCAGCAGAAATGTTGTCCTAATATAAATTTAACTTATTAAACCTCACAATAATTTCATAATTATTTGTCCATGTATTTCTAATAGTATAACCAAATCAGTAATTTTTGATAGAACTGTAAAAACTACTCTGAAAATTTATTATTCCAAAAATGAAACCTTCATCTGGTTGTAAATATTAAGATTATACCAGAAAGAATGAGTCTTTCTGTAAAAAAAAATAAATGATTTAAATCAAGTCTTATTGACTACTGATTTAAATTGATTTGATTTAAATCAAATCCACCCTGCACCAAGCTAAGCGGGATCCCGGCAAACAGTTTGTGAGTGCATAAACCAAGCACACTTACGGTATCCGAAAACCACAGCAGGTTCGATTCGGGGTAGGAGGTGAACATCCCATAGATGGGATTCAGGAGCTCTTTCAGCAGCAGGAGGAAGAACTCCTTTGTGACGCCGCCAGCATCAACCGCCTCCTCGCCGTCAAAGATCACCTGCCACAATGCCCAAAAAGGAGCTTTAGCAATTGCAACCTAGTAACAGCCAACTGAGCCATACTCTGAGCAGATCCAATAGACTTACGTCCACCAATTTCAATGAGTCACTATGATACCATTTTAAGCAGAAGAGGATTCCCTCAAAGAATTCTGGGAGCTGAAGTTTGCTCAGGGTAGTGAGAGTTGTTAGGAGACCTCCTGTTCCCCACGCACAGAACTACAATTCCCAGAGTTCCCTGGGAAGAGAGATTGATTGTTAAACTGCTCTGGGAATTGTGGCTCTGAGGGGAAACGGGTGTCTCTTAACAACTCTCAGTATCCTTAACTACAGTTCCCAGAATCCTTTGGGTGTTTAAAGTGGTATGATACTACTTTAAATGTGTGGCTATTATTGCCTACTGTCTTAATGTAATTCTTCTGTTTGGAGCAGCACCCAGAGAATTATGAACAAACCTCAGTATGCTTTGCTGTGGGAAACTTGGAGCAAGGCCTCAGTAAATTAGGCAATTTCTCTATGTGGAGAGACTTATTGCCAACAAAGGTCAAAGCTATAGTCAAAGCTATGGTTTTCCCAGTAGTGATGTATGGAAGTGAGAGCTGGACCATAAAGAAGGCTGATCGCTGAAGAATTGATGCTTTTGAATTATGGTGCTGGAGGAGACTCTTGAGAGTCCCATGGACGGCAAGAAGATCAAACGTATCCATTCTTAAGGAAAGCAGCCCTGAGTGCTCACTGGAAGGACAGATCCTGAAGCTGAGGCTCCAATACTTTGAACACCTCATGAGAAGAGAAGGCTCCCTGGAAAAGACCCTGATGTTGGGAAAGATGGAGGGCACAAGGAGAAGGGGACGACAGAGGACGAGATGGTTGGACAGTGTTCTCGAAGCTACAACATGAGTTTGACTAAACTGCGGGAGGCAGAGGAAGACAGAAGTGCCTGGCGTGCTCTGGTGCATGGGGTCATGAAGAGTCGGACACGACTAAACAACAAATGGACTCCATTGCGTGAGCAGCCACTTTCAGCCTCAAGCGATAAAGGCCAGACACAGATTTAGTGCCTCACTGAGGAGGACTAGGCCCAAACACCAAACAAGCTATTGCAGCGAGGAGCTGCCGCGGGGTCTTACCTTCAGAGGCTTTTTCAAGTCAATATCCGAATGGATGCTCAACTCCCTCAAGGCGTCGCCAACCAAGTTGGTCCTACGAACATGGAGGACCAGGAAGGGGCTTCGAGCCAAGAGGGGCTCCAGGGTGAGGAGCATGAAAACGTTCTGCAGATTTGCCCCACTGATGGCCACCTATAAAAACCACATACAAAAGTCAAGGGCAGCAGCAGCAACAACAACAACAACAAATGCACTGAGCCCCTGGGTTCTCCATTCCCGGCGTAGAGGAAGTGGCATCTGTGGAAACAGGGTTTACTGGCAATTCGCTTTGGGCAGGGGGTAGAAGTGACGCTGCGATGCCTCCTGAAAACAACATTCCTTTAAAACCAGCTGCTTTGCAAGGATGCCCTCCTAACTCGCTTTGCCCCTTCCTAGTGTTTGGAAATATCTTGACTGGGCCACGAAGAGTGCCTATTTCCCTGCTAAAAATATCCACGTAGGAGGACTGGGGAAGGGTGTGCCGTGTGCCTCCCGCACAGATTTTGCAAAAGTTATTAAAGATCAAGAGCCAGTAGGAAATCCCATTTTTTAATCTCCCTTCACCCCAAAAAGGGTGAAAGGTCCCCCCACAAAATCAATACTACTTTCATTCTGCTGTGACGTTTTCCTTGTTGTTGCAAGGCTTTGATAAATGCTTTTCATGATGCAGTAAGATACGGAAAACCCTTGTAACCCTTTTTGGGGGGAGGCGAAGGTCAGTGCAGAAAATATGTTAATAAATAAATGCATGGATGAAAACGGCTGGGATTGGCAGAAAGAGGAGACCTGGCCACCTACCTGCATCTGCAGCTCAGCATCCGTCTGCAGCATCTTGGTCTTGGCTTGCGCGTCGAAGATGAAAGGGTAAGAGCACAGAGTCACGGCATCCTGGAAAGTAGGAGCAGTTCAATTTAGCGGTGGCAGCCTGGGCCTCTGCTGAGAACTACTTTGGCAAGAGTAATTGGAATGGTTACCTGCATAATTGATGGTCTGACTTTCTGGGGAGGGGGAGAAGGGCGAGGCAAGACAAAGAGAGAGAGAGAGAGAGAGAGAGAGAGAGAATGAATAATGTGTGAGGTTTTACTTAGAGCAGTACCATCCGTTACGTTTTAATCCTATCCTTCCCCCAAAGAATAGCCTATGTTCTCACAACAACCCTATGATGTAGGGTAGGGGCGGATAATGGGGGTGGCTGACCCCACCCCCAATAAGATATGTGGCTCGTCTGTCAAAGTCCGACACCATAAGCACTAGATCAGGGGTCAGCAAACTTTTTCAGCAGGGGGCCAGTCCACTGTCCCTCAGACCTTGTGGGAGGCCGGACTATTTTTGGGGGAGGAGGAATTAACGAATTCCTATGCCCCACAAATAACCCAGAGACGCATTTTAAATAAAAGGACACATTCTACTCATATAAAAACACACTGATTCCCGGACCGTCTGCAGGCCGGATTTAGAAGGCGATTGGTCTGGATCCGGCCCCCAAGGCCTTAGTTTGCCTACCCATGCACTAGATTAAAGCAAAGGCTGGCCCATTTCATGGGTCTTTTTGTGGTTTGCAAACTACATGCACACACAAGCTGCCTCTCTGTGGAGTAGTGGCTCTAGGCCCCACCCCACCCCACCCCATTTGGTAGAGAAGGTTGGTTCATGCCCCCCGAACCAAGAATGAACAGAACCTGCTAGAGAAGTGCTGGATATGATTTATTTCGAGTCCAGCGTTCCTTTCACAGACAAGTCCTTCTGCGTTTCCACATCTTTTTGTTCGCTCCCCACCCTGCTTTTGCCTCAGGGCTCTTGTCTTAAGACTCAGAGTTCCACCATCACCTCACCTCACCTGCTGGTTAGGGACTCGCTCCTACCCAATGCCCTACGCTTCTCCTCTGGCCTCTACTCCAACAGGAGGGTGTCTCTCCTTCAGTTCCCAGTGCCTCACCGTCCCCCATTTCAAAGGAAAGTTTGTCATGCAACGCTGGGGTGGAGGAGGAAGCTGCTGCTCAAGAAACACACTTCTAAAAGGTCCGCGGGACACACAACTAATCTTGCAGTTCTTTGGCTCTTGGCCATTAACTGTATTTTTAGCTGCATCTTGAAGCTTCCCATACCTGAGACCATATGGGATGCCAAACATGGGGAAGATGGTCATGCTTTGCCCCAAACAGTGTAGCAGCCCACCTGGTTTCTATACTACATACACTGGAGATATTTTACATGCATGCATGTATAGATATCTTATACACACAAACACTTGCTATTTTGAGAATACTGCTGGTTTTTTTCTTTTAAAAAATGGAAAAAACGGAAAAACCCCCAGCTTCTAGCCCTTGTGGGGAGAATGATCTGAAAACAGACTTGGATCTCAAGTTTAAGGTTCCACATGGGATTTCAATATCCTGAACAACCATTCTTTCCTCTTTGCCATCTACCACTTTGTCTCTAATGTCCACATCAACCCGTCTCTCTTGGATCCTACTAGGAGACCACATAATCCCTAAACTTTCCACGTCTCCCAGACATCCAAATCTTGAAAACAAGCTAAATACGCACGCTGACCACTTACATTAAAAGCCTATAACGACTGTGGAATTTGCATTTGTACGGTGATCCATTTTGACACAACGCTCATAGCTTTACAGCTGCAAACCCTGGATTGTTCCCTCCCCTCACAACCAATTGCATGACACCTCTTACCATTCCAGCTTGATGCAAAAACCACATCAGGTAGTCTTCCTGGATATCCACCAGACTCGAAATCTCTGGGATATAAAACTTGTCATATTCTACGTGTTTTACTTTCTGATTTACCTGATTTGGGAAAGAAGAAGGAAAACACTTCTTTGAAGAAGCAGAGAATAATAACCAGCTCCCTCAAACCAAAGGACATGAAAACCCAACATTTAAGTCAGTTACAAGCAGTACTAAAACAGACACGTGCTGAACAAGTTTAGGAATAGAAGGAACATCGAGAACAGAAAGGTCACAGCAGAGGAATGAGTGGTCAACCCAAGCCCAGTGAACAGAACTAGGTGCATAATGAAAGCAAGGGAGATTTAACATTTGCAGAAGAGCCTACACGGGCACATAGCAAAACAAACCACAACCTTTGTACATCAAAACAAGGTGTGGTCTGAGCCTAGACACCAAAAGGGCCCAGCACAAGGACAAACCTCCACTGCACATGTTGACAACATTTGCATCAAAGGCAACAGCATAGTTTAACACTGTTAACACTAACAGGAAAAGGAAAGGGCTGAGCCTCAGTGGAAGAGCATGCAATAGTGGAGGAAACAGCTCTTTACCTTGACTTTTGACATCTGAGATAGGTGATTTTAGGGCCCACCCTATTCCTGCGACTGTAACTTGCTTTGAACTGTTTTTAATGCTGTGATTTTAAATTGCTGCGACACCCCCGGCCCCAAACTCTGGGAATTGATAGTGAAGGGTAGGTTAACGCATGGTAATTGCGATTACTAACATGTTTTGCATGCAGAAGATCCCAAGTTCAATCCATGGCACTTCCAGAGAGGGCTCAGTCCGAAATTCTGGAGAGCCACTGCCAATCAGTGGAGCTAGATGAACCAACGATTGGCACCGTTTTCTAAGGAGCCCATGCAAAGGGCTTGCCTTGCACACCCGCTTCCCCTTCCCCTCCCTCTTCCTGGGTTGATAGGAAGAGGAACAAAGCAGGATTCCATTTTGCTTTCATAGATTCTTGGCTGATCATTACGTGCAAGCCATAAAACGTGGCTCAAATTACATCGTAGCCAATTTAAAACGAAACGAACTAGGGTTTTGAAGTGAGCTTGCTTCCTAAACCACAATTCCTGGTTCATGTGTGCTGCTGACAAGACAGGAGAAGTGAAACGGAAGCTTGGTTTATTTCTCCTCTGGGAAATAAGCAGGAGAGGGGATGGGGTGTTTGTGAGTCTTGCTCGGGTTCAGAGAGGCTCGATTTGTGTAAAGTTAAATGGTGGTTTGGCATGACGTGCGAAAACGGCCACTCTGCACAGGGACACAACCACCGCAGTTTCCTTACTTTATGAAGTTTCTCCAGAAGCTTGAGTGCGGCTGTGATGTAACTGCCATACAAGACAGGGATCAATAATGTTTTTCTTCCGTTCAAGAGGTAAACCACGGCACCTTTATAGAGATCCACCAGCCTCAAGAAGTAACCTGGACACACCTGAGACCACCAGTTATCTAAACAGGGTTACACAAAGCAAAACATGTAGCTATTAGCTTAATCATAGAATCATAGTTGGAGCATCATCTAGATCAAACATGACAGATCTCAACTAGATCATACATGGCAAATGACCATCCAACCTCTGCTTAAAAACCTCCAAGGCTTCAGGAGCATTATAATCCTATTAACAGGCATATTTGCTGGGGGGGGGGGGAGAGAGAACCACCAACATATGATGCCTATACCATTTGTAAACACTAAAATCCCAGCATATGAATGATAGTTTGATAAATGCATTCCTACAGATGCGGTCCAATCTTAAGCATGTTCACTTAAGGAGCAAGTCCCACTGAACTGCGTGGGCCTTATATTCCCAAGTAAGTAGTGCAAAAAGGTCTTCGGTTTTTGTCAAGCTTCACACTTGACAGAAAGACGGCTGATGGCAGGGATGCCGAGAGTTGCAGCTAGGCAATTATCTGGAGAACCGCAGGTTCCCCATCCCTAGTTTATGGTAGTGTGGCTGAATACGCCTTGAACACCAAAGGTGGTCGCTTTATACCAGATATGGGGGAAAACTGGACCTCTGGATGTTAAAATTCCCATCAACCCTACAAGCATAGTTAATGGCCACAGCAATGTAGGAGAGCAAAAGTGGTGTGAAGAACAGGGAAGGGGGGAAACTTGGTGTGCATCTCCTACCTAAGACTTTACTGGGGTTCCTGTCCAGACGCAGAATCGCCATCGCCAAGGGAAGCGTTAAGGTGACATAATACTTTGAGTCTTGAAACGGCGGGAACTCTGGGAGAATCAGGTAGATTCTCATGGCTTCAACGTCCGGTGGGGAACTGGGCAGCCCTGGGATCAAAAAGCTTTCGAAGCTCTTCAGGATCTGCAAAGAGGGGAGGAAAGAAATGAGGCTCAAAACATAGCTTTATTGCAGCCACAAAGGCTTGTTTCAGTTCAACTCTGGCATTATGGAGCCAACCCAAGTTTACGAACCAGTCACCACAGAAGCAATTTCGACAGGCCTCCAGAAGTGGAGACTCAACCGGTGTATTTGGAATTCTACAAAGTCATGGTGAAACTTAGTGATCTCCAAAGTAGGTGATGGAGTTTGGTTTTGGAAAGAAAGGAGGGAAAGTGACAGGGAGGGCTGTGGTGTCATGGCAAACAACTACAGTGGTACCTCGGGTTAAGTACTTAATTCGTTCCGCAGGTCTGTTCTTAACCTGAAACTGTTCTTAACCTGAAGCACCACTTTAGCTAATGGGGCCTCCCGTTGCTGCTGCCGCGCCGCCGGAGCACGATTTCTGTTCTCATCCTGAAGCAAAGTTCTTAACCCAAGGTACTATTTCTGGGTTAGCGAAGTCTGTAACCTGAAGCGTATGTAACCTGAAGCGTATGTAACCCAAGGTACCACTGTATTCCAAACTGGGAAAGTTTGGCTTCATCAGGAGAACCAGCATCCAGGTTTCAAACATGCACTTGAGGCAAAATGTTTTGTATTTTGCACATGAAGGGGGTTAAGACCTGCGAGATATTTGCCAAGGCATGTCCTTAGGACGGTACTGAGTCATACTAATGAACAGGTTGTGGCTTTGCTCTCTCACGAGTTTTCTCATGAGCTCCTCGCAAAAGCTCTGTACAAAGCAGAAAGCTTAAAAATTTTAACGCCTTTGAAGTCTGCACCTGGTCAAGCAAGATGGAATGCTGGGACGTCATCAGCTTATCAAACATCAGTCTGGTGGAATTCAAGTCGACCCCTGGAATTTTGGGACTCGTTTTAAAATGTTCATCTATTCTACAAAACGAAAATGAAAATTGAGAGATGGAGGGAGAAATATTCCTGGCGTGCAATGTATTTACAAACAGTGATTATTAACGTTTGAGCTACTTAACCTATACGCAGCTCCAGACTCTGTAATTAATAGTTGCTCATACAAACTTCCTATTATGTTGAAGATGAATCCTTATCAGGAGTATCAGCAAGACCAACGAGCAACTTACAACCACGCAAGGGGCTTGCACTTCTCTCAGTAGAATTCTGTCACCCAGCAGAATTTTAGCACTCTTTCCACAGAATCTGACTGCCCCTTATCAACTGTGGGAGCTGTATAAAACCACAGCTTGTTTAGCAACCATGTGCAGATTCTAGGTTCAGCGGCAATTTGCCAACTGAATGCCAGTTGTAAAAGAATACCAACTGCAAAGAATGGGAATTGCTTTCATGCCCAGCTTATTGGCTTTCTGGAAGCACTTGATGGTGGGGGAAAGGATGATAGATTAGGTGAGTATTTGCTAGATCCAGCTAGAGGTTCTCTAACTGATGTGAAGTGAGGAAAGACGACACCCAGTAATCTAATAAACGGCAGCAGGCAAAAGACCTGCAATCCTTCTAGTAAAACAAAAAAAACCTGCAGCTTAACATGTTCTTGAGACGTTACATCCCAAGCAACGTCTGTAGCATTTTACAGGTGTTCCGTGAGCATGTCAGTGCTCCAAACGCCAACCACAAATTCCTCCCCCGGCACAAACATGCTGCTAAGTTAGCTGCCGAGGCTGCAACAGCAGGTGCCCTCTTGGGGAAGAAGCTCCATTTAAATCACATACCGTATTTGCCAGTTGACAATAGGATGCATAGAGAGCTAAACGTAGCCCCTGATAGCTTAGCTACCATTGCCATAACAACACAGACAATGGACCCGAGAAGGTTCCTTCCAAGGCGCCTGGAGGATCATGTTATCCTAACGGTACAGAGCCAGCACACAGAATTGGTTCTGACAGGATGTAAGTTCAGCCAGGGAGCTTTTTCTATGCCTGCATCAGCCGTCAAAAATCTTATATAAAGCTGCTGGGTCAGGCAGTGTCCCTCCTCCCCTCCACATGTTTGGCCCTGGGCTGTGAGGCCTCTTATGTAACCGTCACTAGGATTCGCAGAATGGCTAGTCTTGGGGGGGGTCTGAATATTTTCCCCTCTTCTATGCCTCCACCCTCCTTGGTCAGGAAGCCACCAACTACTTCTTATTGCTTAAAAAATAATAATTCTCACCTTCCCCACCCTCTCCAGATCTCAAAGTGGCAAAAACATATTATTAGCTCCATATTATTTTCACAACAACCCTGTGACATAGGTTAACGGCTAAGAGATGATGGTTGGGCCCAAGGTCACACAGCGAGCTCCCTGGATTTGAACCCGGGTCTCCAAGGTCCTAGTCCAACACCCAGACCACTAGACCACACTGGCCCTCACAGACTGAAACCTCATTGGCCACCCGCTTTATATCTGCTTGATCAAGAGTCACCACTGCAGGGACTTAGCCTGTGTTTCCTCCTGCCCTATGTAAGTTTAAGGCACTTACTTCTTTTCTAAGAAGCTCCCGTTCCAGCAGGCAGCCGAGGACAGGATCTGCACAACCTCACTGCTTAGAGTGGAGGGACAAGAAGAGAGAGGGACATGGGTTATATGGCCACGCTGTTGTTTTTCACATAGTATATTTACTTTTTGAGTTCCGTTGCCCTTGCTCCTAGGTGAAATCATCATGGAACCAGCTGGAGTAGCCTAAGTGACATCTGTGGAGGTTGGCTGCCCAGCTGTCAGTCTCGTGATGTCACTATGACATCAGGTGGCCCATTTTCCCTTTGGAGTTGCACGAGAAAGGGAATTCCAAACCCAGCCTCAATACTGTCAGCCTTGTGGAGGCTGACTGAGGCAGCTTCAGCATGGGACAACTGTGTCATGCCTCAGGAGTACTGAATCGAACAACTCAAAGCATGGATTCCACCTACCCAACCCTGGAGGGGTATCTTCAGGGCCATTGCCAAATGTTGCTGGGGACCTCTGAAGACGGGATGAAAATTATCCGTGTGATGCAGAGGAGTCTATAACATAAATCCAGGCAGCAGCAGCTCCCCTACCCACTGAACTTTTTTCACCAAATTTGGGGAACTAGATGACTAGCCCTCACTTGAAGATCGTGAAGTATTTCTAAAAGTTAAGTCGCTTCCTCTGGCGCCCAAAAAAACAACAGTGCCTAGAATTTCATTGCTTTCAGAAACCCATCAGCAAATTATTTGATTCCATTAATGAATCACTTCCCATAAAATATCGCAAAGGGATTTCGGTGTAGAAAAAAAACTGGCAATAAAAAGAATAAAAACAATGGCAATGGTTGCCTAAGTGACTGTCTACATCTCCTTAGATAGCCTCTGGCTTTTACACATGTGTGGTCTACCACCCACATCTATTTTAGAAATGCCAAAAAGTACTGTAGCCTAGCAGAAGACGACTTAACAAGTAGCTGGGAAATTTGGAAAGTGATACTTGGAAACAAACTCTGACTCAACACTAGAATGCACCTACAGCAGAGAGCTGCAGAGTCTCCATTGACAGCTTGACGTAAGCCAAGGATGTTGGCCATGCAGATGTTGCTGAACTACAATACCCATCATCCCTGGCCATTGGCCGTGCTTGCTGGGGCTGATGGGAGTTGCAGTTCTGCAGCATCTGATGTAAGCCATCACACCACTCAGTGGAAGCAACAATCTGAGCAGGCCCCCTATCTACCCTGAGCTGCAAGGCCGCTGCTCCAGCAGCCAACAGAGAACAGCACATTCACTGGTGCATGATGCAAGAAAAGGATTCTGATTTTCAGTTCCATTCTGGAAGGCAGACATTATGGCACACACACATCTCAGGGGTGGAGACAAAGATGGAATGAGGTCTACAGGAGTCTATAGGCCATGGATGAGCTTACATTTCAGAACAGGAGGAGCAGCTCAAACACATCCCATGCCAACCCATCCTAGGGCAACCATATTGTTTCCAGAGGTTACATCCCAACCCTTGAACACCTATGAAGATTTCATACGAAGCCACAAGGAAGAAATACTGAACAGTGTGTCAGAAAAGCAAAAAAGGAACATACTTCACTGAATTAGGATTGTTCTTTTCCGAAAGCTTTTGTCTCCACATGTCTATTGTATCGTCATTAATCAAACAGGTGTAGTCACTTTGATTTATGGCCCGGAAATCATCCGCTGGCTGAGAATTCTGGAAAAGGAGGTAGGTCTCAACGCGGATTTCGCCAAGTGGGATTGGAGGGGCTTCACTGCAGCTTTTGTTAACATGCAAGGGGAGCTTCCCTCTAGGGAGGCCCTTTCGGCTGGGGTTTCCTACCATGCGCCACCCCCACCCCAGAGTAGGCCACGCCTACCACTAGATAACTTACACACAGATATGTATCAGTTCCAAGAACCATCCTCCCCAGGGACTGTTTGGATGTCCTCTCCAACCTCATTATGGACAGCATCTCATTTCTCGTGCCCTGCCCATGTCTGGTCCTGTCACTGAATACTGGAGCGTTCGTCCAGGCCAAGTGATGTTACAGTTGTGTCGTATATGGGACCTGCCTTTACTTCACATATAAAGTTTGCCCTCTTATTAGAAGTGCATGGGTTTGAGGCCCAATCGGGGGAGAAAGGAGAAGCAGCCAAATAACATCCCTACCAGCCATGGGTAGGAACCCACGCCTTCCCCTATTTACCTCTGTTTCAGAGCAAAGCACGAACGTTTGGTCTCCTCCAGAGAAGATATGTTTAACAATGTAATATTTACAGGCATCTGTTGGGAGAAGAACGAAGCAAATTAGTTACGGCACAGTACTCACAAACACCCTACGTACTTCCTTTTCCCTTGCAAACCAGGATTACAAAAGCTATTCAGGGGCCAGCAAACTTTTTCAGCAGGGGGCCGGTCCACTCTCCCTCAGACCTTGTGGAGGGCTGGACTATATTTTGGAAAAAAATATGAACGAATGCCTATGCCCCACAAATAACCCAGAGATGCATTTTAAATAAAAGCACACAGTCCACTCATATAAAAACACACTGATTCCCAGACCGTCTGCAGGCCAGATTTAGAAGGCAATTGGGCCACATCCAGCCCCTGGGCCTTAGTTTGCCTACCCATCCTATACAGTGGTGCCCCGCAAGATGAATGCCTCGCAAGACGGAAAACCCGCTAGACGAAAGGGTTTTCCGTTTTGGAGGTGCTTCGCAAAACGAATTTCCTATGGGCTTGCTTCACAAGACGAAAATGTCTTGCGAGTTCCTGCGGGGTTTTTTTCCTTTTTCCCCCCTTTTTCCCAAGCCGCTAAGCCGCTTATCAGCTGATCTGCTAAGCCGCTAAACAGCTGATCGCTAAGCCGCTTATCAGCTGATCCGCTAAGCCGCTTAACAGCTGATCCGTTAAGCCACTAAGCCGCTTATCAGCTGATCCGCTAAGCCCGCTAAGCCGCTAATGGGCTTGCTTCGCAAGACGAAAAAACCGCAAGACGAAGAGACTCGCGGAACGGATTCTTTTCGTCTTGCGAGGCACCACTGTAGATCATAATGCCTCTTTGGAGTGGCTGTCTGCCTGACACAACTCAAAAGACAAGAGACCAAAGGCATTCGCTATTTTTTAAGACAATGTTCTTAATTTACATTATTTAGAATTTATGCCACTGCATTCTCTTTGCTGCATTAACTGTTGTCTCAGAAACTGTGAAATGGTGGACTGTCTCCTCTTAGAAGCATGCTCTTCTGAAGCTTAGCTGATGACTGAATTTTATTTGGCATACTGTGACACAGTGCAGAGCAGGAGCGCAGGAAGCTGGCTTACACCAAGGGAGGCCCATGATCTGTATGGTTCAGTGCTGTCTACGTTGCTCGCCAGCAGCTCTCTAGGGTTTCAGGCCAGTCTCATTCCCATTCCTAACTGGAGACACGGAGGATCAAACTTGGGCTTTTCTGCATGTGAAGAGTCTCCTAACAACTCTCAGGACCCTTAACAAACTACAGTTCCCAGGATTCCTTGGGGGAAGTCATGGCTGCCTAAAGTGATGTAACACTATGGCAGATCAAGTTGATGAACTATGCCGAAATGGCAAAATTAACTGGGAAGCTCAGGGACCAAGAAGACAGGAAATTTTAAAAAAGAATGGGAAATGTTTATAACGTATGTACAAAATCACTGCAAACAGGTCGAAACATTAGCAGGATTTTAAATACACTAGAAACTACAGACAATTTAGGAAGATGAACAATTTAGAGAAGTATTGATATGCAGATGCAAACAGAATTAAGAGGACCCACGGATGGGATTGGGGGCAGGGGGAGTCAGGAGATTCAGAGCAATCTCGATACATGAATGTGTGTGACATTTTGATGTAACTTTATTCTTTTTCTTCCTTTTCTTCGAAAATCAAATTAAAAAATTATTTTAAAAAGTGGTGTAACACTGCTTTAAATGCATAGTGCAGATGGAGGCCTTAAGTTCTCATCCATAATAGACTCTTTTTTGTCAGCACAGGGAGAGAAAAAGTGACAGCACAGTAGCTGTCACTCTTCAACATTCCTAACAGATGGTAAAGCTGGGGCATTATAAATTTGCTGCTTCAGAAACAAATGTGTGATTTATTTATTTATGGCAGCTATAACCCACCCTTTAGCAAAAAAACAAAAAACCCTTTCCATAGCAGCTTACAAAAAATCAGCACTAAGACAGCCCCTGCTCTAGGCTGACAATCTAGAAGGACATGACACACGTCAGTAATAAGCAATGTGATGGCTTGATCGATATCTAAGGTAGAGCAGCATATTCAGGCTTACTTGCACTCTGACTGGTCTCAACTGGTCTCACCTACACCTACTGGTTTCGCCTACACACACTGAGCACGTGTCAGAATCTCAGCTTTGCTTCTGTTCAAGTCACAACTTACCTGATCTACCAGAGATTTGTTCATTGTGAGCTGCCCAGGGGCCTTTGACTGGGGAAGGACATTTAAGACTGCAGGTGTGTCCAGTTCCCAGCTGGCCTCTGGTTCCGCAGCCGAATGCATAGATAATTCCTGAAGAAGGCACGAAGGCGAGAGTGTGCTGCCTGCAAACAACAACAGAACAAAAAATATTGCAAAGTTCATAAGAGTCTGCACAGATATATATTTCTGCTTACAGTTGCTTTTTAAAAGCAGGAATAAAATCAGTAAAAAAAAAAATGGAGTAGAGAAAGTGTTTTGTTCTTTCATTATTAACTGTCAAGAGGGATGGGAAAACATTCATCTTTATGCATACATTCGGTGGCTGGAAAATACGGTTCCTGCCAGCCCCGGGATCAAAGGGTGGAAAGCTTTTAACTCTTGTTTTTGGATTGTTTTAAATCATAGAACTATTGGAAGGGACCCAAGGGTCATCTAGTCCAACCCCCTGCAATGCAGGAATAAAACAAACGTTTTGGAATAAACAAAATGCTTTGCTTAAAGCTGTGGATCAGTTTGCCACCCTGGTTTCCTCCGGGAGGAAGGGTGGGATATAAACTGAATAAACAATAAATAAATACTATCTTCCCCCAACCATATTACAATTTAAACATTTATTCAGTATACTATTTTCCCCACTCTTCACCCCCATATGTATCTGGCTGTAATGGATGTAAAGAAATGCACTGAGGTGTCTTCAAAATTCCGGATACGAACCTGCAGCTTTCAGGGATGCCATTGCGCATCCTAACCTCTCGCTGCAACAGCTCTTAAGAATAAAACAGCAATGGCCACTTAATTTAAGAACAGATTTATATACAGTGGTACCTCTGGTTACGAACTTAATTTGTTCCGGAGGTCCGTTCTTAACCTGAAACCGTTCTTAACCTGAGGTACCACTTTAGCTAATGGGGCCTCCCACTGCCGCCGGCGCGCGATTTCTGTTCTCATCCTGGGGCAAAGTTCGTAACCTGAGGTACTACTTCCGGGTTAGCGGAGTCTGTAACCCGAAGTGTTTGTAACCCGGGGTGTTTGTAACCCGAGGCACCACCGTACAGAGAACATGTAAGATATATGAAAGAACGTGAAGCGCCATTATCCTACTCTGAGCCCAGCAGATTCCAACTGCCGTGGCTTCTACTGTGCTAGGGGGCAAGCAAGGCTGACCATTCCCCTGTCCCTGCCCCACACACTTGCGAAGGAAGAACCAAAGCGCTCACTCACCTACCACAAGCGATTTGGGACACCTCACTGCCCATCAGCTCCAGGACCCTTCTGGGGTTGACTTCATCGTTCAAGGAATCGTGGCCAAGCTGCCCACAGGAGCCCGAGCCGAAAGTAAACACCCCTCCACTCTGGCAAAGAAAGGGCAGATAACAATAGTTCCACTTAGAGAACTCACAACAGCACCGGCTGCTTGCCCAGCTGAACAGGAAAGCTGCAGCCAAACCACAGGCGGCCATAGGAATTTCAAAGATCATCTCCAGTAGCAAACAACGTTATTTGCCAGCACCCAAAGACGTTTCCGAGCACAATTCAAAGTGTTGGTGCTGACCTTCAAAGGGCCTCGGCCCTGTATACCCGAAGGAGCATCTCCACCCCCAAGGTTCAGCCTGGACACTGAGGTCCAGCCGGGGCGTTCCAAGGGGGTGCCATTACAAAGGCGGGGGGACAAAATGCCGACCCCTGTTCAGTGGCCAGCCCCCAGTGGTGCACCAAGCCCTCTGGCATGAGCGCCGCTCTGGGTACAGGAGCAGGTTGCTTCGCCTCTGGGTCCAGCTCCGAGGGTCTTCTGGTGGTTCCCTCACATGAAGCTACAGGGAACCAGGGAAAGGGCCTTCTCAGTAGTTGTGCCCATCCTGTGGAACGCCCTCCCATCAGATGTCAAGGAAATAAACAACTATCTATGTGGGAAAGTTTTTAATGTTTGATGTTTTATTATGCTTTTATATTTTTTGGAAGTGGCCCAGAGTGGCTGAGGCAACCAGTCAAAAGGGTGAGGTACTAATAATATTACAGTGCTACCTTGGTTCTCAAACTTAATCCGTTCCGGAAGTCCGTTCCAAAACCCAAGCTTAGTTTCAAAACTAAGGCGAGCTTTCCCATTGAAAGTAATGCAAAATGGATTAATCCGTTCCAGACTGTTAAAAACAACCCCTAAAACAGCCATTTAACATGAATTTTACTATCTAACGAGACCATTGATCCATAAAACAAAAGCAATAAACAACATACTGCAGTCACACAATCAATCAATCAATCAATCAGTTGCTGAACTGGATTCCACACAGTCACAAAAATGAAACAAAAAAGCCACAAAAACCAAAACACAAAATAAATAGCAAAAACAGACAGACCTCAGAGTAACACTCAAAACAGAAGTGTGGCACTCAAAACGGAGCACGTTTGGCTTCCAAAAAAAGTTCACAAACTGGAACACTTACTTCCAGGTTTGCGGTATTTGGGTTCCAAGTTGTTTGAGTACCAAGGCGTTTGAGAACCAAGGTACCACAGTAATAATAATGAATAGTAGTAGTAGAAGAAGAAAAAGAAGTATTATTAAGTAATATACATAAATCTAAGAAGAAGGGGAGACCTATTCTACCTCTGGGGTGTGCTTGTTTTGTCTTTATCCTCAGGCAGCTGTTGATTTAGTTTTGGTTTTTTTAATGGACAGAAGCATTACAGTAAGATGCCCACACCCAAACCAATGTCTCTGTGGAGGTCATAAAAACTAAGTCAGACAGAAGTGACAAAGGAGGACGTTTTAGATCTAGCAGACAAATTAAAAACAAGTCAAAGCAGACAGATGGTGTGCACCCAAGGGACAGTACATACAGTTTCTCAGTGGTGAGGGAGAAGCATTCCGGATTATTTCTCTTCATTATAGAAGAATACTGCTTTCATTAAAGAAGCCTAGTCACAGATGGAAGTGTGGAAACTCAAAACCTGCAAGTAATCCTCATGTCTCCTCCACCTGTACCCCTGATGATGCTTAATAAGGATTTTCCCTTTACCTTTGTCAGGACTGCTGTGTGGTCATTCCCACAGCTGATATAGACAACCTTTTGAGTCCTCAAGAGCTTCACGTGGCAGGGAGACTCCCGGTCTGCAGTTGGAGAAAACAAAGAACGAGGTTGTGAAATATTGCAATACTCACAGGGCAGCTCTGAGCAAGTCTTGGTCTCTTAAACTCAGTTTCTCAACCTACAAGATTATTATATAGATTATATATATAATAATAATAATAATTAAAGTAAGCTGCTACAGAGGTGGGCTAACAAAACAACCTGTTACCATCAACTCAGTTACGTATACTATTCCCAAAGCCAAGCAGTGAGGCCACACAAGATACAGCCAAGCCCTGTTCACATTTTAGAAGACATCTGAAGGCAGCCCTGTATAGGAATTTCTTTTTTAATGTTTGATGTTTTACTGTGCTTAATGTGTTTCATTTGTTGAAGGCCACACAAATGGGCAGCATATTAACTAACTAACTAACTAACTAACTAACTAACTGTTGTTTCTGCTGCTGTTGTAGCAGTAGTAGTAGTAGTAGTAGTAGTAGTAGTACAGTGCTACCTCGGGTTAAGTACTTAATTCATTCTGGAGGTCTGTACTTAACCTGAAACTGTTCTTAACCTGAAGCACCACTTTAACTAATGGGGCCTGCTGCTGCTGCTGCGCCGCTGGAGCACGCTTTCTGTTCTCATCCTGAAGCAAAGTTCTTAACCTGAAGCACTATTTCTGGGTTAGCAGAGTCTGTAACCTGAAGAGTATGTAACCTGAGGTAGCCACTGTAGTATGTATCACAGCGTGATTTAATTCTGCAACCAAGCTGGGCTAGAATCAAATTAGCTGCCCCGTGGGGCCAAGGAACGAAAAGTAGTCTACACGTCTTAAAACTAATAAGCACAGATCTCCTTTCACGTTGGGTGAGCAGCACGAGAATAATTCCAAAAACAAAAATTGTCATCGTCTACTGCTTGAATTACCTCTCTCGTCACTCAGTCCCAGTTGTCCTGAAGCGTTCTTCCCCCAACCAAACACAGCTCCAGAGAGAGACAAGGCAAAGCTATGCGCCCCTCCTGCATCCACCTGGGCCAAAGGGATCCCTTCAAGCGATCTGACGCGCTGAGGACTGGTTTGGGAGGGGAACTCTTTGCCCAGCCCAAGTTGCCCGTGGTTGTTCTGTCCCCAGGAGAAGAACTGTCCATCTGGAAAAAAGAAACCAAGACACAGGTTGACAGCGGTCAGAAAAATAAACCCCCTGTTATATTACAGCAGCGTATTGACAGAATGAGTGTATGATGTGTTGAGAGAGGGGTAGTACCTCTGGTGAGGGACACGTCGTGCTCCATCCACCTTTGGTCCCCACCCTGCACTCAAGCTCACCTGTAGCTCCTAGGAGCTGTCAGCATGCCACACCCCGGGAACGGCTTCAACTGGCCGGCTAAACCAGGTGAGGGTAGCCAATGGGTCTCAAACCCTCAGTGAGTGAGGGACTTTCCTTGCATGCAAAGACAGGATCCGGTGGACTGAACAGATGAGACCAATAGCGGGTCCAGTGGTCAAGAAGGTGGTTTCTGCCCATGTTGTAGAGGGAGGTGAGGAGCAGATGGGGCTCATCACCCTGAGAAGGGAGCCCATCTAGGAGAAGGGAAACTCTGATTCTAAGCCTTCACTGCCTTGCCTTCTTTGGGAGAAGAAACGGCTAAGGGGTAAACCCAGCTGTTGTTGGTCTACAACTCCCATCATCCCTAGCTAGCAGGACTAGCGGTCAGGGATGATGGGAATTGTAGTCCAAAAAAACCAGCTGGAGACCCAAGTTTGGAAGCTCCTGCAGCCAATCGGAAGCCTCAGAAGCCCCATCAGACATTTGGGTTGCAAAGAACGTTCACAAACTGGAACGCTCACTTCTGGGTTTCAATCGTTTAGGAGCCAAAATGTCCAAGTACCAAAATGTTCGGAATCCAAGGTACAACTGTACTTCATTCGGGAGGAAAGGCAGAATCTAAAACATAATTGTTACTACTAATACTACTAATAGTAATGTTGCAGAACTAGTAAGAAAGCTTAGCTATTAGAGGTGGCAAAAGGGTGGAAGGAAGAAGCAGCCCCGACAATAATGGACTGGCATAATAAACTACAAGAATTTGCTGAAATGGTGCAGTTGACAAATAGCCTGAGAGGCAATTCAAAACAAAAATTTATGGAGAAATCGGATATATATAAGATATATGTTCAAAAATTTAGTAAAGGTTTGCTATCTATGCTAGCATTCGATTGACATTGGAGAGAAATTGAGTTGAGAAACAAGATTAATATAGGAATTGATATAGGAATGTACTAGATAAAATATAAAGAAATAAACAATAATAATTGTTATAGGAATGTACTAGATAAAATATAAAGAAATAAACAATAATAAGAGTACATTCATTTGTAAAAAAAGAATATACAATGAGATTGACAGGAAGTCCATAGTGTTGGTACAAATGTTATTTTGAAATGGCTTTATGTCTTTGTTTTTTATTTTATTTTATTTTTTCTTTCTTTAGGTACATAAATTTGGTATATAAACTTTATGTACATGTTGGAAATTATATTATAATATGCCCTGTAATGTAATATGATAATGCATACATATGTGACTTAAGAACGTTAATAAAATAAAAATTTTAAAAAAAGAAAGCTTAGCTATTATAAGTTAATATTACCATACCAGCTGCAAGAGCAAGACAATGCCAATTGCCACAGGAGACCTGAAGTATCATCTCTTGGTTCAGTTTTTTTATCAACCTAAAACAGCAAAACAATTCATTTATTTTATTTTTTAAAACAACAACAACACAACAGCAGAAGCACACACTAAAATAATTCCTCTAGTCTTAACAATTGTGTCGTTATGAAGGGAACTTATGTTAAACAGTTTGGAACGCATCACCTGGAAGCTTAAGCAAAAATGGCTTTGCTTTTTAAAACACTGCAGTTCAGTGCAGACAACAAGAGGAGCTTTAGATAAAAATAGCCTTTTTATAGTATCCTCTCATTTGGTGTTCTAACTATGCCTGGCTCTTGCATCACCTTAGGGATGAGATTCTTAAATTAAGGTCTCTGGTGCACTTTTAGATTGTACCAGAGCGCACAGTGCAAATTAACACATAAAACTACTGGAGAGTGAAGATTTCTACTGCAGGCTGAACAGAAGCTTGCAGAAATTCAACAGGTGGAGCCTTTTCAAGTACAAAAAGAAAATTATGGGAAAAGATGCACCATGCATGTGCTGTCTAATTCGCTGCGTAATGTCACACCTCCATGGCGGCCATTTTGTGTCCAATGCCCACAGCGTTCTCTCAAAATTCAGTGTGCCCATTGGTCCAAAATGTTGGTCCAGGGTCAAGGCAACAGTAGAGAAGGCAAATACGAGAGACTAAGAGGGGAGGTGCGTCCACAAACTCAAGCACACATTAAAATAAAGTGAGAAGGGGTTGCAGGATTGCACAGCTACTCTCCCACCACACATGCGCCAATGTACAGGCACACAGTTCTTCCACATGACAGGAGGCGAAATGTGCCATCGCCTTCCCCTTCACATGTGCATTGGTGTGCTAATATGCACATTTAGGGTCCCTTGTAGTACTATAAAGTTCAGCAGGGTATGGGTGCGTGCCCAGTCAGTGCGTAGAATTTCAATCCACACACACACCCTAAAAAGCAACAAGGGATTATTTAGTCTGAACACCGCTGGTATCAAGCTACATAGCAAAGCACAGCATTTGGTAACCGCTCTGATTACCTTGGTACAGCCACCGAGTCTTCTGCCGTTGTGAGGCCCAGCTGTCCATCGCTACCTGCCCCCCAGGAAAAGAGTTGGCCTTGGTCACTGAGGGCCACGCTGTGAGATTCCCCACAGGCAACATGGACTATGCGCTGATCAGCTAAAGCGTCAATTTGCTCTGAGGGGAAAAGAGAAGAATAACGCTGGTGGAACATGCTAAGCGACAAAACACATGTGATTATTGTTCAAAGCAAAGTTTGGGTGTATGTGTGCAGAAAGAGATATACACACCTTTAAAAAAATATCTCATTTCATATAAATTTTGGAAAGTTGTTCATTTGCCAGCTACGCATTTGGACAGGGTCTTAATATATCACAACCAAATTCTGTGTGATGGTTCAGGATCAGATTTTCTGTGTGGATTTGGAAACCACCGGACGCCATTTTGAATCAAGATGGCAGACTGAGCCTTTTCACAAAGGCACAAACTTTAGTCACTGAACTCAAAACTGCACTGATTTTTGGTTTTTAAGACTTCACAAGCAATGCCAGGTACGAGGTGTATGAAAATAAAGTCATTTCGCTTTCAGCCATTTTGAAATGATACAGAGGCTGATGAGAAACATGTTAGTTAGATGCAGCAGACATGTGCAGTGTTTATGTGTGCGCACTGTGTGCAGCCACACAGCCCGGATGCAGAGAGCTACTTCACAGCCCGTCAACTTAGAGCAAGAATTTTTCCTCAGGAGTCCCATCCCTCACCACAAACTGCTTGGGTTTCAGGAAGGAGACTCTCCCATCCCTACCGGGAGCTGCCAAGGATTGAACCTGCGACCTTCTGCATGCAAGACAGGTGCTCTTCAACTAAGCTATGGCCCTTTCCCCTAGCAAATAAGCAAGCAGTAGGAGCTGACTGTCAAGAAGCTTCTCTTAACTACCGTTAAGATACAGTCACCCATAACTTAAGTCCAGTAGATGTAGAACAGCCTCCTAGGACAACAGAGAACAAAACAAGCCTCTGACCATGTCAGGGAACTGCCATTGGAGCCAGAGGGAGAGAAGCAGCACATCTTCTGGGGAAGGAAATCAGCGTAACACCAGTGGAGAAGGGGGGCAGATGGGGGAATCGGCGAGGTGGCTCCAAGACTCCTCGCCGGGAACCAGTGGGGAGAGCACGGGTCCTCCGATGCCCACACCCTCCCTGCGCAGAAGGCTTCCGCGCAGGGAAAGTAGGCGGAGACTAGGCGTCAAAGAGCTTCTTTGCTGGAAGAAGTTCAAGAAATGCCCACTAACGGATTCTGCCAGCGATTGAGACAGCCACGGGCGAGTGGCTGTCCAGACAGAAAGGGTTCATTCAGGCAACCAGCCAAGGGTGGCGTTGATTTACACACAAGCAACCCCTAGAACCATTACAGACCACTTTCATCTGCAAAGTAACTCCAATCTAACTTGGGCAGTGATTGTTTAACCAATGCCGTCTATAATGGGGGGTGAAATCCCCAAAAAGGATGTTACTTTTTTTCTGTATGCTACAACAGCTGCGAGAATATTACTAGCGAAGAATTGGAAGAAACAAGATTTACCAATTAGAATGGCAGATGAAGGTGATGGATTATATGGAGCTTGCCGAACTGACTGGGAGACTCCGAGACCAGAGAGAAGAGACGGTGGAAGAAGATTGGAAGAAGTTTAAAGAATACTTGAAAAAATATGTTAATATTTAAATCTTAGAATAGCTCTGGAAGTGGATATAGGCTGTAGGGTTAGAAGTAGAAGATAGTGTATTTTAAAGTAGTTTTATTTGTAAGTGATAAAAAGATTTTTATGGTAAAAGCAAGTGTGATAAAAAAAGGGCTAGCAATTATGATATATGTAAACTGCTAAAGATGAGGTAAAATGAAAATCGGATGGGGGGACCTGGGGAAGCTTGCCTAACAATGTTTAGAAAAAATAAGGATAAGACAAGAATTTGTTTATATTGTTTGTTTTTCTGTTTGTGTTGTTTAGTTGTGCTATAAAATGAATAAAAAAATGGGGGGGGATGCCATCCATGACTGGTGGAAGCTAAGGTCTCGGGGCTAAAGGATTTCCCCGTCTCTTGCTTGTAAAGATGTTTTAAATGGAGAGAAGTGTATGACTGCATGAAAGGGACACGTACTACTATTTAGCTATCCTGAGCAGCAGAGGAGGTGCTCAGTTTGCTGGAGCACACCAGGCAGAACAGAAAGGCTTTTGTACAGATGGTGCCCCGCTAAGAGGCTGGCAGTGCTGTTAAGAGCTTGCTAAAACTGAAAATAGCTGTCCAGGAGAACAGTCTCCCTTCCCCACTTTCAGCTGCTATGCGCATCGCAGTGATTCACAAGCAGATGGAACAGTTCCTTCCCAGATGGAATGTGCTTTTTGGTCTATCAACTTGTCCCTTTAATGCCGTTTGGGATCTGGAGAAAAGGAGGCACAATTAACTGCCGCAGGGTCCCTGAAACCGTCAAGCGAAAATCCCAGGGAGGAAAAGATTTCAGTCCTGCAAGAAGAGCAGAGGGGTGCAAAACGAGGACACGTCTCCGATTCATAAATCATTTACTTCATTTTCTTCCTAGCTGCTGCACTACAACACCCGTTACTTAATCTTAATTGCAGCTGCTAGGATAAATCTTCGGATGTGGACATTTCAATGGGCAGGAATATCTACAGAAGCATTCACAGGCCCTCCAAACTTCCATCCTGCATCCCTCCAAGATACACGAGGGCATAGAAACCTGAGGCATCCTCAGCCATGAGCTTCTTCTTGCTGACAAATGATTGGCATCAGATAGCCTATTACAGCTGGGGTTTTTTTTATGGTCAGATCCTATCACATATGAAGAGTCCCGCTGCATCAGACCAAAGGACTGTCTAGCCCAACATTCTGTTCCCCCAGTGACCAACCAGACAGTGTTAGTAATTCCCCAGGGACTTTTTGCAAATGGCGCAGGTCCACCTGCGACCATGCAGAGATCTCTGGACGACAGGTTGGCAACTGGCAACTCCATCTGGCTGGCCCCTCCAGCTTTCTTAAGCAGCTAAGCAGAAGAGCTTAATTATTGCCTTTATATCGCTTTATACGCTCCAAAGAATTAGAGAGCTGGAGCTCTTCTTGGAAGCAACAGAGCACACCGTCTCCACCAAGGAGGAGACAGGGGATTCCCCTGAGAAGGAGGCTAGTTCACCAACACAGGAGCCAGATATATGGAGAAACGTGACTCAAAGAAGTAGGAGGCCCAGGGTTCACTCTGATTGTTTAGAAATACACAATCGCTTTGAGGTCCTCCCCTAGCATGGAAGATGAAGAGCAGACTCCATTTGAGGATCTCTCCCTCATTACAGTCGATCAGGTATATGAAGACGAGCAGCAAAGTCAGTCCTCAGGGAATGTGCAGGCGACCTTGGAACGGACAGCTCACAGAAGAACCCCGACCAAACCTAAGAGGAGGCGTGTAGTGGTGATAGGGGATTCCCTACTGAGGGGAACAGAAGCAGTGATCTGTGGGCCTGACAAGATGTCTCGGGAAGTGTGCTGTCTCCCCGGGGCTAAGATCCAAGATGTAACTGAACGACTGCAAGGAATCATAAAACCCACTGACAAATACCCCCTCCTCTTGGTTCATGTGGGAACCAATGACATTGCAAGCAATAGCCTCCAGAAGATCAAAAGAGACTACGAGGCTCTGGGCAGGAAATTGAAGCAATTAAATGCACAAATTGTCATCTCATCTGTCCTCCCAGTTGAACGACGTGGCCCAGGGAGAGAGGGAAAAATAGTGGAAGTGAAGAGCTGGCTTCGCAAATGGTATAAACAGGAACGGTTTGGATTCTTAGATCACGGACTGCAGTTTCTTGAAGATGGACTTCTGGCAAGCGAAGGGCTGCACCTCACAACGGTTGGGAGGAATGTTTTTGCCAAAAAACTCAGAAACCTCATCAGGAGGGCTTTAAACTGACTAATGTGGGGGAGGGAGACAATGCTCCTGAAGGTAGGAGTCTATCAATTGATGAAGATGATCATCCAAATGACATAGACCAAATGGAGCAAACAGCACGCAGACCTAGTGGTGGGAGGAAAAAATCCTTAAATAAGAGGCACGGGGGAATGATTAATAGACTTCAGTGTCTGTACACTAATGCGCAAAGCATGGGAAATAAACAAGATGAGCTTGAGCTCTTGGTACAGCAAACTAAATATGACATAATAGGCATCACTGAAACCTGGTGGGATAAGTCCCACGATTGGAATGTAATAATGGAGGGATACAATCTATTTCAGAGAAACAGACCAGACAAGAAAGGAGGAGGAGTGGCGTTATATGTCAGGGATGTGTATACCTGTGAAGAGATCCAAGATTTAGAACCTCAAAGCCAAAGTGAGAGCATTTGGGTCAAAATTAAGGGAGAGAAGAATAACAGTGACCTCATTGTGGGAGTTTACTATAGATCCCCAAGCCAAACGGAGGACATAGATGATGCCTTCCTGGAACAGATGGCCAAACAGGCAAAAGGAAGGGAGATAGTAGTAATGGGGGACTTCAATTACCCGGATATTTGTTGGATGTCAAACTCAGCCAAGAGCATAAGGTCAAACAGATTTCTCACTGGCCTTGCAGACAACTTCATTGTCCAGAAAGTGGGAGAAGCAACAAGAGGAACAGCCATTTTAGATCTGGTCCTAACCAATGTTGATGACCTGGTTAGTGGGGTAGAAGTGGAAGGATCATTAGGCGCGAGTGATCATGCTCTTCTGAAGTTTACTATAAAGCGGAAAGGAGCAGCCAAGCATACTAGGACTCAAAGCCGACTTCATAAAACTTAGGGAAGTGCTGGGTGAGATCCCATGGACAGTAATACTAAAAGGAAAGGGAGTTCATGATGGCTGGGAGTTTGTTAAGAGGGAGATAGTAAAAGCACAACTTCAGGCAATACCAATGAGACGGAAACATGGAAGGTGCCTAAAGAAGCCAGGGTGGCTATCTAAAGAACTTTTAACTGAGTTAAGATTAAAAAGGATGTGTACAAAAAATGGAAAAGGGGGAAACCACCAAAGAGGAATTCAAACAAATAGCCAGCACGTGTAGACACAAAGTCAGAAAAGCTAAAGCACAGAATGAACTCAGGCTTGCTAGAGAGGTTAAAAGCAACAAAAAAGGCTTTTATGGGTATGTTCGTAGCAAAAGGAAGAACAAAGAAACAGTGGGGTCACTCAGAGGAGAGGATGGTGAAATGCAAACAGGGGACACAGAAAGGGCTGAACTCCTCAATGCCTTCTTTGCCTCAGTCTTCTCCGATAAAGAAAACAATGCCCGACCTGAAGAATTTGGAGCAAATGATTCAGCAGAGGAAACACAGCCCAGAATAACTAAGGAGATAGTACAAGAATACTTGGCTAGTTTAGATGTATTCAAGTCTCCAGGGCCAGATGAACTGCATCCAAGAGTATTAAAAGAACTGGCAGATGTGATCTCAGAACCACTGGCAGTCATCTTTGAGAATTCCTGGAGAACAGGCGAAGTCCCGGCAGACTGGAGGAGGGCAAATGTTGTCCCTATTTTCAAAAAGGGGAAAAGAGAGGACCCAAATAATTACCGCCCAGTCAGTCTGACATCAATACCAGGGAAGATTCTGGAGCAGATCATTAAGCAAACAGTCTGTGAGCACCTAGAAAGGAATGCTGTGATCACCAATAGTCAGCATGGATTTCTGAAAAATAAGTCATGTCAGACTAACCTGATCTCGTTTTTGACAGAATTACAAGCCTGGTAGATGAAGGGAATGCAGTGGATGTAGCCTACCTTGATTTCAGCAAGGCATTTGACAAGGTGCCCCATGATATTCTTGTAAAGAAGCTGGTAAAATGCAGTCTTGACTATGCTACCACTCAGTGGATTTGTAATTGGCTGACTGACCGAACCCAAAGGGTGCTCATCAATGGTTCCTCTTCATCCTGGAGAAGTGTGACTAGTGGGGTGCCACAGGGTTCTGTCTTGGGCCCGGTCTTATTCAACATCTTTATCAACGACTTGGATGATGGACTCAAGGGCATCCTGATCAAATCTGCAGATGACACCAAACTGGGAGGGGTGGCTAACACCCCAGAGGACAGGATCACACTTCAAAACGACCTTGGAAACGATGCCTTATAAGGAACGGCTAAGGGAGCTGGGCATGTTTAGCCTGGAGAAGAGGAGGTTAAGGGGTGATATGATAGCCATGTTCAAATATATAAAAGGATGTCACATAGAGGAGGGAGAAAGGTTGTCTTCTGCTGCTCCAGAGAAGCGGACACGGAGCAATGGATCCAAACTACAAGAAAGAAGATTCCACCTAAACATTAGGAAGAACTTCCTGACAGTAAGAGCTGTTCGACAGTGGAATTTGCTGCCAAGGAGTGTGGTGGAGTCTCCTTCTTTGGAGGTCTTTAAGCAGAGGCTTGACAACCATATGTCAGGAGTGCTCTGATGGTGTTTCCTGCTTGGCAGGGGGTTGGACTCGATGGCCCTTGTGGTCTCTTCCAACTCTGTGATTCTATGATTCTATGATTCACCAAGAAGTATATGGTTCACGCCTTCCTCAATTAATCCCTACAGTGACCCTTTGAGGTAGATCAAGAGGCTGTGACTGGCCCAAGGTCATATCTGAGTGGAGATTTGAACCCTGATCTCCCAAGGTCCTAGTCCAACACTCTAACCACTACACCACACTGGCTTCCTGGAGGGCACTTCTGCTACAGGACAGCTATATAAAGTTGGTAAATAAATATGGAGAAAGCAAAACGTCACTTTAGAGAAGAATCTGAAATATTTTCCTTGAAGCTTGAATATGTTTTATTCTGGATTGTTTTGTTTGACGTTTTCAGGTTTTGTAAACCACTCTCAAGATATTTTCTTTGAAATATAAAGCAGCATAGAAACAGGGAGAAAATGGCACCTAAATACTCTGTTGTGGCAACCGTAACCTGGGTTTAAGGTGCCATTCAGCGATTAGCTCATATATCTGAGTTTCTAACACTGCGACCAGATGATTACAGGAAACTCACAAGCAGGATCTGAGTGCTACTGTGCTCTCCTGCTCACGATCCCCAGCTCAATTCAAGGTGCTGGCTTTGGCCTATAAAGCCTTATGCAGCTCAAGACTTCAGTGCCTCAAGAAGCACAAACCTGGACCCTGCGTTCCTCATCTGAGGGCTGTGCATTTTCTGAGGGAGGTGTGGGTCTTTTCAGTCGTGTCTCCCTGCTTGTGGTACACTCTTCTCCAAGGAAGTACACCTGGTGATATCATTCTCTTTTTTCTTCTTCTATGTGCCAGGCAAAAACATTTCTATTTACCCAGGGCTTTGTTCCTTAATTGGGAGAATAACAAGCAATGCCTGTGACCTCTTTTTGTATTCATGCCTGTAACTGGGGTGCTCCTTTGATGTATATATATTTATGGATAAGTGTTTTAAGTCTTATGTGTTTTTGTACCTGATTTTAAAGTTTCCTGCTATTTTTATCACGCAAATCACTACGAGACAATTTGGTGCAGAAAGTGAGAAATGAATTGTCACCATCATGATCTCGGAAGCACACAGTTCAAACCTGGGAGCTTGACCAGATTGCCAGCTAGTTAGAGCAAATGCTATGCGTATCAGTACCAAGCCAGAAAACTTTCTGCATCCTGGTTGGGGAAAAAAGCACAGTATGTTACAGCCAGCTGGCAAAGCCTCCCAAAATCCACCCTGCAAACACATTAAGGACAAACAGTTTCAAAAACAGGGTGCCTGGGGCAGATTAAATAATTCCTACAAAAGGATGGAACAGAAATGGAATAGCAGGATTTCAAGAGCAAACTTCTCAGGAATGAAAATCTGCAAGAGGAAGTTTGTGAAAAGAGCTTTTTTGGTTGCAACTCAAAAGCACAAGCTAAATTTAGCCAAGAGTATACTTTCACTGAGGGACGCGGGTGGCGCTGTGGGTAAAACCTCAGTGCCTAGGACTTGCCGATCGTATGGTCAGCGGTTCGAATCCCTGCAGCGGGGTGAGCTCCCGTCGTTCGGTCCCAGCTCCTGCCCACCTAGCAGTTCGAAAGCACCCCCAAGTTCAAGTAGATAAACAGGTACCGCTTTATAGCGGGAAGGTAAACGGCGTTTCCGTGTGCTGCGCTGGTGCTGGCTCGCTAGAGCAGCTTTGTCACGCTGGCCACGTGACCCGGAAGTGTCTCCGGACAGCGCTGGCCCCCGGCCTCTTAAGTGAGATGGGCGCACAACCCTAGAGTCGGACACGACTGGCCCGTACGGGCAGGGGTACCTTTACCTTTACCTTTTTATACTTTCACTGGTAATACCAACCTGAGTTTCCTGTACCTCCCACCCAGTTTATTTTTACACAACACTTAGGGATCTCAGGCATATTTGCCAAACTGGCAATCCCCTATCCATGGTGGGGGTATCAAGACTGAAAAGTCCCCCACCACCACCCCAAGACCCAATCCCTGAACCACGACCCTCGAAGGCAGGAATCTGTAAGCTGTGGCCCTCCAGTTAAGGGTGGTCAGAGTGGTTTATCCACCAGTTCCTATTACCAGGTAACTCTGAAAACTGTAGCTCTATGAAGGTAACAGCTCTCAACTGCCTTACACTGAAGTTGTCTGGTTTCTTTGGAGGAAGCCTGACTGTTTAAAGTGGTATAATTCCACTTGAAATATATATAGTGCAGACATGGCCACAGACGGGGGGGGGGGACGGGGGACGGACTGCTAGCCTTCTACTAAGCATCTGGGCTGCAGTATGGACCAAACTAAACTCATACGCATCTCTTCGTTCAAGAGTAAAGGGACAGGGAGCATCACCTGAACACGACACTCTCCTGACACACTAGCCTACTATCTCCCGTCAAAGGTTACTTTGGGATCAGCCAGAATGAAATGTGAGCCAAACAGGAGCCGGTGGCTGAAATGGAAACTCCCAGCATCAGCCGCAAGAACTAATGGAACACTGTCAGGAAAGCCTCTGGGGCCTGTCTACCTGGCCTTCGGAAACCTCTCCCTTCGCAGGCCCTGATCCATGGTGGGAAAGTGCCCTTGAACTATGACAGTGCCTCCTGCTTGTTCGGACGCAGGACAAAGAGGGAGGAGAAACTAGCCTACTACACGAGGGTGACATTTATGATTCTTGCTCTAGCCCACTTTTGCCTGCTCAGCAGGGCTGGGCGTTATTTGGTTTTCAACACTGTGATACATCACCAGCTAAACATTGTGATATATCAATATATGACAATGTCAGAAATAAAGATGGAACTATGTAGAGGTGAACAGCAGGGCTGGGCAATATTTGGTTTTCAGCATCACGATGTATCACCAGGAAAACATCGCAAATATACTGATATATCCTGGGATAGCTCAGTCAGTAGAGCATGAGACTCAATCTCAGCGTTGTAGCTTTGAGCCCTACGTTGGGCAAAAGATTCCTGCATTGCAAGGGGGTTGGACTAGATACCCCTCGTGGTCCCTTCCAACTCTTTCAATTCCATGCTTCTGTGAAGTCTGAAATAAGGATGGAGCTATGCAGAGGCTGACTTCATGGTTTTTCCCATGCTGTGATTTTTGCATAGCGCGCGCGCGCGCACACACACACACACACCCCACGATTCGCAATATGTTGCCAGGTCAAAAATAATGAAAACCGATTATCACGATATGGACTTCAAACTGGTTTCGGATGGTATGTCGGTATTATCACCCAGACCTACTGCTCAGCACCAGCATGTGGCCCCCAGGAGGTTACCCAGAATGGAACATGGCCCTGCCCTATATACCTCCAGGCTGGCGTCATTGCCAGACTGTACTCCTATTTCAATATAATTTCTAGGTCACCCTTCAGTATAAACCTCCCATGATGGGGTACAATTAATAATAAAATGTAAGGAGTAACACAGACAAACCAGCTACCAGCAGAGCTATTTCATTAAATGCGAAGAAGCACCTGGCTGCAGGTGCGGTGACACCACCTTACCTGGCTTGCTTCCTTCCCTCTCGTGGCCGAGTTGCCCTTTCCTGTTCAAGCCACATGTATACACTTCGCCATCCTCCAGCAGGAAGATAGAATGGTTCTCGCCACAAGCCACTTCCTTGACGCTCTTCTCGTGAATGAACCCGCTGCTCCGGGGCTCGGCGATTATCGCTTGCAGCACGTTACCTTCCCCAGGGTGTCCCAAAGACCAATATCCCCAACATAACATCTTCTCTTCTTTTAGCAAGTCATGTATCTTGGTTTTTTCCTGAGGGAGAAGAAGAGGGGAAACCAATCCATAAATCAGGAATCATCTACAGACCAGACAAACAGGACAACAGGAAGTGATGCCGGCAAAAGGAGCCATTTCCTGTCCCATCATGCAAACAAAGGAGCAGTAGTTCTTTTCTGCAGCTTCCATTCCTTGGAATAACTTTCCTAAAAGATGCCCAGTGGCAAACTATTTTTCTAAGAGTTTCAATTTCATTTATTTAAGCAATTTACTATATATTGGTAATATTTGGGATGGGGGAACGGGCCTCTGGGCAGCATACAACGTATCTTATTTTTAAAATTTTTTTTAATTTTTTTTAAATAATATTTATTGAGATTTAAAAGATTACAAAAAGAAAAAATAGATAACACGTTAAACAGAAAAACAGAGCATCATATCACAATAACGAAAAGAAAAAGAAAAGAAAAGAAAAAGAAAAAAGAAAAAGAAAAAAATACAAAAATATATACAACAAATCTTCCCATAATTTATCTTTCATTTGCTTATTTCTTTGACCTCCTCACGCCTCCCCTTTTTGTATTCTAGTTCAATTGGCTATTTCAGCAAGTCCTTTCCATCTTTTCCAGTTTTTATCCTCTATTTTATCTTAATATATTAGCTTTACTTTCCCTCCTTTCACCATTTAACAATCTATTTTTTCTTAAACCTTTATAGCATTTCATACAACGTATCTTAAAACACTGATTAAAAATCAAATAATTTTTAATAATCCACAATTGAAAACCAAATTAGCAACCCAAAGGGCACCATGGTAAGCATTACACATGAAAACCAAGTGCAATGATAACAACAACAACAACAACAACAACAATAATAATAATATAATCCTCCACTCTGCACCTTCAGAACTTGGTGTGATGGATCACGTGTTGCAAATACAGCCCCCCCCCCCTTTTCCGGAAGTCAAAAACACAACACACACAAATACCACCATGTTCAGTGGCGAGCGTTCTCCGAATGCAACTTGCCAGCTGGCAGAGCAGCCACAGCAGCAAATAAAACTTCAACGCTCTTGTTCACTGGGACATTAATGCCCGAACAAATTTGTTTCTGTTGACAGTGCCTTCGTTATGTAAATTGACGGCTTGTTCCTTCCACAACTCTCGCTCTACATGGAAAGCACTTCGTGTCCTCGTCGGTGTTCATGTTTCACCGCAGGTCAGCATCTGAACTTAAGGCAGATGCTCCTCATAACAACCGCACATCACCCCAGACCAACTGGGCTATTCCATGGGAAGCTGTCCGCCATGGTATAGCCAAGGAACCTGGAACAGGTGGGGTGGGAGACACTGTCAGCATCCAGATTCCAGTCTTATGCATTCAAGGATGGCTCCCATGCAGAATGCTGTCTAGCAATTTATATGCTGATGGGGAAGTAATGGCCACTGATAACAGTTATTTAACAGGGGAAGAAGAGGAAGGCTGGGCAAGCTATCAAAATCTGCAACGACAGCTGCTGCGGTATAAGTAGAGGCTGTGACATGGGCAGCGACTGCCTGCATAGGGCAAGGTAAGTAGGGCTGGACACTTTGAGCTGATCTGGAAAGAGTACGGTTTGCCATACTAAGTGAACAAGGTTCAGACACATGAGAAACCCATTCCACTTCTGCATTGTGGAGACCAGAAGCACTACCTCAATTTTCAAATAGCCAGTTTGTTGTTTTGTCCAGACATGGGAACTATGGATTGCTTTAACTACCGTTGATTCCAAAAAGCCAAAATCAGGAGCCACGAGGTGTATGTTTGTTAGCTAAGATCAACCACAGTTTATCCCATTGGGACCAAACAAACTGTGGTTAGTTGCAAACGTAGGCAGGTTCTTCTGATTTCTTCCTTGCAGCCACAATAGAGGAGGGAGTACACAGGCCCATAGCTCATTTGTATAGAGCTAAACAATGGTTATTTAACTTATATGCAGAATTCATCATGCGAAAGGCTGAGCTGGATGAATCCCAAGCCGGAATTAAGATCGCCGGAAGAAATATCAACAACCTCAGATATGCAGATGATACAACCTTGATGGCAGAAAATGAAGAGGAATTAAAGAACCTTTTAATGAGGGTGAAAGATGAGAGTGCAAAATATGGTCTGAAGCTCAACATCAAAAAAACGAAGATCATGGCCATTGGGCCCATCACCTCCTGGCAAACAGAAGGGGAAGAAATGGAGGCAGTGAGAGATTTTACTTTCTTGGGCTCCATGATCACTGCAGATGGTGACAGCAGTCACGAAATTAAAAGACGCCTGCTCCTTGGGAGAAAGGCGATGGCAAACCTAGACAGCATATTAAAAAGCAGAGACATCACCTTGCCAACAAAGGTCTGTATAGTTAAAGCCATGGTTTTCCCAGTAGTGATGTATGGAAGTGAGAGCTGGACCATAAAGAAGGCTGATCGCCGAAGAATTGATGCTTTTGAATTATGGTGCTGGAGGAGACTCTTGAGAGTCCCATGGACTGCAAGAAGATCAAACCTCTCCATTCTTAAGGAAATCAGCCCTGAGTGCTCACTGGAAGGACAGATCCTGAAGCTGAGGCTCCAATACTTTGGCCACCTCATGAGAAGAGAAGACTCCTGGAAAAGACCCTGATGTTGGGAAAGATTGAGGGCACAAGGAGAAGGGGACGACAGAGGACGAGATGGTTGGACAGTGTTCTCGAAGCCACAAACATGAGTCTGACCAAACTGCGGGAGGCAGTGGAAGACAGGAGTGCCTGGCGTGCTCTGGTCCATGGGGTCACGAAGAGTCGGACACGACTAAACGACTAAACAACAACAAACAATGGTTTTACACCCAATCTACACTATAATAGGGACACGGGTGGTGCTGTGGGTTAAACCAGAGAGCCTAAGACTTGCCAATCAGAAGGCTGGCGGTTTGAATCCCTGCGACGGGGTGAGCTCCCGTGGCTCGGTCCCAGCTCCTGCCAACCTAGCAGTTCAAAAGCATGTCAAAGTGCAAGTAGATAAATAGGTACCGCTTCGGCGGGAAGGTAAACGGTGTTTCCATGCGCTGCTCTGGTTCGCCAGAAGCGGCTTAGTCATGCTGGCCACGTGACCCGGAAGCTGTACGCCGGCTCCCTTAGCCAATAAAGTGAGATAAGCGCCGCAACCGCAGAGTCAGTCACAACTGGACCTGATGGTCAAGGGTCCCTTTACTTTACCTTTACCTACACTATACTCCTTCTACATCAACCTTCAGCAATCTGGTGGCCTTCGTATGCTTTGGACTGGGGCTGATAGGAGTTGTAGTCCCAAACATCAGGAGAGCAATAGGTTGAAGGAGGCTGCCCTACATAATGTAACAGCTCCTTTCCTATGCTGAAACAGAAGAAGCATTCACTTTTGTTTCAGGACTCTAGCTCACTGTATTGAGGTTCCTCTTGCGCCAACAGCAACATCCCTGATCCTCTGTTCCATGGGCAGCACAACCGTAGGCTCTCGGTAAATTATTTCTTTAAAAAGCAAAGCAAATACTGAGATGTCCTTAAGATATGAGTCATTTCCTTGCAGTATTAATTCAATATCCAAACACTAGCAGCGAAGTCGGCAACTGGCAACCCCTAGGCCAAATCAGGCCATGAGTGTGATGCTGCCTAGCCCTAGAGCTGCAAGCCCCAGAGGGAAAACAGTGTGGATTAACAGCATCCACCCCATGGAACTTGGAAGCAAGTGATTTCCTTAAAAGGTCAGCCTGTGCTCAGGCAAAACTAGCTGCCGTACCTAACACTTTAAGGAGAATCATCTTGATGAACCAATGCTTGGTAATTGCAGGGATGTAAAAAAATAAATACATCAGCAGGTGCAAGTGAAATATTTATTTAGCCTTTTGCAGCCTTGGAGACCTGTTATTATAAATTTGTATACCACCCTTCAACTGCAAATCTCAGAGTGGTTCACAACATAAAAATACGATGTAAAAACCACAAAATACACAATAAAAACGGGAACAAAAACAAACCAATAACCCCACCTCGCCCCCAAATATTCAATAACTCAGGAACTCAGAAATGTTCTTTCCCCCAGTTCTATGTATTTATTGAAAAACAATCTCAACCAATAAATAAATATTGCCCCTTATTACTAACCTAAGCAGGCAATCTATAAATCTCCCTGGTGTGAATGCTCAATGAATGAGTTCTCAGGAAGCAACTCCTATCCCTGTCTCTCAGCTATTTCTAATAAACCTCTGTGTGCATCTGACAGCTGAAGCTGACAGGGCATCTATATGCAAAGAGTAATGCCACAAACATGTTGAGATTTGCCAAACTCTTTTAAGATTTGGAGAGCTCCACTCTTCTGCTGACAGCCTGCTCAAATGCATCCCATAAACTAGCCTCTGCTAAAGAATGAGGCATGGGGGGGGGGATGAAGAGGGGTCAGAGGATGCCTGTCTATGCACGGAGACGCCAGCAGAAGCACGTACAGCCAACACGCGCGGGCACGCGCAGCCAGCCACACACACACCCCAGCTAGCTTTGCAAGCCGATGGAAGGGGCACGTGCGCACGTGGGCACGTGTCTCTCCCTGCTTATATTTCAGCCAGCCGGTTGCCTGGTGCCTCTGCGCCGGCTGCAGGATCCCTCAAAGCCAGCCGATCCACCACGAAAAGCAAACAGATAAAAACGACGCCACCCTTCTTTCTCCTCCTTTGCATTCGAGACGTTCAGGATGGAGTTTAAAGCAATCGCCATCGTGGCTTCTTCCCCATGCAACCCCGACAAAAATACGCCGCGCCCACCACGTCTGAACATCTCCCACCCCCGGAAAAGCCACAGTTTTTTTTTTAAAGGTTTGAGCCTGGGGAAGACGATTTGCAAAAGTGCTTTACTGTATTCTCTTTTGCATGTTCCGAAGAGGCACCGGAATGAGCTCATCTGGAGCTACTGGAAATCGGCTGGTGGGAGGGAACAAGCGAGCAGACCTCCTCGGTCCTACGGCGCGGAGGGTAACCGGGAAACAGGCGCGGGTCCACGACGGGGGATGGGGATTGTTATCACCGTCATCACCTCCACTCGCCGCGCGCGCAAAGTCCCGGAAACTAGCCGCCACCCGGTCCAAATATCTGCCCGTGGGTGACGTGGAAAGCCCCGGTTCCTGCTGTCCGGGTTTCTAGGATTTCTGCTTTCTAATGAACGCAACTGCACATACGCCCGGTCTTTGCATCGCGGTGCAAGCGTTACTGAAATAGCGGTTTGACTGTCATTCCCACCTACTCCTCGATACACACACACACAACACGGCACAGGCAGAGGGAATCTTCAGCAACCTTTCAAAATTATTTAAAGGCCAGCAAATAATTTAAGAAGCCATTTTTTAAAAATAAAAAGTCCGAGGGTAATAGCTGCTTTCCCAAGAGCTCTTTCTACAGCCAACCTGCGGGCATAATCCAGCGGGAAGTTCTCCTGCGCAGCAGCAGCCGAGATGCAAGGAGACAGGATATGGCTTGCGCAGGGCTTTCCGGGTTTCCCCCGGCTACAGCTATTAGATCTCGTAGCTGCCTCCCATCCATCGGTGCCAGTGGCCGCGTAGAATAAAATGTCTTGCTGGAAAGGGGGAAGACATAATCTTGCACAGATGCGCATACGCAGCCAGCAATCTTTCTTTGCCCCACTGCATGGGAGGATCAAGCGCAGAAAGGGAGATTATTGGGGGTCCCGTGTGACAATACGGGGGGGGGGGGGGGTTATCCTCATCTTCCAGTCTTCAAACCAACCCAAGCCTAGGCACGCCTAACTCGGCAGCAAGACCCACAGGCTGCGCCCGTGCCGTGCTTTATGGGCGTCTTAGTGCTACCTGGACGGATGTTGGACGAGGTGGGCCTTTAGCCTGATCCAGTAGAGGGGTGGGGTGGACTCTTCTTAATACGACTGACCCCTTCAGGTTAAGTGTGCGTATTGGATCGCGGGCTCAAAGTCAGGCTCTGTCACTCCAGGGCTGTGGAGTGCTAAATGAAATTATTATTCGTTCCACCCGCCCCGTCTGGAGAAAAAGAGAAAGGCGGCAGCGAGGCCATTATTAACAGGAATCGGAAAGGAGTTGGGTTTGCTAGGAGGCTGCTGTGGGTCTCTCTATTCGTCGCCCCCCAACTGCAAGCCTATCACCCCCGTTTATACCCGGGAGGCAAAATATCCCATTGATCTAATGGGAGAGCCTGAATTGCACGACGCAGAGAGATCGGGAAGCTTGCAAAGCCTCCGCTATCCAAGCTGAGCGAAAGGGAGCTACCCCCCCCACCCTTCTATAAAAAAGCCTGCAAAAAAAAGGAAGCGACAGCACAACAGGATCGCACGCAGCGCCCGGGGAACGCAAAGCAACGCCTTTGGAACGCTCACCGGCTCTTGGCTGCTGCTGCGCCCCGGGAGTCCCAGGTGCGGAGACGGAGGCGGCACCTCTGTACTCTGCTTCCTGCTGCGCGCTACAATAACAACGAAGTTTTGCTTCCTTCTCCAGCAGCGAGAGCCAAGCGCGAGCCCCGCCTTTACGTGGTTGACGTGTTGAGCCGCACCCAATGGGAAGCCGCGGAGGCTCTCCGGCTGAACCAATCGCTGCTTCCACCAGAGGCTGACATGGGGAAGGAGGGGTAGGTTGGGCCCAGAGTTCTAGTTTGGGGGGGGGGGAGAGAGGCGGCCTGACAGTTAACCCTAGAGGCGCTGGAGGAAAATGTGAAGTCCATATTGTGCTGGTGCAACTGCACTGTGTATTTATTTCACAGAACCATAGAATTGTAGAGTTGGAAGGGACCCTGAGGATCATCCAGTCCAACTCCCTGCAATGCAGGAATATGCAGCTGTATCATATGGGGATCAAACCTGCAACCTTGGTGTTATCAGCACCATGTTCTAACCAACTGAGATATTTGTTTGCATTTATATCCCACTTTTTTGGTTTGTTCTCCCCCTCATTTAATTCCCCACAACACCCCTGTAAGATAGGCTAGGCTGAGAGGCCAGCCCAGGGTCACTCAGTGAGCTGCGTGGCCAAGTAGGGGATTCGAACCCAGGTCTCCCACGTTCTAGTCCGACACTCTTAACCACTACACCACACTGGCACCAAGCTAAACTAGGCAGCAGGAGGTTACTTAAAAGTGTGCAAATTTTATATTTAGATGGAAATATTTGACAGGTCAGAGGGCAGTTCTCTCAGAGACTAATCATAACTATTCAGTGTACAGAGGCTCTGCTAAACACTCAAAAGACACAGGGGCCTGTGGCACAAATTTGCATATGCTAATTTTGTTAATGATTCTTAGATTTGTAGCACACTTTTCCTCCCAGAAGTTCAATGTGGCTCTCCCCACCCTCCCCAATTTTATCCTAACAATAACCCTGTGGAGTAGGTTAAGCTGAGAGTCTGATAGGCTCAAGTGAGCGTCAGGGCTGAGTGGGGATTTGAACCTGATTCTGCCAGGTCCTAGTCCGACACACTCAGCACGACACTGCATATGTATAGCTGCATATGTTGGTCCCAGAGCAAATTAAGAGGATAAGTGAATGGCCAGCACAGTATGTGAACCAGCCCTGGAAGTAAAGTTAAAAATCATTTTTGGAACAAGGGCAGGTGATCCACAGCCCAGCCCTCTAACAATACTTCTGACAGAGACAGGCAGCAGGGAGCCTGATTGCATATAAGCTCCAAGGAGGTTGATAAATTGAAGTAGACAATGAACACCTTTATGTTCCTGCAAGTTACTTTGCTATACTGTATAAGCCGTGCCACAAAGAGTAACTTCTGATGAGAATTAATTTCCAGGTGAGTTTGAAATCTATCCCCAGGCCATATTCCAGCTAAATATTTTGGCAAGGGATGCTTTAAAAAACCAACAACCTATATTTTGAATTCGCTGTGCTTGTTAACTGAATAAGAGAGATGCATTGATTAGAAGGAACAGTCTGTTCTTAAATGGCTCTTGCATTTTTATATTGCATTAGCAACACTCAGAAATGATGCACTGGATACTTGGGTAGCAAACCTATGCCCACTTCTCTGGTAGTTACTTCTGAGTAGGCATGTATAGGATTCCTCTGCTAATGATTTCTTGCAGGGCCCTTCGGTTGCTGGGTATTCTGGATAGAAGCATGGATGAAAATTTTAGCTTTGCATTTGAAGGAAAATATAAAGACCTGGAGTGTTTAGGCTGACATCCTAAGTATGTTTACTAGGAAGTAAAGCCCCATTGAACAAAGTGGGGCATACTTTGGTAAACATGCATAGAAGTCTGCTAGAAAGCTGTAATCCTGTGCATATGCTTAACCCAGTAGAATTTAATTCTGAGGACAAAAGTTACAGGTTTGGGCTGCACGACACAAAAGTATTGCAAAATGCACTTATCGTTCTGATGTACAATGATGTGGCAGATGTGCAATGTCGTTTTGAGCCCGGGGTTCAGCTTGACAACAAACAAATGAATCAGAAGAGAGCCCTTGAGGCGCAGGGGAAGAGCTGGAGGCAAGCGCTCTTGAGTTAATTGGAGGGGAACGCCAGGCATGACTCACTGGCTCAAGGAAGTGCATGAATACATGGCTGCACTTATTTTAAAATGTGCTTTAAATGTATGGTACAAAGTCCATTTCTTAGGGAAAGGTCAGAGCTTTGCATGCAGAAATATCTTTGGCGTCTCCAGGTAGGGCTTGGAGAGACCCATCTCCAGGCTGAAGTGATAGCGCATGGGCAGGCAAACTAAGGCCCGGGGGCCGGATCCAGCCCAATCGCCTTCTAAATCAGTGTGTTTTTACATGAGTAGAATGTGTGCTTTTATTTAAACTGCATCTCTGGGTTATTTGTGGGGCATAGGAATTTGTTCATTTTTATTTTCCAAAATATAGTCTGGCCTCCCACAAGATCTGAGGGACAGCGGACCGGCCCCCTGCTGAAAAAGTTTGCTGACCCCTGTTATAGCGGGTATGAAACCTGGGCTGTAAAGGATTAGAAAAACACCTTTTTGTGCAAGCAAATCAGGATGCATAGTCAATTAACCTGGAGGAGCTTTTAGTTATTGCATCTGAGCCAGGTTTAGCTAGAAATTACTGTGTTCTTTCGTGAAATTTTCTTATTTCTCGCTTTTATTGATGTTAAAGACAGCAATCCTGTATCCACATGTTCCTGGGACTAAGCCCCATTGAACATCTGAGTAGATATGCGCGGGATTACACTGTAAATCAACTTTTAATTGAACCGTGGCGTGTACTTTTCCTAAGCCACAGGCTGTGTGGTGTTTGCGTGCCTAGCCGTTTTGATTCCGTGCTACTTAACTTGTGATGATTTGGTAACTCTTCACTTGCTCAGCAAATCCCATTGCTCCAGAGTTCTTCCTGCTTCCAAGTCAGGGAACTGAAGGAACTGCTGAAAGTGCTGTACGGTACTATACAAAGACTGTGCCCCCCTGCCTGGCTAACCTTTCCAGAAAGGTGGGACTTGAATGCCTCTTCGGAAGAAGCTCACCCGAACAAAAAAGCAAAAATGGGGCCAGTGATTTTTCTGGGCCGGGATCCAGAAAAGAGGGCTTGTCTCTGGTAAATAGCAACAGCTGTAGAGTAGTTTGCACCTGAAACGCACAGAAGATTTCCTATGCATTGATTCTCCTATAGTGTAACATTTACTGTTCACTTGTTTTGCACTGCACAGAATGTATTAGTGAAGGCAGAGATTAAGCCGTTCCAAAACCATTTAAGAAGAAAAGAGTCGCAGGCTTTTCAATTTGCTTGCAAAGAGGCAGTTCTTACAGGAACAGGGATTAGGGAGGGAAGGTTTTAATGGCCTATAAAGTCTCTCCCCACCCCCACCCCACCCATCAGCTTTATCTCCTATAGGCCAGTTGCATTGCAACAGACTAGGAGAAGGAAACAATCTTAACCTGTAAATAGACCTATAATCATTTAAGCTCTGATAGCAAAAACTTCAAAGAGCCTCCTGGCACCTTGAAGACCAGCAGATTTATTATGGCATAAGCTTTCGGTGGACGATAGAGTCCACTCTGCCAGATGTAGGAAGCGATTTCCTCAGTTGGCACTTGCGTGTGTGGGTGTGGGTGTGTGGCAGGGGATGCGAAAGGCAATTCGCTTAAAGCTAGATGCAGGCAAACGGAGCGTCGTGACTGTTCACAACAGAAGTACAGTGGTACCTCAGGTTACATACGCTTCAGGTTACAGACTCCGCTAACCCAGAAATAGTACCTTGGGTTAAGAACTTTGCTTTAGGATGAGAACAGAAATCGTGCTCCGGCGGCGCGGCGGCAGCAGGAGGCCCCATTAGCTAAAGTGGTGCTTCAGGTTAAGAACAGTTTCGGGTTAAGAACAGACCTCCAGAACGAATTAAGTTCTTAACCCGAGGTACCACTGTAACAGGAGATTTAAGGGATTGCAAGACCGTCTCGGCAGTCATGCACCCTTGCCATCAGTATGTTTGGCTAGTGTGTGAAAGGTCCCTACTATTCTGTACACCTGGATCTCTTATTCATATGGGGAAACCTCTGCCAGTCAGGATGCCCCATTGCGCAGGGTCCTGAGTACCAGTCCCATTGAACAACTTTCATGAAGGAGATGCACAGTGGTACCTCGGGTTAAGTACTTAATTCGTGCTCATAAGCATGCACAGGATAACTTCCTTTCCATTTTGAATCAGACACAGCACGCTGAGGAAAGGAAAATGCTCATAATGTCCTGACATAATGTGGACAGGCTGTCATGAAAGATAAACATTCCAACAGAACACATCAGAGATCCCCATGTTAACATTCAGGGTGCAACCTCAGTCTCATCCTAGTTGCCGACAGCTACAGTCTGGCAGTACTTGAAACCATGTCTGATGATAAGATGCAGAAAGCAAGCCAAAAAAACCCCAAAACTAAAGCACATACTGTAAAATGAACACACGCTAGGACTAAACCAACAATATTTCGAAACATGCATCAGAAGCAGCTAATTTGAAAAGGGGGGGTGACACAGCCCTTCAGATGACAAAGAAAAGTAAGAGAGGTGATATGATAGCCATCTTCAAACACCTGAAGGGCTGTCACATGGAGGATGGAGCAAGCTTGTTTTCTCCTGCTCTGGAGGGTAGGACCCAAATCAATGAATTCAAGTTACAAGAAAAGAGATTATGACGAAACATTAGCATCAACTTTCTGACAGTAAAGGCTGCTTGACTCAGAAGGAGGTGGGTTCTCCTTCAGTGGTGGGTTTCAAACAAGAGCTTAGATGATGATAATAATAATAATAATAATAATAATAAATTTTATTTATACCCCGCCCTCCCCGGCCAGAGCCGGGCTCAGGGCGGCTAACACCAATAATAAAATCACAGTAAAAACATAATAGGGGGGAAAGAGAGGGAGGTGGAAAAAAAACCAATTTAAAATACAGGTTAAAATGCAATTTAAAATGCAGCCTCATTTTAAAATAGCTAACAAATCAAGGCCATAAGGGGAGGGAAACAAGGGTCCGACTGAGTCCAAACCAAAGGCCAGGCGGAACAACTGTCTTGTAGGCCCTGTGGAAAGATGTCAAATCCTGCAAGGCCCTAGTCTCTTGTGACAGAGCGTTCCACTACGTCGGGGCCAGTGCTGAAAAGGCCCCTGGCCCTAGTTGAAACCAATCTAACCTCCTTGAGGCTCGGGACCTCCAAAGTGTTGTTATTTGTGGACCTTAAGGTCCTCTGCAGGGTGTACCAGGAGAGGCGGTCCTGTAGGTACATGGGTCCTAGGCCGCATAGGGCCTTAAAGGTCAAAACCAGCACCTTAAACCTGACCCTGTACTCCACCGGGAGCCAGTGCAGCTGGTAAAGCATTGGGTGAATGTGATCCCGCAACAAGAACCCCGTAAGGAGCCTCACCGCAGCATTCTGCACCCGCTGGAGTTTCTGGGTCAGCTTCAAGGGCAGCCCCGTGTAGAGCAAGTTACAATAATCAAGCCTGGAGGTGACCGTCGCATGGATCACTGTGGCCAAATCAGGGCAAGAAAGGTAAGGGACCAACTGCTTAATACGGTGGAGATGGAAAAATGGCCATCTGTCAGGGATTCTTTAGCCGTGATTCCTGCATTTCAAGGGGCTGTACTAGAGGACCCTTGGGAAGGTTTTCCGGAGGACGATGGAATGGAAGAGAAGCTGAACAAAGTGTCTCCCACTAAGACTGAGTTCGGTGGTGCTCCTTTCTAAATAACTGTGCGATCCTAACCATGTCTACTCAGAAGTCCTGTTGAATTCATTGGGGCTTGCTCCCAGCTAAATAGGGCTATGATTGTACAGAGTCTCTATAAAGCCGCATCCCTGCAGCCCAATACCAGGTATAGATACTTGGAAGGAACACCCACCGGGTTCAGTGGGGCTTGTTCCCAATTATAGGACTACAGACTTGTTGACAAAAGATACCTACATGGTATGTAGAAACAGTACCTTAGTCTCCGATACAGGTCATATATAACCACGTAAGATTTCGAATAGAGGGTGGAGACCACTTCTTTTGCTACCCCTAAATGTATCCTTTGTAGACACACACAAAGTTATTCCTTCATTGTGCTGTTCACCAAGGATGCAAAATCTGTGGTTTTCCAGATGTTGTTGGACTACAAATCCAGTTTTCCCTATTGGCCATCCTGGCTGGGACTGATGGGCGTTGGAGTCCATCACATCAAAGGCAATTTCTTTGGCGGCTCCCCGTCTGCTGAATGCTCTCCCCAGAGGCATGCCTGATGCCATAATTACATCTCTTTAGGCGGCAGGTGAAAACATCCCTCTTCACCCCAGGCCTTTGGCCAGTAAATAATATATGGCTGTTAAAGCTGGGTGGGGGAGCCCTATTATTATTTTATTATTCTGTTTGTTGTTCTGTTTATTACTAGTATTTTTATTATGCTCCATAAAATGTGTTCTTCATGTTGTACTGCACCTGGCAAACTTTTGATGAATGGTGGCATTTAAGTTGAATAAATAAATAAATAAAAATTAAATGTCTGGAGTGTCACAGGTTCCCAAGCTGTGCCCTATGCCTTTCCCCCAACATACCAGTTTGTTTGCTGGAGAAATACCAGGTGACGTAGAAATCACCTATTAAATGATCTTGCCCTTCTGTTTTCTAAAAAACCTGTGCTGCCCCATACCTGAACACAAGACAATGCATACTGGCCATGCTCAAGATGACATGGTGACTTCTCAGTCAGGTGTTTCCCCCGAATTCCAGCCAAGCCACCAGCCTCACAGAGGCCAGTGTTTCATTCTGCCGCTTGCAAGCAAAGGAAGGCTAAGCCAATGAGTTCATAAAGGCTTGCAGCAGCTGTTGCCGATTTAGTGACCTCATAGATCTCTGCCTTTGACTCAGCAACACGGGGCAGTGCCTGTCTACAGCCAGGGTAGCTAACCTGTTGCCCTCACAATACATCTGGAATTTAACTCTCAGTCCTCTACACCAGGGTTTCCCAAACTTGGGTCTCCAAGCTGCTTTTGGACTATAATTCCCGTCATCCTTGACCACTGGTCCTGCTAGCTAGAGATGATAGTAGTGTCCAGAACTGGACACAATACAGTGGTACCTGTATGGTTTACAACCATAATCTGTTCTGGAGGTCCGGTTGTAAACCAAAAAAGGTTGTAACCCAAGGTTTGCTTTCGCCAATGGGGCCTCCCCCCCAAAATGGGTTGTAATCCAAAAAAAGGGACACGCACTTCCGGGTTTGACGTGGTTGTAATCCAAAACGGTTGTATTCCAAAGCGATTGTAAACCAAGGTACCACTGTACAGTGGTACCTCAGGTTAAGTATTTAATTCGTTCCGGAGGTCCATTCTTAACCTGAAACTGTTCTTAACTTGAAGCACCGCTTTAGGTAATGGGGACTCCGGCTGCTGCCGCGCCGCCGGAGCACGATTTCTGTTCTTATCCTGAAGCAAAGTTCTTAACCTGAAGCACTATTTCTGGGTTAGTGGAGTCTGTAACCTGAAGCATATGTAACCTGAAGCGTATGTAACCCGAGGTACCACTATACTCCAGTCTTCACCAAGTACACATAAGACTAGTCTGCTGAGCCAGACCAATGGCCCACCTAATCCAACATCCTACTCTCTCAGTGGCCAACCGGATGCCTGAGGGAAACCAGCAAGCAAAAGATGAGCCCAAATGCCCTCTTCCCTCCTGCCAGCAACTAGGATCTGAACCGAAGGTAGAGCAAAGCCAATACATTCCATTGCGTTCCAGATAAAAGCAGACTCAGAGTGCATCTTCGACTTGCATGAAAATATAATTTATTTATAACTTTTTCAAGGATCACAGGGCAGTGAACATGGCCCCCTTCAGCTTTTATCCTCACAACAACCCTGTGAGGTAGGTCAGGAGACAAATAGAGTGACTGGCTCAAGGTCACCCAGTGAGCTGGGTGGAAATGCAACTCGGGTTCTGGTCCATCTCCAATGCCTACCAATTTGTCTCCAAGCCCAATTCAAAGGGCGGCTTCTGACTTCCAAGCCCTTCTGTGGCTGAGGAGCCCAATACTTCTATAACCACCTCTCCCCATACTGGACCCGTCAACTTTTGATGCCCTTCTCTAGATGCTCCCTACAAGAGATGTTCAAAGGGCGACCACAAGGAAACAGGCCTTTTATGTGCTGACACCCCACCCCCCAAAAATTATGGAATGCTCTCCCTGGTGCCAATACATTTTCAACACAGACTTCCATTGGCTGTGGGGAGCGATTCATAAACTTAATAAAAACTAAACCATACACTCTGCTGGACTGTTTCAGTGACCTATATCTCTTGTATGGAAAGAGCTGTTTAAGCAAATTGTGGGAAACGACAGCAGTTTCGAGGTGGGGTGCAGAGGACAGCGAAATTACATCCAGGCTTTTTAAGAGAGGCCAAATTTTTCATAGTTCTCTAGAGCGATGAGGAGCATATTCTGGAGAACATCCCTGTTGCTGTATCTAGGAAGATGCAAGACTCGGTAGCAAGTGGAGGCCTCAGGGTACCACAGGTCTGGATCTTCTTTTCTCAAATCCGCAATAGTGACTGTGAATCGTTCCATTCCATGAGCTGGGAAGCAGTCGGTCCCTGTGAGAAAAGCTGGAAGAGATGGTAGAAATTAAACAACACATAGCCAGAACGCATCTTAGCAAATAATGATGATGACCCAACCCTGTGGAAATATATATAAAAAATAAAAAAAAATTGTCCAGTGGCACCTTAAAGGTAAAGGGGCCCCTGACCGTTAGGTCCAGTCGTGGCCGACTCTGGGGTTGCAGCCAGCGCTCATCTCACTTTATTGGCTGAGGGAGCCGGCGTACAGCTTCCAGGTCATGTGGCCAGTATGACTAAGCCACTTCTGGCGAACCTGAGCAGTGCACGGAAATGCCGTTTACCTTCCCGCTGGAGCAGTACCTATTTATCTACTTGCACTTTGACGTGCTTTTGAACTGCTAGGTTGGCAGGAGCAGGGATCGGAGCAACGGGAGCTCACTCCATCACGGGGATTTGAACCACAGACCTTCTGATCAGCAAGTCCTAGGCTCTGTGGTTTAACCCACAGTGCCACCAGAGACCAACTAAGTTTTTTCTTGGTATGAGCTTTCGTGTGCATGCACACTTCTTCAGATACACTGAAATGGAAGTCATCAGACCTTTATATATAGTGAGAGGGTGGGGAAGGGTATTACTCAGAAAGGTGGTGGGAATGGGTGATTGGCTGACAGGTGTGGTAAACCTGGTGACGACTGTTAACGATTGCAATTGGTCTTACAGAAAAAAGCAAGGGGTGAGATGGCGAAAAATGCTTTATCATGTATAATGAGGTGAGAATCCAATATGGTTTTAAGTTGGGTAATAAGTTGTAATTCAGCAGCTTCTTTTTCCTGTCTATTTCTGTGGGTTAGCTGGCAGGTGAGAATCCAGGATGTCCATTAGGGCTGGGCGATATATTGATATATCGTCCCAAACCGCTTTGAAGTCCTTATTATGATACTGGTTTCATAATTTTTGACCTGGCAATATATTACAAATGATGTGTGTTAGGGCTGAGTGATGTCTGGCTTTCAAGTCTATGCAGACTAACAATAGCCCAATACTGGAAATAACCTATAGAAATCCCTGTTGAAATCTGAGTAAGGAATATTTGGAATGTGTCCCTATTGGAACACCTTACTTGCCACAGAAGAGTAATTAAAGGCACTTCAAAGACAGGCCACTTTTGGCAAGACTTGGCTTCCATTCTTTTCCTTTATAAATGAGACAGAAAAGACTTTTATTCCACTCACAACACTCTCTGTGGAGAGGATACTTGAATTGACAAGGCCTAAATAAACATATTGCTTGTGTACTGCGTATGAAACTTAGCAAGAATGTTCCCCTGGACAAGTTACTCTATTTATACATTGTTCTTGTATTTAAATGAAAACCAATAAAAATTATTTGGAGTTTTTTAAAAACAACAACAACAACGAAGTGTATACAGACAACCCCCCCCCATTTAGGCATGTTCAATATGTGCGCAACTGCACACACATGCATCGTGCCAAACCTGAAAGTGACCCCAAAAATCACACAAAAAAAGGGGTGGAATGAGGGCAGAACAAGGCATTTTCAGGCTTTTTCAAGGGTGTTTCAAATACAGTATACAGTGGTACCTCGGGTTAAGTGCTTAATTCGTTCCGGAGGTCCGTACTTAACCTGAAACTGTTCTTAACCTGAAGCACCACTTTAGCTAATGGGGCCTCCTGCTGCTGCCGTGCCGCCAGAGCACAATTTCTGTTCTCATCCTGAAGGAAAGTTCTTAACCTGAAGCAATATTTCTGGGCTAACCGAGTCTATAACCTGACGTGTATGTAACCTGAAGTGTATGTAACCCAAGGTACCACTGTACGTGGTTTCACAGATCCGCTGTGCCTCGGAATGTAACCTCCACATAAATGAGGAGTTGCCTGTATTTGATTCTGACCAAACTAAGCCTCCTAGTGCAAAATATACAACAGGAGACTTAGTTTGGACAGAATCGAGTACACATTTCCAGAGTTAACGCTAAACACATTATTACATCTGGCAAATGAGCCACCACAGCCACTAATGGGCGGTGAAAAATTGTGTCCCAGGCTTTTTTTTAGACCCATGTACTATATGAAACAAAATCTGGTGCAGTATTTGCCAGATGTGAAATATATTGGCATCATCTTCTCCTATTCTAATATCAAACAAATGATTCATTTTGACTTTTTAAAAGAAATACGTTATTACAGAGGAAATTCTTCTTCTTTTCTTCAGGAAGAGCATGAAACACAGCCCAAAAATCCTCAATTGTTTCATCCGACCTTTCATAACCATGGTACTTCGCATTCTGTCATAGGAAATAAAAATAGCCCTGCAGTTAATCCTTCAGTATCTCTTTACATAAATCAACATTTGTTGCCCAACATAATTCCGCGAGATATTTCAGTCCCCCTTATGACTTTGTGCAGGGAATCTGAGGGCTGCTCCACACATTCCCTTTATTTTGCCTTCTTAAATATTTAGTTACTTTATATATTTCTTCATATTTGACCCGAAATCTCTTAAGCTGTTTCTAAATCCCAGCCAAATGAATTACAATACAATACAATACAATACAAATTCTACATTCACAATTGGACAATACTACTACTACAACTACTAAGAATAAAAAATTCCACAATTTCAGTAAAATAATTAATACCTCTAAACAATGTACATAAATAAAATTATGCAGAACCACAAAAACAAATCATAACAGTGTCAGGGCATCCCAATCCCTTTCCTATAGCATATTTCATCCAGTAGTCAATTGAGCCCTGGGTAAATTTATGTTTTACCTTTTCTAGCTGTTCCCAGTCATATTCTGTATGTCCAAGGAGAACAACACGGAGCTCAGCAGGAAGAAATATTTTCCAAATTTCATTTGGGCAGCCTGTTTTAAATCCACGCACGAAGTCCCCGAACTGCTTTTCTACTGAAGTACTGAACATGTAGTTCACGTAAGCATCAACATATTCTTTCCTGGAAATAGATTAATGCAGTTCATTTATTTACTATATTTATAGCCTGATTTTCTGTGAAGGACCCAAAGTGGTCTATACATACAGATGTAAAAGTATCGAAATAAACTCTCGCCAGATCATGAAACAAATAAGCAGTGTAACTTGAGTTCTTAACTTTTGAAGAGAGTACTTTTAGGGGGTCTGCAGAAAGCAACTGTGCCCATACTATCTGGTGAGATCAGCTCTCGGCTCAAACCTAAGCATGTCTACTCAGAACTAAGTCCCACTGAATTCAATGGTGCCAACCTCAGATAAGCTGGCACAGAACAGCAGCCGAAGAGACTGAGCTGGGAGTTGGAAAATCCCTGGTTTGAATTGTGCCTTTGCTGTTAAATTACTGGGTGTCTTCGGGGAAACCACCCTCTCAGCTTCCCATAAATCAGAGGAGATTATACTGAACCCGAGTTTAGAGGGTTGTTGCCAAGAATACAGAAGGCAATTTATGTGAGTTGGGGTAGGCATCTGAAAAAATTATATAACTGCTAAATATTATTTTTGCTACAACCATGTCACCTTTTTGTTGGAATGTCAGATGGGGGCATTCCAGGTCTCCATGCCCCCTTCCCCTAAAAACGTGTGTGAAGTTTGAAAGTCTTGAAAAGTTTCCATCTAAGATTTGCTCATGGCTTCCTCAGCCTTTTCTCCTCCAGCAGCCATCCTGGAGCCAGTGAAACCATGGACAATTTGTAGCAGTGGGTTACGATAAGCATGCATGAGTATCACCCATATGATTCAACATCCAACATCCATGATTATTATGTTTTGCCATATGTATGGCCCTAGGACCTTGACCTATGCTTTTTCCCCTCTGGCAAAGGTACCAGGTACCATCTCTGGAGCTTTTCAAGCTCAAAGGGGCCACAGAGGATAGCAAAATCTCACGACAGCATTACCTAGCATCTTTAGCAGAAAGGTGATTTAAACCCCAGGACTAAACGTGGTTGCTTTCCCCCCCTCGCCCAACCAAAGATCCGAGTTAGCCACTGACTTTGCTGAAACAAAGCTTTGACCCCTGAAAGGTATCTAAGAGCATTTATGTTCTTGTATTGTGTTTTGGCATCGACAAATGTCTGGTTTCCAGTTACAGGGGAGCATTGGTGGAAAGGAAAGAGGGGTGCTTAACCAGTCCCGAGCTTGCCAATTCTCTTCTGCAAACCCCCCAAGACAGCTGGCAGCCAGTCTCACTAGTGATTTTGGAGGGGTGGAAGGAAACATTCCAGCAGGAGCATTTTCAGAGGGGAATCAACGAAGAAGGGAAGGGTTGAGCAAAACACACACACACACACACACACACACACACACACACACACACACACACACACACAGATTCTGGCCACCTCCAGATAACCCTCCATTAGCATTATAAAGGAAATACAGGACTGAGAACCCAGAGCTTTCATTGCAACATATAGTTCTGTCCAAATATAACTGATTAAAAACAGGGTGGGGTGGAGAGGACTTAACAAATCTTGCCTGTTGCACTTGGTAACTGGAACGTTCGCACCATTTTCTTTCAATTCAACGTCAACTATGGATCCATCATGTTCTTCTGTTATCTAAAAAGGGATGCAACAAACAAACACGTGTCGTTAAGCCATTCCGTTCTTTTATTTTGAAAGCTAGATGCACTGGGTTGCCTGGGAATGAAGGTCACCTTCTGAGAGGGGGCAAATGAAAGGAGGGCTTTGTTTGTGGTGGCACCCTCATTCTGGAATTCCATGCCCAAGCATAACCATTGTTATTGTCTTTTAGGCAGAAGATGTGGCAACATGCAACCCTTGGGCTAATCTCGTAAAGGGAAAGGGTGTGACAAGAGACAGAAAAGGGGGTAGAAGAAATAGAGAAAATGGGGTAGCCACCCAACTTTTGGCTCAGGTACAGCCCCCAATAGATTACGACACTCAATAGCAAAATGCTCCTTCACCCCACATTAGACTCCCAATGTTCTAGTGATCTGAGCTTTTAATTGACACCCGCAACATTTATCCTGTAAAGTTGGGTTCATAAAAAGTGTTCTATCGTTCTGTTTTAGTACCGTTAGATTACAGGTATTTTTACTGTTATGATTTGTAACGTTTATTGCATGGTTTGTATGTTTCAGAGTGGGAAAGTAGGGTCGATTTTGTTGTTGTTGTTAATGGATGAAAAAACTATCCGTTCAGCCACAAAAAAGGAAATGTGCTTGCCCGCATGTGCATGGGAGAAACATAGGGAGGGATTGTTAGAAGATTATCAACATCTCTTACTGTGAAATCCAACATCATGTTTTCAATGACATCTTCATAATCTTCATCCAAGACTGCCTGAAGATTACTAGTGGGTAAAAGAGAAAAGGGGAAATAGAATGGTCTGGTTCCAATCCTAAATGTATTTGCTGACATTTACTCCGACTGATTTGAAGGGAATTTTTAGCACAGTCCTAACTATACCGCCTCAAACATCCTACTGAATTTACCCTCCAAAGGAAATGGGGTTTGGATTGCAGCCCTCCAAATAAGCGAGTTTAAAACTGTAGTTGTAGTCTATGCCCCACTATGCAAAAAGGATTTCAACATACAGTCATACCTCAGGATAAATACGCTTCAGGTTGAGCACGTTCAGGTGGCGCTCCACGGCAACCCGGAAGTAACGGAGCGCGTTACTTCCGGGTTTCGCCGCTCGCACATGCGCAGTCAAAATGACGTCATGCGCAAGCGCGGAAGTGACTAAACGCAACCCGCGCACGTGCTGTTGCATCTTACGTTATATTCAGGATGCAAACGGGGCTCCGGAATGGATGCCGTTCGCATCCCGAGGTACCACTGTATAAGGTCTATCTAACCCAAGAGTGATTAACCCGTGTTCCTCCTGATGCGAATGGTCAGTCCTGGCCACTGGTCATGCTGGCTGGGCTGGAGTCCAACTACCTCTGAAGGAACACAGGTTAGTCACCCCAGAGTAAACCCTGCAATTCTGGTAATGAAACAAGGAAAGGTACTTCTTCACAATGCGATTTCACATGGACATGCAGAATATTCCATACCTTCCTACCACAGGAGAGAGCTCTTTTAAATCTTCCAGAGTTGGCTGAATGTTTGCCATCTTCTTGAACAGAGCAAGGGGGAAAGGGAAAGCAGCTATCTTCATATTATAGAGAGCCATCCCAAACAGCTTCCCGATTAGAAAATATATGTCTTCCTGCGCTGGTACCTAATTTGAAAAAAAATATATATGTGCATATATTGGAAAATGCAGATTAGGTCAGAGATGTAGAACCTATATCCCCCCTCCCCCCGATTGTGTGGGGGCTCTGAATCCCATCAGCCCCATCTAACATGGCCAATGGTTGAGGCTGATGAGATTTGACTTGCATCCCTGGAACTAGATGCCACTGAGAAGTAGCTATGGAAGCAGCTGGGCTCATAATATCATGCCTAGTCTGGATCTGTGCGCAACACTGGTGCTCTGAAATCTGGATCCTGTGCAGAGACAATCCCTTCCCGTATGCCCTCATTTGACAATGACATATGGTAATACAGGCTAGGTCATGAGTAGGCAAACTAGGAGCCGGGGGGAGAATCCAGCCTAATCGCCTTCTAAATCTGGCCCGCGGATGGTCCAGGAATCAGAGTGTTTTTACATGAGTAGAATGTGTCCTTTTATTTAAAATGCATCTCTGGGTTATTTGTGGGGCCTGCCTGGTGTTTTTGCATGAGTAGAATGTGTCCTTTTATTTAAATTGCATCTCTGGGTTATTTGTGGGGCATAGGAATTCGTTCATTTCCCCCACTCCAAAATATAGTCTGTCCATCCCCCCAAAGTTCTGAGGGACAGTGGACTGGCCCCCTGCTGAAAAAGTTTGCTGGCCCCTGGGCTAGGTGATAAACTGCAGTTCAGAAAAGAAAAGAAAAATAGACTTAGGAAGCCAATTGCAGTATAAGAGAAGCATTATTCTTTCCGCCATGTGATGGCCTGAAAAGTGGTAGCAAATTCAGGAGGGGTACATCTCTCAAGGGACACGGGTGGCGCTGTGGGTTAAACCACAGAGCTTAGGACTTGCCGATCAGAAGGTCGGTGGTTTGAATCCCCGCGACGGGGTGAGCTCCCGTTGCTCGGTCCCTGCTCCTGTCAACCTAGCAGTTCGAAAGCACGTCAAAGTGCAAGTAGATAAATAGATGGACCCACCTAGCAGTTCAAAAGCACGTCAAAGTGCAAGTAGATAAATAGGAGCGGGAAGGTAAACGGCGTTTCCGTGCGCTGCTCTGGTTTGCCAGAAGCGGCTTAGTCATGCTGGCCACATGACCTGGAAGCTGTACGCCGGCTCCCTCGGCCAGTAAAGCGAGATGAGCGCGCAACCCCAGAGTTGGTCACGACTGGGCCTAATGGTCAGGGGTCCCTTTACCTTTACATCTCTCAAAGGCTATTATCTATCTTAGCTAAATGGAAGCTCCGCTGACAGGGGCAGTATATCTGTAAGTACCAGATGTAGGAACAAAAAACAAGGAATGGCTATTGCCTTCAAGCCCTACTCATGACGCCCCAGAGGCATCTGCATAGCCATTGTTGGAAACACAGTTCTGGAACCGATGGGACTTGAGATCTGATCCTGCAGAAAAACTCTATGTTGGGGACGCAACATAAATTAAGCACATCATGGAAATGCAGCCATACATACCTTGTGGGAGAACCAAATCAGATGTGATTCTTCGAAGTGCCTGAATATCTGTTCTTCTGGAGCACAAAGGTCCCTACTGATGATGGTGAAGAACTCCTGGGATGGCCCACCATCATCAATCCCTGGTTCACCTTCAAAACGCACCTGGAGGGGGGGGCGACCCAGCAAATTATTTATATGCAATTTGTAGGAGTGGTTCTCTTACAAAGACTGAATGTGGGCAGTGTTTCTTTGTTGAATTCAAGTAGCACTAACAGCTTTATGCGGTCCATCACAATTAGATCCTCTTTTATTTATCGTCTTACACTCACACATATACCTCTCAAGGCAATGTACAAGATGCAATAAGCTAGTAAAAAAAAACCCCCACTAAAAACACAGAAAACAGCATTAAAAAAAAAAATTCAAAGTAGATACCCATTGCAGAAACCCATTCATCCATCTGTGAAAGCTCACCAGGGCAAAAAATATTCCATTTCTTCTTCCAACTCTGCAATTCTGGGAAGTGCAGAAAGTGGGCACCTGTTGTATCTCAGGGCAGAAACACTGGAAGCCTGGCCTACTGAAAGCTTTGGAATTGCAAGAGAAGTTCCCCCACAGACTGCAGTGACCTACTGGGTATGCAAGGTACAGTGGTACCTCGGATTACATATGCTTCAGGTTAGATACGCTTCAGGTTACAGACTCTGCTAACTCAGAAATAGTGCTTCAGGTTAAGAACTTTGCTTCAGGATGAGAACAGAAATCGTGCTCCGGCGGTGCGGCAGCAGCAGAAGGCCCCATTAGCTAAAGCGGTGCTTCAGGTTAAGAACAGTTTCAGGTTAAGCATGGCCCTCCAGAGTGAATTAAGTACTTAACCCAAGGTACCACTGTATAAGGTTTGCATAAATAATCTGATCCTGACTTGTACAGGCCTTCTGCATTTGGGTGAACATCCCTGAACTTCACCTGGCAGCCTGAACAAATCCCGTGAGCAAGGTGTTATACGTTGGCAGTCGTTTGCCTGCACAGCCATCTGTAGCTGCCATGTTCTTCTGCAGCTGTGGCCTCCAAACCAACCTCAAGGGCAGCTGCACAGAGTGTCTTGCAGAGTAACCAAACTTTGAGGTGACCAATGCATGGACAATGGTGGTGCAGCTTTCTCAATCCAGGAATGACTGCAGCCATCTTAGCAAAATAACTTGGTAAAAACATTTTTTTTACCAATTAGCTGTGCCTCCTGTGACAGAGTGGGGTGCAAGAGCACTGTGCAGATGTAAAACTGTGTCTGAATTGTCGCGACTCCCCTTAAGCCAGCTGAAATTGGAAGAGGCTTGATTGATTTCAGGGATGCGGAAAGCGTGGCTCCAAAAATTCCCATAATCCAAACCAATGACCTTGCAAGCTATGGCTGATGTGAATTGGGATCCAACCACATCTGGAGGGACACTACTTCCCAATCCAGGATTAAATCAATTTTGCATAAACTGTGCTATCTGATCGTACAGAGGTTTACTCAGAATAAGCCCCACTCATATCAGAAGGACTTGCTCCCATGTAAAGCTGCAATCCTTGACTGTAGCTACTCAGGTATTGAGGATCCGAGCCTAGGTTTGTTTACCCAGAAATAATAAGTCCCCCTCTCTTCATTCATTTTGAAGTATGGTTGCAATGCCCTGCACATCTGGGAGAAAGACCCATTTAAATCAGTGGGGCAAACTTTGGAAGGAACATGCCTAGGATCTGCCACGTTTATGCACAGGATTGCAGCGGCGGAGCCCCAGTCGAATGCATGCACGTTTACTCAGAAGTTCCAGGGGGTTCCAAGAGGCTTCCTGAAAAGCAAGCCCGCATTGGGATATGCAGCCACGATCCCCTGCGCGCGTCTTACTCCAAGTCAACGAAGCTTTCTTGCAAGTAAACGCACAAATGCAGCAGCTACGATCCCCTGCGTGCATCTTACTCCAAGTCAACGAAGCTTCCTTGCAAGTAAACGCACAAATGCGGCAGCCTCGATCCCCTGCGTGCATCTTACTCCAAGTCAACGAAGCTTCCTTGCAAGTAAATGCACAAATGCCCAGCGCTTTCCTCCGAAGCGCGTCCTCTACAAAAGTTTCCACAGCTTATGCAGCGTATGCAGTCCTTCAGCACCACCTAGCAGTTGAGCGATCGACTACGAGGAACCAACTACGCAGACTCCCTCTCTCCCCCTATGTGACAACAGCAGCAGCGATCGCCTGACCCAGGAAACGATCCTGCCCAAGCCGGATTCCCTTCCTGGCTGGCCTCGGCGCTGCAGAGACGGAAGCGCAGCGTCAGGGCGCAGCTGCAGATCATGCAAGCCCTACCCGGGCTCCGGCTCCTGACTCGCCTTCCGCGCTGGGGGCAGGCGGCGCGAGCGGCACCGGCCCGGCGCGCGTGGTGCTCCGCGGCCGAGAGCGAGGACAAGGCGGGCGGCGCCCAAGGACAGCAGCGCCCGCCCTTCGACCCTGGCCTGCTGGAGATCCTCGCGTGCCCCTTGTCCAAGAAGCCGCTCAGGTTAGCCGGCTGCCTTTGCGTTGATTCCCACCCCTCTTTTCCACTGCAAAGGCCTTTGTCATTCTGCTTCCAGACGTTCTTGCAACCCGGGTCCCACGCTTAAATTTTAAACCCGTGTCGCCTACAGCTGCCCTTCTCCGCTTGCGTCCTTCCCTTTCCGAATGTGCCTTCCACCTTGCCCTCGCCTCCTTTTTATTGCTTTTTTATTTATTAGATTTAATAGGCCGCCCTTCATCGGGTTCTGCAAAAAGCGGTTTCTGCAAAAAGGGCTGTTTCTTGGTATAAATTTCTCTCGCGCCTTTGGCTTAATGCAAATGCAATGCAATGCGCGGTTAAGATATGGCACTTTAGAAAGGTCGTGGAGTTTCACAGACGCCATCTTGCTGCAAGCCCTTACAACAGCCCTGTAGGGTAGGTCAGCATTATCATCGCCATATTGCAGGTGAAGAACTGAGGCCAGGAGAGAATACCGGTAGTTTTTCTAAGGTTCTCGGGAATTCCTTTAGGACAAGATCAGTAAACGGAAGGGTAAGGTTTCCTGAGAGGTAACTTAATTCTCTGCAGTGTGACACCACGCGAAGGTGACATGCCTATTCTAGAACATTCGGTTGGTGCATGGCAACTGGGAGGCCCAACTGATCTGACCTGCATCTTTCTGAAAGTGCAGTAAACCTCCCCCCACCCCCATATTGTTGGGGGAGGAGCCTTCAGCAAATGCACCAATGCAGAAAATGTTCTTATATGGTGTGAAATTGTAAGCCGCTGGCTTACCAAACATGATGACCATAACATATCGGAATAATAAGTTGCCCATTATGCATTCTTTCTATAGTATTAGCATTTGCCATTATTATCTGTTTTTAGGAGGGACGCGGGTGGCGCTGTGGTCTAAACCACAGAGTCTAGGGCTTGCCGATCAGAAGGTCGGTGGTTCGAATCCCCGTGACGGGGTGAGCTTCCGTTCCTCGGTCCCTGCTCCTGCCAACCTAGCAGTTCTAAAGCATGAAGTGCAAGTAGATCAATAGGTACCGTTCCAATGGGAAGGTAAATGGCGTTTCTGTGCGCTGCTCTGGTTCGCCAGAAGCGGCTTAGTCATGCTGGCCACATGACCTGGAAGCTGTACGCCGGCTCCCTCGGCCAATAAAGCGAGATGAGCGCTGCAAGCCCAGAGTCATCCGCGACTGGACCTAATGGTCAGGGGTCCCTTTACCTTTACCTTTATTTGTTTTTAGGCACCAGGCAAAAATGTTTTTATTCACCCAAGCTTAGGGACCTTAATTTTCTGGTTATATTTTAGTGGGATGGAGTTGTGTTGGATCATTCTCACATCTATATCTATATATATGTCTGTCTATCTATCTAGATAGATAGATACAGATATAGATATATAATTGGTGAGCATTTTAGGTTGTTTTTACTCGTTTTTAGTTTTGGTTTTAAGTTCACCTTTCTGTAAATAATAATAATATACTTTACACCAGTGAAAGCAGTAAGTCTGACCTATGCAGTATTTGCTTATATTTACTAGGTACGAAGAATCCACCAATGAACTAATTAACGAAGAACTGGGTATTGCCTACCCCATCACTGATGGCATTCCTAATATGATACCCCAGGCTGCAAGGATGATTGGCAAAGAGAAGCGGGAAGAGGAGCCTGGGCAGACCTAGACAATTATCTTTGGGTGTAAAGACAAGCACAAGCGGAAGAAGAATGTTCCTGTCACTCCCTACGATGACCGTGCTCATCCCACTCTTGTCTTTGGCGGGTCTGTTTTACTCGGCCAGCGTGGACGAAAACTTTCCCCAGGGCTGCACTAGCACAAGCAGCTTGTGTTTCTACAGCCTGCTCCTTCCGGTTACGATCCCAGTTTATGTGTTCTTCCACCTTTGGACCTGGATGGGCCTTAAACTCTTCCGCCACAACTAGGTTAGGCTCGGAAGTGCGTCGGGCCTCTTGGGGTGCGGGTGTCGAATAAAGAATGTAGTTTTGGCTTTCTTTATCCACGGCTAATGTTTTGTCCCAAGGCTCTGAAATGATCAGCTAGGAGCAGTGTGCGCTAAGCTTGCTTGGATAAGGTTTAAATGCCTGTTAGAACATTGCACACTAAGTTAGCCGATGAAGCGGTTAAGGGAGCGAGGCAGGCGAGCCTTGTGTCAACAGCACCTCATGCATTCTTCATTTCCTTTCTGACACATGCACAAGAGGACAGCTGCTGTAGGGGTCGGCTTGTGTGAATGGGGCGACAGGAGATGCAGTCATGCATCCTTTCTGGTCCCTGGAGCAGGGGAAAGCTCTGTGCAGAGCTGTACAGTGGTACCTCGGGTTAAGTACTTAATTCGTTCCTGAGGTCCGTTCTTAACCTGAAACTGTTCTTAACCTTAAGCACCACTTTAGCTAATGGGGCCTCCTGCTGCCGCTGCACCGCCAGAGCATGATTTCTGTTCTCATCCTGAAGCAAAGTTCTTAACCCGAGGTACTATTTCTGGGTTAGCAGAGTCTGTAACCTGAAGCGTATGTAACCCGAAGCGTATGTAACCCTAGGTACCACTGTATAATGGTCACATGTTACCTAATGCTGACAAGCAGTGCATTGCCTAGAGCAGGCTCCCTCAAACTTGGCCCTCCAGATGTTTTTTTGGCCTACAACTCCCATGATCCCTAGCTAGCAGGACCAGTGGTCAGGGATGATGGGAATTGTAGTCTCAATCTGGAGGGCCGAGTTTGAGGAAGCCTGGCCTAGTATGTGCTCTAGATGCAAAATATTTCTGTGGCAGAAGGGTCTTGCATACAGGAATTAGATACTGTAAGAGATGGCTCCAGGTGTGCCAACTCTTGAATTCTCAGGTTATTGTCTATCTAATAGTAAACATGGTGATAATGGCTAAGGCTCGGGGTTTCTCTCACTCTTAAAAGCTGTGCTGTTGTCACACGTACATCTTTGGATTCATGCATGCAGCAGAATTGAGATTCTGACACCTGAGCTAGTGTAGATTAAAATGACATTGAATAGCAGGTAAAGTACCCATGAAAACAAATGCACTGCTTAGTATTGTACTTTGAGTTTGCTTTAAAGAAGGCTGCCTGTCTTTTTATTCTATTCATGTATCTTCTTCTCTGGTGATCACTCATAGCCGAGTAAGATTGTCTTCTATAAACACGGTTTTAAAAGTGAGGCCGTAAGTGACTGTGGAGGCCAATTCTGGATCCACACATCCTTCCACAGTGGGGACATTGGTTTCTGGGTGGGAGTTGATCACGGTGTGGATTTGCCAAGCATGCCTTCTTCTTAGCACGTTTCTCCCTTGCGTCCTGAGTCTGAATGTCTTCAAAGCCCATGACACCTTTGGTAAAGGCTGTTCTCCAACTGGAGCGCTCGCAGGCCAGCGTTTCCCAGTTGTCAGTGTTTATACTACATTTTTTTAGATTTGCCTTGAGACAGCCTTTAAACCTCTTTTGTTGACCACCAGCATTACACTTTCCATTTTTAAGTTCGGAATAGAGTAGTTGCTTTGGAAAACGATCATCAGGCATCCGCACAACATGACCAGTCCAACAAAGTTGATGTTGAAGAATCATTGCTTCAACACTGGTGATCTTCGCTTCTTCCAGTACACTGATATTAGTACACCTGTCTTCCCAAGTGATGTGTAAAAAAATTTCGGAGACACCATTGATGGAATCCTTCGAGGAGTTGGATTCATGTATACAATACCCTTGACTAACAACTCAGTTTCCTTAGTGATCACTTGTGCATATTCTATGATGAAATTGCAATGCTTCTTTATACCTGTTGGCTAAAGTCCACTGTTCTGTTCCCATAGAAGTAGCTTAGTGACCCAACAAGGTGCAAGTGTATTGTCCACATGGATCTCACCTCTAAAAATCTGGGAATATGTATTCAGTCTTTTGATCATAAATACTCACAATGCACCTAAATGAATGTTCCACAGTCATGAGTATAGGTATGAAATTTGGTTTCTTACCCTAAGGGCTTGGTGATCTCTGTTTGCATTTCTTAAACTCTGCCAGGTATCCTGTACCAGATGTTGTCTCCTTACAAGTAGTTCACTGGTCATGCCAAAATTTGCCTATGAGGATACAAACATTGGTGTTACTAGTTGTTAGTGTTTTGCGACCCTACATGCTATGTAATATTTTTGGGGTATACATACCATCCTCTTTAGAGTGTTGCATGCTGCTTGATGCAGGAAAACCTTAACTTCCATCTCAAAGATAAAAGGGAACTCAAAGAGTTCTCTGAGCAACTGAAATGACACAGAGAAGTAATTTACAACATGAGATAAAAGTATTTAAAAATCAGTATGAAGAAAGTGGAGAATATGGAAACATGGCTCTATTCTCTGAAGATTAAATACATTTTGTTCCAAATGTAAAATTAGCACTTTCATTTTTGCCCTTCTCAAAAAAACATCTGCCAATTACTGATTTTTAAAAAAATATAACTTCCTAGTGCGGATGTAAAGGAAGTTTGGTTTATCCAGAGAGAGAGAGAGAGACTTTCTTTTCTTTTTTCTATACACTGGAAAACAACTTTGAGATGGCAAGAGTAACATAACACTTGACTGTTAAACTACCTCAGCTCCTTTAAGAATATCTAGAAGAGCCAGCATTTTTATCACTTCAGGGATGCGGAAGTTGCTTTCCTGGATTCTTAAGCTTCTTCTACAATTTACCTGCATTTGTAAGTGTAGGGTTAAAAACCAAAATTAGCCAATTACAAAAGAAAGACACCATAACTTAGTAGCTTCAATTAATACAAAAATAAAACCAGCTAACCAACTCATAAGAACATAGGAAATATATGGATGTACAGTGGTACCTTGGGTTAAGAACTTAATTCGTTCTGGAGGTCAGTTTTTAACCTGAAACTGTTCTTAACCTGAAGCACCACTTTAGCTAATGGGGCCTCCCGCCGCTGCAGCGCAATTTCTGTTCTCATCCTGAAGCAAAGTTCTTAACCCGAGGTACTATTTCTCGGTTAGCGGAGTCTGTAACCTGAAGCGTCTGCAACCCGAGGTACCACTGTAGTAAGGTGAGCTTTGTAGGGAGTTTCAAAGAGTTGGTGCAGCTATTGGGAAGACATTAGTTCCAAGTCCAACCAATGTACCCCCCAAAAGCAGTAGATTCTCTCACCCTGAGCAGGGTGAAATCTGCTGAATTCAGATTTCACATTTCCAAAGTGGTGGATGAAGTTTCTGCCCCACCTCAAGACTTCCTGGTAGCAGCTGGTTACTGAATGGAGTAGCCACCATGCAGAAGCTATTCTGAGCAAGATCCTCTTGGCTTTTTAAAGACGTAGACTGTTCTAGACATGCCACAGTGTGTCTATTAGTAGGAAAGTTAAAAGACTTTACTGCTATACTTCCTAATGGAGGGGTATGCCATAGAGATTCAGGATGTGGTCCTCAGCCTCCTCTGCTTCCACCATGGGGACGAGAAAGAACAGTGAGGTGCCAAGCGAATGGCCCATCAATTTACAGTGTTTAGGCAGCAGTGTGTATACTCAAGACTAGCTCTGTTTGCTTTAACGTTGACCAGCAGGCAGCATCCACAATTCCAGACAGGATCGCCCCAACTCCACCTAGAGATGCTGGGGACTGACACTGGGACCATTTACATGGTTTATAATAATATAATGTAATAATAATAATTTATTATTTATACCCCGCCCATCTGGCTGGGTTTCCCCAGCCACTCTGGGCAGCTTCCAGCGAAACATTAAAATACAATAATTCATCAAATATTAAAAAGCTTCCCTAAACAGGGCTGCCTTCAGATGTCTTCTAAAAGTCAGATAGTTGTTTATTTCCTTGGCATTTGATGGGAAGGCGTTCCACAGGGTGGGCGCCACAACCAAGAAGGCCCTCTGCCTGGTTCCCTGGTTTACAATTACAGCTGGTCCCTTCACCAGTTAGATCTCTCATGTGACGCCTCACGCCTTCATTTCAAGCTTTTCCCTACCTCATAAAGCATTCGGAGGACATGGAGAAGCAAAACAACTTGGAGTGTTTCCTCAGGATATCTTCTACGTTCAATGAGAGAAGACAGCTTGGCAGTGGCAAGCCTCTGATAAATGCTCACCAGATCCTTGAAGAAGGCAATTTCTAGGTTGGCCCACAAAGATTCTGTAAAGAAATAAACTTTTGTTGTCTTAGTTTATTCCTAGACTACCCTTCTTCCCAGAGTGGTTTACAGCGTAGTCAAATATCTAAATACAACAATAAATCTAAAAAAAAATTAAAAACCACCTGCTTAAAACAACAACCGAATCACTTCCATGATGCAGCAGACAAAACCCCCAAAACTATAAAAAGGCACAGAATTTCCTTCAGACCCCGAAAGACAGAACAGGTGTGTCTTTAGACGATGCCAAACCATGGAAAGGGACAAGTATTGGGCCTCCCCAGACCAATGCATGATGATAACACATTAGGGGTAAATTTATTCTGCTTTAGCTTGTTCTGAGGTGTTCCCACAATGCTAGCGCATTACTGCTCTCTGGAGAGGTTAAAAGGTAAAGGTAAAGGGACCCGTGACCATTAGGTCCAGTTGTAACCGACTCTGGGGTTGCAGCGCTCATCTCGCTTTACTGGCCGAGGGAGCCAGCATACAGCTTCTGGGTCATGTGGCCAGCATGACTAAGCTGCTTGTGGCGAACCAGAGCAGCACACGGAAACGCCGTTTACCTTCCCGCTGGAGCGGTACCTATTTATCTACTTGCACTTTGATGTGCTTTCGAACTGCTAGGTTGGCAGGAGCAGGGACCGAGCAACGGGAGCTCATCCCATCGCGGGGATTCAAACCACCGACCTTCTGATCGGCAAGTCCTAGGCTCTGTGGTTTAACCCACAACACCACCCGCGTCCCATCTCTGGAGAGGTTACAGAACAGCAAAAGCAGTAGAAAAAATAAACCACTTGTGGTTTGAAAAAGTTAAAGGATTTTAACAGAAAGTTACAGGGTATGTGCACTGATGGGAAATGAAGCCACGTGGCCATTCCGCAACTTTCACAGGCGCAAACGGTATTGAAAGTAGGCCTGCCTGCGTATGACCTCCCTGACAGCATCACGAATGCACAATACAAAGGGCATCTGGAGGGCATGTAGTTCCACAGGGAGGGAATTCCTCAAACGGGGTGATGCCACAGAGAAGGCCCTGCCTATGCAATAGGCCATGCCCATTGGTGGGGCCACAAGCAAGACCTCCCCAAAAGACCTCAGGGCTCTGGAGAGGTACGTACTGGAGGCTGGTGCCCATTGGGACTGGCAGGGCCAAAGGCAGGGAGCCCAAACAGTAGTTGGAGCCACAGCCAACTTCTTTTGGTTCTGTCTGCATCCCAGCTGAGTTCTACAAGGGCAATGCTGAATCTTCAGATTGGGCGCTGCTCAGTCCTCAACTTCCAGAAGCCCACTTACTCAAGACCCTTTCAGAATGTGTTTAGAACAGGGATGGAGAACCTGTAGCCTCCAGATGTTGTTGAATTGTAGCCCCAAGCATCCTTGAGCACTGGCCTGGCTGGTGCTGATGGGAGGTGTGGCCCACCCATCAACATGCTCCCCACCTCTGGAATGAAGCGAAGTTACCATACTTAGTGAACCCGCCTCACCAAGCAATTGCTTCTCTTTCTGTGGGCGAAACCATATGGTTTGTGCCAGTTCAAGGAGGAGATGATCTGACTGGCTGTCCTGCCTCCGTAAGAGTATGGGCACAATGAGGAAGAGCGCTTCAGGAGAGCCAGGGAAGTCAAGGACAGACTGCAGGAGTATCTTTAGGGCATTTATCACCTTGAAGAGATGAAGGAAGAATATAAAAGTTAAACGCTTACTTTCTTGTAGTAAGTTTAGTTCAACAGAACGAAGGAAACAAACTTCATTTTGCTTCAGCATAAACTACCAGAGGTAGACCCAGGAGTCTTTGGTGCACCATTCCAGCTGGATAGCTCAGTTGGTTAGAGTGTGGTGCTGATAATGCCAAGGTTGCAGGTTTGATCCCCGTATAGGACAGCTGCATATTCCTGCATTGCATGGGATCCAACTCTACAAATCTATGGTTCCATGTCATAGTCTTCAGTAACTTTAGCCTGAGAAACAGCAGAACTCAGAAACCAGTAAGGGGATATTTTGCTTTCCCAGGTCATTCTGCAGCCAGCCTGAAAGATGACATTCTTCACCAAAGGGATTTCAAAGGGAGACCTAGAACCCATCAAGAAGTTCAATTCTATTAGTTTAGGGTTGGATTGAGACAATGGTTTCTTGTCCCAATGCAGGTGTATTAACACAGCAAAGCTAGGATGACTCTGCTGGCTGCCACCAACTACTGCTGCTGTGAATGATCACTGTGTGTACCTTCTATAAATGTAAGCTTACACAAAATTGTTGGAGACAGTACTTTTTGTATTTAATGGATATTTGGTCCCAGCTCTTACCATTATTTTTCTCCATGTTGACTATCCCAGTCCTAGACAAGCTTCCCCAACATAGTGCCCTCAAGATGTTGCCAGGCTACAATTCCCATCATCCCAGACCACTGGCCATGCTGGCTGGGCCCATGGGAGTCATATTCTAAAACATCTGGAAGCACCAGGCTGGAGAAGCCTGTCCTAGAACTAAACCAATACAATCCTACATCCCGAAATTGTTGTGAAAACCTTGGTAATAGTGGTTTCCTTGTAACAGTCATATAAGTAGGCTTGTCTGCTCTTACATTATTTCTTTGGAAACTACTGCCTTTGGATAAAAATCAAGAAACACTGTTTGCCTCTGCATTCCATATCTTACCGCTGTGAAGACTTTAGGCTTAGTAGAAATCTTCTCATGGAAAAGTAACACAGCGGACATGTCCACAGCCGCAACCTCCTGAGATGTCCTGAAATGTTTCGCTCTGCTAGAAAGAAACAGGCAGATCACAATCCCTTCCCTTGTTTGTGGAAATCTGCAAACTGCGTAAACTTTCAGCTATATGTGGGTGTGAATATCTGAAAGGGGCTCTAGTTAGCTTTGTGTTTAGCACATTCTCCCTAGTTTATAAATTTGGATGTAGGTGGCTTTAAAAGAGGATTAGACACAATTCACAGAGAGGAGGAATATTGATGGCTACTAGCCATAATTTCTATGTTCTACCTTCACTGTTGAAGGCAGTATGCCTCTGAATGCCAGTTAACCAACATGCTTAAGTCTAATTAATGCATGAAGGGGTTAATGGCATAGAGTAAGCTGTCCTACCAGGCTTAGTTAGGTCACTCCCCCTCTCCTTGGGAGGAAGGTAATCAAACCTATTGTTCCCCTTCAGTCTACCAAAGAAGCTCAGCATGGAAAATCACATGAATCTGACCTTTGGGGAGTTTGTAAGCACACCATTTTAAGCTTACCAAATGTGTGGTCTTTTTCTATGCTAAGGGAAGAGGGACATTTTGGAACTCACAAGGGCATCTTTTAAATGTCTAACAGCCAAACTTTATTTGGCTGCATATTTTGCGATTTTTAAATCTCTGCTGGGGTTCTCTCACTAGAGTACTTGCCCCAAACCTGAATCTTGGCATCCAGAAATTTTCCTTTTAGACCTATTTTATTTTTCCTCGCCACCAACAGGAATCACAAGCGGGGAAAGTGTTGTTGCCCTTGGGTCCTGCTTTCAGGCCTCCCACAGGAATCTGGGTAGCCACGGTGAGAACGAAATGCTAGACTAGATGGACCACTGGCCTCATCCATCAAGCTCTTCTTGTGTCCTTACGACTGGTCCTCAAATGAGTGCCATTTACCTCCTTTCCACGAAGCTTCCGTTGATGCAAGCTGCTGAGGAGAAGATCAACTTTACATCCCTGTTTGTTGGAAAGGAAGAAAGCGATCTTTCAGACTTTGCTTTGAGAAACTGACTTGCAACAGAGGTACAACTGGACAAAGGACATCTGATTTAAGTTTTAAACTTCCTGATGAGTCCCTCTTTGCAGGACAAGGATTCACCCTCTCTCCCCCAGCTATAGTGAGAATAATAATAATAATAATAATAATAATAATAAATTTTATTTATACTCTGCCCTCCTCGGTCAGAGCCGGGCTCAGAGCAGCTAACACCAGTAAAATTACAGTAAAAACATAATAGGAAAAAACCACCAATTTAAAATACAGGTTAAAACGCAATTTAAAATGCAGCCTCATTTTAAAAGTAGCCCATAGATCAAAACCATAAGGGGAGGGAAACATAAGGGTCAGACTGAGTCCAAACCAAAGGCCAGGCGGAACAGCTCTGTCTTGCAGGCCCTGCAGAAAGATGTCAAGTCCCGCAGGGCCCTAGTCTCTTGTGACAGAGCGTTCCACCAAGTCGGGGCCAATACTGAAAAGGCCCTGGCCCTAGTAAAGACCAATCTAACCACCTTGCGACCTGGGACCTCCAAAATGTTGCGACCTTAAGGTCCTCCGCGGGGCATACCAGAAGAGGTGGTCCCGTAGGTACATGGGTCCTAGGCCGCATAGGGCTTTAAAGGTCAAAACCAGCACCTTAAACCTGACCCTGTACTCCACAGGGAGCCAGTGCAGTTGGTAAAGCACTGGATGAATATGATCCCGCGGCAAGTACCCCGTAAGGAGCCTCACCGCAGCATTCTGCACCCGTGAAGTTTCTGGGTCAGCTTCAAGGGCAGCCCCGCGTAGAGCGAGTTACAATAATCAAGCCTGAAATACAATGCTGAAATTTTCAAAAAGGTGGGAGAGGCGCCACAGCAGCATAAACATGCAGGGAGATTATTTGACAACTGTTACACCACACTTCCCGGGGCATTTCCCATCACTTTCTTTACTGCCCAAAGTCTGTTTGCTTTTTGAGAAAATGGGTTTGTTGTCCACTTTCATTGTGATCAAAGCCCACCCACAAAACAGCAACTGTCTAGAAGTTGCCCCGACAGACTACATCCTTCACCCCAGTGCATTGTGCAACGATGATATAGTGCATAAAACCTGCCTTTTAAATTGGGATTTCTAAGGCTAACCCCACAAAGTTTAAAATGAGACCGGGGCATGCTTCAAACAAATCTTTCAAAAGTTAACGATGGCTAGATTCCTGCACTTGCTGCATAGTGGGGTGTGTGTGTGTGTATTTACTTACTGTTTCATAGTCTGCCAGCAATTGGGATCCGAATTAGAAACCCACTTCTCTGTCTTTTCCTCCTCCACTCTGGCAATCGTTCGGTTTAAATTTGCGTATGACTTCTGTGCGAAATATGACAAAAGAACATGAAATTCTCTCAGAAGCCTAGTAAGAGGTCTTCTCTGGTGATCTGCCATTCGGCCAGAGTCCCACAGGAAATAGTGGCTGGGTGAATGTGTGAGAGTCTGTGTCTCTTCCTGCATGTGGGCAATGCAACCGGGATAATGTAAAAATCATGGCATTAGAACAAAGTGAAAAGCTAGCCTTTAAACTTCACTGTAGAAAGTTAGGGCAGTTGTCCTCCTTTGAGGAAGGACAGTAACTCAGTGACAGAGCACGTTTTTGTTTTCTTTTGTTTTTGAATGCAAATGGTTCCTGGTTCAATCCCTAGTGACTCCAGGTAAGGCTGGAAAAGGTTCTTGCCTGATCGATTGTCAGTGGCTCTGTCTGTCGACAATACGGAGTTAGATGGAACAACAGTCTGGCTTTGTAGAAAGGAGCTTCCTACATTCCCTCGAAATTGCTCTTTGGTCGCAGGCAGACCACAGTTTCCCAATACTGGGTATACTATATTCAGTAGCTGGGGAAATGCGATAGTTGCTTCAGATGGAAAATGTGATTCTTCCCTCCGATACTGCATTTGTAGAATTTTTGTATGTAGAATGAGGTTGGATCAAGGCCAAAGACATTCTTGGGTAATGGATGTTACCAAATGTGTGATCAGGGACAAGCAACACAACTTTTATCTCCTCTCCACGCTCACATCAGTGTGTGATAAGTTTATTTCTGTGCATGGATGTTCCCCCACTGTCTCACATCAACTGTAAAGCAGTAAGTTAGTCTTTAACAACAACAACAACAACAACAACAACGTTATAGAACCATTGACTGTACAGAATACATTATTATTGCTATAATAATATATATATATATATATATATATATATATATATATATATATATATGAATATTATATTATATTATATTGGGATGTGGGTGGCGCTGTGGGTTAAACCACAGAGCCTAGGGCTTGCCGATCAGAAGGTTGGCAGTTCAAATCCCCATGACAGGGTGAGCTCCCGTTGCTCAGTCCCTGCTCCTGCCAACCTAGCAGTTCAAAAGCACACCAGTGCAAGTAGATAAATAGGTACCACTCCGGCGGGAAGGTAAACGCCATTTCCGTGCGCTGCTCTGGTTCGCCAGAAGCGGCTTAGTCATGCTGGCCACATGACCTGGAAGCTGTACGCCGGCTCCCTCGGCCAATAAAGCGAAATGAGCGTGCAACCCCAGAGTTGTCTGTGACTGGACCTAACGGTCAGGGGTCCCTTTATTTTTTATTGCTATTATTAAAATAGGGGCTGTCATATGAAGGACAAGACGTGGTGAGACAGCAGTTTGCCAGTTGTCTGGATAACCAATAAGATGTTTTGGAACCCTGGATACAACTCTGGGTCCAGATGCGAACAGCTGGCAAAGCAGCGTTTCCTACAGAGCCTGGAGTCTTGGACAAATGTTCCCCTTTTCCAATGGCAAGGCTGGCACTGGATGGGATCAAAGCAGAGGAGAGAAACATGCAGCTCTTCAGATGTTGTTGGACCACAACTCCCATCATTCCCTGGTCCCGTGCTGAATGGGACTAATGGGAGTTGAGGCCCAACAACAACTGCAGACCCAAAGCTTCTCCATCCCTAGATTAAAGGATGGTTTGTATTTTTCTGGTAACTACACACAAGCAACCACAACCATAATTCTGGCATTTGCAATTACGCACAACATTATTTTCTTTTTTCGGAGGGGAAATCCTCAAATTTTGCTTACCTTTTCCTTTAAAAGAAGTACAATACTTTGGTTCTCTCCAGCGATGATTTTAACCAGCTCCTCTGACGTGTCCCCTACTGTGACAGATCATAAAGAAGACATCCATTCAAGTAGCCATCCATTATTGTTAAGAACTCTTCCATTTGCAACTTGGTATATAGAAGTTTGGCTAGGAAATCTAGCATAGCTCAGTACAGCGAGGAGAGATCTCACACTGTGTCATCTGAATTTAGTTATATAAACCATGAACCACCATAAAAAGCTATTTATAACACATTTTGACAGCAAAAGCTTGCCCATTAAAACTGACAATTATAGATGCAAGTCAAAGAGATGGAGGAGCTTCCAGGTGGCTGTTTATTGTGGGATCAGTGCTCTGAATGCATGCAAGTTTCTTGCAGTATCCGTACAACATCATGGGCATATAGTTAACCAATAGAGACTCAGCTATACAGGTGCAAATAAAACGTTTTAAATGTGTTGTGAAGTGCAGTATACAAATGTGACGCTAGATGGCGAAAGTGAGCTATGGCAAATTCAATGTATTTTTCAAAACCTTTTTAAAAAAGCATCTTCACAGCGTTTTTTAACGTGTGTGTAGATTCCACTTACGTGAACAAGCCAGCAAAGCTTGGATCGAGGATCGAGCTATAGTTGTGGCAAAATTAGAAGGGTAGTAAAATTCAAAAGCTACCATTAAAATTTTGCCCTGAGGGCCACTCCCTGCTTCCTGCTCCAGTAGGGCATTATCCTGCTACTGTTAGGTGCAACTGGCCCATTTACCCCTTCCCCATAGTCACCCCAATGGCTCTGCACTTTGTTACCATCAGGGAAAGGGAAAATGAAGAGGGACTTCTCCTTGTGCTCAGAGGATGATGAGTAGCAGTAGCCACTGTTTTTATTGTAATTTACAGATGGTTCTGGGACGCGGGTGATGCTGTGGGTTAAACCACAAAGCCTAGGACTTGCCGATCAGAAGGTCGGCGGTTCGAATCCCCGCAACGGGGTGAGCTCCCGTTGCTCGGTCCCTGCTCCTGCCAACCTAGCAGTTCAAAAGCACATCAAAGTGCAAGTAGATAAATAAGTACCACTCTGGTGGGAAGGTAAACGGTGTTTCCATGCGCTGCTCTCGTTCGCCAGAAGCGGCTTAGTCATGTTGGCCACATGACCCGGAAGCTGTACACCGGCTCCCTTGGCCAGTAAAGCGAGATGAGTGCCGTAACCCCAGAGTCGGCCACGACTGGACCTAATGGTCAGGGGTTCCTTTACCTTTACCATACAGATGGTTCTTAAATTTGGAATTTCCTTAATTTGCACAAGGACACAAAGTTCTGCTTATGGAAACAATAAGCATGATTTACCCCTGTTGAATTCTCTGCCAATAGGAAGAGGTATCAGTCGGTCACATTTCCCTTCCTGTCCAAGCTGCCCTTCTGCTCCAGATCCAAATGAGTAGATTTCCCCCAGGTCCACGATGTAGACAAGAGTATGCCACCTGTTCACAGAATTAAAGTTGAGTATGTTATGTACTGAAGTTCTCACCCTGGGCCAGCAGGGGGATACTGTAGATAGTTTTCACTCGGGTCCACATATGCAAATAAGGGATTGAAAGTGACGTTCAGTGATTGGATAGTTACAGAAAATGGTTACTGTTGCGTTCTAGTGGAGCTCTATATAAGCAGGCTGGCTGAACCCTTCAGTTCAGTTCTGTTCTGGCCTGTGAATAAACAAGAGCTGTTTGAAGAATCGCTGTGTCGTCTGATATGTTCACCGACAACTTAACAGATTATGTGCAGAAATGCCACTGACTCAAGTTGAACCCAGCGGTTGCTTTTAATTTTCCCACTACCTTTGCTTTGGGGGCAGTCATTTTTTATTGGTAGCAATTCCTGATTGGGGGGCCAACACTGCATACTGCCCTACACATGGGGCTGAGCTTCCCCCACCCTGAATTAATGCCTCATGTTCCTCCACCACTCCTCAATAACCACCCAGCTATTTCAAAAACTCCACACAGGAATCTCGTTTTTAAAATTTGCCAAACACAAATTGGCATCTGTAGGGGTGCTCTGCAGTTTGGGTGAGACTTTGAGGCAGCTCCACCTCTCTTTCAAATCAGAACCAGTGAAGGTGGTGAAGGTCCTGTGTGAGTGTCTAGAGGTGGTTGGAGGATGGATGGCAGCTAACAGATTGAGGTTGAATCCTGACAAGACAGAAGTGCTGTTTTTGGGGGACAGGAGGTGGGTGGGTGTGGAGGACTCCCTGGTCCTGAATGGGGTAACTGTGCCCCTGAAGGACCAGGTGCGCAGCCTGGGAGTCATTCTGGACTCACAGCTGTCCATGGAGGCACAGGTCAATTCTGTGTCCAGGGCAGCTGTTTATCAGCTCCATCTGGTACGCAGGCTGAGACCCTATCTGTCCGCAGACTGTCTCGCCAGAGTGGTGCATGCTCTGGTTATCTCTCGCTTGGACTACTGCAATGAGCTCTACGTGGGGCTACCTTTGAAGGTGACCCGGAAACTACAATTAATCCAGAATGCTAGTCTGGTGACTGGGAGCGGCCGCCAAGACCACATAACACCTGTCTTGAAAGACCTATATTGGCTCCCAGTACGTTTCCAAGTACAATTCAAAGTGTTGGTGCTGACCTTTAAAGCCCTAAACGGCCTCTGTCCAGTATATCTAAAGGAGCTTCTCCACCCCCATCATTCTACCCGGACACTGAGATCCAGCACCGAGGGCCTTCTGGCGGTTCCCTCACTGCGAGAAGCCAAGTTACAGGGAACCAGGCAGAGGGCCTTCTCGGAAGTGGCACCTGCCCTGTGGAACGCCCTCCCACCAGATGTCAAAGAGAAAAACAACAACCAGACTTTTAGAAGACATCTGAAGGCAGGCCTGTTTAGGGAAGCTTGTAATGTTTGATGCATTACTTTATTTTAATATTTTGTTGGAAGCTGCCCAGAGTGGCTGGGGAAGCCCAGTCAAATGGGCAGGGTATAAATTATTATTATTATTATTATTATTATTATTATTATTATTATTATTAGAAAGTCAAGGCCAGTGGTGTAGTGGTACAGAGAGAAACTCTGACCTCAGCAACACATTGTCCAGACCAGGGCTGGATTTAGGTTTGATGAGGCCCTAAGCTACTGAAGGTAATGGGGCCCTTTATATGTCCAGCTGTCCGTTGTCAACAACAAATTGTCGCTGTTTTTTGTGTTGAATATATGCTATATGCTAATTTTTGGTATCTAAAGTCATTAGCACATTACAAAATATGTATTTTATCAAAGTAATGGTTGAACTGAAATACAATAAAGAAGAATATTAATAGTGAAAGTAAAATATTTACTATAATTATAAAATTTATCTACAGTATTATAGTAGCAAGTGGAGGTAACAGGGAACTGTACTAGTAAATAATAATATAGGCCTGCTAAATAATAAAGATGATTTTTCCCCCTAAAGTAATTTTATAATGAGATCAAAATAATTAAATTATGTATTACATGAAATCAATCAGTAGGCATAAGACTCATACCCTTAGTCTATGCTGCCTGATCCTCAGTCTACAAGCACTCTTTAATATTAGATAACAGGTACAACAGCTTGACCTACATTCAACTGTGCTGCACTGCAGTCTGCAGCTGCATGCTTCATGTTGCCATGCAACCAGTCCATGCAGAATGTAGGCACCCTATATAGAGAAATGAACAAACCAGTGATATTTTAGGGAGCGGGCTAGGAGGCAGGGCCCATTACTTACATCATAGGAGCCTACACAACACAAAACACTGTTGCTGTTTATCTTATATTTTGGAAAATGTACATCCAGGGTTTTTTTCCTTTAATTTTTTGGGGGGGCCTCCAAGAGAGTGGGGCCCTAAGCTATAGCTTGTTTTGCTTATACGTAAATCCGGCACTGACCCAGACTAGGGCTGTGTGGACACTCCTGTTTCCTCTGCATCCAATGTGCTCCCACCACTGGTTTGAGAAGTGATATACATATGATGTTCGCCACAATTCATATCTACTCTTTAGGTAGTTTTTAAAAAATGAAATACTGTGTTTTGATGCATTTCTAACCCAAACTAGCTTCAGTCTGAATTGAGAAAAATAACGTCCTAGCTGCATTTTAAGCCAGCGACATATCACAGCCTGACAGATTTATATCAGTCAGTGGCATCAGATAGGCTCTCTGGTGCCACCTGATTTCCTAGGCCAGAAGGATTATAGGCTGTGAATACCCCACCTGGAATTGCCCAGAATTTATTCCTCTGGTTGTGGACCCAGTACGCAGGGAATCGGTGCTTGCAGATCCCTAGGGATCCTGGGGTATGCCTTTTTAGAAACTGGCATACTTGTCATTCATATTATTTATTATTACGTTTGTATCCTATGTTTCCAGAAAGGAGCTCAAAGGTGGCATACATAGTTCTCTGTGCTTCCCTTTTTCTCCCTCTTCATCACAACAACCCTGAGAGGTAAGTTGGGCTGAAAGAAGGTGGTTGGCCTGGGTTCACCCAGTGATCTTCATGATGGACTAGGAATTCGAACTCGGGTCTCCCGGGTAAGACACTTTACGACATTGGAAGGCAGAGAAGCCTTTGCCTGACCACAGCTGATAGAACATTATCTCCATAAAACGTGCCATACCTTCCACAGGCCACCTGAGACACCCGAGCACCAAACAGCTCAGCTACAAGTCGTGGTAACAGCTCGTTGCGCCTAGAGTTGTGGCCAAGCTGTCCACAGCTGCCATCTCCAAAGGTGCAGACTAATCCATCCTTGGTGGGAGAGGGAGAGAGAGAGAGAGAGAGAGAGAGAGAGAGAAGTGAGATGCATCAGCATAAACAGTTGGATAATGAAGAAGAAGAGTTTGGATTTGATATCCCGCTTTATCACTACCCTGGGACGCGGGTGGTGCTGTGGGTTAAACCACAGAGCCTAGGACTTGCCGATCAGAAGGTCGGCGGTTCGAATCCCTGCAACAGGGTGAGCTCCCGTTGCTCGGTCCCTGCTCCTGCCAACATAGCAGTTTTAAAGCACCTCAAAGTGCAAGTAGATAAATAGGTACTGTTCTGGTGGGAAGGTAAACGGCGTTTCCGTGTGCTGCTCTGGTTCGCCAGAAGCGGCTTAGTCATGCTGGCCCCGTGACCCGGGAGCTGTACGCCGGCTCCCTTGGCCAATAAAGCGAGATGAGCGCCGCAGAGTTGGTCACAACTGGACCTAATGGTCAGGGGTCCCTTTACCCTTTACTTATCACTACCCGAAGGAGTCTCAAAGCGGCTAACATTCTCCTTTCCCTTCCTCCCCCACAACAAACACTCTGTGAGGTGAGTGAGGCTGAGAGACTTCAGAGAAGTGTGACTGGTCCAAGGTCACCCAGCAGCTGCATGTGGAGGAGTGGGGACGCATACCCAGTTCACCAGATTACGAGTCTACCGCTCTTAACCACTACACCACTCCTGGTGTAGTCCAGTTGTTGTGTTAGCAGCACTAGGGCACAAGTCTGGGCAATGTCTATGGAGGTCCTGGGCTGCCCAGATGACAGGTTGATGTGGTCCAAAGGAAAGCACAGCAATATGTTTGGCACTAGCTTGGCTGCAGGAGTTGCCACAAGGAGATGTGCAAGGCACCATCCAACTATCTTAGGGACTCCAATCCAGATTTGTGTAAGGTTTATTCCCTAGCCCTTTCTTCTCCCGAAGATGTGCCACAAACATCTTCTATTTTTTTATTTTTATTTTGTAAGGTAACCTCTCCGAGATGAATCAGAGAGCGAGTGTAAAGGAGATAGCAAAACTAAACTGAGGTCCAGCACCGAGGGCCTTCTGGCGGTTCCCTCGCTGTGAGAAGCCAAGTTACAGGGGACCAGGCAGAGGGCCTTCTTGGTAGTGGCGCCCGCCCTGTGGAACGCCCTCCCACCAGATGTCAAAGAGGAAAATAACTACCAGACTTTTAGAAGACATTTGAAGGCAGCCCTGTTTGGGGAAGGTTTTAATGTTTAATAGGTTATTGTATTTTAGTGTTTTGTTGGAAGCCGTAGGGGGACCCCGCCAGATGGGCGGGGTATAAATAATAAATTATTATAATATTATTATTATTAAATTAAAACAACCGCAACTAGGCAAACCTTCGAGAGAACGGCGGTATGCTCCCCGCCACACGAAACAAACGCTGTCTTCTCGTGCTCTAAGGCCTTCACGATTGTAGGGGAGCATCTGTCTGAAATAGGAACGAAAAGTGAAATGGAACCAGTTTGAGAGGGCATAAAGAGATCCTTTCAAAGAGGGCTGGAGAACCTCAGGTTCCCTCAGGCCTCTCTTGTCCAGCCCTTGGGATGTTCCTCAGACCACACCTGCTTCTCTTCAGGCCACCCCTTCGCTCAAGTCTGGTAGCTTGGGCTCTACTCCCTCAGATGCTTTTGCTTGGTGGGAATGTGGCCTTGGACTGTGATAATGCAGTCTGAGTGAATGTGGGATGGAACGGTCTGTGTGGGTCTGTGTGTAGAAACCTCTTGACTTTTGCATGCATGGAATGTGGCCGACTGCACAAATGTTAAGTCCTGTACATTGCTCTACCCACCTACCACTGGCAAGCGGCCCCCAGGAGGTTCCCAAAATGAAATGTGGCCCTTGAGCTGAAAAAACTCCCCTCCCTGCTTTTAGAGAAAAATGTTTCATTACTTTGTATTCATAAAGATGTTTTTAAACATTGCAAGCTGTCTTGGGAGAAAAGTGAGATACGAATACATTAAACAAATAAATAGCTATATGCATATACAGTCGTACCTTGGTTTTCAAACAGCTTAGCTCTTGAATGTTTTCGCTCCCAAACGCTGCAAACCTGAAAGTGACTGATCCGGTTTGCAAACTATTTTTTTAGCCGAACATCCATGGAGCTTCTTGCAGCTAATCAGACAACAAAGAGGGAGCCAGTCGAGCTTCTCGGAGGAGAGAATTCCACAATCTGGGAGCAGCCACAGTGAAGTCTCCTTCTTGTGTCACCACCAATCAGGCTTCTGATGTTGATGGGACCGGGAGAAGGGGCTCACCCAAAGATCTTAACATCCAGGTAGGTTTGTAGCAGTGTTTCTCAAACTTGGGTCCCCAGCTGTTGTTGGACTACAACTCCCATTATCCCTGACCACTGGGATGATGGGAATTGTAATCCAACAACAGCTGGGGAGCCCAAGTTTGAGAAACACTGGTAGGGTCTTCCAGGTAACCTGGGCCCTAGCCATAAATATTCCTCAGATTCCACCACATGGATAGCACTTTTCCTTACCTTCTGTGTCTCCAACGCCCAGCTGTCCAAAAGCATTCTTTCCCCAAGAATAGACAGTTCCAAACACAGAGAGGGCCACGCTGTGAGCAGATCCAGCTGCAATCTTGGCCAAAGGGATGCCTTCGAGCTCCCACACAAGTCGTGGTTCCTTAACAGCGTTGATCTCCCTTCTCGCTGCAACCTGGCCGTAGTCGTTCTGACCCCAGGCAAAGAGCTCTCCTCCTTAACCCAACATACAAAAGGAAGTACAACAGATGTATTTGCCGTTATATATATAATGGGACAATTGGGGCGGGGAGGTGGAGGAGCACCATTTGTCCTGGGCCTCAGGCTCAAAGGGGCATCAATTTTTTGGCATTCAGTAAGCTTTGCAATGTGCTTGTATGAGCACCAGGGCAAAACGCTCTCACCTTAGAGTTGCATAGTAATGCATTTGCGCAGAATGAGACTGGAAAAATCATTAATCATTTGACACACACTCACTCTTTGGTTTTTTGGGTCATCATTTTCAGTTTTTACTATAGCTAGGGCCTCAAAAGCTAGAAGTGGTCTGAGCCACTCTAGATCTCTGAGATGGCATATACAGAGCTTTTTTTTCTTCTAAAAAAACATTTAGGGGTACTCTCATTTTCCTACTCGTATTGAAATACTGCCCCTTAATGAGGCCAAACTTAGATTCACAAAATGTTTAGGGGTATGCCCTCCCCGGAAAAAACCACTGGGCATATATACACCCACTAAACCCTACCTAGTGACTATGGTCCACACCAGTTGATCTCAGGGTCAAATTGCACATCATTTTAGTTATGGATCTATGCCTTTAAATGCTGGGTGGCGGCGGCAGGGAGAATTCACGCACATTGTCAGTATGGACCCCAGGATGGGAGAGTTTCACGAGGCTTTAACCCTTTAACATACCCACCCTCTGTGGTCCTGATCCAGATCGGGGGCTCTGTACCTGCAATTTGTGTGGGGTAGGGAAACCATGGCTCCCCCCCCCCCCACAGCCAGAACTCAGTTCCAGCACCTCTCAGGTGGGTGCCATTATAAGAGAACGTTGGAGATGTTCATGGTGAGTTCCAGCACCTCTTTTTCTAGAAAAATAAAACGGGGGGGGGGGGGAGTTTTTCCCCCTATATAAATTTTAGGGGCCGGGCCCTCAATCCAAATCAGAAGAAGCCAAGGAGGGAGAGGGACAATGGGTTAATGACCCACTGACTTTACACTTTCTTACCAATCCGAATAGGACCCCTGCACTTATATGTGCTAATGTAATATCTGGTTTGGCCCTGGGTATGGGGCAGAGAGGAACAGAGGAACAGCTAGTTGCTAGGGGGAGATACAAGCCCACCCACTTGCCGCCTCCTATGTCTATCTCACCCCTTCCTCCAAGGAGCTTTGGGAAATATGTTTTCCCCCCAAGGTAGGTGAAACTGAGAGGTCACGAGGTGCCCCCACTACACAAGAATTTTATTGAAACTGTGTACCATTCAGAACGCAGCTCACAAAGAATAGTTGGGATTAATGATTTCCCACATCAAAATCTCCAGCAGCCCTTTGGCCTGATCAGGGTATGATTTGTTGATGTCTGGGCTCCTGGAACACAAGAACAGCCTGCAGGATCAGGCCCATCTGGTCCAGCATCCTGTTCTCACAGTGGCCAGTCAGATGCCTGTGCTTCCTGCGCTTGCAACTGATTTTCGTCTTTAGCCACATCCCTCGTCTTTTTCAAGGATTTAATTTCTTTTAGCTGATGGCTTTGCAAAAGTTGATGTGAGCTACCTGGGGTGCGTCAGCTGGAACGGAAAGGCAGGGTATATATGTTCAAAAAAAAAAACCCAAGGGAGCTGTGTGAGAATTGTTCAATACCTTTTGATAATGCCAGGGAATGATGGTCGCCACATGCGATTTGGACGATGCGTTTGTCTCCCAATTCTTTCAATAACCTGTTTTCAAAAAGCAAGTAGAAACAGTGCTAATCAAATAATGACATTTCTCATGTATAATCCAAGCAAGTATTTCAGGTGTAAACATGCATTATTGAGATGTGTGGATCACAAAGGAATTATTATTATTTTTCAATATAATTCTGCTGCTTTCAAAAAAACCAACAACACCCCAGTCAGTCAGTCAAGATCAGGTTTCCTACCTGGGCTTTGAATGAACACCTCTGGATGCAATACTGTGCTCAGAAAGTTTTCCTTCTGATGAGAGAATGAGCAGGTGAGATGCTTCGCCGTCTAGCAAATCTACCTTGGCTCCCTTGGTTAACTTGATACGCTCTGGAAGATCGAACAAGATAAGCACAGAAATTGTTTTTATGCATAATCACACTTAAAGGAGCGCCAGTGGTGGCTGGTGTTCAGCAGGACTGACAATGTGGAAACATAAGAACATAAGCATCCTGTCCAGCATCCTTTACTCACAGTGACCTCCCAGATGCCTGTGGGAAACCCTCAAGTAGAACGCTCCTCCCTTCCTGCAGTTTCCAGGAACATGATATTCAGAAGAAGTACTGCCTCCAATTGTGGAGTCAGAGTATAGCCATCCTGGCTAGTAGTCATGGGCAGCCCTTGTTAGAATTCCTGCTCCGTGATTGCAGTCATGGGATTGTTGTCTATCACATGACAGTATATATGTTGACTCCACAAAGTGGGAAGTGACGGATGTTTGTGTTACTGTGTTCCGTGAAGTGGGACTATTGTCCTTTGTTCTTTTTCTCTTTGCTGTCTGATGCTAGAGAGAGAGGGAGCCATGTTGCAGTGCTCCGTGTGTGTCTATATGTAAATAAAGTAGATTAGCCAAAATGCTAAGTTGCTGAGGTCTGTCACGCAAGCTGCGAAGACTCTGCGGATCCCTAAGTCTGCCGATGTCTGTTGGCATCGGTTGCTCTGATGTTCGGGCTGAAGAAAGCTTTTGAAGCTTCCGAACGATCGACCAGGAGGGAGGGAACATGCCAGTCGGGCATGTGTCTCTGCCAGGGTCCTACTCGAGTGTAGGACAAGCTCCTGACAGCCTTGTCCCCTGTGAATTTGTCCAATCCTCTTTTAAAGCCATCCATGTGGGTGGCCATCCCTGCCTCCTGTGGCAATGAGTTCCATAGTTTAACTGGATGTTCATAGTCTTTGCCATCATTCCACCTTCTAACTATGCAGGGAGTGCTTGCTCAGTTCCACATGGGTAACACTAAGACGAAGGATATGTTCACATTACCACTTGCTCCACATCCAGAAATTTCCCATTGCTATTAGTATTATTATTTTCTGAAACAGCATTCACAAGATGTCACCCTTAGTCCATATTGACCCTGCAGTTCCTTGACAAATACTGCTTGCTGTCTGGTGCTTTCCCCCTCAAAACAAATGGCATAATCTATGCATTAGGTGGGGAAGTATGTACAGTGGGAAGAAGTACCTTTTTAAATTTTTTTTTAAAACCCTTTGGGGAAAAAACTAAGAGGGGACACCCCAGAACTGACTAACATTGAGGTGTGTGCAGAGAAAAAGAACGAGGCGGCTGGAAACCTGAACAGAAGCACTCCATACAACAACATTATGTTGCAGCTCCCAGTACTTTTTCTCTATTGTCCATTCAGACATGAATTTGACCCTGTCTTCCAATATGGAAAATGAATTGAAAGACACCAGGATAATTGATAAGTATTAAGCCCTTATTTAAAAAACAAAAACAAAACTTAAATTTTATTTTGTTAACATTCAATACAATTAGCTTTAAACAATTTAAGCTTCCTATATTTCCATTGTGGCTGTTCTAGCTAAAGGCCTAGTCTGTTCTCTCTCTCTCTCTCTCTCTCTCTCTCTCTCTCTCTTTCTTTCTTTCTTTCTTTCCTTCTCTTTTTGTAAAAAACAACAACCGTTATTTGCACAAGCCAGCGGATGATGACATGAGCTGGACATTTGCTGTGACTCCAGAATAGAAAGTGAAACTGGTGCTGATGTAAACCTCATATTGCAGATGACAGGAATGAGTTGATAGGATGTCGAGGAAAAAAAGAAACCCGAGAAGGGCTACGTACATCAGATGCCTGCAAATCACTAGAGAGTTTCCTTTCAAATGAGACCAAGAAGAAGAAGAAGAAGAGTTTGGATTTGATATCCCGCTTTATCACCATCTGAAGGAGTCTCAAAGTGGCTAACATTCTCCTTTCCCTTCCTCCCCCACAACAAACACTCTGTGAGGTGGGTGGGGCTGAGAGACTTCAGAGAAGTGTGACTAGCCCAAGGTCACCCAGCAGCTGCATGTGGAGGAGCGGAGACGCGAACCCGGTTCCCCAGATTACGAGACTACCGCTCTTAACCACTATACCACACTGGCTCAAGAGATGTCACATCCTTCAACATACATTTAAAACACTTTTATATCACTTTAACGGTCATAGCTTTCCCGCATAGAATCCTGGGAACCGTAGTTTGTTAACTGTGCTGGGAATTATAGCTCCAAGTGGAGGGGGTCTCCTATCAACTTGCAGCGGTCTTAAACTACAGTCCTCAGCATTGTTTGGGGGAAAGTTGTGGTATAAATGTGCTTTTAAATGCATAGTGCAGAGAGCACCTTAGCAATTAGAGAATCTGCCAGTTTATCATCTCCCCCCCCCCACACACACTTTTCCAGTCTTAAATCTCCACATAAGTCTGCAATTTCTTATTTTAAAAATCCTCACGGAAATTCACCAGCATTTTAGTACGAAATGTACACGTACATGCAATTCCGCCTAATGCACACATTTTTAAAATGTATTTTTAATCTTTGTTGGAAGCCGCCCAGAGTGGCTGGGGAAGCCCAGCCAGATGGGCGGGGTACAAATAATAAATTATTATTAGTAGTATTATTATTTTGTGAAAAGCAACTTTCCCAAACGTCATGAGCTACTCACTGAGACCCCCCTGGCATCCTCCGTCCTCTGCCCTGTCATAAACGATGACGGTCCTGTCCGTCTTCACTATAGCCAGGTAGCCTTGTTTGCAGGTGACTTGGCGGATGGTTCCAGGGTCCTCCTTGTAAAGGCTGGGATGGTAGCCGACAGCCTCTGGGAACAGCAGCAAGGCTTTGGGTCGCAAGGGTGAGGGATGAGGCAAGTCCGACCGGGTGCCCACCTCAGTCCTGGGCGTACGGCTTTTGGACCTCCTTGTCATCTTCTCTCCCGGTTTTCCTCACAGGCAGTCCACTCTCAGAACTAGGACCACCAGCCCTTTATTCTGGGACGCAAACCATTGTTGTGTCTCTGCCAGAGAGAGAAATGTTTCCGACTTTGGCCAGAATTGAAAGATGCAAAAGGAGCACAAGCGTTCAGGATGTCAGCAATCAGGATGGATGGCTGATGCTCCTCTCTGAGTTGTCACCCGAGTTCTGTTCTAAGGAATGCCAAAGAGTGAGACTTCTTGGGGAAAGGAGCCAAAAAATAAGAGAGCTGTTTCTCTCTAGTTTCTGTTTACTCATTTGCTTTCGAAACAGAGTAGGAGGCGGGTCTTCCTAGGAAACAGAAACCGTTGCTGCTGCTGCTGCTGCTGCTGCTGCTGCTACTCCTGATAGTGAGAAAGATTCTCTCTCTGCAAATCCCAGAAGTGAAGCCCTGTTAACCTGTCGCAACAGAACAAGCAAGAGTCTGGTGTCACCAGCTTAAAGACTAGCACATTTATTAAGGTAAAAACTGTCTGTGGACAACAGTTCACCCAATCAAATATATCTATGGATTGCAGTTCACAAAAGCTTATGCAGTATAATGAATGTGTAAAGGCTGTGCCAACAGGCTCTCACTGCTCTTCGCAAAAGAAGCATGCCGTAAGAAAAATGAACATTGCTTGCTGTGGCATTGTCACTGAGGTTATGCCTTGCCCTTTTAAGAAATATATGCCCTGTTTCAATACAGCTGAACTTCAAAGGGAGACAACAACAGTTTGATTTATTAAGAGGTTCAGTGCTGTCACCTTGTCAATCGAACAGGGACAAAGGTTGTTATAAATTCATGCCATGCGTGTTAATCAGGTCAACTTATGCCAGGTTGTCTGTGTTATCAACAAAAATCAGTTTTGTGAATGAACACTGCCAGTTCCTAATTATCTGTCTGTATACTTTTTAAATTTCTCTCTGACCTCATTGTTTACATTCTCTCTACCCACTTTCAATCATTTGTATATGGCAACTCAAGGTTCATGCATCTGCTGTTCATAAATACTCTTTTTGACACAGACATGTAGAATGTTGACATGAACTTTGTTTTTTTTATCGTTGATTTTAATTATTTATAATGCTTTAGGTGGCTGTTTTTAAGCGTTTTCTGATCCTTTGTTTTATTCTTTCTGTAAACTGATTTGAGGTTTCATGTATACAAATCTCATGAAATAAATAAATGGGCATGTTCTCCCCTCCACTGTCAAGAGGCAATGTCTCTGAACACCAGCAGCCGGGAATCACAAATAAGGACAGTATTGTTGCATTCTGGTCGTGCTTTCATTGGCAATCTGGTTGACCACTGTGAAAGCAGGCCTGACCCAGCCAGCTCTTATTCTCTCCAGAATGGTTCGCCTGTCCCTCTTTCTGTCCCCAGGAAGCTGCCTTAGGCCCATGTAGCCTCATCCTGCCTACTTTGACTTGCAGTGACTCTCAGACAACTCTCTTTAACAACTGCTACCCAACCCAGTTAACTAAGTCTGACAAAAATAAAATTGGGATCTTCTGTATGCAGGGCAGGTGTGCTGCTGCAACACAACAGCAGAAAATATGACAAGGGTTTTTTGCCAAGTTGGGATAACCAATGAGGTGTCTCCAGCTCTTGTTGAACTACAACTTCCATGATCACTAGCCCTAATGGCTGGGGCCGAGAATGGTAGCTCGAGAACATCTTGAGGACCCCAAGTTGGTGGTTCCTGCCCCTTCAAGTGGAGACATAAAAATGAATGAGGTGTTTGTTCCCCCCCCCCATACATGAGAGAGAGAGGGGTTGCTAAAGGCAGTGGCAGAGTTGCAAGTGGTCTGCTAGTTTAGCAGTGGTCGAATTCATAGAATTGTACAGTTGGAAAGGGACCACATGGGTCATCTAGGAATCTTTTGCCCAACATGGGTCTGGAACCCTTGACGCTGAGATTAAAAGTCTCATGCTCTACCAACTTGAGCTTTGTGTCCCATCCTCTCCATTCAAGAGTCACCAACCTGATTTTATATGAAAGAATCAGAAGGGATGCCAAGGGTCATGTAGCCCAACTCCCTGCAATGCAGGAATCTCAACCAAAGCATCCATGTAAGAAGGCCATCCAGCCTCTGTTTAAAAACCTCCAAGGACGGAGAGTCCGCCACCTTCCGAGGGAGTCAGTTCCATGGTCAAACTGCTCTGTCAAAAAGTTCTTCCTGATGTTTAGTCGGAATCTCCTTTCTTGGAACTTGAATCCATTGGTTAGTGCTGGGGTCAGCAAACGTTTTCCGCAGGGGGCCAGTCCACTGTCCCTCAGACCTTGTGGGGGGCAGGACTATATTTTTTGGGGGGATAATCCCCCCCCTACCGGCTCTCCCCTCCCTTCTCCACAGCACTGGACAAGCCCCAGTGGCTGCTTACCTGTGCCTTGTGAGCGGCAGGGGCTGGCGGCGGTGGAGGGACAATGAGCGGCATGAAAGGGCTGGCTCTGGAGAGGGGCTGCTTAAAATAGCACTCAGCCAACCGCGGCTCAACAAAGCCCAGCCCCTTGTCGCGAATTCTTTGCGTTGCTTTAGCAGAAATGCTCAGAGTTCCAGGTTCTTCAGTACAGTATTATTTATTGTGGGCTATATATACAAATGGGTGGTGCTGTGGGTTAAACCACAGAGCCTAGGACTTGCCGCTCAGAAGGTCGGCGGTTCGAATCCCTGCGACAGGGTGAGCTCCTGTTGCTCAATCCCTGCTCCTGCCAACCTAGCAGTTCGAAAGCAGGTCAAAGTGCAAGTAGATAAATAGGTACCGCTTCGGCGGGAAGGTAAACTGCGTTTCTGTGCACTGCTCTGGTTCGCCAGAAGTGGCTTAGTCATGCTGGCTGCATGACCTGGAAGCTGTATGCCTGCTCCCTCAGCCAGTAAAGCGAGATGAGCGCCGCAACCCCAGAGTCGGCCATGACTGGACCTAATGGTCAGGGGTCCCTTTACCTATATCTACAAATATCTACAGAAGCAGTTCATACAGTCAGACAGAGTACCTGGCTGCACCTTAAAGCAAATAGGAAGACTTTCTCTCTGACCACACTCCTCTATACCACCATTACTGCTGGACAGGCTTCCCTTTTAAACCGATGACAGCCAATCAACTGTCAGCACATTACTGCTGAGTCATTCTGACCCAGCACCTCCATAGAAAGTATTGCATCAGCCTGTTGCATCAACTAGCAAACTCAAGCCTGCAGACTTACTATCTTACACAGCAAGCATTCTGTGAATCCCGACACCCCTTTCCTCCTCTAGGCAACACGATGACCAAGACATTGCCTAGACATTGTTGACGTTCTCTTTGCAACACAGGGGTTTGTTTGGATACCCCTCATCCTCTAGGCAGGGCGAGGAGAAACCAGGAGGGAGGGAGGGAGGAGGCGCTGCCACCGCGGTGTGTGTGTGTGGGGGGGGGGAAGGAATGGCACAGCCCAAACGATCAGAATCCCCATTCCGATCCATGTGCTGATTCCGGGACCGTCCGCAGGCTGGATCCAGAAGGCAATTGGGCCAGATCTGGCCCCCAGACCTTAGTTTGGCTAGCCATGGGTTAGTGTCTTACCCTCCAGACCAGGAGAAAATAAGCTTGCTCCATCCTCCATGTGACAGCCCTTTAGATATTTGAAGATAGCTATCATATCTCCCCTCAGTCTCCTCTTTACCAGGCTAAACATACCCAAGCTCCCTCAACTGTTCCTCAATTGTCTTGTAAACAGAAATTCCCATATGATCCTTTGAGGATTGCTTCAATAGAACTAGCTGCATATGGGTCAAGTTAAGACAGTGACACTTTGGAAAGAAAGGAGACAATAAGCAGCTAAGAATTTATTTAGCAGGGTTTTTAACCGTAAAATATTAAACACACAGTTTAGAACAGTCTGTTTTGCCTGAAAGTCTATAATTCCAATATACTTTGCTTTTATTACTCTTTCCAGAATAATGTGTGCTGATTTGAATCTATTCTGTGTTCTCACTTACATTTTGGTACATATAAATAAATAAGAACAATAAAAGATAACATTCTGCATCTCCAAATGGAGTGAGGCACCAGCCTGTCTGTTCACACATTAAAATGTCCGTGCTGTTGTTGGAATGGTACCTTTAAAAGTAATCATTAAAATGCACCTTGAAAGTGGGATAATAGGAAAACTACAGGAAAATAACAATTTAGGAAATAACTGGGTGGATGAATTAGCCCTGGAGTAATGAGGCCACTGTGGACGTGATTACAAATAAAAGCAGGCTATACTAAGGTCTAAAATATTTTTTCTTAAATTGTGGGTGTGGGGAGAGAGAAATCAGTCAATCAACTGACCAAAGGCCAGTTAAAAGGCCAGTGAGCAGACTGCCTGATAAGACGAACTTCTCTTCGTTTGAAGACAAAAGCTACACATCTTGCAAGTTCCTGTGTTAGAGTTGCTTGCCAAAGCCACGATTGTTCTCAATAGCCTGGAGAAGTTTCTCCTTCAGTTTTCCTGTGGTTGAATAAGGTGGCAAAAGAAGGAGGTGAAAGCAGATCTGGGCCTCAGGCATATGTTCTTCTGAAAGTGACTTATGCGAGTGGATTGTTAGCTTCAAGGAGTCCATTCCTACCACAGGGACCCGGTCACTTCCTAAAACAAACACTAAATCGACAAGGAGGAGGATTAGACAATGCAAGGGCACAAATAGAAAATATTCAGACCATTCCAAACATCTTTTAATGCTACAATCTAGCTTTGCAAGTTGTCTTTCCTCCCCAGTACAGTTTTGATCAAAAGTGTTAAGTTGTGGGTGAACATATCAGACGACACAGCGATTCTTCAAACAGCTCTTGTTTATTCACAGAACAGAACAGAACTGAACTGAAGGGTTCAGTCAGCCTGCTTATTTAGAGCTCCACTACAATGTAACTGTAACAACTTTCTAAAACTATCCAATCACTGAACGTCACTTTCAATCCCTTATTTGCATATGTGGACCTGAGTGAAAACTATTTACAGTATCCCCCTGCTGGCCCAGGGTGGCCCCTGCTGGCCCAGGGCTCATTGCATTATGAAAGAAAATATCAATGCTGTTTCTATATACAAATTAAGAGAATCATTTGAGGTTTCAGTGCAGGATTTCAAGCGCACTGCTTGAAAGACAGGCTCACACCAGTTCATTTCCAGAAAAAGAGGGGCTTTCAATCAATGACCACTTGAAGGTTGGGCCTTGCGAATGGGATACTTACACAGAAAGCCTTTTTTGTCCGCCAAAGTGAGTTCGTGGAAAACCTTCCAGAACATCCTTACGGTAGGGTGTGTTTCACTGTATATCCCCCAGTACATAGTGTTCTTCACAGAAAAGGGGAAGGAAAATGAAATCAGACAAAGAGAAAGATGAATAAGTGAAGCTTGAAAAAAATAAAATAAACCCAATATAATGATGGCCTAGCAAGTAGTTCCACACGCCCCACCCCTCTCCACCAACCTTCTCATATAACTCCCAGTCATAATTTGCGTTCCCAATCGCCACATCCATCAGTTCCTGAGGCTCAAAGAAGGCAACCATCCGTTCATCGAGGACTTTGTAAAACCCTCTCTTGAACTCTTGGAAAATTCCCTCCACTGATTTGTTGAAGACGTAATCCACATACTTGTTGACAAACTCCTTCCTTGAAGAAATGAGGGTAAAACATTTAATAAGTGGGCAGGTAATCTGACTGCCTAGATAGGTAGATAGATAGATAGATAGATAGATAGATAGATAGATAGAAACTTTAGCAGCCACCAGGAGGCCGCAGATCCATCTACAGGCAAACTCTGATTTGAATCTAGGTCTTCCTGGTCCAAATCCAGCACTCTATTCAATCATACTATGTTTGCATATGTTCACTTAATAGCAATGTACAAGTTCCTTTGCCAGGATCATTAACAGAGATATTAGGGACTCCTAAAAATTAATGTTCTGGGCCTACTAGGATATACCGTGATGTAAAATGTACCAGTGGCCCAGAAGATTTGAATGGCCGGGGAGACACCATAACGAAACAATGCCTTGATCAAGATGGCAGCAGACCAGGGGATGCAATTCAAAATGGTTAGGACTATTTTAACTGCAGATTGAAACACTTGTGTCTCTTCCTTTAGCCTAGCTACTGCTTTCCTTTTCTATATTCCACTTATTTGACTTGGATTTTTGGGGAAAGGAACCCTTGCAGATATCGACGAACATCTGTTGTTATCCACACGTGGAGCCCTTGGGGATAGGGCGAACTGAATATCTGAAATGTACCGTATTTTTTGCTGTATAAGACTCACTTTTTCCCTCCTAAAAAGTAAGGGGAAATGTGTGTGCGTCTTATGGAGCGAATGCAGGCTGAGCAGTTATTCCAGAAGCCAGAACAGCAAGAGGGATTGCTGCTTTCACTGCGCAGCGATCCCTCTTGCTGTTCTGGCTTCTGAGATTCAGAATATTTTTTTTCTTGTTTCCCCCCTCTAAAAACTAGGTGCGTCTTATGGTCAGGTGCATCTTAAGGAGCGACAAATACGGTAAGATGTCACCAACATAACAGTCCAACCTGCACGCTGCTTTTCAAAGGTCCTCTTCAAAGTAGTTCACGGTCAAAAGGTTTTAAAAAAAGCCCTCACTAATAAAATCATGTCATTTTGAAGTTTTATGAATCTAAAACACAATAGTGTCTTTAAAAGTCCTAACAAAATAAACAAATTCCAGCTGTGGTCCCATCCCTCACCCGCCAATCGCCCTCAGACCCGCCCTGACACATTTCCTGCCAATATCCTCAGGCATCATCACATACTTGTTTGAATTGTTCACAGCGACCGAACTGCCGTTTGGAATTAAGTCGACATCCACGTTGTCCCAAGATATCTAGAAATATATGTTTAAGGAAAGGTACTGAAAACAAAGTCTCACACACACACTGTAATTTTGTCACTTAACACTTGATAAGCTTCATACAATACCTTTAAGTTACAGGGAATTCTATGAACAGCTTTTGGCTAACGATGCAGTCATTAAAAGTCATTTTAGGGGTTCATGGACCAGGTACAAGCAGCACGCCTGTTGAAATAGCTATACAGTGGTACCTCGGGTTACAGACACTTCAGGTTACAGACGCTTCAGGTTACAGACTCCGCTAACCCAGAAATAGTACCTTGGGTTAAGAACTTTGCTTCAGGATAAGAAGAGAAATCGCTCAGTGGCAGCAGGAGGCCCCATTAACTAAAATGGTACCTCAGGTTAAGAACAGTTTCGGGTTAAGAACGGACCTCTAGAACGAATTAAGTTCTTAACCCGAGGTACCACTGTATTTCTGTTGAAACAGCTATATTTCTAGGGAGGACCATTTGATTTTTTTAAATGAGTGTGACTGTTGCTTTTATATCATATTTTAGCCACATTCTCAAATGTTAAAAGAGCCACCGTCACTTGCAGGAAGAAGCACTCCAGAATTTACCATAATGGAGAAGGGTGAAGAAGAAGAAAATTAGCCAATGAGACAAAGCACATTTCAGGAGTTGCTTGCTTGCTGTTAACTTAAAAGACAAGTGATTCCTAGACATTATCAGGTGAAAGAGACACAGCGACCATGTAACAAGAACAGAATATTTTTTTTGAGGTACTCACACTGTAAGTCAGTTCATGGCTTGTTTCGAAGTCATCATGCTTATAATCAAGAACTGCCTGCAAACTCCTTGTTAACAAAACAAAAGGAAATAGAAATGGATATATTTTTACCCCTAAAATGTCTACAGCATATATTTAGAAGCCTTACTCAAACAGTTAAAAGAGTGGGAAAGGCCAACCCATCTGGTCTTATTTTCTTTCTTTTTATAATCATTTTTATTAGCTTTCAATTACAATAATCCAATAATAGACTCATTGTAACAATGCCAAATTATAATACAATTACTAATACTGTACCAATCATTCAGATACCAAATTATATAGTTTAGGTGGCATCCTGGGTGCTAGAATTGATGGCTTGATGATTTACTTTATTTCTGCATTCCAAAATCTTATTAATTTCAATTACACTCCAGTCAAAATAACAATCCCTTATACAACAACTGCAATATTAACAACTTACATTCATATTGACACATTAAATGATTTATAAAACTACAGGTGAGGCACTCAAACTATATCCTTGTTCTTCCTGTGTGTGGCAATTATTCTGTCCGTGATGTTTCTTCCTGTCCTTGTAAAATACTATGTCTATCTTTTCCCAGTTGTTGCTGTTCTCCATCATGCCTTGGGTGGAGCTAATATCCCACTGTTGTTTCAGAAATTCCCCATCCATCTGGTCTTATTTTCTTCTTTGGTTCTCAGTTTAGGGCCCCAAGTGTATGTCCATGTGTTTGGACATACCTCATCAAGCACATGTCAATCAATCTATCATTGCTCCTGGGCTCATTGCATCTGGCAGGGAAGAGATGGCTGTCTGGCTCCAGGAGGTGGTAAATTCGTTACTGAAATGGTGCGGTCCCAATCTTCCTAGGAGGCCCTAGTACAATTGTTCCTGAAAACCCTTCCTTTGAAGCAGCAAGTTCTTGTCTATCGGCAAGATGCTCAACTGAGCACCTGTTAGACAACTAAGTGGCTTATGTGGTTTCTAACAGCCTGATGCCAGGTTTAGGTGGGGAGGAAAGCCCTGTTTTGATTGCAGCAGTGCCTCCAAGTGGGGCGATGGATTTAACCCTTTCCACACACAGTTTCCTCCTACCTAAACTGTTTCCCAAGGTACTGTAAGAACTCAGTGGGGGCAGGGAACCAAAACGACAAATATGAGAAGATCTGATTGGTGACTTCCATGTCTTGCATCATTTTGTTTCAAATCAGGGGTGGGGGCATCCCTACAGATTTTGCTAGACTCCCAAAACTCCTGGTGGTCAGCATGTCCAATGGTCAGGGCCTGCCATGTAGCAACATCTAGGCTGCCAGAACTTCCTTACTCTTGCCTAAAATCATCTCACAGTACTGAGGTTCCCTTTACTTGTGGAGGCTGAATCTTGGGGCTGAATGTGACACGGCCTTTGTAAGTTTAAATGGATAGAATATCCTAGAGTTAGGAGACTCAGCCTGGTCCTACCAAGCAAAACAAGAAACTGGAAACTACAGGAAAAGGTGGGAAGAATTCAAGCCACTTACCTCCCTAAGACAGGGCTTAGCTCCTTCAGATCATCAAGGGTAGGTTTCTTGCCCAGCAGTTTTTTAAAGGCAGCAAGCGGGAAAGGCACGTAGGCAGTGACTCTGTTGAACATGGAGAGCCCAAGGAGGATCCCAAAGAAAAGATATTTATTCTTCTCCACTGAGGGCTGCAAGGACACAAGATCACAGAAATGGGTTGGATGTTCTAAGGCAGATGCACCTTAAGAAGGAAACTGGTCTGTTATGGACAAACCAAGGCCAGCGGCAGAGCGACATCCTGCGAGTGTTTTTTTTACCTGGCTGGAATGTGTCCTAGAACTCTTTTTTCTCTGTATGGGGGGATACAGAGGGGGATATGAGTGTAGCTTGGGGCTGACTACACACCATACTTTTAAAGCACATTCTTTCCCTCAAAGAATTCTGGGCACTGTAGTTTGTTAAGGGTTGTTGGGCACTGGAACTCTGTGAGGGCAAACTACAGTGCCCAGAATTCTTTGAGGGAAAGAATGTGTTTTGAGTATGCTTCAGAGGAATAGGACAGTGGTACCTTGGTTCTCGAACTTAATCCGTTCCGGGAGTCCGTTTGACTCCTGAAACCGTTCGAAACCCAAGGCGCGGCTTCCGATTGGCTGCAGGAGCTTCCTGCACTCAAGCAGAAGCCGCGTCGGATGTTCAGCTTCCAAAAAATGTTCACAAACCAGAACAATTACTTCCGGGTTTGCAGCGTTTGTGTTCTGATTTGTTCAGCAACTAAGCCATTTGAGAGCCAATGTACCACTGTATGTACACAGCCCTACTGTAGAAAAGCAATAAAAATTTCATTTGGGTTATGTCTACTTTCACTTCTGGCCCCACGCACCTGTGGCATGTGGACATCAGAAGGGAATGTGCCCACTGGCTTAAAAAAGGGGGCGGGGGGGTGTCACCTACGTCTGACCTAGATGTTTGTTTGGACCAGGTCCTCTGTCTGAAATACTTACCCTAGAAGGAAACCATATGGGGGAGTTTTGCTCACAGCACATAAACATCCCATAGTCTGGCTGCACCATCTCCTCAAACACATAGGAAAAGAACTCAAACAAGACCCCTCCGGTTTCGTGACCAGGCATCTCGCCTTCAAATTCAATCTACAAGGCAAAAATAAAAACCAACCATATTAACCTCACAAAAGGAGAGAACAGAAAATAGGAAAAGCACATTTACTAGGCCACCCAATCTTTAATTGTTAGGGGCCCCTTTTTTTGAGGCCCTGTTCAGGAGTCTGTGCATGGGAGAGATATAAGATGGTATATATTTGGGGCTGTAGGAAACAGATTGAGGTTGAATCCTGACAAGACAGAAGCACTGTTTTTGGGGGACAGGAGGTGGGCAGGTGTGGAGGCTCCCTGGTCCTGAATGGGGCAACTGTGCCCCTGAAGGACCAGGTGTGCAGCCTGTGAGTCATTCTGGACTCACAGCTGTCCATGGAGGCGCAGGTCAATTCTGTGTCCAGGGCAGCTGTTTACCAGCTCCATCTGGTATGCAGGTTGCGACCCTACCTGCCCGCGCACTGTCTTGCGAGTGGTGCATGCTCTGGTTATCTCTTGCTTGGACTACTGCAATGCGTTCTATGTGGGGCTACCTTTGAAGGTGACCCAGAAGCTACAACTAATCCAGAACGCGGCAGCTAGACTGGTGACTGGGAGCGGCCGCCGAGACAACATAACACCGGTCTTGAAAGACCTACATTGGCTCCCAGTACATTTCTGAGCACAATTCAAAGTGTTGATGCTGACCTTTAAAGCCCTAAACGGCCACGGTCCAGTATACCTGAAGGAGTGTCTGCACCCCCATCGTTCTGCCTGGACACTGAGGTCCTGCTCTGAGGGCCTTCTGGCGGTTTCTTCACTGCGAGAAGCCAAGTTACAGGGAACCAGACAGAGGGCCTTCTCGGTAGTGGCACCCGCCCTGTGGAACGCCCTCCCACCAGATGTCAAAGAGAACAACAACTACCAGACTTTTAGAAGACATCTGAAGGCAGCCCTCTTTAGGGAAACTTTTAATGTTTAATTGCCTATTGTATTTTAATATTCTGTTAAAAGCTGCCCAGAGTGGTGGAAATGGAAATAGGCAGCACCCAAGAAAATGACGTCACACATGTAAAAAAAAAAAAAAGCAAACAAAACAAACAAACCTCACCAAAGAATGTGCTTCAAATTTGTCCAGAGCTGAGTAACATGCTATTTTATATTGAGATTGTCTTTCCTTATCGGAATATCCCCAGGTGACTCAATCCAGACCTAGTCATTGAGGTCGTTTCACCTAGTTCCAGAGTTTAGCCCTGAACAACATGACTATGCAGTACTTTAGCAGGCCTTATACAGCTTACCAAGAGTTGCATTTTCAGGCTAATGTCCTCTACTTGACTCAGTTTGCGCAACGTATCTTCCACGAGGTTCTTGCGTCGTACCCTCAAAGGGAAGACAGGCAGTTTAGGGAGTTCGCCTTTTCTCAGGAGCCGATTGCGTACCAATGTATCACAAGCATTGGCCTTTACAATCTGCGGAAAGCGGCACATATTTAATAAGTGCTTCAGAGACGCTAGGTAGGCATTCACTGTGTTAAGTTGTGGGTGAACATATCAGATGACATACCGATTCTTCAAACAGCTCTTGTTTATTCAGAGGCCAGAACAGAACTGAACTGAAGGGTTCAGTCAGCCTGCTTATATAGAGCTCCAGTACAACGTAACTGTAACAATTTTCTAAAACTATCCAATCACTGAACGTCACTTTCAATCCCTTATTTGCATAACTATCTACAGTATCCCCCTGCTGGCCTAGGGTGAGAACTTCAGTACATAACAAATTGCTAAGTATACTAATGGGGAAAGGAACTCAAGGCAGGCAGGAGGCCCTGAAAGAATGAAAGGCATAATGAGAAATAATTCCAATGAGAGAGAAGAGTGGGAGGTTATATTTTTTAAAATCCAGTTGCGACTGCACAAAACGGTTAAATGATGAGCTGGAGGGATGAGGGAAGAGACAAACATACATTTTTTTATTTATTAAATTTATATACTGCCCTCCCTCGGACACGGTTCCCCATCCCTGTCCTATGCAAGAGTCACTTCCACATAGCTAATGGCCTGGAAGAGCAAACACAATTCTGCTCCTCCATTATGCACCCGTCTCTGCATGCAGAGACTCCTGCACACTAAGACGAGTGGGAAAATAAGAACCAAATTCACCGTAGCCTTTCATCTCACAAGAAATAGTAGAACAGCAAGGCTGGGTTAACAGTCATTTAGGTATCACCCTTACCTCTTGCAGGTTATAAGACTCGTAATCAAATATTTCCATCTTCGTCAGCGGATTGTAGACAAAAGGAAAGCAGCACAAAGAGATGGGACAGTTGTCCTCTTTGCCCAATTTCTTGCAAAGAAAGAATGTTGTTTAAAAGAATGGGTTCATACAAACAAACATACTCCCTTTTCCAGCAGTCTTTGGTCTCCACCCAACTTTGACTCTCTCACATACACTTTTCTGTGGCAAGAATAAAGATGGTGTCATTTGCCATATGGCAGCCATTACCACAATTCTCAAATGCTTTCATCCCTGTGTGATTCAAACGTTGATTTCGCTCATACAAAATGGCTACCCTTCCACAATGGATGCTGTTTATTAACGTGTGAACAGCTAACTCAAACAAGGTAACTTCTTCACTTTGGAAAGTTCACTTTGAATAAGGGACAAAAATCTAAATAGGAGCCAACTTCAGTTTGTGTTCTGCCCTTTACAAAACAAACTAGTTCAGCTCACGTTCAGTTCAATTCATCCAAAGGATCCTCAGAATGTGACAAGCTGCTGTATATGTAATTTCACATATACTGCTATGTAAAATAAAGTTCAGACTAATAAAACATCAAAACATGCACACTGGAATGAGAATTGTTTAGTTTTCCCAATGATCTTTAAGCTTAGACCCCAAGATTTTAAGAGCAAAAAACACATGTAAGCGATTGCATTTGAAGGTGAACTAGAAATAATTCAACGTTCTAACCCAAAATGAAATAAATTCACATTAGGTTTATCCGGCAACTAGGGGAACTACTTTTGGGTGTAGTTCAAACAGTTTTGAACTAATTCAGCGAACTTTACTAAACCAAACTACTGCATTCCAAGAACTGTCTTAAACTGGAGAAAGGATGAGTCAGTTTGGGTTCCTCTTAGTCAGAGGTTAGTGCAGCCTATTGACTATGCTGGCCAGGGCACATAGAAGCTGAAGGGGTACCACACTGGCTATCTAAATCTACCATAATATATTCTGACTGGCAGCCTCTCTGAAAGACATGCAGAAATCTTGTCCCAAGTCCTGCTACCTACGATCTTCAACAAGAAACACAGGACTGAGCACATGCTCTCATTTAAGATATGCAGAAGCATTTCTCACACCCTTATCAAATTTGTGCAAGATACACGAGCTTGGCATTTCTTAGCTTTTTGACACAAAGCAATCATACTTACCATGGCTTCCACCCATACATGCCACCTTGCCAAATCTGCAAAGGGATTAATTATTTGACGGATTTCATCAATGTAGAAGTTGCTTAGCGGGAGCTTGCAGTTAGCCCTCTTGTTGACCTTGAAGGACAAGCAGAAGAAGGTTGAGGTCCATATGATTTTACACCTAGAAATACCATATTTTTCGCTCAATAGGATGCACCCGACCGTAGGACACACCTTGTTTTAGAGGGGGAGAACAAGGTGCCCCTTCCATTTCTCCTCCCGTTTGGCTGAGGGGGCGCTGCGCAGCTCTCCCTCTCTGCTGAAGACAGGAGAGTCTTGCTCTCCCGGCTTCAGCAAAAGGAACCCAAGCGCTCCCTCCGCGCTCTGGAGGCTTCGCGTTGCTATCCCTGAAACCAAGGAGCCTGCATTCGCTCCATAGGACACACACACATTTCCCCTTAATTTTTGGAGGGGGAAAAGTGCATCCTATAGAGCGAAAAATACGATAGCTACCAGATCATCAGCCCACATTTACAAGATGTTGCCTACCTTGTAAAGCTTTTTCAGGACTTCCAGGAGAGGTAACAACACCTGGCAGGCAGGGTAGTATGGGTAACAGGGCAGCTGAGAGAGCACCACTTTCTTTAGCATCTGAACTATTCGGTCTAAATGCGAGGCTGGCAAGAAGGACCAACATTTTTCTGAAAGAAGAAAAAGAACATGCAAATCTTATTCTACTTCCCCACAGCTCACTATTCAGATAGGAATATTTCCCCACACAAGCAGTCCTGTTTTCTTCTGCTTGTTGTCCTGCTGCAACAAACTTCTTATTTAAAGTGCATCAGATTACCTGAGGTTGGTTAGGCTGAGAGGCAGTGCAGGCCCTGTCGACATTTCCATTCCACCTTAAGGAACAGACATGGGATTGTTACGTGTCACATATCTGTTCACATTCCAGCACAGTATGCTGGGAACTTCCGTTGTGTGTATAGTTTTTGCTTTTGCTGTTCTCTCTGAGATAATAATAATTTATTATTTATACCCCGCCCATCTGGCTGAGTTTCCCCAGCCACTCTGGGCAGCTTCCAATCAAGTGTTAAAAACAATACAGCATTAAATATTAAAAACTTCCCTAAACAGGGCTGCCTTCAGATGTCTTTTAAAGATAAGATAGGTACTTATTTCCTTCACATCTGATGGGAGGGCATTCCACAGGGCGGGTGCCACTACCGAGAAGACCCTCTGCCTGGTTCCCTGTAACCTCACTTCTCGCAGTGAGGGAACCGCCAGAAGGCCCTCGGCACTGGATCCCAGTGTCCGGGCTGAACGATGGGGGTGGAGACGCTCCTTCAGGTATACAGGACCGAGGCCGTTTAGGGCTTTAAAGGTCAGCACCATGACATGAGAGAGAGACGACATGTTTCTTTGTCCTGATTTATGCTTAATAAATCTGTAGTTGTAGTATGCTTCCACAAGCCTCACGCCTATTCTGTGTGAGCAGTTTGATCTGCTGATAGTGTGCCCTGGCTCAGAAGCCCGGGTCGCTGATTTACATCGGAGCAGAGGTGATGGTCTTCGCAGTGGGATGGCTGGAAGGAGACGGCCCAGCCGGGGCTAACCAGCTGGCCTACCGGCCCTCTGCATGCTGACAGGCCCAAGGTCACCTAGTGAGCTTCATGTCTGAGTGGGCATTTGAACTCTGGCCTCCCAGGTCCAAGACTGACACACTAATCACTGCACCACACTTAGCATTCTGCTTCTCATCAAAATATCTAGAAATCTTTGGGGGTGGGGCAACACTGGGGTCTCCTCGAGGGCATTTTGCCTCAAAACTGAAGCTGACCCCATTTCATCAGGCACACCAACTCACGTGCAAGTTTCACTTCCGACCGTCATGAACCTAGAAACTCCCATCTCCATTCCTCAAGTAAAGCACTAATCTTATAGAATTCCATTATCCACACCAAGTTCTGTGCAAGGACAGTGGAACGATGTCAACTTGGCTTCCAAGACAGGCAGGACTGTGTTTGCTATCATTCTATGGAAGCCCGAGAGAAGACAGATTCATGGTTCCTGGGAATCAGCGCTTTGATTGTAAAGACACTGCAAGTTTTTAACGAGTGGCATTGTGCAGGCAGCAACGCCAACCAAAATCTCAGAAGCTAGGAGTTGGCCAAGCAAGACTTGCAGCAGCTGGACATGGGAGTTCAGCTCTCAGCAAAACTATCTGAACCGCCCCATGGCAAGCAAACCAAGGATGAATTGCAAAATAGAGTTAAGCTGATCAATGCAAAATGGGAGCAAATGTACCCTGAGCAAATCTGCAAGATTTAGACAGGTCACAAGAGTCCAAAATTTCTTTGCAGAATTGCTAATTGCAGGGGCTTCAAATATATGTTACTTCTTAGGACGCATGCATACCCCGCGAAAAGAACTGCTTAGGTTTGAGTCCCTTCAAGAATCTAGCCTTTCGTGAGCATACTTCCAACAGTTGTCATATCTACCTGTCAGATGGCAATGGTGGTTGCTCGTGAGTAACCAGTCAGGACTCCGACCTGTCTTTCACAGGTTTTATTTTGGTGCAAAACTATTTACAGTGCAGAGCCACAAGGTCATGTCTGCCTCAGTCGCTAGGGGAATCCAGGAGTGGTCATTTCCAGGTCTTCCCTCAGCATAAGAGCTTCGTCACCCCCAGCCTTTTCCTTCCTTTTTTGCATTTTACACCTCTGCGCAAGATGGGCGATGGAAGAGGCGTGCTTCCCTCCTGGCTGGCTTGGCCAGGAGCAGTGCTGAGGCTCCCAGAGCAGCATCCTCTGGTCCCTTTCCCTCTTCCCCGCTGGAGGTATGGCTTTCCTCACCACAGGAAGAGGAACTGCTTCGCAAGATTTTCGGAGGTTCCCTGTAACCCAACTGCCCCTCTGCTTCCTTACCCTGTTCCGATGGCAGTACCCTGACACTACCTAAGCAAGAAGAACTGCTGCACTAAGGACTTCCTAGGAGCCTATTTTTACCTCTAGCCTGTTCCAAACCTATGGGACGTCACATTTTGGAAATCCAGGCTCACATCGTGACCACATACTGATATCACACTAAACTGCGGTTTCATGTGACGGGGAGGGGGGGGAGAGGAAACCAACCCTCCAATTACCTAGAATATCCAAAGAGCGTTTGCTCAGGCCATTGACAGCCTTTGCAAAGGGAATAGCCAAATGGTGCATCTTCGGGGCTTCCAGCGCTGCACAGCACTCGGGCAGCAGGAGGAAGCTGGAGAGAGCCTCCTGGTGAGGAGAATTCAGTGGAAGGGCAGGAATCAGGTTGTCCAGCAAAGAAGAAAAGATCTACAACCGATTTTGCAAAAAAAGAAAGAAAAGCAGTGTGTTTAACTGGGTATGGATTGCAAACACCCGCTCCTACCCCCTTACAGTTAGCTTCTTTTTAGCTTTACTTTTGTAAAGTTAATGTAGGAATTGGAGCACACTGCTAAGGCCTTCCTATTGGCTCTGACATCTGTAGGGCTAGACAGTTCAAAGGGCAGCAGCAAAACAACCCAACAGAAGCCAAAGCTGTGTACAACTGTAATGCACACGGCACTTTTGCACGTAGCTGTTTGTAATTGTACACACCGTTGTGTACTAACATCCTTGATGTCTGTACACAGAGGCGGGCATGTTTTCAAACTAGTGTGCAACGGTGATCTCTCTTCCCCTCACTTAAGGTGGATCTAGACACGGGGCGGGGCACACACTATAAGTAAGTCAGAAATTAGCTTGTTATAACAAAAGGAAAAAAATCTCTACGGAAAACCACATTTTGAAATTTCCTGCTCTCCAGCACCATCTGGTGTTGCATGTTTATAGCGCATTCAAATTGCTGTTTCTTTACCAATGTAGCCGAGTCCTTACGTGGTATTTTTAATACTCTCTCTCTTTCGAATGAGGGGGGTTTGAAACTGTTGCGTTGATTAGCGGTTGATTAGATTAGATTTAGAGGCAACTAAGTCACTGCACTGCAATGTCAGTAGACCTGAGAAGGCACTCTCAGTGTACACACGTATGCAGCAAGCCATTGAGAAGTGCATTCTCAGCACAAACTGGATCATAACCGTTCCAGCTGCTTTAGACTGACAAGAGGGACGGGGGGTGATATCATATGAACAGCACCCCCTCCCCAAAAAAGGCGCTTGCATCCAGAACAGAGCGCATGTTATCACCCATTGTGCACATGCTCTTTGAAATCCATCAGAGATTACAAGCCTAAGGAAAATCAGCCTAAGGGGTGGCACTGCCAGTCAGTTGCTCCTCGGTCCCAGTGTTGCTCCTTATAGAACTCAAAGAGGGAGAAGAAGGATGGAGACAAACTTTGAAATGGTTGGCTCTGTCTCCACATACTGTCGGCCTCTTCACCTTCTGCCCTACAAGTCTCCATGGGAACCAGTCTCGCCACGGGGGGGGGGGGAGGAGGACCACTCACACCCAAATGTTGACACTAGGAAAAAGGGGTCTTTCCTCCCTTACCCTGCCAGCAATCCAGTCCCTTGTAGCAAGTTCCTCAAGCATTTCTCTCGCTTTTTGAAGATCCACTGCTACGCAGCAGCCAGTCTCCATGGCAGATCTGGGGGTAAAGTTACCATTTTGACACCTTATACAGTGGTACCTCGGGTTACAGATGCTTCCAGTTACAGACTCCACTAACCCAGAAATAGTACCTCGGGTTAAGAACTTTGCTTCAGGGTGAGAACAGAAATCGCGCGGTGGCGGCGCGAGGCCCCATTAGCTAAAGTGGTACCTCCAGCAAAGAACAGTTTCAGGTTAAGAACGGACCTCCAGAATGAATTAAGTTCTTAACCCGAGGTACCACTGTACAGTGGATGCTCGGGTTGTGAACGTGATCCGTGTGAGAGGCACGTTCGCAACCCACAGCGTTCGCAACCCGCAGCACCGCATCTGTGCACACACGGGTTGAGATTCTGTGCATGCGCAAAGCACAATTTAGTGCTTCTGCACATGCGCCAAAACCCGGAAGTAACCTGTTCTGGCACTTCCGGGTTCAGCATGGTGCGCAACCCGAAAACGCGCAATCCGAAGCATCTCTAACCCGAGGTATGACTATATAAGAAAATCAAAATAATTTCCTAACAAAACTTCCGGGCGTCTTCTGCATGTTTCATCCCATGCAGTGAAGGCTACTTACCGTGGTTTCAGAAAACTTGCTGCTAAACAAGGAGAGGAAGAAAATATTGCTTCAATTTCTCTGCAGAAAAAGGAGAAGAAAACCAATTTTAAAAACCAGCAACAAGTCAGCCTGGTTACAGGCGTGTTGGATTTCATACTGATGTAAACACTCTGTCTGGGGGTACCGGTGGATCATTTAGAAATAGTTTAAAATCCAGCTTACAGGAGCCCTAGTAATTGCAATGTTAATACTTTTGGATTATGAAGAGTTCCATATTAACATATTAATCCTTTGTTTTTGGAAGCAGGTCCCAGGAAGTATGTTTAGGATTGCATTCTAAATAGAGTTTAAGTCTGGGATGGGGAACCTGCAGTTCTCCATAGGTTGTTGGCCTCCCAAATTACATTAGTCTCAAACATCATGGTCAATGGTTGGTGTTGATGGGAGTTGTAGTCTAGCAACATCAGGAGGGCCACAGTTTATGCTGTCATAAACAGAAGCAAGGGAACATCCAGTTACCAACACCCAAGCAAGACTCATCATAAAATTAATTGTCTGCAGCAGGGGTTCCCAAACTGTGGACTACAGACCACCAGGGGTCCATGAGTGTCATTCAGGTGTGTCTGTGGATTCATGTGGATTCCATTGCATTATATATATATTCACATTGATTTTTAATTGCATTTTTAATTGCTTCTTTTACTTTCTGTATTGTATCTTACTGATTCACAGCCTATGGCATTCCAAGTTGTAATGCAACAAGATATAATTGCCATAAGAAATAAAAAATAAGACAGCATTGAGCACGGTGCACTGCGACAACAGGCAGAAAAATATTTAAGTAGTCTCCTGAGACCCTCAGCAATCTTCAAGTGGTCCGTGATGGGGAAAGTTGGGGAACCACAGACCTGCAGTAAACATGGCAACTGGTTTACTAAAGAACCGTCTTTGAAATTGGCCGGGGAGCCCCAGCCAGATGGGCAGGGTATGAATAATAAAATTATTATTATTATTATTATTATTATTATGCTTGTGTAATAAATTGTAAATCTGTCCAGCATTTTGGGAAGGATCATTGCAATAATAGAATTAAGAGTGCCATATTGACAGAGAACAGAACTGTCTACAGTGGTTCTCCTATGATGTTTTAGTTGTAAAGCCTGATAAAAACAGGATTGAACTTTATGCTCTGTTTTTCCTCCTGTTAAAGGAAAAGAAAATATAGACTGCAACCTTTTGGCCGTCTGCCGTGTCACACTTTCCGCTGTTGCCAACAACCACTTCTCCATCAGTGCCCTGTCCATCAGGCTAATCTTTGGCAAGGTTTCCATAGAGGTGGGTGTATTTGCATACGCAGAATCCTTTGAAACAAAAACACGCCACATACAATACAAGATGTCATGTCAAAGAGTATCCCTCGGTGTCACATGGCTAATCATTGATAACAGAAAGCCACCAAGGACAGAGATCATCATCACAGAATTGTAGAGTTGGAAGGGACACCTCCCACCACCACCACAAGAGTCATTTAGAGCAACCCCCTGCAACGCAGGAATCTCAACAAGGCAGATGGCCCTTCAACCTCTGCCCATAACCCCCCAATGAAGGATAGTCCCCCCCCTTCTGAGGGAGTCTGTTCCACTGTTGAACAGCTCCCACCATCAGAAAGTTCTTCCTGATGTTTAGTCCAGAAGCAGTGCATAGGTTTGGGATGAGGTACGGGCCGCTCAAATTTGGTCCAAATAGTTTAAAACAGGCTTCCTCAAACTTGGCCCTCCAGATGTTTTTGGCCTACAACTCCCATGATCCCTAGCTAGCAGGACCAGTGGTCAGGGATGATGGGAATTGTAGTCTCAAAACATCTGGAGGGCCGAGTTTGAGGAAGTCTGGTTTAAAAAATCAGCTGGTGAAAACTTATCTATAGTTAAGAAATAGCTACAGCTACAGTTCACGGTTACAGCTGAATACTGGGACAATTCACAAAATGCCATGCAGAATGTACAAGTGTATCTATAGGTTTCAATATACTCCAGATAGAATTATCTCAGCAATCCTTATAAACAGCCTGGTTAGGAAGCTCAGAATTATTCTTCCCATACTGCACCTGGGGTCAGGGAGAGGAATGTAGAAGCAGAGAAAGAGGAAAAGGCTGAAGACCTTAGGCAAGCCACAATGTAGTGAGTTCAGGCCCAAGATGTGGTTTGAACTCAAGAGTTTCAGCCTCATTATCTTTAGTTATTACTAAAGTTATTATTAGCAGTTTGCCAAAGCTAGAAGTATGCTGCTGCATTATTTTATTTTTCTATGCATTGCTTCCTATAAGCCATCTTGAAGTGCTTTGCAATAGAATAAAAACATATATAAACAGCTCTATAAATATATTTAAAAACTCAAAACACACACAGAAAGAGAGCTCAAGAGAACAACAGTACAGTGGAAACTCAGTTGTCGAACGTAATCCATTCCAGAAGATCGTTTGACTTCCGAAACGTTCGACAACCAAGGCACAATAGGCGGACAGCAATTTTGATGGGAGAAAATGGAGGAATGCGCCTCAGAAGCCGTTCTGAGGCGCGTTCACAAACGGAAGCATTCAACTTCCAGGTTTTCGGCATTCGGGTTCCAAATCATTCGGCTTCCAAGACACTCGAAAACCAAGGTTCTACTGTACATACATAAAATCAAATCGGATCCAATGCAGATATCCACTGGGATAAAAAACCTCCATTGAGAAGGCTTGTTGAAAGCCGACATGAACAAGCTATTTATGGCTGTGCCCCCATCCTTTAGAAAACACCCCAAAGTCCACAGAATATACAGAAAAGGTGAGCCATCTACCTGCGTCCGAAGCACTGTGGCAAAGGTGACGTATGGGCCAGCAAAAATCCGTTTTACTCGGACACCCAGCAATTCTGCAATGAACATGAAAGCGGATCAGCCCTAAGTGCTCAACCCATGTTAACTGGGCTTCTTTTCCTGGTACTTTCCCTTCCCTCTTCTCCTGGGATCATCAAAGCAAATTCTACAGGGACCATTTTGGGGTGTCCATAGAAGACTATTTAATCAGGAGAAGCTGTGCAAGCCCTGAGTCAGTACCTTAATGCAGCGGTGGACGACCAATAAACTGAGTTTGAATCTGGGGGAGACAGTTCTGTGGGTAGGTGGCTCCTGGGTCAGAAAGAAAGGGATTGGGAACCCAGGACCCTGCAGATACTGCTGGACTACAGCTCCCTGCCAATTGGTCAGGCTGGCTGGGGCTGATGGGAAATGGAGTCCAACGACATCCACAAGCACACAGATTCCACATCCCTGATACAGGATACAGACCACAGTAGATTCAGTATTAAATATACATTATAATAATGAAGAGTATGTTCGTAGTCTTCACAGAGCCAGTTACTTTTCCAAACATTGTTGCTGTTTTTATTTTCTATGGTGTACAAGTCTTTTGTACAATTTTCAGAAACGCAGGTGGATCAATTAATTTAATTTTTGAAAGAGAAAAGATGTACCATTAGGAGAAACCAGAGCACTGATGTTAAAACATCGTCTCCCGTCGCTTTTGCTAGAAGACGGTCCGCTTCCATTGTGCTGCTGCTGGGGTCCACGTCCAAAAGATATCAGTTGCCCAGAAGCAGAGATACAAACCGTGTGATAGCTGTTTGAGGGGAGAAAAGTGTAAGTTTAATCTGTGATGCACCTTACAGAACATGACTTGAGGTCCAATAGTGAAGCTCTTGTTTCTGTTGTATCAGTTAAATGACCCTTTGTATTATTTAAGACATTCATGTCCCGCTCAGTCATTAGCATTTCTAAGCAGTGTACGTAAAAATAAAGTGTACAGAAAGGTAATTGTAAAATGCTATGTCAGCTCATAGCAATGGATATAATTTTCTGTTTTACAATTCAGAATACTCATTTAAACATCCCCTTCTTCTCTTTCCATGGTTCATTATGCATACCATAAATCCCTGCATATTTTACATAAACTAAACCATTCAGTATTTCATTTTACGTCTATCAAAACTTATTTACCCTGTTGAATTTATCTTAATGCTGCCAACGTTTTCAAGAGTACATAATTTCCCCTCATATATTCAATAAACATTTTCCAGTCTTCTCTAAACATATGTTGTCTTATTCTACAAGTCTGCAAGCTGCGCATATTCTATCAGCTTAAGTTGCCATTCTTCTTTAGTTGAGACCTTGCTCGTTTTCCATCATACCAATGGATTTTGACAAGTGTGGTTTTTTGCTTGCCAGGATTTCCATGTCCCATTACAGCAGGGATGGGGAACCTGTAGCCCTCCAGAGCTGGTTAGCCAGCATGTTAATGGTCAGCAATGACGAGAACTGTAGTCTAACAGCATCTGCAGAGACACAGATTCCCCATGATCTGTGCTTTACAATTTCGCTGATGTGCCACTTCACTTTCACAAAACACCCCCATCCAGATGAAATTCTGTAGGGTGAATCGGTGTAAGCAGGAAATGAGCTGCGTTCACCAGCTCCGACACCCTCATGGCAGTCTACTAGCTTGCCCCACTTCCTGAAACATATGCAGACACAGCAGAAGTGTCAATAGACAGCAAGCAGGTATTGCATGATGTCAGGACCAAGACCAACGTTAAAAAAGGTAAAGGTAAAGGACCCCTGACAGTTAAGTCCAGTTGCAGATGACTCTGGGGTTGTAGCACTCATCTTGCTTTACAGGCCGAGGGAACCAGTGTTTGTCCGCAGACAGTTTTTCCGGGTCATGTGGTCACCGTGACTAAGCCGCTTCTGGCGCAACAGGACACCGAAACCAGAGCAGCACACAGAAATGCCATTTACCTTCCCGCCAGAGTGGTACCTATTTATCTACTTGCACTTTTTGGCGTGCCTTCGAACTGCTATGTTGGCAGGAGCTGGGACTGAGCAACGGGAGCTCACCCCATCGCAGGGATTCGAACTGCTGACCTTCTGATCAGCAAGCCCTAGGCTCAGTGGTATAGACCACAGCACCACCCGTGTCCCCTGTAAGACCAAATTTACATATGAGTAAAGCTATGGTACATACCTTCCACACACCAGATGAGAAACTGGACCCTCAACTGAGTCAAGTTTTTCGGGGCCAGTCTTTAGGGCTGAAGAACTACGCCCGAGTTGTCCAGCGCTGTCATCTCCAAATGTGAATACACTGCCATTCTATTGAGAGTTTTTGGCAAAGCAGAGTTCTAGCATTAAACTATTATCACTCTTGTTAATAATGCCTATTGCACGTTTCCAGTTCCAAGAAAATAAGACGGTTCAAATTTCTCATTCCTCTTGCAACCCCACACACTGCTTTTGTAAATTATCTGCTATGAAGGGACTATAGCTCAGCAGTACAGCATGCAGAAGGTTTAAGAGTCAACCCCAGGTATCTCTAGGTAAGGGCTGTTCCCTCACTTTCAGGCACAATCTGGTGCTAGTCGACATCAAAAGGTTTGGGATGTACCAACCTGAGTGAGCACAGCAGTATGTTCATCTCCACAGCTGACGTAAATCACATCAAGTTTCCTCAGAGCAGCTATTGAGTGCGGTTTGAAGATTTGCTCTGTTGGAGAGGCATATTTGCTTATCATAATGAAATGCATTGTTATGTCCAATATTTTTCAAAAACTGTCATTATGCTACTTTCTGGTCAGATTTCAAATTCACTTCCTATCAAGGGAACCATCACCACTTTAGGCTAGATCAGAGCCAGAACAGCAAATTTTGGAAGTCTTTTTATTTAAAAAACTTAATATGCTTTTGTTTTGTTTTTTAAGTGAAAAAACAGGGCCTCAAACAAAGACATAACTATATAGGACAGATGTCATATTTAAAGGTCTGGTGAAGTGGTCTGAACACTAATTTTAAAGGAAGCTTCCGTATAGGGGCTTAATATCACAAGGGAGTTGTTGCTAACAGGTTCTCTCAACCAGAATTGGGAGAATCTAGATTAATTGAGGAAAACTATGGCTTATCTTGTGATGCCAACAACATTGTGTGGACACTGGAGAAAGGGGAGCCTTGCATGCATGAGGAGCACCTATTCCACAACCATCTTGAAGCACCCTAACTTGTTTATGCTCTGAAGGATGTTGTGGAATCATCAAAACCACTTCCACTTAGTTTTCCACCTCAATAGTCCTCGCTTCCTTGGGCAACCATTACACAACCAGCAAGTGGAAGCAACCAAGAGCTGGTCATCAAGTAAACATGATTTTAAAGGCCATGCTTACCTTTGGGGTCGGCCTGACTCAATCCCAGCTGGTGTGCGTTGTTCTTTCCCCATCCGTACACAACTCCGGAAAGGGACAGGGCAAAACTCTGTGACCCGCCAGCAGCCACTTGAGCCAACGGGATGCCGTCAAGAGCAGAAATTTGCTGTGGCCCAGCCTGGTTCGTGACTTCTTTACCAAGACCAAGCTGGCCGTGCGTGTTCTGCCCCCATGAGAAAACTCTGCCATCTTCATTTGAGGAAGAAGAGGAGGAAGAAAACAGATCACGTATTTACATGACAGTCTCCTCACAAGCTGGAAAGACCTGCAAACCTTTCTTCGTCAAGGGTACCATTTTCACACCAAGCTGCCTGCTGAAGAGCCCCTGGAAACACCAGAGGATTTCAGGGTCTATTCCAGAGCAGCTTTTCCCAACCTTGACAATCCTTCACCTCCCTTTGGGCTAAAGCTGGAGTTGAGATATCTCTGGTCTGTGGGCCTGACTAGTCCCCCCAAGCGTCCCCACTTGGCCCCACAAAAGGCCATTTCAGCCATGCCAACCCACCTATACTACATCAGGTTTGGGGCAGGGGAAAATAGGTGCCTGCAACGCCCTATGCAAAGCACTGGGCAAGACAGCAATATGAAAGAGGAGGAAAGGGTCACCTGACGTCATTGTGGTGTCATGTGAATGATAGGTGGGAGGCTCCACCCACCTATCGAGCTCCACCCACAAAGGGTCGGGGAAGTAACCCTTTTGCCCACTAGTCAGGGCCAGTTCCATACTCTGGGATTAAGGCCTGCCTAAGATTCCATTGAAGCCATAGCTCTATTGGTTAGAGCATGGTGCTGATAACTCCAAGGTTGCAGGTTCGAATTCCCATATGGGACAGGAGGGTGGACTGGATGATCCTCAGGGTCCCTTCCAACTCTACAATTCTATGATTCTATGACATTTTGAGACTCTATTATTACAACCAAGCATTTGAAGCAAATCATAGAAATGGGGCAAAGTTTGAAGTGAATGGTTACCTTTCGCCAGGGCTATTGAGTGATAGTTCCCACAAGCAACTTGTATTATTTTGTATTTAGACAAACCATCCACCTTCCTGTAAAAGTTATGGAAAGAAAAGTTTAGATTTTACAATTCAGAAAAAAGTACTGAGACAGAATAAATTTATGAAGTCAACATGCTTAGGGTTATATAGTAATTAGGGTTATTTATTAAACATGTTTAGGGGAAGCAGTCTTATTGTGATTGACACTTTTAGAATGGGGGTTTAGGCATTTAAACAGGTTGATGTTGTTTTCTTTTTTAAAAAAAAAGGGGCGGTGGTCAATTGGTCTGGCAAATAATGGTAAACTATTTTTAAAGCATTAAAAAAAAGACAACCAGCAAGTTGCTAATGTGCCGATGACAAAATAAATCATTGCTATTTTAAATCAATGATTATAACTGAATGTTATGATAAATTTCCAGAAATGCAGATGACTCATTGAAGCAGTCGTTCTCTTTAGCTTTTAACCAGAACACCAGGGTCAGCCTACAGCAGTAATATGTATTCTTAAAGAAAATAACAAGCAAAAGGTAAGAAGGAGAAGTAACAGTGACTATTACAAAACTGAAACAAAGTTTAAAGGCAGCTGTGCTAAGCAAGCAATCAGCCAGGGAGAAGCATTTCCTTCCCCAGGATTTTGACTACAAGCAGCTTTCTCAGTTTTTTCTTATCTGCAAGAAAGGAAAGCCATATAGTTTGATAGCAGCACCCATGGTTTGCATGCAGAAGGTCCCAGGTTCACAATTCCTAGCATTTCTAGGTAAGGAAAGGTGAGCAGATTTTGAAGAGGCAAGTACAGCCCAGATCTGAGGCAGAGGAGAAAAAACCTCCCAAGGCTGTCAGGAGAAAGCATAGGTGAAAGGAGATTTGAACTCCCCTTTCCCTGGATGAAGTCAGTACAGTTGGACCTTGGAAGTCGAACGGAATCCGTTCCGGAAGTCCGTTCGACTTCCAAATCATTCAGAAACCAAGGCACGCCTTCCAAGCTGGACGTTCAGGTTCCAAAGAACGTTTGCAAACCAGAATACTAACTTCCGGGTTTGCGGAGTTTGGGAGCCAAAACATTCGACTCACAAGGCGTTTGTCAACCGAGTTACGGCTGTATTCCCACATTTACAACACAACTCTGTTTTGGCAAGCGCCGAGAGTATTATTAGCTGCTTACTTTGGAATCAGACGCTCTTTTAATTCTCCGGTGCCCAGCTGTCCAAAAGCTCCAGCTCCCCACGAGAAAACTCTTCCATTGTTGCAAACGGCCAGTGAGTGCTCCTTCCCACAACTTATGTGGACAATGGTTTGTGTTTCCAGTGCTTGGATTTGCTCTTTCAGAGATGGACACATAAAAAAGAACATTCATTTGTGTAGCCAGAGGGGTCATTGACATATTTAAACCGTCTAGAAAGGTAAATGGTGATTACTTGGGTTCATGAACTCCCCCATTTGTGAGTCAAGATACCCACGGTTTGATCTTGGTTTATTTTGGGTGATTATAGTTAGAACAAACCATAGGTCCTCAAGTTTGAAGGCCATAAGTTACAGCAAGAGTGGAGGATTTTGATCTCAAAAAGGTGGAGGGCACACACTCCAGGCTTGTTTCTATTAATGCTAAACCATGGTTTAATATTTGGACATGCCACTCAATGTGATTTTTAAAAAATGACCAGCAGCCTCATACCTGGTGTTGCTTGGCAATTCTAAGAACACCCCCCCCCAAAAAAACCCCCACCCCAGTGCAGTTTTGAAACAAGTGGTTAAAATCAGAGCAGTCTTCAAAGGATCAGTCTGCCATCTTCAATCAAAATGGCATCCATTTGCATCCAAATATAGACAAAATCCTGCTCCTTGACTTCAGAAACCACCCTGCAAAGTTAGAAGTAACGAATTAGCAGGTGTCCAAATGAATAGCAAACAGATGAATAAACAACTTTCCAAGATATATAAATCTATTATTTATTGCACGATCTATATAAATGGCATTTTTTTTTGCAAAGAATAGATATGATGGGTCAACTCTCCCAAGCACATACTACCCAACTTTTGGGGGATGAGAAAGCAGGACACCCGCACACTCTTTCTGCTAGACAGATGCGCAATTTGAAAACAAAGAAAAAAAAAGCATTCTAAAAATGTTCTTAAAAAACAATGCCTGTGTAAAGCATCTAAAAGCAGTTAAAAACATTATTCCTTTCAGTGATCTCACAAGTTGGCAGGTTCAGTGAGACTGCAGTTTGGTGCAGGGAAACAAATCAGGTAATAGCCCATGTGGTATGGGGTCAAAGAGACCCCATCCGCTTCTATAATGTGTGTGTCAGGAAGGTAAGAAAGAAAACTTGAAACACAGAAGGGGAAAACAACCTGGCTGTGCAGATTTGGTGAGAACAAGAGAGAGGGAAATCTTCCTCTTCCTAAGGGATGGTAAAGGTAAAGGAACCCCTGACCATTAGGTCCAGTTGTGACCGACTCTGGGATTGCGGCGCTCATCTCGCTTTATTGGCCGAGGGAGCCGACGTACAGCTCGGTCCGGGTCATGTGGCCAGCATGACTAAGCCGCTTCTGGCAAACCAGAGCAGTGCACGAAAACACTATTTACCTTCCCGCTGGAGTGGTACCTATTTATCTACTTGCACTTTGACGTGCTTTCGAACTGCTAGGTTGGCAGGAGCAGGGACCGAGCAATGGGAGCTCACCCCATCGCGAGGATTCGAACCGCCAACCTTCTGATCAGCAAGTCCTAGGCTCTGTGGTTTAACCCACAGCGACACCTGCGTCGTAACAATAGAAAGGCAGTGACCAACAACAAGTACGTAGTTGCATGTGTTCCATTCCTTTTCTAAAGGCAGTCTTGGATTAATTACTGCTTCCACGCTCCTTGTGAAAGCAATATTTTCCAGGAAACTTATTTGCTGAAAAGAGCGTGATGCGAAATGGCAAAGGGTCATCAAGCCTCCACTTGCAGAGCCGTCTAGTTTTTTTGTTTTTTTCTGGGAGCCTAATTTCAGCTTGGACAAGTGCCAGGAGCAGACAAAAAACCCTCATCATCTCAAATAACAGGGAGACCAGCTGGTGGCAAGAGCGCGCAGAAGAGAGGAAAGGAAACCGAAAGTGTCTTTGCAAAGCGCGCCTACTCACCAGAGGCTCTTACAGAAGGATGCGAGTCAAGGCTGAGAAGCGGAAACTGAAACTTAAAAGGCTCTCTCAGATACAGCGGTGACTCATCCCTACGTGGCGGGGAAAGGGCTGAAATATTTTCTCTCGGTGGGCGAGAAGAAGAGCCCCCCACCCCAAACCACTTTAGAAGCAGCCGAGTGGTGCAGTGGTAAAACTGCTAGCACATTTGCTAAGCAAGGTCTGGTATGGGTTCAAATTGGATGGTGTGGACCAGGGGTTGGAATAGATGGTCTTTGGCGATCCCTTCCGACTCTGCCATTCTAGGATTCTATTTAATTTCAAGCCCCCAACCCCGGGGGTGTCCCCTGGTAGGAATGGAATGGCTTGCGTTTCCCCACAACATCCTTTAGATGTTTGCCCCCCTCGCAGGTTTGTGTGTGTGCGTTTCCAGTCTACAAACAGGAAAAGTTGGAAGGAAGGATCCTTAGGATACAGTATTATACACAAAGAGGGACGAATATCCCAGCTCAACAAAGGGGGGGGGGGAGCGAAGTTTTTGCCTTTGCCAGGGGACGTCTACTTCATTTTTTTCATTTTCACCAACAATGTTTGCATGCCCGGCCAGGAATATACGGGCAGCTCACATCAATGCATATATTATTATTATTAAACCGCCCTTCACCCGAGGATCACAGGACGGTTCGAAACACAAAGTGACAAAATGAAAACGCAAAACAAGACAATAAAACAAAAGCAAAACAAACCAATACCCCCCCCCAAAAAGCAGCATTTAAAATATTCTTTCTGGCTTCCTTAGGAAGGAAGTGCAAGGAGGAAGATGCTCCGTTCACTCGACGGGGCGGGTGATCTCTTAGGATCGGGGCCTCCCCTCCTTCTCTCCCCTTTGTGATGGAAAGAGATTTCCCAAATTTAGAAACTGCGAAGTGAGAAGAGGGTTAGAGATGGTCGCTCGGGTAGAAAAAGACGCGCGCGCCCCCCACGCCGACCCTTCGTGTAGTGTCCCTACCTGGAACGTGGGCGCGCCGCTGCCCCGGGGGGAGCCTCCTGCCCAGCTGCCCCTGGGCGTTGTCCCCGCAAGAAGCCACGCTGCCGTCGGCCCGAAGCAGCAGCGAGTGCCGCTCCCCGCAGGCCACCAGCACCACCTCTGGCCCGCCGGGGGCTTCGGGGGCCCGCCGGAAAGGCAGCGGCTCCGAGACCCCGTCCTCGCCCAGCCCCAGCTGCCCGAAGGAGCCGTTCCCCCAGCAGCACAGCATCGTCGGCATCCTTGCTCCCTCCCTGCTCAACTCCGGTTCAACTTTCCTCCAGCTGGCTGAGCACCTCTTGCGCGCAACTGAGCTCGGGCCTGAATAGTGGCCAAACCGCGCCGCCTCTCCCAGAGGGCCCCGCCCACAAAAATATTCGGAGGATCGGAATCGGGGAGTGAAACTTAGAATGACAGCATCGTGGAGTTGGAAAGGGACCCACCAGGCTCATCTATTCCAACCCCCTGCGTTGCATCCCTCTCCTTGCTGGAGGAGTAGGGAGTTTCCTTTTTGCTTGTCACACAGCTCTTAAAACCGCAGGAGGAGGGATAAGAAGACCTTTTTAAAAAATAAATGCAGGTATTGTTGTGTGTGTTTTCCCCCCTGTTGGCAAGCGTACTGTATTTTTATCTCTTCCATATTTTTATTATTATTGATACAGCAAGAAAAGAAGAAAGAGAAAACACAAATACCAAATTACACACAGGAATAACCATAGACACATAATTTTCTTAACAAACGATAAAACATAAATTGGTCTTAACACTAAAGACCCAACTTCCCGTCTATTCCATATTTCGATTTCATATTACTTATTGCCAATACACACTTTTATCATAATTAAACTTTTTCTTAATATATCTTAAATCTTATATCTACTTTGCAACTATTACTGAAGATGCTGCATGCTGTATTTCTAAAGCGCTGCACACCTTAGGTTGCAGTGCGTCAACCCCCTGCCAGTGCACTGTAACACTTGTTGCTGCAAGAAGTCACACTAACTGATTTTCAGCCTGTTAGGTAAAGGTAAAGGTACCCCTGACCAACTCTGGGGTTGCGGTGCTCATCTTGCTTTATTGGCCGAGGGAGCTGGTGTACAGCATGTGGCCAGCATGACTAAGCCGCTTCTGGCGAATCAGAGCAGCGCACGGAAACACCGTTTACCTTCCTGCCAGAGTGGTACCTATTTATCTACTTGCACTTTGATGTGCTTTTGAACTGCTAGGTTGGCAGGAGCAGGGACCGAGCAACAGGAGCTCACCCCATCGCGGGGATTCGAACCGCCGACCTTCTGATCGGCAAGTCCTAGGCTCTGTGGTTTAACCCACAGCGCCACCCACGTCCCTCTTTCAGCCTGTTAGGTGGCTTTTAAATGCACAGGAGCCTTGTAGCAAAGCGGTTGTAATTGAAAACTAATAAAAAATGTTATTTAAAAAAAAGCAGCAAAGTGATGTTTTCAAACTATAACTCCACTCTGCTCTCCGCACCAACTTTGCCCCGTGTTGGGCAAAAGATTCCTACATTGCAGGGGGTTGGATGATGACCCTGGGGTCCATTCCAACTCTACAATTCCATTACAGTGGTACCTTGGTTTACAACCATAATCGGTTCCAGAGGTCTCGTTGTAAACCAAAACAGGTTGTAACTCAAGGTGCGCTTTCACCAATGGGGCCTCAAAAAGGGGGGGTGTAATCCCCCCAAAAATGGGTTGTGATCCAAAAAAAGGGATACACACTTCTGGGTTTGACATGGTTGTAATCCAAAACGGTTGTATTCCAAAGCGGTTGCAAACCAAAGTACCACTGTATTCCGTTCTCTGTTACACTCCCCTTTTCTCCTCATTTCCCACCTCATATCTATTAGTCCCCTTTCCCCACATCTCTTAATTTCCCCTGTTCTTCCCACAGTCTTTGTTTTGGCCCTGTTTCAGTCATCATCCCTATCTCTTGCCTTATTTTACTCTTTGCTGGATTTGGCTGCAAATAGCACACTAAGCTTGCACTCCCACTGGAATTCACAGAGTGAGGGAGTCTTAGCTGCGGGTGGATCCTGCAACATAGCTAGCTTTCGCATCTTGCCTGGCTGGCTGCACCTGGCTGGAAAATGAATGCCACTTTAGGGTGGCCAGATATGGTTGGGGAAAGGGCAGGGCAGTTTGTCTTGCAAACTTGAATGGTTGCACAGAAGGAATTCAGCAGGAGCAGTTTGTCATGCAAAAGACACTTGATGAAATTCCCTCTTCCACACTCCTATCAGAGGTGCAGAAGATTCCTTTAATTTTCCATCTGGCTGCAAATGTGCTCCAGTTGGAGAACAGCCTTTACCAAAGGTGTCATGGACTTTGAAAATGCTCAAACTCAGGACGAAAGGGAGAAACGTGCTAAGAGGAAGGCAGGTTTGGCAAACCCTCACCGTGATCAACTCCCTTCCAGATACAGTGGTACCTCGGGTTACATACGCTTCAGGTTACAGACTCCGCTAACCCAGAAATAGTACCTCGGGTTAAGAACTTTGCTTCAAGATGAGAACAGAAATCGTGCAGCAGCGGCACGGCATCAGCGGGAGGCCCCATTAGCTAAAGTGGTGCTTCAGGTTAAGAACAGTTTCAGGTTAAGAACGGACCTCCAGAACGAATTAAGTTCTTAACCCAAGGTACCACTGTACCTATGTCCCCACCATGGAAGGACGTGTGGATCTAGAATTGGCCTCCACAGTCACTTGCAGACTCACTCTTAAGACCGTGTTCATGGAAGACAATCTTGGCTTTGAGTGATCGCCAAAGAAGAAGAAAGAAGGGTGTAGCTGGGGGGGCAGCTGCCCCCCTAAATAAAAATAAATAAAAATATATAACAAAGTGAGGTTCTGCCCCCCCCCCCAACAAAAGGCCTGCCCATCCCCAAAATACTGGCTATGCTCATGGCAATATGCCAACATTACTGCCTGGAGGCAGAGAAGAAACAGTGGCGATAGTGTCATAAGTTTGTGGGTGGCTGTACTCAGTGGCGTAGCGTGGGGGGTGCAGGGGGGGCCGGCCGCACCAGGCGCAACATCTGGGGGGCGCGCGCTCGCACTCGCATCTCTCTGCTCCTACCTGGCTCACTCACTCTCTCTCACTGCAGTGCTGGCTGTGCAAATCCGATCCGAGCCACTGGGTCGCCGCCCACTGTGGAAGGGGTGGGTGCCAGGCGTGCGGTGCGGAGAGAGAGTGAGGGACTATCTGGGGGAGGGACAGTGCAGCGGCCGCCCAGCGCAGCGCTGAGTGCGGGAGAGAACCACACCAGACCAGCCCAGGCAGCAGCAAGAAGAAGCTGGCAGCGGCGGCAGGTTAGGGGTTAGGGGGCGCAAATTACTTGCCTTGCCCCGGGTTAGGGGGCGCAAATTACTTGCCTTGCCCCGGGTGCTGACAACCCACGCTACGCCGCTGGCTGTACTCCCTTTCTAATTCTGGGGTGCCAGACATTGGATTTAGCATGTTAAAATATAAGGCGTGTTTAAAAATAAGGCTGGCTGATGAAGTCATCGCCTGGAGGGACAGGCCATTGAAAAAAGCACAAAGAAATGGCTGATGACCCATTAAGAAGGCCATAAGCAGAGACTCTCTGGGCCAGAAAGCAAATGGGGAAAACCCCTCCCAGAGTTAGCAGAGACAAAAGGACAGAGTTTCAGGAGGGAGGGGCAGAACTGCACAAGCTGAGGCAGAATCAGGGCCTGCCTAATGGAAGGGCAAATCCTGATTCTAGCCTTAGACTAGCAGGGTTGTTTTTGTCACTGCACAGTATTTAATGATACATTGCCCCAGCAGAGGGCAGTGCACACCCAAAATATTTCAACTTGGTGGAAGTCTTACAACAAATCCAGCTATTTGCACATTGTAATGCAAGTCATTGAGTCAGAACGGTTCCACTGAGTTAAAGTGAAATGCAAATGCATATTGAATTGTGGCTATAATCCTGGAGCACTAAAAGACAGTTAAGCCAAGTGAACTCAGTGGAATTTACTTCCGAGTAAACGTGTCTGCTAGTGGGCTGCACATCTTCATCCTCACGTAACTTAAGATGTGCATCATCACTTGTTTCCATCTTGCAGAAGGGAAATTGGGCTGAGAGAGTTCTTGTGTTAGCAGGTGAGAAGGGAATCTTGACTGATGAAGTCATGGATGCTTTAGCTGAGATTCCTGCATTGTGTGAACAGCACCTATCACACACAGAGACACATAGGCCACCACCAACTCTACACCTGATGCTCTCACACTGCTAGTTTTTTTAAAGCTGCATACACATGACATTAGCCACATTCACATTAATTCTGTAGTTTCTTGAGAAACATTGCTATCTGATGTCTTTAATCCTCAAACCAGCTTCAGTCCGACTAGAAAACTTAAGACCACCTGTTTCTCAAAAGCCCCCTACTTATGAAAATGTTACAGGTATCTGTGGTAGTTTTTGTTATGCAAATGGTGCCACCGTACCCTCCAATATGTCCTAGCACAAAACTGAGACACTCTGCTCTGCAAGTCATGTGGTCCACGCATTTTTGGACACTGTGCTCTCACGCGAGAACACAGCCCCCTAAAATGGGGCTGTCCTGGACAGTTGGTGGATATGCTCCACCCTCAGTGCTATTTTTCTAGAAAAAGAGGTGCTGGAACTCACCCCAAATGCCTTCCTTATTCTCTTATCATGGCAATAATGCCCACTTGAGAGGTGCAGGAACTGAGTTCCAGTGAGTTCTGGCTGGGGGAAAAAAAGCCCCGATTAAACTCCATAGGATTTACTTTTGAGGAGACTTTTTTTTAAGATTGCACTGTCAGGTAATTTATTTCCTGTAGCCCCATCCTGAATAAGGTAACTCAGAAGTAAATCCCACCAAATATAATTCTCTTTACTTCCAGGCAAGTATGCCTGGGAATGCAGCCACTTATGTGTATTTTGAAATCGAGGCAGGCTTTATTTTTGTCAGTGTGTACAACCCTGAACTTTCATACCATTGACTTGGCGGGTGAGAAAAGCTTATGTCATTTGAGCTGCTGGTTTAATTTTTGCTTGTTTGCTTAATTTTTTTTGTTTTGCAGGGGAGTGTTACTCTCTCTCCCAGGGACACTATTTCATTACTGATGAAACATCCCTTCAAATATGCAGCTGGTAAAAATAAACTTCCAAATAACCACCTATAAAGAATCCTAGAAGGTTTGTGAGAGGGGGATTGATGGCATCATGTTTTGCACCCCTAATATATTTATGTGGTTGACATGTGTCCTTCAGCTCTTGCTAGTGTTATAAGAATAAAAACTGCTCCTTTTCCCATACAAAGTCCTTTTTTAGGTTCTCTATCGGTAGGAGAAAATAACAGAGGCAAACCAGAGAATATTGAGAAAGCGGCTAGTAAGTCTGATCTTTATTAAAGCTGTTGCAACAGGGTGCTCCCTTCACACACAGGAGAGGGGGAAGGACCCCGAGCACAGGCGTGCAAGCCCTTATATAAACATTTGAAATTGCCCACCCTGGAGAACAAGACCACCCCCAGAAACATCATACATACATCACAGAAGGGGTGTAGCCCAAAACCACCTCCTAGATACATCATACCTACATCACATAAAAGGCGGTCTACAACAGAAATCTGAGTGCATTGTTTTTATCATGTCTGCCAGGTTACCTGTTAATGGCCATTTGACTGGATTATCTGGGGAGACTGGCCATTATTTTGTTATGATAACTACTGGGCTCACACCCTATTCGTATCTTAAACGTGCCCTTAAGACAGGATTTGTGAGCGAAGAGACAATGGGGAGATTTCCCATTTCCTTCGACGTTGCAGGTCATTTTGGGAGAGAGAAAATGGTTTCAGGCGTTTTCTGTGGGTTTCAGACATGTGGTTTATATATTTGTATGTGTTTGATTGGTACATTTATGAACATCTAATATATATGGACCATAAAAAAGCTGGACCATAAAGAAGGCTGATCGCTGAAGAATTGATGCTTTTGAATTATGGTGCTGGAGGAGACTCTTGAGAGTCCCATGGACTACAAGAAGTTCAAACCTATCCATTCTGAAGGAAATCAGCCCCGAGTGCTCACTGGAAGGACAGATCCTGAAACTGAGGCTCCAATACTTTGGCCACCTCATGAGAAGAGAAGACTCCCTGGAAAAGACCATGAGGTTGGGAAAGATTGAGGGCACAAGGAGAAGGGGACGACAGAGGACAAGATGTTTGGACAGTGTTCTCGAAGCTACCAGCATGAGTTTGACCAAACTGCGGGAGGCAGTGGAAGACAGGAGTGCCTGGCGTGCTCTGGTCCATGGGGTCAAGAAGAGTCGGAGACGACTAAATGACTAAACAACAACAACATATATGACCATAAAATTATTATAACACTTGCCTTGTTGGAGAATAGAGGGGAGGGGGTGACTCCATGTAGAAACTACACTACCACACAAAAGTGAAATGTATATTTGTTACTCTAGCCACCTTTGCTTCTGTGCCACTCACCCTAGGCACATGGGCCTCAGAAGGTCACTCAGAAGAGTTAAAAGAAAAAGCTCCCCTTCCCCAGTTTACAGCATACCAAGACCCTCATCTATGCATGCCACTACCAACATCTCACCCTCTTGCCGTTTGTAGCATGTCCAGCACCTGTTACTGACGCCACTTGCAAATTTATTGCGTATTCCCTCCCTGTCTCGTGCTTGTTGGCTGCAGTCAGTTATATGGAGGGTTATATGTGGACTGGGTCCTCCTCTGTGGCGATGTAATTTCAGCTTCGGGCTACGCTTCACTCATGAGGCACTGTGACAGCAAGGAACATGGAGCTGAAGATTCCACAGGGACAGCAGATTCCATAGTTTAACTCTGCATTGTGCGAAGAACTTTCTCTCTCCTGAGCCTAGCGGCATTCAGCTTCATGGAAAGACCTGTAGCTGTATTATGTTACAGAGAAGCAGGAAAAATAATAATTATCTGCTTTCAATTCATATATGACCAGAGATTTAATTAAGGGGGAGGGAGTGTGGTGTGCTGGTAGTCAGAAAAGCTCCCTGTTGCAATTAACCTTCTCTCCCTCCCTCTCGGGACGCGGTGGTGTTGTGGGTTAAACCATAGAGCCTAGGGCTTGCCAATCAGAAGGTCGGCGGTTTGAATCCCCGCGACAGGGTGAGTGCCTGCTGCTCGGGCCCTGCTCCTGCCAACCAAGCAGTTCAAAAGCACACCAAAGTGCAAGTAGATAAATAGGTACTGCTCCGGCGGGAAGGTAAACGGCGTTTGCGTGCGCTGCTGTGGTTCACCAGAAGGAGCTTAGTTATGCTGGCCACATGACCCGGAAGCTGTCTGTGGACAAACGCCAGCTGCCTCGGCCAGTAAAGCGAGATGAGCACCACAACCCCAGAGTTGTCCACGACTGGACCTAACGGTCGGGGGTCCCTTTACCTTTACCTCTCCCTCTCTGTATGTAAAATCAATGTGTGATCTCCACAGACAGGACCAGCGAGGGACTTGGGTTGTCAGGGTCTGGCTGGATGAGGAGGAGGGGTGGGAAGCACCAGCCAGGGAGCCCCCAAGTTGCTAAGGTGGTTGGAAAGTGCCTTGTACGCCTCCTTATGGGAACTGCTGCAGCCAACTGGTGCCAAACATATAGCTCTGCTTTCTTTTGGACCTGTTGCAGGAATTTATGTATAGGTTGGGGGGGGGTTGCCCCTCCAGCAGATATCATGCACATGCAGCCCACTACCAAAATCAACACAATCACTTTTGTGACTTTTGAGATTTGTCCCCACAAAACACTTCATCACAATTTCTTCCTATCTATTCAAAGGGCATCTGCTGCACAATACCAAATGTAACAATTCACTGATAAATGTATCTATGTACTGGCTCACTGGGGAAACATCAGACATTGATATAGACACGTGAGCTCAGCTACTGAGCAGCCCCTCTGCCTGAGTGGTAATTCCTGGCATCCTGATACCTGAGTGCCAGACAGGTAGCCATTCCAGAAAAAACAAACCCAGATGAAGACAAAAGGGTGTGATTAACTTGGCTGGGAAACAGGGAAATGCAAATATCTTTTTTGTTACACTTGATGGGTGTTTGGTGGAGGGCAAGGGGAACCATGGGGCAGGGTCCAGGATGCTCAGATTACTGCCATCAGACCTCCCCTTTCATGATGTAACCATGATGTATTAGTGATGTAGTTTGGGGGGTGTAACATGGGGATTAGCTGCTAATAAAAGTTTGGGTTCTTTTTTGTTCGGGGCTTCCATCTTGTTCCACCTTGTGGCAGGTGGGAGTCCTGTCATGACAGTCTTCAATAAAGACCAAGCCTACTGGCTGCTGTTTTGCTCTGGTATTCCTGGCTGGTTTCCTTGTTTTTTGTCCAAGGGAGCCCTCAGATTTCTCCGTTTTAACAGACCACATCGGCAAGAACCAAGATGGGGGCTTTTCGTCTGGGAAACCCAGGACCTCCATAAACACTGCCTGGGCTTGCACCCTGGGAAGGTCACTTCGCTGCTGCTTATGCACACTGCATTGTCTCTTGAGACAGACAGATGCCAACAAGCTGTTTAGGGGCTTTAAACACTAATGTAAAGGTAAAGGGACCCCTGACCATTAGGTCCAGTCGTGGCCGACTCTGGGGTTGCGGTGCTCATCTTGCTTTATTGGCCGAGGGAGCCGGCGTACAGCTTCCGGGTCATGTGGCCAGCATGACTAAGCCGCTTCTGGAGAACCAGAGCAGCACATGGAAATGCCGTTTACCTTCCCGCCGGAGAGGTACCTATTTATCTACTTGCACTTTGACGTTCTTTCGAACTGCTAGGTTGGCAGGAGCAGGGACTGAGCAACGGGAGCTCACCCCATCGTGGGGATTCGAACCACCGACCTTCTGATCAGCAAGTCCTGGGCTCTGTGGTTTAACCTACAGCGCCACCCGCATCCCCAAAACACTAATGTAAGCACCTTGAATTGGACCTGGAAATGAAGTGGCAGCCAGCAACAGCTGTTTTAAAAGAGAAGCTGTGTGGAGTTCTGAATTTAACCTCAGTCTGTAATCTCAAGTGCTGCATTTCGGATTAGCTTAAAATTTCCAACCCAGAGTCTTTACATAAACACTGCCTTATCTTTATTAGCAAAGAATGAGGCGGGTTCAACATGACATGTCAGTGAGTCATCCACGGTTGCTAGAGATTACAAGCAATTTAAGCTTTCACTGACAGCAAGACATGAGGAATGTAAACTCTCCTTTCCTCCTCAGTTGCTAATGTTTAGCCTTTAAATCATATATTTACTGTTGCTCTATTGTAAGAGGTGTGGGGAACAGCAGGAGACACAACCTTCCATGCTCTGATTTTCAGTAAACGGGAATGCTTTGAATCTGTGCAAAACCAAAACAACCTTCTTATGCATGCTAAACAACTCTCTATAGAAAAGACATTCTGTATGGTATTAAGGGGAATAAGCACACATTTCTAGAAGACACCAAACTGTATTAGCTGCCTTGTTGATGCAATTTTCAGCAGCAGTTACAGAGAGAGGAAAGACTTTGTCATTGGGTAAAGAACTGGCCAATAGCAATCCATGCCAGTTGCAACACCCATTCTGTGCTCTAATATTCTATTTTCAGAAGAAAGGAGGCAATTATCTGTGTGAAGCAGAGTCCAGTAGGTACTGATGGGTATTTAAAAAACAGACAAACAAGGACACCTATTTACCTTTCCTTTGCCTGGAGTATAATAAACGTCTCAATCTGGGCTGAAACCATGCAGTATCAAAGAGGGATATAAGTGTTAACTGCATATTGGACAGCAGCCTGGAGTTCAGCTTCCTTCTCTAAGGCTGAGAACTTGAGCCAAACAGCTTTCTAAAGGAATTTGCTAAGGAGACATGCATGTTAAGTAAGAGATAACCAGAAGAGCTTAGCGTTCTTTGCTATTGCTTTTTAAAAATTCATTTTTTTAAAAAAAAATTCTTATTGGGCAGCATTCTTTGGCTTAGAAAATAAATCCACAGTGTCCTCAATCATTAAATTGCTTACTGCACAGAAACCTATTACTTTACCGGTCCTGCCTGATAGTCAGACATTGGGAACTTGTTGCCTTTGGCATGTTGTTGGACTCTAATTCCCATTAGCTGCAGCCAGCATGGCCAGTGGTGAAGGATGATGGGAGTTGTAGTCTGGAAAGCAAGCAGAGGTTTCCCACCCTCCCATAGTTCATGGGAAATCAAAGCTCAAACACTAAAGGATAACTGGTGCAGGTTTCTTCCAGGGCCGGCCCAACCATGAGGCAAGGACTGCCTTAGGCGGCAGGATTTGCAGGGACAGCAGATCTCAATGTAGATCTTTATCCCCCGCCCCCCTTATTCCTGATGTAGATTTTCACTCACCCTTCTTCCCTGGTGGGGAGGAGGCCCCATTTTGTCATTCACTTCACGCCCCAGTCTTGGGCCAGCCCTAGCTTAAAGCTAAGAAGGTGTTGGTTTGCTGAATCTGGACTGAATTCAGCCTTCTCACAGGTGTTGGTAACTTAACTGGTTTATTAACAGGTTTTTATTCCATTCCAGGGCAGGACTCTTTAATATATGCCTGCCACAGCTTTTCTCCTAGGTCAGAGGTTTCCAAACTCTGGTCCATGGACCACCCGTGGTCTGTGAGCTTCATGCAGGTGGTCTAGGGCATGTGTATGGATTTGGAGTTGAAGGTGGGAGGCGATGCATCCACTGCATTAAACATCCTTATTGATTTTTAACTATTTTTATTGCATCTTTCATTTCTTATGTTCTATTTTATTGCATTACAGTTTGAAATCTATGCAATTCAAATTGCAATGCAATAAAATAAAATGCATAAGAAACAAACGAAGCAAAAAGGTACAGTTAAAAATCATACGGATCTCGAAAAGCACAATACAATTGTTACAGCAGGTCGGGTGGAAACATCATTAAGTGGTCTGCCAAGAACCTGAGCAATTTTCCAGTGTGCCATGGAACAAAAAGTATGGGAAACATTGAGGTAGGCCCTGGGAAGACTGTGAAAGAGGAGTTGGAGTTATTTGGGAACGGTGCACAGTATTTCACTGTGCCTGAGTGTATGTGGCCAATACACACAATACACATGGCCAGTTTCCCATAAACCCTATATGTACTGTCCTAAATTCTGTGGAAGCAGAGATACATACATGTAGCCTTTTGGAGTAACATCAACCTCTTTTTTTCTTACAGATAATTACTGCAGCTTGAACACCTCTTTGCATTTCAGCTTCAGGATCAGAGAGAAGAATCCCATGGAAACATATCACATTACAGAACTGGGTTGTTGTTGTGGTTTAGTCGTTTAGTCGTGTCCGACTCTTCATGACCCCATGGACCAGAGCATGCCAGGCACTCCTGTCTTCCACTGCCTCCCGCAGTTTGGTCAAACTCATGCTGGTAGCTTCGAGAACACTGTCCAAACATCTTGTCCTCTGTCGTCCCCTTCTCCTTGTGCCCTCAATCTTTCCCAACCTCATGGTCTTTTCCAGGAGTCTTCTCTTCTCATGAGGTGGCCAAAGTCTTGGAGCCTCAGCTTCAGGATCTGTCCTTCCAGTGAGCACTCAGGGCTGATTTCCTTCAGAATGGAGAGGTTTGATCTTCTTGTAGTCCATGGGACTCTCAAGAGTCTCCTCCAGCACCATAATTCAAAAGCATCAATTCTTCAGCGATCAGCCTTCTTTATGGTCCAGCTTTCACTTCCATACATCACTACTGGGAAAACCATGGCTTTAACTATACGGACCTTTGTTGGCAAGGTGATGTCTCTACTTTTTAAGATGTTGTCTAGGTTTGTCATCGCTTTTCTCCAAAGAAGCAGGCATCTTTTAATTTTGTGGCTGCTGTCACCATCTGCAGTGATCATAGAGCCCAAGAAAGTAAAATCTCTCGCTGCCTCCATTTCTTCCCCTTTTATTTGCCAGGAGGTGATGGGACCAGTTGGGAGAGCCAAGCAAATAAGGAACAGAATGAATGGAAAACAGAGCAGTGCTGTTTCTATGGTAGTTTAAGAGATTAACCCCTAGAACATTGCTATGCACTCCTCACTTTCACAAGCAACAAGAGGTTTCCTTTGGCTTACAGTGGACTGGAGATTTAAGTGCCTAGGTAATATTTGCTTGGGAGACGCGGGTGGCGCTGTGGGTAAAACCTCAGTGCCTAGGACTTGCTGATCGTATGGTCGGCGGTTCGAATCCCTGCGGCAGGGTGAGCTCCCGTCGTTCGGTCCCAGCTCCTGCCCACCTAGCAGTTCGAAAGCACGTCAAAGTGCAAGTAGATAAATAGGTACCACTTTATAGCGGGAAGGTAAACGGCGTTTCCGTGTGCGGCACTGGTGCTGGCTCGCCAGAGCAGCTTCGTCACGCTGGCCACGTGACCCGGAAGTGTCTCCGGACAGCGCTGGCCCCTGGCCCCTTGAGCGAGATGAGCCCGCAACCCTAGAGTCGGTCACGACTGGCCCGTACTGCTTGTTTTTTAAAATATATATATACAAGGAGGCTGTAAGTAGAAGCAAACGACACTCCTCCACAGCAGCCAATATGCTCTCATGTGCTTTAACTTTGTCAACTTACACCTGTCTTCAAAACTGCCTGCATAATCTGCTGAAGAAGAAGAAGAGTTTGGATTTGATATCCCGCTTTATCACTACCCGAAGGAGTCTCAAAGCGGCTAACATTCTCCTTTCCCTTCCTCCCCCACAACAAACACTCTGTGAGGTGAGTGGGGCTAAGAGACTTCAGAGAAGTGTGACTAGCCCAAGGTCACCCAGCAGCTGCATGTGGAGGAGCGGAGACGCGAACCTGGTTCCCCAGATTGCAAGACTACCGCTCTTAACCACTACACCACACTGGCTGAGCACTAGTCACAACCCTCTGTATTTGCAGGAAACATCCACAGCCATGAAGCTTAAGGAACACTTAATTTCTGCCTCTAGGGTCACAAAAGTCTGTAAACATAACCACCGTGATAGACCAGCTCGCAGTAACCAGAACAGCAAACATACCAATGTGTTGCTACTTGCTTGCATTTCAGTGGCAAGATCAGAGCACTATTGCATCAGGCCCTGTCTAAAATGACACATAATTCGCACCTTGTGGAGACTGGAACCTGAATGTAGAAAATCTCCATTTTCCCAGGGAGTGTAAGGAGTTCCTGAAATGGGTCAGGGAAGACCCAGCTGCGGAAAAAGCAAATTCCTTGCCAGGGATCATTAAGAAAGTAACTGAAAACTAGTGATATCATAATGACTTTAAAGTGTATTATGTGACCCCATTTGGAATACTATACAGTTGTGGTTGCTTCACCTCTTAAAAAGGATAGTGTGGAGTTTGAAAAGTTTCAGAAGAGGAAAACCAAAATGATCAAGGGCGGGAGAACTCCCATATGAGGAAAAGGTTTGCATTTGGCATTTGAGCTCCTGGGCTGAATGTTGGAAGATTCAGGACAAAAAAAAGTACAGTCGTACCTTGGAAGCCGAACAGAATCCATTCCAGAAGTCTGTTCGACTTCCAAAACGTTTCAAAACCAAGGCAAAGCTTCTGACTGGCTGCAGGAAGCTCCTGCAGCCAATCGGAACCCGCAGAACCCACATCGGACGTTCAGGTTCCAAAGAATGTTCACAAACCGGAACACTCACTCTTGGGTTTGCAGCGTTCAGGAGCCAAAACGTTCGAGTCGCAAGGCGCTCGACTTCTGAGGTACGACTGTACTTCATACAGTGCACGGTATAACTGCACTCCCCACACTTATGCCCCCTGGCAACTGATATTCAGAGGGCTACTGACTCCAATACTGGAGATAGGATGCAGCCATAATGACTCGCAGCCATTGATAGCCTTATCCTTCATCACTTTATCTAATCCCCTATAAATTTATCTAATCTCCTTTTAAAGTCCAAGTTGGTGGCCATGACTACATCTTGTGCTACTGAAGTCCAAAGTTTAATTAAGTGCTGTGTGAAGAAATACTTTCTTTCATCCATTCTTAATTCTTCCAACATTCAGGTTATCTGGAGGACGCCTGGGCTTCTAGCATTATCCCTAAAGGAGAAAAAACAAGTGCTGTATTTTTTCTCAACCTCATGCACAATATTACACACACCCTCTCCTTATTTGCTTTATTTCTAGACTGAAAAGGAATTGTTCCAGGCGCCTAATAATAACAATAACAACAATTTATTTATACCCTGCCCATCTGGCTGGGTTGGTCATTGTGGTTGCCGTTTTCTGAACCTTTTAAAAGTTCTACAGTATCCCTCTTGGGGTGCTGCGATCAGAACTGTACACAGTATTATTCCAAGTGTGTTCACGCTGTTGGAGAAATTTAAACGGAAGTTCCTAGAGTGGAGGTTACTGACACAGAAACCCAAAAGGAAAGGAAGCAGGCTTCAAGTCAAAAGGTAGGCCCTTACTGAAATAAAAATGTGCACAGGCACAGGCTCAAAAATATGGAGGAGGCTGCTAAGATCCACATCCAAAGCAATGTTTTTTATACACTTCCAAACGCGTCATTTCATTTCACCGAAGGATCACACAACAACCTTATGTCAAATAGTTGCAACCCACGCCATAGATCCGTAAATGGAAAGCTTGCTAATTATCCATCCTGCGGATAAAAACTGGGTTGCTATTTTCCCCTGTCCTGCTGCTCAGTTGGCAAGCGCAGCAGGCTCGCAGCTTCTGCGATGGTCACACGGGGGAACGTTTCAAGCCGAAAGCAAGCCGTTTGCACAGCCGGCTTCTGGCCAGGATTTGCAAGCGAGCGCTTTAACCCTCCACCCCACCTCGCACCCCTCCTAAGTGGCATGCAAATAAATATCAGGGAAGAGAGGGAGAAAACCGCCCAGCGAGCAAATGTAAGCGCTGCTACTATTGGCCCGTGCAGAGGGCGGGGAGGACCGGTGTCATTTCGCCGCGTTGCATCACGCGCCCCCGGGCCTCGAGCAAAGGAGCCCGCCCACTCCGAGGCGAATTTGGCCGGCAAAGGGAAGGGAAGGAAGGAGGCTCGCTCGGCTCCGCGGCTAAGATTGGCTCCGGGAGGCGGGCTGGGCCCTGCCTCGATAGGGCAGGAGAGCTGTCACACTCCTCGCCGAATCGAGTTTCTCGCCTTTTACGCACGGCCATTGCGCGCAGGGAAATATTTGGAGAATTCGCCGGGGAGAAGCGTGTCGACTGCTGGTTGCCACTGCTTTTCCTCCTCCTCCTCCTCCTCTTTGCACGGGTGGAGTGCTCTGGTCCAGCGGGAGAGGCAGGACCGGCCGCCTTGCTACGCATCTCCTCGAGGGCAAGCCTTGCCAGGTAACAAGAGAAAGCTCGCGCCTTCGCCAGCTGCTCGCTTGCTTCCCATTCAGCTTTCTTGCATTGCTTGCGCTTCCCAGGAAGCTACGGGAGGCGGCTGGAAGGTTGCAATTCTCCTCTGTCGCCGCCGCCTCCTCGCGTTGGCGCGCAGAAGGAACGTTTCCAAGCCGCCGTTCGTCCCCTATTTTATGCATCTTTCCAGGGCTTCCCGCCGAGGCGTCCTCTTGGTGCTCAGTTTTTGGTGTGGACATGCCCTGCTAAGGAAGAGGATGGGTTTCCCCACCTCCCTTAATTTCTGGGTTTTGTTGCGCGCTCGGTTGACAGGTTTGGCTTGCAAGCCTCGACCCATTTTCTCCAGGGTTGTCCCAAATTGCATGTATGCAGATTACTCACCCTGCTTGCAGGCCGAATTTGAATACAGCACTTGCTTGTGGAAAAGAGCCTGGCTGAACACAGTACTGTATATCACAAGCAAATGTGATTAGGACTGTATCGCTCGACGGCTACAGATGCTGCCGCCTAAAAACGTGGAGCGTTCCTCGACGGTCCAGTTTTAAAGTACCTTGGACGACCCTGTCAGGATCTGACTGAGGGCCGACCCAAGACTAATATTCTGTATCCTTCAGTTGCAAAAAAATACAATTATTTTTAATTAGCGTTTTCAAGTGTTCAGGGCCCTTTTGAAGCACAGAGCTGTAAGGGACACCCCAGGGTCATCCAGTCCAGCCCCCTTTCAATGCAGTTTCCACAACAACCCTGCGAGGTAAGTCAGCATTCTTATTACCCATAGATAGAGAGCTGAGGTCGAGAGACAGCCTTTGCCTAAATTCACGCCGTGAATACATGGCTCGGGCGAAATTTGATCCGGGTACCTCTTTAGCCACTATGATTCAGCGACTCTGGCTGCTGGTTTCCATGGCAGCTGATAGGCAGAGAGATACATTGCCTTTGAACCTGGACGTTCCATTTTAGTTGTTACGAGTAATAACTGTTTATAGACCCCCATAAATTTTATCTGCTCATTCCGCCGCCGCCCCCTCACCTGGCCACTAGTTTAAGTTCTTAACTGTAGAGGGTAGCTTGCCATTTAGAGACATGTGATCCAGCCCTTCACCTTGCATTCCTCTCCTTCCTATTATTTTTTAAAGACACATCATTCCCAGTTCGTTTGTTGCGCCTTTAAACCCGCAGGCTGCTCCGTTGCGCTTGCCTTAAAGCAAGAAAACGGGCTCGTGTTTCTTACTGGCTTCTCTCCAGGGGAAACATATGTGCGTGGTCCCCCCACCTTTATTTTGCGGCGGGTTTTTGTTTTGTTTTTAACAAGTATCCCCCACCCCCGCTCCGCCGGCAGTAGAATCGCGCGAGTTGGAACTCGGGACGGCCCTTCCCTCCGGGTCTCGACTTCACAGTCGCGTTTCTCCTTAAGGCGATGTTTGGTGCACACGAGGGTGCCTGTTTCTAGAAGAATCGCATGGAAGGAAGCCGTTGGCGGCAGCAGCTTCCTCCAGCGCTCTCGGCTGGCTGCGGTGCAAATGGCGCTTGCTTGCCAGGAACTCGAACAGGAGGGCGGGCTGGGCTGGTGCAGACGGAGCTGCGCAACAGCGGCGGCGAATGTTGGAAACCGCCGGGTTCTAGAACGCGAGCCCGGGGAATTCCAATTTGGAACGCGGATTCAAATTTGGAACGCAGCTGAAGCCGCTGGAAGAACGCCTGCTGTTCATCCCAAGGGGGGAAGGGAGGAGAGGCGTGGCTCGGTTTTCTCTCTCTTGCGTGCGCCTTCTCTCTTTACAAGCAAGGAGGCGGTGTCTTCGCTCTGGTGGAAGAGAAAATTTTCCAACTTGCGTGACGCAACCGATACGCCCATGGTGCCCTCCTAGTGGTGCAGCAAAATAATAATAATAATAATTGCTAGCGCATTTGCAAAACTAACCATGATCCAGGGGATGCGTTCAAATTGAATTGGGACCGCGTGTTGAGATCCCTGCATTGGCCTCGATGACCCTCGGGGGTTTCTTCCGTGTCTGATTCCTTTTGCTATTCGTGGAAACAGAGACACACCCCTGCGCTGACGTCAGGAGTTGTGCCCGCCTCAGTTAGGACCCCCTCTCCGATATCTCTCCTCCAGACCTCTGGAGTTGCTCCTCCTTGTAGCCTATTGACCTGCTTTCTCCTAAATCTGTCAGTAGTGCGAAGGAGAAGTTGCTTCCATATGCCAAGCCCTGGGCAGCTTTGTGGACACTGCTCAAAGAAAGAGGGCAGATAAATGGCCTGGAAGGGATGATAGTAGTGAAGCCCGCCCTCTCAGGGAATGTGTTGCCTGCCCCCCCCTTTGCATTTTATTTAAGGGCCCACCAAAATCTGGAACGAGCTCTGAATCTTTCTTTGAGACCTTGTGTAGGGGATATGAGCACTCAAAGCAGTAATTTGCTGTGCGTGGGAAAGTGGATTTCTCCCTTTGTCCATTGCCATTCCAAAGTGTTCTGGATTGACCTTTGAGTCCCTGCTTGAAAGTAGTATTAGACAGGGAGGTCTTTTTCCTATGGTGGCTCCATGCTTTTCAAACTCTTTGCCTAGATAGGTAGGTGTGGCTCTGATCTTTTTTCCATTTAATAAGACCTTGAGGATTCCCTGCTTCTCCCCCCCCCCCCATTGTTTTTAGTTGGTATTTATTTTAGTTGTTTGGTATTTAACTGCTACTTTTTAAATTCTTCGTTTTCTGCATTTGCTGCATACTTTCCTGTGCTGATTTAATGTTTTATTGCTGCCATAACCTGCTTAGATGTCTTAGTGTGGTTTTTTGAAATTGCACTTTTATGGCTTGCAAATTACCCTGCGGGTGAGTTTTGTGTTTTTATATCCCGTGAGTCACCTTGGTTAATCCCAAAAGGTGGCTTGTATAAGAATCTAAACAAATTAAAGTTTATGTCCAAATGCTCAAAGGCAGGCTTTCTCAAACTCGGCCCTCCAGATGTTTTTGGCCTACAACTCCCACAGTCCCTAGCTAGCAGGACCCAGTGGTCAGGGATGATGGGAATTGTAGTCACAAAACATCTGGAGGGCCAAATTTGAGAGAGCCTGCTCAAAGGTCTCTTCTCTCCACCCTGCCCCATTTGATCCTTGCCAACAACTGGAAGGTAGGTTAGGCTGCAAGAGAGGAACCAATCAAAAGTCACTGAGTGAGCTGGAATGGGAATTTGAACCCAGGACATTCTGCGTTTCAGTCGGCATATTTCAGAAAGTGCCAATAAGGTAGATTTGCCTTTAAATGCAAACTGATTCAAATTCCTCCCGCCTTCTTAAATGGATTGTAATGTCTTGTTGCCAGTTGGCATGGAATGCACCAATCCTGCTGGTCCTATTGCAGGGCTGAGAAAATAAAGTACCCACGAGCCAGCATTAGATGTGTTAGTGACTGGTTCGTACAGGTTTGACTTTGAACACATACACCCATGCAAGCATCACATAGGCAATTGTGACTTGCCAGCCCATAAACCCTGTGCAAGGCATCCTATTGCCTGGCTGGTCTTGAATCAAGACCCTGCAGCAGTGACAGCCAGGTAAATCCTTAGAAGTGCATGAGTTGCTCAGCTTTACATGCGAGTATGTTCTTAACTTGGGGCTTAAAGCTGTAAATAGCTTGCAGGATTTAATTTATTGAGAGAGTCCAAAAGCCTTTGTTGCCTCTCTGTATTGGGTAACTATGCAGATTATGTGGAAAAAAAGAAACCTGTGCTTGTGCAGCCAGCTATGTCTTTAAACAGGTGATGGGACAAGGGACTTCAAAGGGCAGTTGTTTTGCACCTCCCTCTTCCCAGGAGTGCAGTTTTTCTTACAGCAGTAATCAACACATTTATACACCCCGTAGTCCAGCCTTTTCTCAGCCTTGAGTCCCCCAGATGTTGTTGGACTACAACTCCTTCATCCCATCATAGTGACTGGGAGTGGCCGCCGAGACCACATAACACCGGTCTTGAAAGACCTACATTGGCTCCAGTACATTTCCGAGCACAATTCAAAGTGTTGCTGCTGACCTTATTAGCCCTAAACAGCCTTGGCCCAGTATACCTGAAGGAGCGTCTCCACTCCCATCGTTCACTGAGGTCCAGCGCCGAGGGCCTTCCCTCACTGTGAGAAGCCAAATTACAGGGAACCAGGCAGAGGGCCTTCTCGGTAGTGGCACCCGCCCTGTGGAATGCCCTCCCAGCAGATGTCAAAAAGATAAACAACTGCCTGATGTTTAGAAGACATCTGAAGGCAGCCCTGTTTAGGGAAGTTTTTAATGTTTGGTGTTTTAGTCATAGTGTGTTTTTAATCTTTATTGGAAGCTGCCCAGAGTGGCTGGGGAAGCCCAGCCAGATGGGCAGGGTACAAACAATAAATTATTATTATTATTATTATCCCTAGTTATTATTATTATTATTATTATTATCCCTAGGTAGCAGGACCGGCAGTCAGGCTGCTCCTAGTCACTGTGAGGTTTTTTGAAGCTCGGAGGGAGTGATCCAAATTTCCACATGGTAGAAATCTTCCCTGTTTCAAAGAATTTACATAAGCAATGCTTTGTAGCTTTTGGCTGCACTCTGAAGCAAGGTCATTCCTCTATAATCTTCCCACCTCAGCTTGTGTGAAAAAAACTTCCGCTGAACCTGTTTTAACCCTTCAGGCACTGCTGGCTGTTTACACACCTTTGCTGAAACATTCTTCTGAGCAGTAGGTGGAAAATTCCACCACTACCACTGAGCCAAAATCCCCAGTGGTAGGATCAGCTTCCTCTTGAAAAAGAACAGAACACTTAAAGGTATAATTGTGATTTTTTGTATTGACTCTGATCACACTGGTGGGCTTCTGGGACTCAGTAAAACCTTCCCCACAAAGTAATATTCGCTTTCTGCAGCTGTATGGTTGTTTGACTTATTTCCCCTCTGCTACTGATTCCTGTTTCTTGTGTCTTCCCTTCCTTTTGCTTTTTCCTAAGCAGCAGACGCGGGTGGCTCTGTGGGTTAAACCACAGAGCCTAGGACTTGCCGACCAGAAGGTTGGCGGTTCGAATCCTCACAACGGGGGTGAGCTCTCATTGCTTGGTCCCTGCACCTGCCAACCTAGCAGTTCAAAAACACAAAGTGCAAGTAGATAAATAGGGAAGGTGGCATTTCCGTGCGCTGCTCTGGTTCGCCAGAAGCGGCTTAGTCATGCTGGCCACATGACCCGGAAGCTGTACGCCGGCTCCCTCGGCCAATAAAGCGAGATGAGCGCCGCAACCCCAGAGTCGTCTGCGACTGGACCTAATGGTCAGGGGTCCCTTTACCCTTAAACAGCAGATAGGCAAATGTGCTCCTCTAGGAAGGCATAGCCCCCCAATGAAAGTTCCTAAGATGGAGCAACTTCATTTTAAAATTAATATGTTTATATAGGCAACTTCTTCTTCCAGGGAGCCAATTCTTGTAGTTGGCATTCAACAACATGTGGAGGGGTGACAAGTTGCCTATCCCAACGCTGAAGGCGCCCTAGTGTCCGTATTGGGAATTATAGTGGCTGGGTGGGGGCAGTGGATGAATGACTAAGCTCGTATTTAGAATTTTCTCCAACTGGAAAACTACCTGGGAGACCAGCTCAGATGGCTGCACTACCTGAAGAGGCAGGGCATAGGAAGACGAAAGGTGGAGTTGCAACTCGTGCTTCTCCTTGGGAACTGTGTATTCTGGTGACCTGGTGTCATTACAGGTCCAGACCTTTATATAAATAAATGTTGGCACAGCAACAGCGCTGGCTCAGCTACCTCTTGCCCTGTATCCAGTGGAGAACAGATCTCCATACTTACACCTGCAATCATTATGAATGTGGAAGTTCAGGTTTCTATTACCTTTTCATTCCGCCCTTGTTCAGAGTAGTTGTTCTTTTCCTCACCCCATTTTATCCTTTCACTTACTAACACTGTAATTTAGGAAGTGACCAGCCCCAGGACTACTTATCAAATTTCGGGGGGGGGGGAGGAGATTTGAATCTGGGTCTTCCTGTGGAGATGACACAGAGGGTTGTAGCATTCCTGAACTAGAAAACACAGGATACCTTTTTTGTGTGTGTGTGTGTGTTGGGGCTGAGGGTGTTATAAAGTTTAGTTCTGAACTCTGATCCCTGTGTGAAATTATATTCACTGAAATTAGAAGTCTTGGTTGACTGCCACTAGTAGCCAGTGAAGCGGTTGTTGTTAGTATATAAATCCTTTACCAACTTGGGCTCATTCTGTGGAACTTTGAATTCTACAAGTGTCACACAGTGTTAATTTGGCAGTGGTAAGGAGTCATTCTCTTCGCCTGGTAGCACTGTACTTTTGGAACTCCCTGCCTATTGACATGAAGCAAGCACCATCGCTGCATTTTACTAGATATTCTGTTTCAGCTGGCCTATCCAGAAACATAATCTGGTTCAAAGAATCATATGGAAGTGACCACTGGGGTCATCTAGACCAGCCCCCTGCAATGCAGGAATCTTTTACCCGGTGTGGGGCTTGAACCCATGACCTCAAGTCTACCAGCAGAGCAATTCCAGCAGTCAATATGGTTACAATATGGTTTTATTGTTTTTAGATGAGTTTAATAGTCTTTAGACATTTTAAACAAGTTGTAAGTGTATTCTTGATTGTATTTTTTTTAGTCACAGATGTGTTTGTTGCCCTGGGCTCCTTTGGGAACAAAAGGCAGGATATACATTTAATTGTTGTTGTTTAGTCGTGTCCGACTCTTTGTGACCCCCTGGACCAGAGCACGCCAGGCACTCCTGTCTTCCACTGCCTCCCGCAGTTTGGTCAAACTCATGCTGGTAGCTTCGAGAACACTGTCCAACCATCTCGTCCTCTGTCGTCCCCTTCTCCTTGTGCCCTCCATCTTTCCCAACATCAGGGTCTTTTCCAGGGATGTCTTCTCTTCTCATGAGGTGGCCAAAGTATTGGAGCCTCAGCTTCAGGATCTGTCCTTCCAGTGAGCACTCAGGGCTGATTTCCTTCAGAATGGATAGGTTTGATCTTCTTGCAGTCCATGGGACTCTCAAGAAAATTAAGTAAATAAACATAACATTCACCTGTCTTATTCTAACTATAGGTTCAGTATTGTTGATGTGAATGGAGCCTTATTTCAGTCCAAATGCTGGGTGTTTGCAGTCTAATTTCTTTTTGGTGAATGTGAGTTAAACATCAATGAGAAGGAAAAGTGCTCAGCTGTGACCGGCTCAGGCCTGTTGTGCATTTGACTATCAAAACTCACAAGAGCAAACATGCATTTCATTAGCTGGGAGTTGACATTTGATAGGGTGCACGGAAATGAGTTTCCTTTGCTTTCATTCAGCTTTGATTGAAAAGAAAGGAAAGACATGTCTGGCACGCAGGAGTCCTAAAACTGGGTTGCTGAGTCACGGGACCAACCTGGTCCAGCAAGAAAACTGCTAGCACATTTGCAAAGCTAAGTAGGGTCCAGTGCTGTTTCAAGTTGGATAGGGGGCTGTGTGTTGAGATTGGGATCGGACTAATGACCCCCAGGCGTTGCACATTCCCCCGGCTGCTAATATGTCCTAACTCCATAGAAAACATCAACGCAAACTTTCTTTTTTGTTTCCCCTCCCTAGGCCAGATCTCTTTATTTTGGGGATATTCCGAGACCTGCTTCCCACGGTTCTCTTCTCCGCCCCAACACCCGCGGATCCCAAGTTATGTCCACTGCTCTAATTAATCTGGTTAGAAACGGAGGCCACCAGGTGAGGAGGAGAGCACTGCTGACGTCGCGCCTGTTGCAAGACGACAAGCGGGCGGCGGCTATTTGCCCGAGCTCCACCAGCGTACGCCGAACATCTCGCTTCGACTTGGACGGCAGCGGCCGCCCGGCCACGTGGGACTCCTTCGGGATCTGGGACAACCGCATCGATGAGCCCATCCTCCTCCCGCCAAGCATAAAATATGGGAAGCCCATCCCCAAAGTCAGCCTGTCCAAGGTGGGCTGCGCCAGCCACATTGGGAAGCGGAAGGAAAACGAAGACCGCTTTGATTATGCCCAGCTGACTGACGAGGTCCTGTATTTTGCCGTTTACGATGGGCACGGTGGGGTGGCGGTGGCGGACTTCTGCCATAAGCACATGCAGGGATTCATCCAGTGAGTAAACGAATTCTCCTTGGGGGTTTTTTTAATTATAGTGGGGTGGGGTGGAGGATATTGCACAGTTGAGTAGGAGAAACATCTTGATGTGTATAAGCTAGGCACCCAAGGGCGCCTTAAAGCGAGAACGGGGCCTTCTCTGCAGTGGCTCCCCGTCTGTGGAATGCTCTTCCCCAGGGAGGTTCGCCTGGCACCTTCATTATACACCTTTAGGCGCCAGGCAAAAACGTTCCTTTTTAATCAGGCCTTTGGTTGATCTGACTATGCCCTTTTAAAACATGGCTCTTTTTTGGGGGGGTGTTATTGGGTTGTTTTTCTTTTGATTATGTATTTTGTGGTTTTATATCTTGATTTTATTCTGTGAACCGTCCTGAGACCCCCGGGGTATAGGGTGGTATATAAATTCAATTAATAATAATAATAATAATTAATTAATGAACCACGGTTATAGACTCTACAACAGGATGTCTTCGCCCGGCAGGTTGGATGAGATGATGTTCAGGGTCCCTTCCAAATCTGATTCTATGATCTTAGCTACATTGCTGGGCTGTAGCCTGCTCTTACAACACTTCACTTGTCCCACTATGCAAGAAGGATAAACACACACAGTGGAAATGGAATTAACTATGCACTAAGGCAGTGGTTCTCAAACTCTGGTCTGAGTTCCGTTTGGGTGGCCTGTGGAAAGGCACAGTAAAATATACCTGTACTCAGCCCTGCACTTCCTTTCTTTGATGGGATAATTGAGGACTAAGATGCCCAGCAAAGGGGTCCATGATTCACATGAGTCAGCTGGCTTGATGGAGATGTCAGCTGCCAACCTGGTGCCGAGAGATCTTCATGTAGTTTCAATTGGACCCGCGCCAGTAGCAAAAGGAACCAGGTGGCCTGGGGAATTTCAAACAGTGGTTCAGAGCAGTTCAGTGGTGGGATCGGTTATCTGGGGTCTGAGGGTGTGTGAGTGCTTGTAGTAAGTAAGTAAAGTAAGTAAGTAAAAAAAAATTTATACCCCGGCCAAGACTGGGCTCAGGGCAGCTAATATCAAATGCATTAAAACAAAATCAAACAATTGATTAAAATACAGCTTAAAAATTAGAATCAGGATAAAATTAAATGACTGCCCACGAATTACAACCATAGGGGTCGGGAATCTCAAGTATTCCTCAGGGCCAGTTATCCATGTTGGTCCCACATGAGCCGATAAAAGGGCCAAAGAGGTAACTTACAGGTTCCCATAGATGGGGGGGTCAAAGGTCAGGCAGAACAGCTCCGTCTTGCAGGCCCTGCGGAAAGATGTCAAGTCCCGCAGGGCGCTGGTCTCCTGCGATAGAGTGTTCCACCAGGCTGAGCCAAAGCCGAAAAGGCCTTGGCCCTTGTTGAGGCCAGTTTAACCTTGAGGCCCGGGACCTATTATTTGAGGACCATAAGGTCCTCCGTGGGGCATACCAGGAGAGGCGGTCCCATAAGTACGAGGGTCCTAGGCCATATAGGGCTTTAAAGGTTAACATAGCGGTTCTCACCCTGTGGGTCCCCGGATGTTGTTGGACTACAACTCCCATCACCCCTAGCTAGCAAGGCCAGAGCTCAGGGATGATGGGAGTTGTAGTCCAACAACACCTGGGGACCCACAGGTTGAGAACCGCTGGGTTAAAACCTTATAGGAGGTCTTCAGACAAAGGCTGGACTACTGGGGTGGTCTAGCTCTGGATTTCCTCCAGTGAGCAGGCAATAGAGCTATTTATTTATATATATTGATTAAACATATACTCTGTCCTTCATCCAAGGGTCACAGGGCAGTTAACAGCATAAAAACGCAAAAATACACACAACATAAAAGCAAACGAAGTCATAGGCTAGATGGCCTATGACAGCGTTCATCAATCTGCTGTCCTCATATAAACAGAGGAAGCTGCCTTATATATTGGTCTGTGTAGCTCTGCATCATTCCACTGGCTAGCAGTGGCCTTCCAGGGTTTCAGGTATACCTGTCTCTCCCAGTCCTACCTGGTGATGCCAGCGATTCAACCTGGGACCTGCCCCCATAGGCCTTCCAGCTCTGCTGAAGGAAGCTGTCCCAAACGTCTGAAGGACAGCTGACTGGTGAAGGCTGGTGTACAAGATTCCCTCCAGCTGTATATGATGACACCAATCGCCTACCCATTGAGAAGGCCAGGGGGATGATATTGGTGCTTTTGCAACTACCGCCACTTTTATCTCGGTAGCTGATGTTGGAGGGTTTCTTGGATTGGAGCTTTTGCACTGCCTTCCTTGGGGATAATTTCAAGACTCTCCCTTCCTTGCTTTTTTCCAGAGGCTTTCTCACTGAGGAGCAGAACATGGAATTGGTATTGATGAAAGCATTTTTAGAAATAGACAAAGCGTACGCCAGGCATGCTCAGTTGTCCGCGGATGGTAAGTAAGAAGCTTGTTTCCGTTCAGCCGTAAAAGAAAGATAGGAGAAAAAGAAATTCATGTGGCAATCACTGTTTTTTCTATTGAAAGTTGAGGCTAGCAGTTGTAGAGAGAGAACGCCAAGTAAAATATAGAAGGACTTGCCTGCTTTTACAAAGTTAGCATGGCTTCATAAGCCTGTGCTGCTTAAAATAAAGTTAAAATAAATAATTTGAAATGTTACCTTCAAGCAGATGTGTCCACAGCTGATTTTACACCGCAAGACTGTACACAAGTTTCTGTGTAACTCAGCGGGACTTAAGTTTTGAAAAGGTATGTTGAGCTGTTGAGCTAAAATGACTGGGATCTAGAAGGTTGCGATGAACAAAAAAGTATTTCCATTCGTTGCCACTGGATAAAAAATCTCTGTGTTGATGCACCGACCTCCACTTAACAGAGGTAATGTTGGCTAACGTCACTGGCATGGACTAAGCAATTTAAGGCTAGGCTATAGTCTTACTTAAAAGCAAGGGCCATTGATCTCCAGTACCTTCACATAATAGCGGTTGGATAGTGGGTGCCAATTCTGTGTTAAATGCAAGGTGCTATCCAAGTTACTCAGGTTTTTAAATTCAGTGGAGACAGGCCTGCAATGTTGTTGGCCTCATGTTATGGCTCAGGCTGTAGATAACTTGCTCGGTTCTAAGATAAAAAGAAGCACACATGCCAATGCGCTTTTCTATCATCTTTTGATAACAGTCCCAAGCACAACATCTAGCTTGATGGTAGAACACATTTTTACATGTAGCAGACCCCGGCTTTTCCCGTAAGGATGGGGAAGACTCCTGTCTGACACCCTGGAGAGAGCCTGCTGGCTTATAAGAAAATATTAAGATCAACCTTAGGTCTGATGTTCCAATACAGCTTCATAAGTTCATCCTTGGTGGCTCTTTGCATCCTGCTTTCTCTTAAAATATAACATGCCTGCCAGCCCAATGCCTAATCTCATTCTCTTGCTAATGTATTGTTTAGTTTTACATGGATTAATTATTATTGCTCACCAAATTAAATAGATACTTCTTGATGCAAAAATATATTAAACGACAGCAATTTTTGTCTCATGTATATCACTATAAGCAATCTTAATGGAAGCATTTGTTTAGCATAGTATCCTTCTTGGATGGCGGACATATTGCATAGCCAGCAAGGACACTTCTACAGATCTAGCCTACAATTCTGCCCATATTCTGTTGAGACCTTTGAACCCAATGTTGAGCCCTTTGAACCCAATGTGACTTGCTTATGAGAAAGTATGCTTGGGATTGGGCTGCATGGCTATGATCATAGAATTGTAGAGTTGGAAGGGATACTGAGCCCTTGCAATGCAGGAATCTCAACACGTGGTCTCTCATCCGGTTTGAAACCATACCGGACCCTGCTTAGCTTTGCAAATGTACTAGCAGTTTTATTGCTGCCTATACATCAGTGATGGCGAACCTCTGGCCCATGGGGCCTAATTACACCTCGCAAGCAGTTTCGTTCAAACTATGCCTACCTGCCCCACACAATCAGAAGTTTAAAATATGTTCCTGGGCCGTCAATTTACAGATGCTTTATTACAATCAGACTTGTAGTTAATGCGCTATTTGGGTAGTCTGAGTCTTGTTTTACAATGTTGATTTAGTAATGACAGTATAGTTAGTAATAATAAAAAAAAAGGTGTGGTGTAATTTTTGTTTCCTCGTCTTAAGAAGTTGCCAATCAAAACCATGATTTTTAAATTCTTCAATATGTTAACCTGCAACACTGAAGAAGTGAAAGAGCTGCAGAAACATGCCTGTTTTTTATGTTCAGATTTGTAATTGTGGCACCAAACTTGGATGTATTTGCTACATTTATCTACCAGGCCATTGCTCTGAAGTGAACAGGAATTATGCCTTGCATGTGTCCTATCCGTCTTAGTGTGGCTGTCAACTAAATTCCCAGGGAATTGTACTTATAGGCTACTGGAGATGGTGGTCTTTTAATGTTAAAATTGGTTGGAGCACAGTAGCCGCAGTGCCCTTTAAAGTATACATCTTTGCCTAATGCAAATGGTTGGGACTTTTGGACAAATATCAGCTAGGCAAATGCGTAAGTGGGTTTTACTCAGTTAAAAACTAGAAGTTGAAAAACAAACCCACCCTAGTATTTCCCCCCCTCCCTGGTGATTGAATATATTTGCCCAGGTCAGATGTGCACGGTGCAACTAATAAAATCGCTTCTTTGGCCAGGCTCCTTTGGGGACTTTATAAAATTTTCCTTTTAAATGCCTTTTTAGAGTTGTGCAATTCCAAACCTCATAATCCCTCGCCGAGTGTTTGAACAGCAGGAGGTGTGCAGATGGATTGGCTTAGTAACCAAGCCATGGTTGCTATCGGAGACGGATGCATAATAAAATTGGGTGCAATAATATACCCCCATAACCTTTCTAAGCAGAGCCCTTGAGTTAAGAGGGAATGCTTCGCTCTCTTTTGCAGCTCTGATCATCCCAAGTGTTGCAGGTTTCCTCTCTTTACTTTGAGCAAAATTCCTGGGTGAATTTCCTATTTGCCTCTGTGTACATGTTATTTATGGCAGACACTGTACCTGACCAACAGCTCTAGAATTGGAGGCCCGGGACTCTATGCTGGGCTTCAGTGGAAAGAGAGATCTGCTTAATGTGGTCCCAGGTGAAGGAGTCTGGCGGGTTCCTAGCCGGGACCATCGGAAGGTTCCCACAACCACTTTGTCACATTAGTTGTGACGACATGCTCTAAAAGGTGCCCAGTGAGTGTTAAGATACCTCTTGAAAGATTTTAGATAATATTTCTGTAGTAATATAATTTCTGTAGCTGTCTAGGAAGCAAACAAATTTTTGTTTTGTTTTAAAATAAGTTAATTAACTTGTGTTCTGAGCCAATGTGTTTTTATGCTGCTAGATACCTTTGGAATAAATGGTGGCAAACTGCTAGTGACTCTATGAATAGTGTGATTCCTTGATTTTGGAACTGCAATACCGCTTGCGGAACAAATCCACCTATTTGCATTTTTTTCTTTTTGCATTCTCCCATCGTTCCAATGGAGCTTGGAAAGGACTCCTGTACAAACTTCAGTTGATATGAATGTATTGTCCAGCTTGTGGCATTTAGGCAGAGGTGTGCAACCTGTGGCCGTCAGTGATGTCAGACTCCAATTCTCATTCATCCCAGGAAACATGGCTAATGGGTAAGGGATGATGGGAGTTGTGGTCTGGCATCATCTGATCCTAATGGTCCCTCCCATATCATAAACATTATACTTTTAAAGCACATTCAAAACACGTTCTTTCCCTCAAAGTATTCTGGGTACTGTAGTTTTCCACGTGCAGAGTTAGTTCCCCGCAACTTTTGACAAACCACAGTGCCCAGAATTCTTTGAGGGAACGAATATGCTTTGAAGGTATGGTGTGTACACAGCTTAGTCCTCTCACTGTTTTGATCACTGTCCTCTGGACAGTTCGTCAACGTCCGCCTTAAAATGTGGTACCCACAACTGGGCATGGTACTCCTGGAAGCAAAGCTTAGGAACAAAAAAACATAGGGCTTCCCACAAAGTTTTACTATTCATTTAGGAAGTGGAAGAGAACGTTAAACTGAGGGCTGTGTTATTTCTTAGTGCTGAGTAGCTCAGGCTTTTAGGATCTACCTATCCAACAGGATAAGAGGTCAATTACTTTAACTCCTTTTGCAGAGGCTATCTAGGAATTTCTGTGCACTCACTCCTGAGTGCTCTTAGTTATGACCCTGGGATTCGCTGCAACACCCTCAGACATTGGGTGTGTGCATACACACAAATCTCAGTGTGGTATTTGGAGAAGGGCTGTAGATTGCTCATCCCAAAAAGCTATGTCTTCAGGCTTCTAACACTGTGCAAGAGGAGCAAAGCTGTGCCTCTTTTCTGGTTTTGGGTGGCAAGATCACGCCAGCCTCTTACTACGGGGTTCCAGGGAAGGTATTGCCTTTTAGAGCAGTGATGCTAAGGTAACGTTTGGTTACAGATGCACATCCCAAAATGTGCAACTTGCCTTTCCTTAATTTTATGGGCGTAAAAATAAAATAAAATAGCAATGTCTGATAATTCCCATCCCAAATGAAGTCTGAAACTGCCCTGGAGTTTGTACTTTCCAAAACAAACCCACTGATTCAAGATGTCCTGCCACTGTACATTTGTATCTGATGTCTCGGACTGATTCCAGACGGCTTCATTATGGGATGGGTGCTCTGATTCCTGAGGTTTTCCACAGCATTCACCTGGCGTCATTGCCAAGGAAATCCAACAAGTTAAAGAAAAAAGGCCTGTTGCAAACATCCCCCCTGAATTCGATGACCCATTTGTCATATTAAACCTCCAAGTAGAAGCACCCATAATAGTCTCTTCCTGAAGTGGCGCTGCAGTTCGAAAAGCAAGGAATTGAATTGGGGCGAGGGAGGTGGGGGAACTAGAGGTGGCCTCCAGATCTGGCCTTTAAAATTTAGAGGGGAGTTGGGAAAGAAGGCAAAAACTAGCTCAACCTTTTACGCCTTGCTGTGCTTTATTCATATTGCTACTTAAAACAGGTATCTTACGAGCAATGCTAAAAAGTGCGGTTTGCCCCTCTCCATTTCATGTGTATTGCTGCTTCTCCTTTCCCACCCTCTCCTTATTTAAGCACCTGCTTTGGAGTGTGCAGGAAATACACAAATAATACCAGGCTGATTGTGCTATAATGTCATGACCACATTCAGCTTTCTGTGGTTAGAGAGTTGGACTTAAGGCGTGAGACCAGGGACTTGGCTATACAGCTGCAAATGCAACATTTTAAGTGCATTTTATTTGCATTATACAAATTTGACACTACATAGTGATGGTGAGCTTATGGCAAACTCAATATATTTTTCAAAAATAAACTTAAATTAAAAAGCATTTTTATATGTGTCTAGATTCTGCCCAGGGCTCAAATCCCCACTCATCTATTAAGCTCCCTGGGTGACCTCAGGCCAGTCACTCACTTTCAGCCTGACCTACCCTACAGGGTTCTTGTGGGAATAAAATGGGGAGGAAGAGAAGCCACGTATATCGCCTTGAACTCTTTGGAGGAAAGGTGGGATATGAATGCAAGAAAATAAATACATTTCCTAATGATACAAAACATCCAAGAAGAGATGGGAGGAAGGGGGGAAATTATTCCATCAAAAATTGTTGGGCAACCTTACAAAGGCAGTTTTCAAGAGCTGGTCAGCGAGCTCTTTGCAGTAAGAATACCTGTTTTAATTCATTGCCTAGTTTAGATTCCTCTTCTGTTGCTGTCCTTTTGTTTTCCTATCTAACGTCTCCATTCTGTGGTGCTTCCACTTCACAACAAGGCTTGATGTCCCCCGCCCCCCGCCCCTCAAGTGTTCAGTTCATCTTTATTTTTTAATATATATTTTTTTATAATGCATGCCGCCCTTTCATCCGTAGATCTCAGGGTGGTTCACAACAAAGAAATACAATATAGAGACACTTTAAATATGTGATAAAAACAATAACAAAAATACACGAACCAGTAACTCAACTCTCCCCCTTATCAAAAGATTGCCGTAGATTCTCTTGGCATTTCAGTTCAGGGGCAAGAATAGGCATAACTCATGACGTGGCGCCAGTGTTAGGAATTCAGGTCTATAAGTTGGGCACCATATGGGTCCATAAACCAGGGACACACGCACCAATGGAGTGCATGGCTGCCATTTTGGGACCAGGTGGCTTGAAAGTCCTATTTTTCAGTATGACTTTTTGGTTCCTGAAATTCATTCTGATAAAACGGAACAGATAGTGGCAAATAGCCAGGTGCGAAATGCACCTGGTGAATTTCGAACGCTGACCTGGCCTGATCCCCTTCCCTGAAAGGCTTGTCATACCTTTCACAACTGGCTTAGTTCTCCTGCATCTGTACCCAAAAAGGAAACTGATCCAGCACCATGCAGCTTTGCTACTGATCACCCGGGAGTAAGGAAAAAGGCTTTCCCACTACTCGTAGAACTTCACCACCTGTAAAGCACATGCCAGTTTAATTAAAGTACTTCAGAAAGCTACTGTGTAAGGGCATTTGTTTAAGGCTCTATAAAGGTAAAAAGGGACCCCTGACCATTAGGTCCAGTTGCGGACAACTCTGGGGTTGTGGCGCTCATCTCGTTTTATTGGCCAAGGGAGCCGGCGTACAGCTTTCGGGTCATGTGGCCAGCATGACTAAGCCGCTTCTGGCGAACCAGAGCAGCGCATGGAATCACCGTTTACCTTCCCACTGGAGCGGTACCTATTTATCTACTTGCACTGGGGTGCTTGCGAACTGCTAGGTTGGCAGGAGCAGGGACCGAGCTCACCCCGTCGCGGGGATCTGAACCGCCGACCTTCTGATCGGGAAGCCCTAGGCTCTGTGGTTTAACCCACAGCGCCACCCGCGTCCCTTTTAAGGCTCTGTAGCTGCACCTGTTTTACTAGTACGAGAATAGACGAGAACTCGCCGCAGACTTCACCCAGCCCAAGCACCAACACGCCACATTTTATCCCCACTGCATGGAGTCTTGTTGTCAAAACGCTGCTGCTTTGTGTGCATGCCCCCACGTTGCTTGTTTCCTGTCTTTGTAGCTTTAGCTATACAGCAGTAACTCTTTATGGGTGGTTAAAGTTTTTTAAGCTGAGTGGCTGCTTCGTGTGTGGTGCTCAGGCCTTGACCGCCTCTCCTTACATGACGTTTTGTAGCCACCTTGCTGAACGCCGGGACCACGGCGACAGTGGCCTTGTTGCGCGATGGGATCGAGCTGGTTGTGGCCAGTGTTGGAGACAGCCGCGCCCTTCTGTGTCGCAAGGGGAAAGCCATGAAACTGACCATCGACCACACTCCGGAAAGGAAGGATGAGAAGGAAAGGTACTTTGCTAGAAACCTTGGGCTGGAGTTGTTGTTTTTTTTTGGGGGGGGCGGGAATGTAAAATTTGTATCCCTTGCAAAGACTGCTAAGGAATGAAAACGAGCAGCTGTGGGCAAATAATAATAATAATAATAATAATAATAATAATAATAATTTATTATTTGTATCCCGCCCATCTGGCTGGGTTTCCCCAGCCACTGTGGGCGGCATCCACAAAGACCAAAAATACACTAAGCTCTTTCACAGCAAAGCTGTGGTTGGTGTCGCTTGCGTAAATCTGTCGTGCTAAGTGCTTGGATATGTACGACCGTAGTGAACGTTCCATCCTCTCTTCCTTTCCTACTTTGTGTGTTTGCGCAATCGAAGAATCAAGAAAACTGGTGGTTTCATAGTCTGGAACAGCCTGGGACAGCCCCACGTAAACGGCAGGCTTGCAATGACCCGCAGCATAGGAGATTTGGACCTTAAGACATACGGTGTCATAGCAGAACCAGAGACAAAACGGGTTCAGGTAAGAGGCTGAGCATCTTCCTTTTCTACACCCTGACCTCATTTTCTTGTAAAGATGGCACAGCACTAAATAGCTGGCACTGCTACCATTCCTTAGAAGTGTTTCCCACTATCACTGCTCTTTCAGACTGTGGTACCCTGGCAGACCCTGCTGTGGCCTGGTCTATACAGTATCTGGACCTTGGGGGAGGGGTTTCCTGGCTAATTTGTTTTTTTCAACAAAGCATTTGTGCATTGGATAGCATACAGAATGTGTGTGTCAATAAAGCCACTTTTGCAGAGTTGCCAAGTTCCAGGGAGATGCATTTTTGGATGTATACCTATGCATCTCGGAATCTTTTCTTCCCTTGAGGCCCGGCTGGCTTTGAGAGGGAGGTGGGAGAGCCACTACTGATCTCTGTTCCTGGCCAGTATTACTCACTTTTCCTTATAGGGTTAATGAGGGTGAGCCAGAGAGAGAGAGAGGAAAAGATCGGAATGCTACCTAGGTTAAAAGTATTTGCCCTCCCTCTAATGGTTAACTCGGCAGGTGAGGGCCAGCAGGATTGTAACGTAACTGGGGCCGCTCAGAAGGAAGCTCAAAATTTTGCAGTAGTATAGTGGTACCTCGGGTTACAGACACTTCGGGTTACAGACACTTCAGGTTACAGATGCTTCAGGTTACAGACTCCGCTAACCCAGAAATAGTACCTCGGGTTAAGAACTTTGCTTCAGGATGAGAACATAAATCGCGTGGCGGCAGCAGGAGGCCCCATTAGCTAAAGTGGTACCTCAGGTTAAGAACAACTTCAGGTTAAGAACGGACCTCCAGAACAAATTAAGTTCTTAACCCAAGGTACCACTGTATAAAAAATATAGATGCCCCCATCCCAAAACAAAATAGCCCTATCAAGACTGAACATGATTGGCCACAGAATGCAAAGTGTGGGTTCTTTTTTGGGGGGGAGGGGTAATATAAAACTAGAGGGAAGGGTAACAAAATTGAGGTTCATGGAAAGAGGGGGCTGATGGAACCCTGAAGAGGATCACGCCACACTGCAACACTTTGTTGCAGCTCTCACTTGTGGAAATAGGTATGTTTACGTTTGTATCACTACTGAAAGCTGGGCATTTAGTATACTTTTGTTTGTGTGGCGTGTCATTTCAGTTGCACCATGCGAGCGACAGCTTCCTGGTCCTTACCACAGACGGCATCAACTTCATGGTGAACAGCCAAGAAATCTGTGACTTTGTTAGCCAGTGTCACGATCCCACGGAAGCAGCTCACCTTGTAACTGAGCAGGTAGGCGTTTCTGCCTTTCCAACACAGAAAACACCACCACCGTCCAGTTTTGAGCAAAGCCAGTTAAGTCCGCTTGATTCTTTTTGGGTGGAACAACCTCCTACAAACCAGTGATGAGACAAGCCCAGTTTGTTAAACGTATATGGCGGTTGTGTTCCTGCAAGGAAAATTTTCCCATTAGGTTTTATTGTCTTCAACAGCTAATTGGAAGTTGCTGGTGTAGCTCAGATACATCACTTTCCTTTCAGTTGTGCCCTTGCTCAAGGACAGCAGGGACCCATAGTCTTGCTTTACTGTCAGATATAAAGAGTTGCTTTTCGAAAACAAATGCTGAAAAAGTCAACAGAACTGCTGCTGCCACTGTCTACCTGCTGGGAACTGTTCTCTTACTCAAACCGAGAAGATACTAATTTTGAACAATGCAGGCAGTCAATGGATGTATTTTCTACCGTATCTAGTCAGCTGGAATCCAAAAAAATAAATCCATACACAACGGTCTGCGTTGTTTTATTTCCCCCCAAAATCTGAAGGTCACTGTTCCCCACATTTATTGATAGCGTAACTTAGGAGTAACTGATGTGGGGATCCCTTGGAGGCTGTTGGACCCCAGCTCCCATCAGCCCTAGCCAGCATTGCCAATGGTTGTAGGAACTGCAGCTACGTTAAGCTAGTGGCATCCAGATGATGATGAACAAAATTGTATTTTATTTTATTTTACCGTTATGAAGATTGTTATTAAACAGTATCCACCCCGTGTTAAAACTTCTGTGGGCTATTCTTTCTCCTCCCACACCACCCTGTGATGCTTTTGCCCCATGTTGAAATTCAGAGACTTCTAAAAGGGTCCAACATGCAGAAATGTGCAGAGTGGCTGAAACTGATGGGTTGTTTTTGTATCAACACCCTTATCAATCCGTTCCTGTTTATTAATAGTCACAGACTTCAGTTTCTAGAAAGTATGTACTGATAACAAGATTAGGTTCAGATCCTGATTTTAGTAGTTTGTAAAACAGACCACCTCAGCGCAAGGTACTTTATGGATTGTCCAGTTTGACTGATCCATCTAAGTCCATTTTATTTCTCTCCTGCTCGTCATTCACAATTGGGAAACTTGTGTATTTATGCATACATTTCCTCTTTTGACAGAAGTGGATAAAATTTGAAGGCGGGGTAAGCCCTCCAGTGTAGGCAAAGCCTGCCAAATCACAGGCAATGAAGTCCAATTGTTTTTACGCCTTTGGAAGGTGTTTGGAATGGGAGGCTATAATGTAGCCACAATTTGGGGGGTGGGACTTCCCTTGAATTTGAATTATCTGGGGAATACAGTAGATGTTTGTGGACACCAGTTCCCACCAGCCTCAGGCAACATGGCCAACGATTGGGGTGATGGGAATTGTATTCCGGCAGCATTGGGCAGGCCACAGTTTCCCCCCATCAATCTGTAGTTGAAAGAATACAGCCGAACAGGGTGAAGGGCTAAAGCTTTGTGCCTTTTGCAATCTCTCCCTCAGGCCATACAGTATGGAACGGAAGATAACAGCACTGCCATCGTCGTGCCGTTTGGAGCCTGGGGCAAATACAAGAACTCTGAGGTCAACTTCTCATTCAGCCGGAGCTTCGCCTCGAGCGGGAGATGGGCCTGAGTCGCTGCTGCTGCTACGAGATGTGGACTGGACTGTCCTGTAGGAGGCCTCGCAAGGCAGAGAGCAGATCTGTAGATAGTTGCGTCCATCTCTCTCTCCCAGCACCTTGTGCTTTCTGCCTGGGTAGAAAACCATCGTTAACTTGATGTTGCCTCTTTAACAAACACGTCTGCTACTGCTTAATCTCAGAGCCAGCGATTTTCGCCCCCTCCGTCCAACGTAGATAATTCTGTCTGATTCTTTGGCACAGACAAGATGCTGGCTCTTTGCACCTGGCTGACAAACCCTCTGAAGGGGTTTTTACCCAAGTGTTTCTTATGCACAGCGTATGTTTTTAGAGGATGAGAGAGAGAGAGCGAAGAGGCCAAAGGGGCTCTCTTAATTTGCACAGTGCGAAAGGGAGCAAGCGCACAAGGAGAGGAAAGGTGGCGTTTCATCTTCTCCGCTCTCACAAGTCTTTCCTTCCCTATTTGAACAGAAGTAAGAGAAAGCCAGGAGATTTGGAGGCAATGTGGCTGGCTGTGCTTTGCTTTGCTCAGCCTGCTGGCACCAGGTTAACCACCAAAGCTGACTTTGGTTTTGGTTAGTCCAGTTCCGGAGAGAAAGGGATCTTGGTCTCAGGGCTAAGACTCCGTTCAGTGGAAGTCAAACAGAAAATATCAGCTGTGTGTATGTGTGTAATGTCCTGTCCTTAAGTCCAATTTCTCATAAGCAGAATGTGGCTTTTACACTTGGGCTGAAACCCATGTCTATTCCTCTGTCTGTGGGTTTATAATTGGAGAACCACGCCATAACCCTCAAGGCAGAAGTGGACACAACACTAACAGGGATTGTGGCAATCGTCACGTTTCTTCCGAAAGGCGGAAGCAATGTAGGTTTTCTGTATTTATTTGTTTTTTCTTTAAATATATCAATACTAAGAAATCCCCTTTTTAAAAAAAATACTGCTTTTCAGGAGCTAAACCCTTTCAAAGAACATCTTGTTCTTCAGTTCTTTTTCAGATGTTGCTTCTCTTTCAGAGCCACTGAAAAATGCACAGAGTTAACTTGGATGGGGACATGTTGCCCAGTGGGTATTCAGTGTTCGATTGCACAGCGGTTGAAGTTCCTAAGGGATTTCTCTCCCTCTTCCCAAGTTAGCAAAAAGTTGAGGATACACTTTGGAAGGGAGATTTTTGTAAGGGAACGGGTAGGGTTATATTTGGACCTGCCACTCGTCTTAATGAGAATTTCACTTTAGAAGCAAATGCTGGAGGGAAGCAAAAGGTTTAAATGAGGTAAGTAGAGTTTCTCCAGGAAATTCTACACTTCCCCCACTTCAAATGTACCACGGGGAGACCAAGGGAACAATCGGCATTCCTTGGCAGGACTTCAGTAGGTTTCATGTAATAGAGGCCAAGGATATGATTCAGAGTGTTGTGTCACAGAGACCATTCACACCTCTAGATCATGGGTAGCCAACATGACAGCTGCAGGTATTGTGGACTGCAGATCCCATAATCCTGACAATTGGCCATGCTGGCTGGGACTGCTGGAAGATGGAGCCCCAGAACACCTGGTATATACTGCTATATACTGTCGGTACTAGAGGCTGTCCACAATAGTTCTTCATTTCTGACATAGATACTTTGACCATAAATACTTGGAATTGAAAATGACCACCACAAAACAGTAAGAGTTGTTTCACAGTGGGACGTTCTCCCTGGAAAGGTGGTGGACTTTCCTTCATTGAAGGTTTTCAAGCAGAGGTTGTATGGGCCTTCAGACATGGGTGCTTTAGTTGAGATTCCTGCATTGCAGGGGTTTGGACTATAGATGACCCACAAGGCCCCTTCCAACTCTACAATTCTGTGATTCTATGAAAACCCAGAATTAAGCCGCTATAAAGTTACCTAGCACTGAGGTGTAGCAGTGCTGAGCTCTTTTAGCTGAACCCTGATCGCAATGTGAACCCGTGGACTTGCTGCTTGATGCCAGTACTAATTAGAGCCACACCTTTTGCATAAATCATTCCAGTTTCACTTCTGCACAGCTGCTCATAAAGCTTCCTGTTGAAAACCACAAAGTACTTTGGAAACGGTGCCCTGGGTCCTGTTCTGGTGTTATCTTGTGTGTATTCTACATGTTTGTATATATGATATATAGAGAGAAATGATATATCTACTTTATAAGTAAAAGAATATGTTAAAAAATATTTGCATCCAGTCCTGTTGCGCTTAGTCCCTGCAACGGCACATATGAAAACGGTTTCCCTCTTTGCTACTTCCCAGGTTGTTGGGACCTGGGCTGAGAAAGGGCTAAAGTGTATGTCCCTATGGAGTCAGGGTGATGTATTATCCCGTGTGAGGAGAACATTGACCTCTCTCTGTTGGGGTTTGTTGCCTTTGGAGATCTTGTTGTATAAAAACAGCAACCTTTTTGTGCGCGTCCAATTGATGCACAGCCGCTGAAGCGTGGGTCATTTGGGATCCGGAAGGGTGGGCTCATGCTCACTCCATCGACATGCACAGGGGCCATTAACAGAGAGAGCCCCACCCCCCCACAAAATGGTCCCTGCCTGTCTCCAAATTTGGCTACCTAGTTATGTGGCATTGTGTTAATCGAATGATCCCTCATTGGCTGGGATTGTTCCATTGGCTCAAAGGCTGCGTTAGAAGAAATATTTGTCACAGTCCTAACAAAGTTTCTGCCACCAGCACTTAAGTCTTCTAGCCCACTAATGTGTACCAACACAACAAAAAACAAACCTATGGTCACGTAAAGCCTACTCAATAAGCACACAAGATGTAACCGGCTATGTTCTTAGATAAATAAGGTATACTATTCATTGTATCAAATCATAAATTTCAACAGAAGTAACTCATAAAGTTCAACAAATGAACAAAGCAGAAGACCCAGTAGATCAGATCATTCTCTAATCAGTTTTTGCATAAGGTCCATTTGTGTAATAGTGTCTATTCCACCTGTCTGTTCATAAGGTCCAAACAATCCACATGAAAGGTTGTTACAGTTCCACAGAATCCTTTTGCAGAGTCTAAGACAAGGATTTCTGGAATATTGACCTTGTTTTGCCACCCTGGGCTTCATCAGTAGTTAAAACTCTAAGTAATACAAATAAATACAATATCGTGATCTCACACATTTTATAGCAAAAATAATATAAAACCATAAATAACTGTATATACCATATGTGATATTACAGGACAGTGGATCTTATGGCATAATAGTAGCTGCGGTAAGCAGCAACTGTTACAAAGTAGGGTTATATGAACAAGCACAATATTGATTTACAGGTGTTGGCAATCCACAGATACAGAATATCTTTCTTAAAGTGACCTATATGGCACAGCAAAAGTAAAACAAATTTAATCCATGCTCAGATGTTATACATATAAACATTAATACAAACTCATACATTAATGTAAACAATTTTTGGATCTAAAGTAATAGCAATCCACAAATGCACAATTTTGTACTCAAAATTTGAGACAATGAGTAGTATACCTTATTTATCTAAGAACACACCCAGTTACGTCTTGATTGAAGATTCACGAATGTGTACCAGCATGTCATGGAATAAATGCAACAGTCGCATTTCCCAAACTGCGCAGAAATAACCACCAGTGGCTACCTGCAGAGAGGCCTTGACCGTGCTGTATGCAAACTGCGCACTGGGCTTTGTTTTTGTTGAATGAAAATGCCTTTTCTTTCATTGTGTGCCGGAAGAACTTTGCCTGTATTTTGCACAAAACTTGGAGCTTTGGTAAGCGAATGGGTGGTTGATTTGGTTACAAGGGATTTGATCAAACTAAATGTAGGCAGTGGGGAGCAAACTTAAAGTATTCAACCAAACTGAATTAATAGGTGTTAGTTTTTAGGGTGGGTGAGTGGGTTTCTGGGACTGGGGATGAGGGAAGTTCAATTGCTTTTGATATTACTAAACCATAGATCCTTTTATCACGTTGCTGAATGTACTGGAGAGAGGGAGACCCTCTCCTGGGGAGTCAAAGTTGGGAGCTTGCAATGCCTCCCCAAAGGTGAGATGACAATGTAAGGAAATTCCTGCATATGTAGAGTGTGACTTGGCAGCTTCATGCATCGGAACTGACTTGTTGGAAGTACTGAAGTGCACTTGTGTAAATTGTGTTGCTTACTTTTTGCCTTGGTGAGAATGTAGATATTTGAATGTTGATTGTTCAGGTTTGGGGGTGGGGCATGCAAACTTGTTGGGTGGCCCAAATGCAGGCTCCCCCCCCCCCCGCTGCATTTTTGCAGAGGCTGTTGGCAGACCATGGTTAACTCTTTCCACGCTGGGGCTTAATGAGAAACCCCCCTTGCTCTCTGTCAGGAATGTCTACCGAAGGCAACACCATGGTCTGCTAGCACGTATGTTTAAAAATCAACAGCAGTGTGTACGATAAAGTTTCTTAATGGTCGCTGTGATTGGATGCGGACATTTCTATTGTGGATTCTGTGGCCCAGCTGCTGCATCATTTTAAACAGTTGCTTTGTTTAAAAAAATATGTGGAAGCAGGTTGGAGATGAAAGAGTATTTTAATAAACAGCTTGCTCCTAAAGACATTTGCCTCCTTTTGTTTTTTCACCTGCATGTCCTTTGATTCGAATTACAAGGAATGGTAGGATTATTATTTTTTGGTATTTTTTAGATTTTCCATCATGCAGTTTAATTAAAAAAAGAGAAATAATACACAACAGAAAAGAAACATTAAATCATTATACATTAAATCATTATGCAATATCCAAAAAGGAAAAAGAAAAAACATAAACAGGGTGGTGGGTTTATTTTACAGTGGTACCTCGGGTTAAGTACTTAATTCATCCGGAGGTCCGTACTTAACCTGAAACTGTTCTTAACCTGAATCACCACTTTAGCTAATGGGGCCTCCTGCTGCCGCCGCACCGCCGGAGCACAATTTCTGTTCTCATCCTGAAGCAAAGTTCTTAACCTGAAGCACTATTTCTGGGTTAGCGGAGTCTGTAACCTGAAGCGTATGTAACCTGAGGTACCACTGTATTTTGTTTAACTTCCCTCCACCACTACTCGTCTTCTCGAAAATCAATTTTACCCTTATCATTGCATTCTGGTTGTTTTTATTTTCTCTGTACACATACATATGTCATTGATAATTTATTGTTTTGATGCACTTACATTCTTAATCTAAGCATATTAGCATGTCTTTTTTAGAGGAATATTTTGTCATATAATCATCAAAGCACTGCGAGGAATGGTAGGATTTTTCTGCGGCTTTGCTCTCTGGGAGTTGGGCTGGAGTGTCCATTGGACCTTTCAGGGAAAGACAAAACAGCCTACGAAAGTTCCCAGAGAATGTATTCACATGTCTTTTTAGGGTGCCAAGCAATGGGTGGAAGGCACAGTTGGTTGTGGGTTCTTGTAGGCCTTGGGCTACTTTCCCTTCTAGCTGTCAGAATGGAAGACATCCTTGTGTAATGGAAGCTAATAATGTCATGTAGGCCAGTATGAGCCAGTTTCATTCCCAGGGTACTTGTGTGCTTGGAATAAAGCTCTTGAGGGCTTCATTGCGATGCTGAGAAGATTTCCCAAATATTTTGCCAGGGAGGGTGCCGTATATTAGTTGTGGAGCATGCAGAAATCTCCAGTCAAAAAAGATAGGTGGAATTGGCCCCTTGCCTGAAGTCTTCACGATCTGCTTAGGAGATTTATAGAAAACACTGGACTTTTGTTTATTAGATTTATATACTGCCTTTCATCATAAGATCTCAGGGTGGTTCATGGAATAAAATACAGGATAAAAACAAGTAAACAAGTAGAACTAAACAGTAACCCCTCACCCTACCCACAGACACATTTAAAATGCTGTAGAATATTAATCAGCCCAAGTCCTGGCTGAAGAGGAACGTTTTCGCCTGCCTCCTAAAAATATATAATGAAGGCACCAGGTGAACCTCCCTGGGGAGAGCATTCCGCAAAAAGGGAGCCACTACAGGAAAACGGCCTGTTCTTGTGTTGCCACCCTCTGGACCTCACATAGAAGAGACACACAAAGAAGGGCCTCAGAGGATGAACGCATAGTCTGGGACAATTTATATGGGGAGATGCAGTCATTCAGGCTAGGTGGACCAAGTCAAACGATTGGCTCAAGTCTGGTTCCGATGACATTGGATACCTTTTGAGTAAATCATGTGTGTCTTCAGTTAACAAATCCTTTCGGGAAAGTCTGGCAGAGCTGTGCAAGTTTCAGCCTGGAGGAGAAGAGAAGACAGAATATGCTTGCAGTCTTTTAGGCAAAAGGATCCATTACCTAGAGGGGTGGTAGGTTGAACAGCTGAGGCAAATAGTCCAGTCCATTGCGAGACTCGGCAGTAAATGTTATACTGGATGTTGAACCACAAATCCCTTGGCAGGATCTTTTTTTCTGCAGCAGCCAGAAGCGTCAGCCAAATGGGCCTGTAATTGAAGTCAACAGTCTTCAAAAGCATGTCATGGTGACCTGTATCACCCATGGGACACAGCCAGGGAAATGGGCTGCACTTCATTGCTTTCGGAATGAACTCAGGTTTATGCAACGTGGGTTTCAGGAGTTGAAGTGAAAAGTTCAGACCAACGGCATTGGCACAGAAGCCAAATAGCTCTTGCTCTCGTGGCAGGTGCAGTGACCCATAAATGGATCTGTATCCTTTCCAAAATGCTCCTGTCAGAAGACACCACTGGCTATGACACACTTGGAAAAGCACCTGCCCCATCTTGTCACACGTACTTTAGTAAGGCGGTTTTTCCAGGCAAGGCTGAAGGCAATCATTTCTTTCAATGTGGATTTATTGGCTGAACTTGAATGAGGGGTCTTACTGTATGCACCATGAGTGCAAAAGGGATATGTTGTTTCTGCTCTGGAAGTGCAAAATATCGAAGCACAGGCATATAATAAGTTGTCTACTCATCTCCTTGATATACTTTTTGACTGAAAAGGAAAACTGATGAAACCTGCGGCAAAGTTGTGGACACTCAAAGACACACTGCGGGGGAGGGGAGAGAGTGTCTTAATGTTTAATCCACTGAACTTTCTTGTAACTGGCGAGAATTGGTTTTTCAATGCCATCCTATTTGGGTTATGTTTTTGGATTACTTACATTACAGGTACTAGGCATGGGGAAAACGAGAAGTTGTTCCCCTTCACTATTTATAAAGTTAGCTTTTCCGAAGGTGTTTGCAAAGTTTCACAATGAGACATTTGTAGTTCAGTAGAAGAGCAGCTTGGATGATCCAAAGATCAGGTTCATCCTTGCACACCACACTTGTCCATTCATTGTCTTTTTGCACACACTGCCCATTAATAAGTATATGTAGATACGCAATTTCCACTGGAGTTAAAACAAAACAAAAAACCTCCCATTCATTCCAGCGGGAGGTTTTTCCACATGCAAACTGCAGGTGCAGAGGGCCTGATCAGAATCAAAACTCGTAACACAGGTGGGCTTTAAACCTTTGCTTAAATTTTTAAGCATTTCCATTTTCACAGAAACACCCATGGTTCTTAATGTTATTAACAACAATAATGTTAAATAGCATGGCCCATTGGTATGCGGTGGTTTCCTATGTTCCTATGATTTGGGCAAGGCTTCATGGGCCTCATCCTTACTGAGGTAAGATGGTCAACTTGCATTTGGGCCACACCACTGGACTGCAGGAAGGCTCTCACATTTTTAAAATACACTTTAAAAAGCTCTCACTTTTTTAAAATACAGGACTTTTTTCTGACTAAAACAGCTCCTAGGCATCCTTGAAACTGCATCGTGCCATGTGAGGAGCAAAAATATTGCAGTGAGCACCCTTGTTTCCATATAAATAATAGCCCACAAGGGCTTTATTTTGGGTAAACAGACTGCTTAGTAAAATACCAAATCCTTAAACAACCCATATATTCGGAGCACGACAGAAGTGAGAAGAGAAGTCCCGAATGTAAGAATATTTTTATTTGTTTGCAAACAAGCGCTTGTATTGTTGTGTGCACTTTCGGGGAAAGGGACTGTGGCTCTGTGGTAGAAGCATCTCTTCTGCGCACTCTCCATGCTCATAAGCGCACTGGCCTGGGTCATGTGAGCCGGCAGGGAAAAGTTGGAGGACAGATAACTGTTTTCTAAGCACTGGAGAGCTGGAACAGATGGCCCTTCCCTCTGGGCATTGACAAGCCTTCCTCTCAGAATACTCTTTCTATCTTGCTCCTACACAGCAGCTGAGGTGGAACAGAGCCAAATGCAAACAGACCAGTGCTTCACCAGTGGGGACTCTTTAAGTATACTTATCTGACTGTCAACACTATGCTCAGCCACCACCGCTCTCCTGTCCAGTCAGAGCTTTTGCCGCCTGCCCTGCCTCTTTCCTGCATCCCAAGCAAATATGGCTGCCTCAAGCCAAAATATACCTGAGAGGAAGAATGATGGAGCACACGTCGTCTCCACATTAGCAAACATGGGCCTTTATTCTTTTTTTAAAAAAATCCATAGGATTCCTTTAAACTTTTTCTCTCTTAGGAGAGTAAAGGGAAAGGGATGTATTTTCTAATTCATCTAATAATTATTATTATTTATTTACAGGCAACTCCCAATTTATTCAGGGGTTACGTTCCAAGGCACCGTGTGTTTAAGTGAAATTGTGTATAGCTGAAACACCATGGAAAAGGCCAAATCCACAGTGTGATCAACTCCCGCCCAGAAACCAATGTCCCCACGTGTGGATCCAGAATTGGTCTCCACAGTCACTTACGGACTCATTGTTAAAACTGTGTTTATGGAAGACTTTCTTACTTGGCTACGGGTGATCGCCGCCGAAGAAGAAGAAGAAGATTATTAATTAAGATTTGTATACTGCCCTTCATTCATAGATCTCAGGGTGGTTCACAACATAAAAATAAAACACGAGTAGCAACACCACACAGTTCCAAGAGGAGATAAAGCCTGCATGTAGTGGAAATGTGGGTTATCCAGAGAAAGTTAAGTCACAGATATGTTACACAGAAAGCAGTCAAATTCCTACGCATTTTATAAAGGTAAAGGTACCCCTGACCATTAGGTCCAGTCGCGGACGACTCTGGGGTTGCGCACTCATCTCGCTCTATAGGCCGAGGGAGCCGGAGTTTGTCCACAGACAGCTTCCGGGTCATGTGGCCAGCATGGCGAACCAGAGCAGCACATGGAAACACCGTTTACCTTCCCGACGGAGTGTTACCTATTTATCTACTTGCACTTTGTGCTTTCGAACTGCTAGGTTGGCAGGAGCAGGGACTGAGCAACGGGAGCTCACCCCATCATGGGGATTCGAACCACCAACCTTCTGATCGGCAAGCCCTAGGCTCTGTGGTTTAGATCACAGCACTACTTGCATCCCATACGCATTTTATAACCACCTTTAATTCTTTTAATTTCATTGGGACCAAGGGAGAGTTAGCTTTTCATTCACATGGATATAGCTCCCTTCGATAGGAAACATACCTTCTCTTGTGCTAGGGATCTGTACTAAGCAATAGTGTAGAAGGGAGGGGAAAACCCATCCCTTGTTCATAATTCTCATGATACAGCACAGTAATCTTTCAACGCTCAGCAATATAAGAATAGATGCTTCCATCTAGCGGCTATAAGGGGAACTGGGAGTTTTGAGTTTCAGCCTTCAGCAGCAGCAGGTGGTGATAACATCAGGCTTTCCGACTGGTGAGGGTCACAATCCCTGTGTATACACTGGGTGGTATTCAACTCAGTGTTACTCAGAGTAGACCAACCAATGAAATGAAAGGGCCTAACTTAGCCATGCACATAAATTTCTTCTTTTTTTAAAAAAAAGTTTTTATATTTTTCAAATTTATACATTTCATTAATTTTACAATCATTTTAACATTTCAAAGCTTGACATCTTTCCCCCTCTTTCTGTAGTTCCTTAAATTTATTTTTTAATATCTTCTGCATATCCAAATTCATTTAATTATCTAATTTAAATACAAACTGTTATGCAGGTTATTACAATAATCCTGCCAATGTTTTTTTATCTGATTGTACTTTATCTGAAAATTTTCAATAAACCATTTTCATCATATTATAAAAGGTTTTGTTATCTTGATTTCTCGTTCTTCCGGTGAGTTTCGCCATTTCTGCATGTTCCATAAGTTTTCGTATACGTTCTTCCTTTGCTGGGACTTCTGCTTCTTTCCATTTTGGGACGAGTAGCATTCTTGCTGCTGTACGTAGTAGCATACCTAACTACAGTGGTGCCTCGCAAGACGAAATTAATCCGTTCCGCGAGTCTCTTCGTCTTGCGGTTTTTTCGTCTTGCGAAGCACGGCTATTAGTGGCTTAGCGGCTTAGCGGCTATTAACGGCTTAGCGGCTTAGCGGCTTTAAGAAAAAGGAAACAAACTCGCAAGAACTCGCAAGATGTTTCGTCTTGCGAAGCAAGCCCATAGGGAAATTCGTCTTGCGGAATGACTCAAAAAACGGAAAACTCTTTCGTCTTGCGCGTTTTTCGTCTTGCGAGGCATTCGTCTTGCGAGGTACCACTGTAAATTTCTATACAATTTAGGTAGTTCTGTCCCTATAATTCCCAAAAACATATGTTATAAGAAAAATACTGCTCCCTTTCCCTTATGGGGTATCTAAGAGCCCGTAAAGAAGGCTGATTGCCAAAGAATTGATGCTTTTGAATTATGGTCCTGGAGGAGACTCTTGAGAGTCCCATGGACTGCAAGAAGATCAAACCTATCCATTCTGAAGGAAATCAGCCCTGAGGGCTCACTGGAAGCACAGATCCTGAAGCTGAGGCTCCAATACTTTGGCCACCTCATGAGAAGAGAAGACTCCCTGGAAAAGACCCTGATGTTGGGAAAGATGGAGGGCACAAGGAGAAGGGGACGACAGAGGACGAGATGGTTGGACAGTGTTCTGGAAGTTACCAGCATGAGTTTGACCAAACTGCGGGAGGCAGTGGAAGACAGGAGTGCCTGGCATGCTCTGGTCCATGGGGTCACGAAGAGTTGGACACGACTAAACACTAAACAACAACAACAAGAGCCCGTATAGAGTCCTTGAGTAGTTTCTTTATTGGTAGGAGAAAAGAACAGAGGCCAACCAGAGAAAATTGAGAAGCAAGGCAGCTAGTAAGCTTGATCTTTATTAACTGTTGCAACAGGGTGTTCACAACCACATGCAGGAGGCAGGAGGGACCCAGAACAATGGTGCACAAACCCTAATACAGACTTTTGAAGTTGCCCACCCTTTAGCCAGAGACCACCCCCCAAAACATCACACGTACATCACAGAAGGAGGCGGGCTACAGTAGAAATACATCACAAGGGGCCGTCTACAATGCAAATCCTGTCTGGCAGGATACTGATAATGGTCACTTGATTGCTTCACCTGGGCAGCCTGGCCATTCCTCTTGAGATGCTAAATAGCTCACCCTATTCATATACCCTTAAGACAGGTAAGCAAAAGACAATGGAGAGTCTTTCCCATTTCCTTCCTCCTTGCAGAGAAATATCTGAAGTCAATTTGGGAGAGCCAAAATAGTTTCAGGACTGCTCTCCTGTACTATTGCAGACACACGGTTCATTTACTCATGTATGTGTTTGCCTTGTAGATTTTTGAACATAGGATTTTTACATATGAGACCTTGGAATTCCTATAACACCTAATTTCTCTGTGTCTGCTCTGAGTAAAACTCAGCTGAATACCAGCCACTATACCTTGGAAACTAATAGGTCGTTATGTGCCCAAAAGGTACTTAGGCCTTGTCCACACAATACCTCTGAAGCACATTTAAAGCACATTATTTCCCGCAAAGCATTCTGGGCGCTGTAGTGTACACCTCATGGCTTCCTGCAAATCTCCCCTCTCACCTCCCGCAACTCAGCATGTTGTAGCTGCATCTGCTGTAGGTATTCCTCTCACAGACATGGTGGACCTTGATTGCTGGTCCCCACTGGAACTCATAGTGTGAATGATGAAGGTAACTGATTGGGGCATTTTAGTGATTTTCACCTGGACACTGTTTCTGACCGCTGTCACATCAGTGATGAGAAAAACTTCTAGCCTGAGCTTCTGTGTGTATATTTGGAAGCAAGTCTGGGATAGCTCAGCTGGTAGAGCATGAGAGTCATGGGTTTGAGCCCAACATCGGGCAAAAGATCTCTGCATTGCAGGGGGTTGGACTAGATGACCCTTGTGACCCTTCTGATTCTATGTCCCACTGTGATCAAGAGGCTTTATTCCCTAGAGCAACCTTCCCCTACCTGGTGCCTTCCAGATGTTTTGGATACAAATCTCATTGTCCTGCCAATCTGAGGGCTTACCCTTATCACTTAACCTATTGCCCTGCTCTTTCCAGGCATAGGTAAAGGTAAAGGGACCCCTGACCATTATGTCCAGTCACGGACGACTCTGGGGTTGCAGCGCTCATCTCGCTTCATTGGCCGAAGGAGCCGGCGTACAGGTTCTGGGTCATGTGGCCAGCATGACTAAGCCGCTTCTGGCGAACCAGAGCAGCACACGGAAACGCTGTTTACCTTCCCAACAGAGCGGTACCTATTTATCTACTTGCGCTTTGACATGCTTTCGAACTGCTAGGTTGGCAGGAGCAGGGACCGAGCAACGGGAGCTCACCCCTTCGCGGGGATTCGAACCTCCAACCTTCTGATCGGCAAGTCCTAGGCTCTGTGGTTTAACCCACAGCACCACCCGTGTCCCTTTCCAGGCATAGGCTCCTGCATAAAAGTTCTGTGTCTGTGTTTTTTTGCCTCCAAGCTTTCCCACCCCCACCCCCACCCACTATTTAGCGCTCAATTGTAGCAAGCACCAATTGGGGTTTTCTGCAGATTGCCATTTGCTCCGACTGAGCTTTAGAGAGTGGGTTTTTGCAGGGCAAAAGCTCTGGAGTGAAAAGGGGAAAAGGGACATGGAGCTTTAAAGTGTGGACTGTGCTTGGAAAGAGTGGAGGAAAGGAAGTGTGGATAAGCCCTAAGTCTATAAAACATTTTACACCAGCTGCAGCTTCTGAACACGGTTCTAATCCCCGCGACAGGGTGAGCTCCTGTTTCTCGGTCCCTGCTCCTGCCAACCTAGCAGTTTGAAAGCACGTCAAAGTCCAAGTAGATAAATAGGTACCGCTCCAGCGGGAAGGTAAACGGTGCTGCTCTGGTTCACCAGAAGCGGCTTAGTCCTGCTGGCCACATGACCCAGAAGCTGTACTGGCTCCCTTGGCCAATAAAGTGAGATGAGCGCCGCAACCCCAGAGTCGGTCACGACTAGACCTAATGGTCAGGGGTCCCTTTACCTTTACCTTTAAATGGGAAGTGACTTTGGCATGCCTCAGGCTAGCTGGTACATAGGCACTTCATCCTCATCCTGACTCTCAGATTGTTTTTCTTACGCATTGCTAACACCCAATGTTCACTTTCATAAGATACTCAAGATTTCCCCCCCAGTGAGTGTAATGGATTAAAGCTGCAGTCCTGGGAGCAGTTCCGACTGAACTCATTGGAGCTTACTTCTGAGTAGACATGTGTAATACAGTGGTACCTCTGGTTATGAACTTAATTTGTTCCAGAGGTCTTAACGCACAACCGTTCTTAACATGAGGTGCACTTTCGCTAATGGGGTCTCCCACTGCCGCCACACGACTCCCATTCACATCCTGGGGCAAAGTTCACAACCGGGAGCATCTACTTCCGGGTTAGCGGAGCTCGTTACCCAAAGTGTTCGTAAGGAGGATGGGACATAACCCGAGGTTCCACTGTATAGTATTGCACTGTAAGGAGTCACTAATCGCTTAAAAGAACTTTATACTAAATAGTGGACCCCGATATGATTCTATACCTTCTATGTTAGGTTGGCCGACTTTTAAGAGCAGTATCTTGGCTTCAAATCTTATGCATTATATGAAATTAGCATTTCATATAATGCTAATTGGTTGGCACTCAGAATAGTTTTTATAGCTCAGTCATGCCTTTCGAGGGAAAAAGCTGTTATACAATGGACAAATCATCATAAATGCCTGATGCAAAAGGTCAAACTTATATAACTAGCTATTGATGGGCACAATCCATTTTTATTACATGGCTGTATAGTTATGGTTATACAAGTGGCCGTCATGAATATCTAGCAGAAAAGAATGCTGCTTTATTAACAGGGAGAAGACTATCTTCAGTTCTTTTACAGAAAACCGTGCCTCTTTGTGACACATAAATGAAACTGGAATAACTGTTACTAATTCCATGAAGTATTCATAACTGAGGAGGGGATTTGATTATGTTCAAAACAATATGAAAACCGAAATGCATTCATTCTTCAAAATTCACGCTTCTCTGAATTTTGCAATCTAGTTCTCCAACCAGTGTTTGCAGAACGGCATATGTCAGGGTGTAAATGTGCATTAAAATGATGATAGTGAAGCTAACATGCAAAAAACCATGATGTCAGGAGAAATTGCTTGCACAAATTTGTGACATTAGGAGAAAATTGCCTCTGATGTGGGACTACAATTCCCATCATCCATGCTGGCCGAGAGTTGTAGTCCAAAACGTTTGGAGGATCCCAGGTTGTTTTGCGCATTCTGGAGGCCAGAGGCCTAGTTCATTTACTTCCATATGTTCCGGGTTCTGTCAATCCTATAATTGGCACAGACTTCTTGGGATTGCAAAATTCCTTATTCATGTGGTCCTGGTCCTCTTACCTGCTCTGGGACACCCTGCTAGGTCCTCCTCCTGCTTATGCACGTGCATGGAGGAATGTTGGGATCTGTCGTTTTTGAGAGACCATGTCACTCTTCTCTCTTGTCTCTCAAACCACAAACTCCATCTTGCAGAAGCTCCATTGGAACACCAGCTCACTGTTCAAAGCATTGCTTATTCTCACCTGCTTCTGTTGGGCTCTAGCCCAATCACATGGGATCTGGGCACACAGGGAAAGAAGTCTGCATAAGCATCCTGAAGGAGGATGGTTATACATTTAGCCTTAATTTCCCCTTCACAGTTGCTGCCTTCCAGCCTGAGGACCTTCAGGCCATGTCCTGCTGGGGTCCTCCTGGCTTAGCAACAGGACGGAATTGGGTGTGTTATTGAATACCAGTAAGTTCTTCCACGCATCCTGGGCTACTCCTGCTGCACTATCAGCTCTCAGACAAGAGAAAGTGTGCCTCTGGGCTCGCCCTTCCCTAAGCAGACCTTTCACCCCTCCCTTAATTGCAGCTGGAAAGGGGAGGGGTGAGCTGCCTCCTTTACAAGGCCCTACAATAGGACTTGCCTGGGAGACAGAGAGAGGAAGTGGGGGAATCTAGCTGGCTCTGTGGATTAGCGCTTTATGCCACAGAAAGTGGTCCCTTGGGTGCCCCAGTCAGAGGGAAGACTTTGCCTTCTTGCAAGCTGTTCGAAAGACTAGAATTGAAGCTTCACCCGACAGCGTTTCTTCAACCTTCTCTAGCTTTTAATATCCTTATCCGCTGCTGCCTCTTAAGCACAAAAGGTAAGTCCAAAGTTGACTTCTGAGAGCTGTTCTCCAGCTTTCTTGCTTTTTAAATTTTTATTTTAAATGTGGGGCTTTTCCCCCTCAAGCACACCATGGGTGAAGAAGGGAGAATATTAACTATGCGCTATAGTTACACGACCGAAACAGAACAGGCGTGTTTCACAGCTGCTCCAACCTGCTATTTCTGATAGCAAGGCAGAAATTGGGGCAATTTGGACCTGTTGCCTAGTCCCTATGCCGATTATTCCGACTCAAAGGTAGCTTTTAATCTGAGAACGGGATTCACAGATTGAGGTTAAAAGGAAACCGAGACTTAAAACCAGCCTCTAAGGTGGAAAGTGGCTAACACAGGAGGGATCCACTACGTTTCTCAGAATGACGGGAATATATAATTGGGTGCAAATGAGTGCAATCTGGGCAGAAACAGAAGTCTTGGTGATTGAAACCTATTCAGAACTAATATGAGCATTAGATGGATTCTGAATTTTTAAAATCTTGGATGCAAATGCCCCTGTGTTAGGGGACTAAGAAATAGATTCATAACAGAAACTTTTGAATTGTCGATTCACAGTTCTTCAAAAAAATATGTGAACCAAAGAACAGACATCCTTCAAAATCTGCAGTACTGTGAATTTTATGGTGCACTTGTTCAACCAACAAAGAACGTATTACATGTAGGGTAAAATGTGCATAGAAATGCATATACTGCTGACAACGGCAACGAGAAATGTATTATGTTGCTGTAAATTCCTTGCAAAATGTACACAGTAGGCAAAATTGCTTTAAAATTTACTTTAAGAGAAATGTGCCCTAAAACGCTGATTATTTTTTGGTGAGGACTTTTCACATAAGAAATATGACAAAGAGTGGGGAAATCAGAGAAACAGAAATCGACAGGATTTACCTATTCTTTTAAGTATAGGAAACATTAGTATTTTTCTTTTTAATGGACTGATTCCAATTTCTTTAAAGTCAGAAAGAATTAAGCAACTTCCCTGGGAGACGACCAGCGCTTATCTAATGTATCTTAAAAATAAAATCAGTGTGAGGGCAGCTAAGCAGCATAAGAGATATTATTCCCCCTGCTCCCCTGAATTAGTTTAAGAATTTTTTGGCTAAATTATATCTGGTATATTGTGAGGGAAACAACTTGAATTTTCTTGGAAATGCAGGCTGCTTTCTCTCTCTCTCTCTCTCTCTCTCTCTATATATATTTGTTGCTTAAATAATGTGGACACTAAAGTGTAGATTTAACTACCGTATTTTTCGCTCTATAAGACGCACCAGACCACAAGACGCACCCAGTTTTTGGAGGAGGAAAACAAGAAAAAAAATATTCTGAATCTCAGAATCCAGAACAGCAAGAGGGATCGATGCGCAGTGAAAGCAGCAATCCCTCTTGCTGTTCTGGCTTCTGGGATAGCTGCGCAGCCTGCATTCGCTCCATAAAATGCAACACATTTCCCCTTACTTTTTAGGGGGGGGAAAGTGAGTCTTATAGAGCAAAAAATACGGTAACTACCAGGAGTGTCATTTAAATGAGCTTTTGCATTTTTTAAAAAGCTGGTAATTCAAACATAAATATTTCAGGGACTTTAAATGTATATTGAATTTGAAAATGGCCCATCTGTTTCCAATTCCCTGTAAACAACATTCAAAAGTAACACACACAAAACTAACAGCAATGCTCATGAGCTGTTTGTAGGCTTCCCAAAGGAAACTGTTTGGCCGCTGGGCAAAGACAATGATAGATTGGATGGGCCTTTAGGCTCATCCAGTGGTTCTTGAACTTTTTTTTTCTGGGTCATGCTTTCAGAATAGAAATGTGCTCGCCACACCAAATTTTTTTACTGATAAGAAATACATGGGAAAACAAAAACAAACAGCTCTTAGCAGTTCTTGATTCATAACATAGAACACAACTACTTTGTAATATGATCGTGGGACACCTAGAAAGCATAAAATGATTATTTTTGAACTGTGCAACACTGAAATGTTTAAATGTTTCTTTGTTTACTCCTGCCGCACCATTTGAGAACAGCTTCCTTATATGCTATGCATGCTGACCCACAGGTAAGTCCCACTGTTTTCAACGGTGCTTTCTCCTGGGAAAGTGTGCATATATTATATGAGAAAACTCCATTTAGCATTGCTCCCCAAACCCCCAATATTACACCCAAAATGTATCTGTAGTTTGGGCAGGTGTAGCAGTTTTTAATAGGCCATTTAAAATAGTTGAGAGCAAGGCTGTCCTGCCTGCTACTTCTGTATATTTTTAAAGGGAGACCTGCTATATGCTATTGAAATCTGATGTGCTATATGCGCACATCATTCTTCTGGATGCTTGCGTTATGATTAATGCAACGAAGTATGTGGTCCTTAGTTATGCAGGCTGCAGTCTTTTACTGTTTTGTCCCAGGGCAACCAAAGCAGTGCCTTCTCCAATATGCTGATTCTGGTCACTGATATCCTCTGTTGAGGTTCTGCTGTTGACTTATAGTGGCGACAGTGAAGGTCTTTTCTGTGGAACCATCATTTCCCAAGGTTTCCAGGGCTTTATATGTCATTGACTAAGCCTTGAATTCAGACTAAAAACAAATGGGCAGCTGCTGATGACTGAAGGATAGAAGGGACTGTCAGTCTCGGTTCTCTTAGTTCTGTATTTTTGTCCCGTTATTAAATTCAGTTCTCCACATTTTGCAGCAATTTGCGATCGGAAAAATCCTTATGGAAATTCATCTGCATTTTAGTGCAAACTTCCCCTTTAACAGCAGTTTTCACTAATGTACACATTTCATCATTTTTTTTGCACACCTTCTCCTAATAATACTCATTTTCCCCCTAAAAAATGTTTGGTTGGAGCGCTGCATAGCAAATTTGGACAAGTGTAAATTTCGAAACTTTGTTTTGGTTGGATAGCTGTGTTTTGCTTGTCATCTTTATGAGTAGCCCTACATAGTGTCTGTTGAAATAACTGGGCATTTTCTCACTGATCCGCCACTCCCATTTCTATACTCATTTATTTCATTCACCCTAATTTCAGTCTCCTTTAGGCAGCAAACTTGCAGGCAGTGTCTATATTTCATATCTTACATAAAGCGCTTCAGTGCCTTCACTACAATAAATGAATAATACTAGGGTACAGAGTATTTTCTCAGTATTAGCACTATCCAGTAAACATTAGACAATGAAAGCAGCAGACTAACATCTCTCAATGAGCTTAATGGGACTGATTATCACTATTTTGTGAGATTCGATTGTGTTCATACTGGAAATCTATGCTTCTGCAAATAAAATGGATTTAAGTGCCCTGATGAAACAAATCCATGTTTTAAAAATGACCTTTTTGCAAGGAGGAGAGTGATGGGGAAACACACTTAAGAAGTGTGGGATACGCACTGATTTGCAAAAACTCATATAAGCTTTGTGCAAGCAAATTGGGATGAATGCTCGCTGCCATATAACCTCCCTGCAAACGGTGTTATTTCTTTCCTGGAATTCCTATGGAGAAATAACATTCACTGCATCAATATGACAAACTCTCTGGTTACAAAAGCTATAGCAAGTCAGAATGGATGGGATAAATCTCTAGGATAGCACACACATACACGCAAACTAACACAAATATCAAAGACAGAGGAACTAAATCAGTAAAATGTCTAGGGATATAGCACGAATGATTCAATAGAAATTCTCAAAATCAACCAACAGCTATTATATATTAAAAAACTGAGAAATATTTGGAATGTTGGAAATATCTCTGTATATCCTGGATTGATAGGATATCAGTAATTAAAATGAATATGCATCCCTAAACCCTGTTTTTGCCCATAAATATTCCTCTATTCAAGGAATATTTATAAGCAAAACCAATATTTCCCCCTTCTTTTATTTTCTAAAATTTGCAGATAAAAATAGATAAAAGTGAAAACATATTCCTGTTATCGTTTTCTTTAATAATTTTAGACAAATAGCAAAAGCGCTTATTGAACTTTATATAGTCAAAGAACCCACGTAGAATAGCAGCAAAAATCATATTCCTTAAAAAAGTAGAAAGAGGAGTGGTGGTTCCTAATACTGTATTCTGCTACCAAGCAGCAAAATATAGCTTCTCTTTAGGATTCGTTATTTCCAGTAAAACAACAGAAGCAGAAAAACAATTCTCCTGAATAAAGAATTTAAAAGTCTGTTAATGAGGGGCACCTTGAAGCCACCTGAATTTTGTTGCTTATATTGTCTGTGTTCATCTTGTGGTTCACAGGGATAAAGCACCTCCGGAAAGATGGCTCAGAACCCACAAGTTGGCATCCCCATGTCCGAGACCAGTACAAACGGCATCCCAGGCAAGAAGCAGATGAAAGCCAGCACAGTCACTTTTCACAACATCTGGTACAGAGTGAAGACAAAGTCTGGCTTCATAGGTTGCCGAAAAACAGTTGAGAAAGACATTTTGAGAGACATCAAGTACGTATTTCTCAGCCAGAATGTGCACTCAGTTTCCATATATATGTGTGTGTATACTTTGAGAGGGTCCCCAGTGTTTCTCCTACATTATCTTAGTAATCCTTACAACAGCCCTGTTTTGTAGGCCAGTATTATTATCCCCATATTACAGATCAAGGGCAGTGCCTGAGTTCATGAAGGATGGGTGCCAAATATTCTGATAAACCAGCCACACCCAAGTTCCTTATCTGCTGGCCTAGCGTCAGCGAAGACCAGACGCTGCGAAATCCACTGAGAACTTGGGTGATATAAGTTAGGAAGAGGAGACTGAAACAGTTTCAGAGTTCATTGCACTATCCAAAGCCCTTTCGGTGGACAAGTTTTGCCTTAGAAAGCATAGGTGGAGGAAGGGGGGCCCTTTGGCAGGTACGTGATGGCAGTGCTAACAGATCTTCTGCCTAAGATGGCATGGCAAACTTTCTGTGGGAATCGCTGGATCTAAAATGGCAGCCACCGCTGTGGAAATCTGCCAATGCTCGCTTATTGACCTGTGTCGGGAACAAAAATTGATCAAGCAAACACGGCTGTGGTTGCAAATGGTGCGTAATTGACTGTGAAGTTCAATGCTACATGAGAACAGACAGTAATACGACTATGAATAATTAACCGAATTATATTGTTCCCTGTGTGAAAGGTAACAGGGGGCCACACCCTACGGAATATTTGGTAGCTTGCCCTTAGATAAACTGAAATAATGTGTTATGAAAGCAGTCGTTATTAACCCTAGGGACCCATAGGGTTGATTTGTAAGTTTCAGGGATGCCCCATGGATCCGCCATCAGTGCTGGATTAACTCTAGGCACCCCCCTCCCACAACATGCGTGTGATTGACTCGCGCATGACCACATATGCATGCAGTGCTGGGAATAAATAAATCGATTCAGACTTGGAATTGGCAGCAGAGTGATGGAGAGCCCTTGTGGAGCCCGAAGAGTACTTCAGCGAGGGCAGAGGAAGCCTTGAAAAGACCGGAGGCACAGCTGGAGGGAGAGAACTTAATTATACCACATTGAGCTCCTTGAAGTAAAAGTGCAATACAACTGTAATCATAATAAAGTATGTATGTATGCTATCTTGAAGGCCAGCTTGTCTAGCATTGCTGCTGCAATGTTCACTCGCAGGGGCATTTTTGAGAATATTGTATGGCAGCACTTTTTAAGGCCTTCAACCTTTTCAAACCCAGGCTTCAAATGAATCTGCAGCTTGATTAAGTTTGACCAATAGATGCAATGCACCGAAAGCGAAAACAACTCACAAGAAATGTGCTGGTTTTGTGTTGCAGCGGGATAATGCGGCCTGGACTGAACGCAATCCTGGGGCCAACCGGCTGTGGCAAGTCTTCGTAAGTCTTGTGGCAGTGAGCAAAAGCGGCTACATGTTAACTTGGCCCTAATTCCTACCCTTGACTAAAAGAAAGCCCTCCAGGCAGAAAACATGGCTTCATATATTGAAGCCCAGAAAGGGTTCATAGTCTGGTCTAAAATAATTTTGCTGGAGGATCAGCCTCTTTCCTGCAATTCTGGTATAATGTTGTGAGCATGTCCTCAGTTACGTTTCTCAGTGGGACTAGCTAAACGATGCTGATTATGCTATTATGGTCTTGACAGAGGCAGACAGAGGAGCAGAGCAGTCTATAAACTGAGTCAAGACATCTGTGTGAACAAACTGCAAGTTATGTCCAACACACAGGGCTGGATTCATCTACTCTGTTCTGCTAGCAGAAGCCGGCAGAATGACTCCGGCTAAAATAATGGGGATTCTTTTCTCCCCCGTACACCTCCTACGCACACACACACACACACACACACATATGGAGGACTGGGAGACTGCCCAGAACAGCACTGGAGGGAGGAGAGATCATCCCATCGGTTAATAGGGTGTGTTGAAATTTTCAGCTTTCAATTTCCCCAAATGAGTGGAGAGCCAGTGTGGTGTAGTGGTTAAGAGCGGTAGTCTCGTAATCTGGTGAACTGGGTTCGCGTCTCCGCTCCTCCACATGCAGCTGCTGGGTGACCTTGGGCTAGTCACACTTTTCTGAAGTCTCTCAGCCCCACTCACCTCACAGAGTGTTTGTTGTGGGGGAGGAAGGGAAAGGAGAATGTTAGCCGCTTTGAGACTCCTTAAAGGGAGTGAAAGGCAGGATATCAAATCCAAACTCTTCTCCTTCTTCTTCTTCTAAAAAGTTGTAACGTGGCTTGGGAAATCAAAAGATATTTTGGTTAAATGAATAGAAATTAGTTTTTTTTCTTGGGAAGTAGAATGATAGGTTTCAGGAGCCAACACCATCGGCAGAGCATGAGGCTCTTAATCTCAAGTTCGTGGGTTCAAGCCTCACATTGGGCAAAAGATTCCTGCGTTGCAGGGGGCTGAATTAGATGACCCTCATGGTCTCTTCTAAGTCTACAATTCTATGGTTCTATGAATTTGGTGATCTGTGCTTTTTAAAATAAAACTCTTAAATGGCAGCCACACCAGGGAAAAGCGCAATCAGATCAGAACCATGGGGGCGGGATTTACGTAACTCCTTTCCCTCCATACCTTGGGCCTGATAAAAATCCTCCCCAGCTACACTTTTGCACTGGAGAGAAGCTTTCCTCTTGTCCACATAGCTGCTTTTGGAAAGGGTTGGGATGAGTTATTTCCATTAAAACTGTGCACAATCAAATCCAGTTTGACTCCCAGTGTGCTTTAACAACAACAACAAAAAGTTGTGTGGGTGGGTGGGGGGAGTCCTGTGTGATGTAGTTCTGCCTTTTTCTTTCAGACTACTGGATATTTTAGCCGCAAGGAAAGATCCCCATGGCTTGAGTGGAGACGTTCTAATCAATGGAGCCCCTCAACCTGCCAATTTTAAATGTATCTCTGGATATGTTGTGCAGGTAAGCCTCCGATAGTCTCTGACTCTGTTTATTTTACCCTTTACAAAATTCAGTGTTAAAATCAGGATTGCCCAGTGTGATGCATAGTCCCGGTTTGCTTTATGCAAATGTTGCAGAGCATGAAATAGAGAAGGTTTGCCTGGAGCTCTGCACGTGATTTGTGGCTTTGGTATGTGAACTGGAGCTCCTGATTTGAGCTGCGTATCTATCTGTTTCCTTTGGATTTGTCCAGGATGATGTGGTCATGGGGACCTTGACTGTGAGGGAGAACTTCCAGTTCTCAGCTGCCCTCCGATTACCGAAGACTGTGAGGGAGCAGGAAAAGGAGGATAGGATCAACCAGATCCTCAAGGAGCTGGGCTTGACAAAAGTGGCAGATTCAAAGGTATCATCATTGCTTCTCCAAAATTATGTCGCACACTGACTAAATTCCGGGATAAAAACTATATACCGGTAAACAAGACTCTACAGGAAAAAAATGAAGATTGTCAGAGGTGAATATTCTTTTGAACAATATACCCATTGCATTGGAATTGACAACAGGACAGTGAAAATGGATTCTACATGCCCTAATGGTGGCTAAGAGATTGATACTGATGGATTGGAAGAATAGAGATACGATTCCTCTTAATCAATGGCTTGACAACATGGCAACATTTGCAAAATATGGATAGCTTATAGATGCAGACTATCTTTGAATACAATATTTGAAATGAGTGTACACAGAATAGATTAGGTTATTGACATATGTGTATTAAGATAATAAGAATATACACATTTGTATATTAATGTCTGGTAATGTAAGGGTTTTTTTCGTTCTCACTTTCTTTTCCACTTCTCTTTCATTATAAATGAAATTATTCTAATGAAATATTAATCTTTGTTATTTTAAATGTTTATTCATATGGCACCATCGACGTACACAATATCGCTCAAGTTCTTCTTTTGCATTAGGTTGGAACCCAGTTCATTCGTGGCATATCCGGTGGAGAGAGGAAACGGACCAATATCGGCATGGAGCTGATTACTGATCCTGCAATCTTGTTCTTAGATGAGCCAACCACTGGACTGGATGCCAGCACAGCCAATGCTGTCCTGCTACTCCTGAAAAGGTAATTGCTAGAAAAGGTACTGTGTGTCTTTGGCTGTGCATGGGATGAAATAATAGCACTTTCTTCAGCATCGGTACAACGAACTGTGATGCCCAAAGTATGGTTCTTGTGTGAGCCACTGGGATTTTGTGGATAGGGCTGGAAGTGGGATGGAGAGATCACCTGTGTCCAAAGTTTTACTTAGCCATGTTATTTATGCTAGGAAACAACAATGCTTGCAATAAGTTACCTGAACCGGGGTGGGGGAAGTAGACGGAAAGGCAACCTATTCTTCCCTTCCTGATTCCTTCTTAACGAACTGCTTGTTGATATGTAGATTGTTTCTCATGCTTTACTTCTTTCCTGCTTCTCCAAATCAGTTATTGTTAACTCTTTGATTCCATGTTGGCCACATGTAAGCTTGAGCTGACATGTGGCTTTGTTTGCCATAAGTAATAAACCTTGCTTTCGTCTTTCCACCAGCCATCAGTCTTACTTGACTATTAAATTCTGAACTTCACTGCAATATATACCAGACACCACAATTTATTTAAAATTATTTATGTGCCACTGTACATACAATGTATTGCAGGGATTTCCAAATGTAATAATAATAATAATAATAATAATAATTAATACCCTGTCCATCTGGCTGGGTTTCTGCAGCCACTCTGGGTGGCTTCCAACAAAATATTAAAATACAATAGTGCAAAATATTAAAACACAACAGTAAACCAATACTTCTCTAAAACCAGTCAAAAAAGTAAAAACAATATAGCAAAACAGCCAGAAAACAGAGGATGTGGTAGTCAGCTTCAGCTTTAAAAGGCCAGATGGGACAAATAGTTTTCTGCAGAAAAGTGGCAAGAACTTCTCTTGGAAGGTACAATTGCAAAAACAAGGGCCGAACCTAGCTTCCCCGTGAGATGGTATCCTGAGCAGGGCATCATTGGAAGATCTTAAGTGCCGGGAAGTTTTGTATGGAAGGAGGCATTCCCCCTAGATAATCGAGACCCAAACTGGTTAGACTTACATGGTGAATTTGGGTCAATCACTCCCTCTGAGCCTGCCCCACCTCACAGGTTTTTGTTGAGCTAGGGGAACCCATCTGTGCTTTCCAGAGGTACTTTGGGGAAAAGTCAGATACCGTACAGTAAATAAACAAGGTTTTGTTAAATAGGTTTAGTGTTTTTCAGAGAATCAATCTTGGATACAGTAACAGCACTTGATTTTTTATTTTGATTTTTTTTTGGGAATGTTATAGTTCTTTGATGGGACTTACAATACTCCCAGCATCATAACAAGACAAATGGGGAAAGTACGGTGATAATAAATGCAAACTGTGTAGCTGCTGAAAGAGTGGACTAGGCCTCGTGGACTAGGTCCCCTTTTTTTTTCTGCGGCTCACCGGACATTAGGGAATTGTAGCCAGCCTTTAACAAGCCTCCTTTTCCTGGAGGTGTGCAATGCATTCATAATCTCTTCCTTCACAGGTATGCAGTTGAGCAGGTATTATGGAAGTGCAGAAGCAGGCACACTTCAAGAAGTATTAGCAACCTAACAATATAAAAAACCCTAACCCCACTCCCAAGCTGTTTCTGACAGCCTACTCCCAGGTTTACCTTGCCATACAGCAGAACCAGGGTTAGAAACTGAGATATGAAAGCTAGGAGCTAAACGGCACCTTAAACCTAGGTTATGGGTGCAACAACGAAATGTCTAGGTGCGCTTTTTAATAAGAATACAAAGCTGAAAATGAATGAGCTGCAGCTAAAATTTTACGTCCTTTTTTCACATGGTCTAGTCCTTCCCCTGCCCACTCCCTTAATATTCTTAAGAGGGGTCTCTTCTCTAGCCTTCAGAGAGCAGCTGGAAGTGGGGAGGCAGGAAAAGGTCTTCTTTTCCTTCCACTCTGCAGTTTTAATCTGAAATCTTAGGCACAGTAACTGCACCCAGAGCTCAGAAACCACCCGCGCTCATGAAATTCCCTGTCACAAAATGCGCCTAGAACAAAGGGAGTTTCGAACACTGAGCAGAGCTGGAAAAAAGGCAGAAGCTATCTGCTGGGCCAAATGGGGGAGTGAAATCAGCTTCTCAGGTAGCTAGAACATCAATTCAGTGCCCATTATGCAAGTAGTCATAGCTACTGGGTTACGGAGAAGAGAAGAGGTGGGGCAGCACAGAGAGAGGTGGTCTCTTCACTTTGAACAGCTGTATGTTGAGAATTTTGACCTATGATGAATTGCAGGGGGGTTTTTTAGCTTGCAGATTTTGAATGAATAACACTATGTTTTACAAAACCTTAAGCCGGTTGACACCTTTCTTACTGCCTACTCTGTTCAGGATGGCCAGGCAAGGGAAAACAATCATCTTTTCCATCCACCAACCTCGCTACTCCATATTCCGACTGTTTGATAAATTGACCTTACTGGCAGCAGGCAGGATGCTTTATCATGGACCAGCTCAGAACGCCATAGAATTTTTCAAATCCAGTGGTAAGGTTTCAGAAGACTCTCTACTGAACATAGTGGGGACTGCTATATGTGAGCATATATCCCCGTTGTTGTTTTGTTAAAGTCAGCTCAATTTGGCTTTGCCACAGGGGAGTGGGTTGATGTATTTATTACAATACCCTAGTCTTGAAATTACCAAAGCATGGACAGCTGCAGGCTGTTTGATAATCTGGAGACATTTTTTTTGGGGGGGGGGGGGGACAGTTCTGAAGATTTTGAATACACGATCCCAAGTACTTTGCAATACATTTTCACCACCTGCTTATTGAAAGACCTGCAAGCATTTTATTTCTTTGTAGGTTATGAGTGCGAACCGTACAACAACCCTGCTGACTTCTTTCTGGATGTCATTAATGGAGACTCGACGGCTGTGGCTTCAAACAAGACTGGTGAAATTGAAATAGGTATGCAAAACACAGTTTCTTTGTTAGAGTCACTGCTCGGTGTGCTGTATGAAGAGATGCATTCTGTGTTGATTAGCTTTGCCATAGAGAAATCGCGCCTGTACGATACCATACAGAGAGACCACTGGTTTGTATAGTGCCGGTGCCAGCACAACAATCTATTCAGAGATCATACCCATCTGTTGTGCAGATTACGGCATTCAGCTGTGCATCAGTGTGCATTCAACGTACCGCCTACCTCCCACTGGTACTGACACATGGTGAAGTCTCAGCACCTACAATCCGACAGAGCATAAGACCCTTAATCTCAGGGTCGTGGGTTAGAGCCCCACACTGGAGGAAAGATTCCTGCATTGCAGGGCATTGGACTAGACCCTTGTGGTCGCTTCCAGCTCTGCAGTTCTATGATTCTATAAAGAACTGTTGGAATCAGAGCAACAAAGGGCTGGTTTCAAACCAGCCTGACAAGGAAGCTCAAACCCTGCCCAGGCAGCAGTGAAGTGTTGCCGAGCTACCACTGCATCCAGACCCGTCACTCATGCTAGCAGGGGCATAAGTAGGCATAAATCCCTGTGCGAGCCTGGAGTTGTGCAGCAATTGGACCTGATGCTGTCAAATGATGGCAGTTGGGTTGGCTGGGGAGCTAGCACATCCTGGGCCTGCTTAGCTGGTCCCTGCCTCATTTTGGTGCTTTCTGTATGCTGCTGCTGGTGATGTGGACCTGCTAATAGTTCTTCTGCCCACTCACATGCTTGGAAAGGGGAAACTGCCCTTGTAGAGTGACTCTGGTGTTACTTTGTGGTTGGAAGACACCAAAGGCCTCCACTCAATCCAAAACCACCTCATCCTGGCACAAAGAGGGTTGGGATTGCAATTGAATGGCTTAGGACCAGGATACCTGGAGGACTGGCTCCTATCATACAACTCTGGTCATTCCTTTAGGGCAGTGGTGGCCAAACTCGGCCCTTGGACTACAATTCCCATCATCCCTGACCACTGGTTCTGTTAGCTAGGGATGATGGGAGTTGTAGTCCCAAAACATCTGGAGGGCCGAGTTTGGCCACCACTGCTTTAGGGTCAGGCTGAACATGGGACAGGGTCTTCTTCTCTGTCACCATGTCCCAACTTCGGAATATCACCTGAGAGATCAAGTACATGTGAAAAGTATCTTGGTGTCTTATCTGACCACAAAATGACCATGGGCCACCACTGCAAGATGGCTGCAAAAAGAAGAAGTTATTCCAGTCTTAGGCTGCATTAGCAGACAAATTCATGGAAGATCTACTTATCAACAGCTACTAGGCATGATGGCCATGCTCTGCTTCCACAGTAATGCTTCTGAATGCCAGTTGCTGGAAATTGCAAGAGGGAAGAGTGCTCTTGTGCTTGAGTCCTACTTGTGGGTTTCCCATGGGTATCTGCTGAGAACAGGATGTTGGACTAGGTGGGCAATTGAGGCTCTTCCTGTGTCCATTTCATTCAAACAGTGGACCAAACTGAAAGCGAAGAGGAAAGCGCCTCTTTGGATGGTATGAATCCTAGTCCACAAAAGCTTATGTCATATAAAGTAAAGGTAAAGGGACCCCTGACCGTTCAGTCCAGTTGCGAACGACTCTAGGGTTGCGGAGCTCATCTCGCTTTATTGGCCGAGGGAGCCAGCGTACAGCTTCCGGGTCATGTGGCCAGCATGACTAAGCTGCTTCTGGTGAACCAGAGCAGCGCATGGAAACGCCGTTTACCTTCCCGCCAGAGCGGTAACTATTTATCTACTTGTACTTTCGAACTGCTAGGTTGGCAGGAGCAGGGACCGGGAGCTCACCCTGTTGCGGGGATTCGAACCGCCAACCTTCTGATCGGCAAGCCCTAGGCTTTGTGGTTTAGACCACAGCGCTACCTGCGTCATATAAAGTACTCAGCCTTTATGCTATGCTACATTTTGTGTTTTGTGCTCTAGCTCAACTCCCATAGATCCAGAAGACCATGTTAAATGTATTTCTCCATCTCTCCAAAGATAACATTGACGAACACATCAGTCGTGATCAGACACTGGCAGAGAAATTGGCAGAAAAGTATTCCAGTTCCACTTACTACCAAGAAACCAAAGCAGAATTAGAGAGGCTGTCTTTGGGGAGCCAGAGGGAGACCTCTTTCCGAGAAATCACCTACTCCACTCCCTTCTTTCACCAGCTCAAGTGGGTCTCTAAACGCACGTTCAAAAATCTGCTAGGCAACCCTCAAGCCTCCATAGCACAGGTAATACTAGTCATTTAAAATGCTTTCTTCATTAATCTACACCCAAGTGATACAAAACTTGCATTGACCTGTGCAGCTAGTGAGTTACTGCTGTGCACATATTGATTGCACAAGAAATAACCTTAAGCTGTTGGGGGCTCCCAGGTGTAGAGAATGGCAGAAATAACAAATGGATACCAGAATGCACCAGTGTCTTTCCATAGATGCTGGAATATTTCACCCGGAGCCATGATGACCACCCACATTTTGTTTTGGGGATGGTAGTTTGCATGACTATATTGGAAGATGCTCACCTAAACCATTTCTTTCTTTATGAGATTTGTTTCCCTCTCTTTCCATTAAATATTGCAATGGAATTAAAAAACAGAACCAATAAAATGAAGCGGTTAAAATAACCAGCATCTAAACCAGTAAAAACCAGCAGCAGAAACAAGAGGTTCCATGACATTCAAACAAGCCACTAAAATTCCTAGGGGAACGGGTATGTTTTGAGTTGCCGCTGAAACAACAGTAGTGTAGGCGCAGTGCTATTTTTCTAGAAAAAGAGGCGGCAGAACTCACCACGAACGCCTCACTTGTTATCTTATAATGGCAATGGGGCCTACCTGAGTGGTGCCAGAATTGAGTTTCGGTGGAAAAAAGCCCTGTGTAGGTGTCATCCATACCTCTGGGGGAAGAGCATGCCGAAGTCTGGGGGGCAAACACAGAGAAGGCCCTATCTTGTTTTACCTTTGTCTGTGTTGTTTTGAATAACCAGAAGTCTCTCTCTTAAGTTTCTTGTTTTCTGTCTCCTTCCACCTTGCCACAAGGTTTTCTGTTCATAGACTTTAGAATAATAATAATAAATTAATTACTAAATACAGTGGTACCTCAGGTTAAGTACTTAATTCGTTCCGGAGGTCCGTTCTTAACCTGAAACTGTTCTTAACCTGAAGCACCACTTTAGCTAATGGGGCCTCCCACTGCTGCCGTGCCGCCAGAGCACGATTTCTGTTCTCATCCTGAAGCAAAGTTCTTAACCTGAAGCACTATTTCTGGGTTAGCGGAGTCTGTAACCCGAAGCGTATGTAACCTGAGGTACCACTGCAGTAGCTATCCTGGTCTCCAGCTCCATATTGGGAAGCAACACCCATTTCACTGAAGAGACCTGCGTATTGGGCCAAAAATACATACTGTGTCCCATGATTGGTGCCTACACAGAGGGCAGGGAAAGAGGGCGTTGGCAAAAGCAGGGGATACGAGGATGCCTTAGGGCAGTGGTTCTCAACCTGTGGGTCCCCAGATGTTGTTGAACTACAACTCCCATCACCCCTAGCTAGCAAGGCCAGAGCTCAGGGATGATGGGCGTTGTAGTCCAACAACATCTAGGGACCCACAGGTTGAGAAAGGCTGCCTTAGGGGAAGAGGAGACTGGCTCTGAGGGCGAGGATCACCTGGAAGAGGCTTGTTCAGTGGGAAAGTGACAGGGAGGACGAAGACTGCTGGAGGTTGGGGGGACCTTGCAGAGAGCAGCAGCAGGGACTTGGTGGAACGAATATGGGACCGGTGGAAGAATTGATCGAAGCAAAAAAGGAGCCCAAATGCCCCCCTCTCCACCACTACTGTCACCTCAGCCCGTAGGCAGGCAAGGAGGGAAGAAGGGCATTGTTCGGCTGCGTGCACATAGCAGCTTGGAGAGAATGACAGCTAAACACAGGTGGGGAACGTCTGAGGGAATGCCGGGGAGAGTTACAGCTGAACCTAGGTGGAGAACGCCTGAGGTAATGTTCACAGCTGTGCCTGGCCAGGCTAAGATGGGGCTGGAAGCAAAGAGCATGTGATTTCTGCACCTGCAGTTGACTCAGCTGACTGTAGCTCTTGCCCATCACTCCTCCCTGGAAGAGTACTTTAAAGAGAAAGCGTCCCTCAGGCTGAAAAAAAAGTTCCCCACTTGGTTTTAACCACATAGTCCCGACCTTTTAAACTGGTACGATGAATTGACATGCTTTGCTGCCATTTCCCTTCATTGTTTATATAAAGGTATGCATAAAAAAGGAGAAAATAAAAAGGTTCCCCACATCTGGTCAAAAGAGTGGCAGATTTGAAGTGGTGAACAAGGGAATGTTGCTTATCCCAAATCAGCTTTAAGCCTGTATTTTCCCCAGCTGCATTTGTTCTGAGCCCCAACAAATATGCATCTGGGTGTCCTGAAGGAGGAAGATTATCTTGGGGAGGGGAGCGCAGGAGGAAGGCCACGAGAAGGCTTAAGTTTCTCCCACCTTTGCGCTTCAGATGTTCAGCAAACCTCTTTGGCCCTTAGAGGTTGGGGCTCTATAAAACATCTAATTAGATCCATTTGATTCCTTCTTAAACTTTTGCTGTCCACAAGCCAAAAATCTCCTCAGAATCCTAGAATTACGGCCTTTGATTCCATGTGTATGTTGATATTATGGAGATCTCTCTTAATTGCTTTGTAAAAGCTTGACCTTGTGACAAGAATAATGCCCTTTTAGAGCTTTTTAATCTTCCAGGGTTAACGGTCCTGACTCCCCAGCCCCTCCAATCGTTTTGATCTCCCTAACCTCATTAGGAATGGATTTGAAATGCAGTCTCCAAATGCCCTACAGTTCTTTTTTAATCTTCTCAATTGGGCCTTGCTATGATCCTTGTTTTCTACTACAATTGGCTTAGTGCTTGGATTATCCCTGACATTTGGTCCTTTCGGCAGGTTCTTAACATCACGGTACCATGTATGGAGGGCCCTCTGTTACGTTTGAGGGCTGCTCTTGCCAAACTGCCTGATACCATCACATTGGCCGCGGTTTTAATCATTCATACTTAATGCTTGATATGCGGTCTTAACCATTCTGGCAGTACCAGCCCAATACATTCTGAGTCCAAACGGTGCCCTACCCACGATGGTCGACACTTTAAAGCATCCTTCGTCAATCTGGTGCACCTCCAACCTCCCATCAGCCCCAGCCAGCATGACCAATGGCCAGGAATGATGGGAGTTGTAGTCCAACAACATTAGGGTGGCAGGTTAGAGAAGCCTTCATGGAGTCATTCGGTCATTCAAACACTAACCCTTTCCTTCAGCTGTCACTTCCGCCCCTGGTATAGCCTTGTGTGCTCCAAGTACATTAGTATACCAGTAGATACTTCATCAACTAAAAAGAGAAAAAATGTTTACCATATATCACACTTTATAATACAGGAGTACCTTGTGTTACAAACTAAGGTTACCAGACGTCCCCGTTTCCCGGGGACAGTCCTCGGATTTATAAATCAGTCCCCTGATAAAATCCTCTCATTCCTACTGAAGTTGAAAAGTTTCCCCGGATTCATTGAAAAAAATCTGGTAACCTTATTACAAACACCTTGGGTTGCAAACACTTCGGGTTATAGACTCTGCTAGCCCGGAAATAGTACCTCGGGTTAAGAACTTTATCTCAGGATGAGAACAGAAATCGCGCAGTAGCGGTGTGGCGGCAGAGGGAGGCCCCATTAGCTAAAGTGGTACCTCAGGTTAAGAATGGTTTTAGGTTAAGAACAGACCTCCAGAACGAATTAAGTTCGTAATCAGAGGTACCACTTTAATAATAAAAAACCCTTCCCAACCAGGGTTTCCCAAACTTGGACTACAACTCCCATCATCCCTAGCTAGCAGGGCCAGTGGTCAAGGATGAAGGGAATTGTAGTCCAAAAAAAGGCTGGAGACTCAAGTTTGGGAAACCCTATTCTGAACCTATTTGGGCTGCCTTGAATCAACACCCTTCTTCAAAGTTTGCTGCATACATCATCACAGGCCACTGCCAGTTATGATACTTATTTTATCATTAATATTATTTTATTAATGATATCAATATTATTTTATTTCAAATGTAGATCATGCTAAGAAACCAAATAATAAAAACACGCTGGGGCTGCAATTCTATGTCCCAGGCTTGGGAGGAAGCCCCTTTGCATTCCAGGAACTTACTTCCGAGTAGATATGAATAGAATTCTATTGCACTGTAAAAAAAAAGAATACAAAAAAAAACCCCCACCAAAACAATCGTGCACCCACAAAATACATAGCAGCAGACGAGACCTCAGTAAAACAGCCATAATCCGAAAAATAAAAGTCAATTGCAAAATATAAACAGCTTGAGCTGATTTCAAATGCCTCCTTAAAGAAAAAGGCACGTGTCTGGTATGCCGTTTCTCAGGCTGCAGCTGGTTTAACCTGCTAAATTCCAAAGTTCTATATGAAACCATGATAATTTAATATGGTGCTTGCGGTGGTTTTTAGCTGCTGGAGGGTGTTTCGTTGCTAACGACAAGTCCAGTTTTCAGAAGGAATTTGATTTGTATTTGTCTTCAATTTTGTAGTTGACAGCTAGTGATTTTTGCACTCGACTGTATGCGATGTAACACTGCTGTATATTTCGTTTATGTTTCAGCTCTGTGTTACCGTTTTCCTGGCAGCAGTCGTAGGTGCCATATTCTTTGGGGTAACGAACGATACTACTGGTTTGCAGAACAGGTGAGGAATCTGGGGGCTGTGTGATGAGAAAATGGTGGCAGTTTTTGATTCTAGAGAAATCTTCAGACTTCTTAAGAAGATAAGAATATCTGGCTGGATCAGGCCCATGGCCCATCTCATACCAGCATCACAGTCGCCTGTGGGAAACCAGCAAGCAGAATCTGAGCCCAAAAGCCCATTCTCCCCTCCTGTGGTTTCCTGCAACTGGAAGCATTGATGCCTCCCATTTTGAAGCTTGAAATTTAGCTCCTGTCAATTGAAAAACACAGCCTGTAAAACAAATACTAGCTTCTGCTTGGACTTTATACATCTCTTTTATTCTTTGACTGGATAGGACTGCTAAACAGCCAGTATCTTAGTGCTCCATCTTGGAAAACCAGGCGATGGCAGCTCCTCCCCCCACGATTTGTAGGGTACTGGCAAGGCCTTGCAGAGCCAGGCAGAGGCCTGGGCCAGGTAGATAATGTGCCCCCCTTTTTTCACCCTGGGGATAACTGAAGTCTTATAAATAAGTATATAAATAATTTTCACAAACGTTATGCTGACAAATAATGTTATTTCAAGGCTTGAACTGTATCTGCATATAAAGACAAAATGGAAAATATAGATATACAAGACAGTGCTACCTCGGGTTACATACGCTTCAGGTTACAGACTCTGCTAACCCTGAAATAGTACCTCAGGTTAAGAACTTTGCTTCAGGATGAGAACAGAAATCGTGCTCCGGCGGCGCAGCAGCAGCAGGAGGCCCCATTAGCCAAAGTGGTACCTCAGGTTAAGAACAGTTTCAGGTTAAGAACGGACCTCCGGAAAGAATTAAGTATTTAACCCGAGGTACCACTGTAGTGCTTTTTAAAAATACATTGGGAAAAGGATTCCAGGCCTAGTCAACAAAATTTTAAACAAATGGCCACATCTTCATCAATTTTTCATCATTTTCAAAAGAAATTTTAGCGATAAGAAAGCCAACACACTTATCTTTAAGGTATGTGTGGTTTTAATTTTTGGCAAACAAGATTTTTTTTTTTAAAAAAAACCACCAACTTTTAATAGCATGAAAAACATGATCCACCATCACGTTCACGGTGTGCTGGCTGCTTGGAGCCTTGGTAGCCTCCACCCAACCGGGGCCCGTTCCGTACTCCTCTGCGGAGCCGATCGCAGGACAGGGAAGCTTTTCTCTTGGGCCCGGTCTTATTCAACATCTTTATCAACAACTTGGATGATGGACTCAAGGGCATCCTGATCAAATTTGCAGATGACACCAAACTGGGAGGGGTGGCTAACACCCCAGAGGACAGGATCACACTTCAAAACGACCTTGACAGATTAGAGAACTGGGCCAAAACAAACAAGATGAATTTTAACAGGGAGAAATGTAAAGTATTGCACTTGGGCAAAAAAAATGAGAGGCACAAATACAAGATGGGTGACACCTGGCTTGAGAGCAGTACATGTGAAAAGGATCTAGGAGTCTTGGTTGACCACAAACTTGACATGAGCCAACAGTGTGACACGGCAGCTAAAAAAGCCAATGCAATTCTGGGCTGCATTAATAGGAGTATAGTATCTAGATCAAGGGAAGTAATAGTGCCACTGTATTCTGCTCTGGTCAGACCTCACCTGGAGTACTGTGTCCAGTTCTGGGCACCACAGTTCAAGAAGGACACTGACAAACTGGAACGTGTCCAGAGGAGGGCAACCAAAATGGTCAAAGGCCTGGAAATGATGCCTTATGAGGAACGGCTAAGGGAGCTGGGCATGTTTAGCCTGGAGAAGAGGAGGTTAAGGGGTGATATGATAGCCATGTTCAAATATATAAAAGGATGTCACATAGAGGAGGGAGAAAGGTTGTTTTCTGCTGCTCCAGAGAAGCGGACATGGAGCAATGGATCCAAACTACAAGAAAGAAGATTCCACCTAAACATTAGGAAGAACTTCCTGACAGTAAGAGCTGTTCAACAGTGGAATTTGCTGCCAAGGAGTGTGGTGGAGTCTCCTTCTTTGGAGGTCTTTAAGCAGAGGCTTGACAACCATATGTCAGGAGTGCTCTGATGGTGTTTCCTGCTTGGCAGGGGGTTGGACTCGATGGCCCTTGTGGTCTCTTCCAACTCTATGATTCTATGCCAGCCATGGCCCCAGGGAATCTGCCCACCGCTGCTGCACCTCCGTGTTTGCCCCAGTGCATCCCCTGCAACTGTGAATATGCTGACCATGGCCCCCTTTGGAATCGGAGGCCTGGGCCAAGTGGCCCATATGGCCCCTCCCCTCTGTCTGGGCCTGGGTACTGGCCCCTCCCATTCTGCCTCGACTCACCTCCCAAGGGGCTAGTATCTTTAACATAAATTGACAGCTGCCCAAGGGCATACACTGTAAATGCCTGTTTTCTACCAGAAATCGAGGTTATAGCTCTTTTCCCAGTGGGTGAGGCAGTGGTGAAGATGAGAACATGGGATCGTCCAAGGATGAGCTTGCTAAAAAAGTGGGTTTCGGGGAGGAAAGAGGATCCTTGTTGTGAATATCAAATATTTTTTCAAAGGCTTTACGGTGACAATCCATATTTCCTCCCCATAGAATTGGTGCTATGTTCTTTATGACCACCAACCAGTGTTTCAGCAGCATTTCCGCTATTGAACTTTTTGTTGTGGAGAAGAAGATATTTATGTAAGTAGAACACTGCTGAACAGGCAACACTGTATATTATTATTATTATTAACCTTATTTATTTGTTTATTTTATTTATTTATTTCAAGAATCATCTTTCTTACCCACCCTTCACCATAAGGTCCCAAGGCAGGTTGCAATTTAAAAACACAATATTAATAAAGAGTTCAAAACATACTAAGAGTCACAGGAATAGGGTGGGTCCTAATATATAAGGCCAGGAAAAGAGGGTGCATCTTCAGCATGAGACAGAAAGGTCCCAGACACACCTCTGTGGAGAGGTAATTTTACAGCATAGGGAGGGTTTTTTAATGTTTGATGTCTTATTATGTTTTTATATCTGTTGGAAGTCACAGAGCGGCTGGGGCAACCCTGCCTGGTGGGTGGGGTACAAATAATAAAATTATTATTACAGCATAGGGTCCACCCTCTTCCAGGCCGCTCCCTCCAAAAAAAAAATTCTGAGGGAGATGAAATACCAAGAGTTCTACCCTATGCTGATCTTAATACCTAAGAAGTTCTAAAGGGAAGGAGACTGTTTTACAGTCTAACTACAAACTACAATTTCCAGCCTCCTCAGAGAAGAGGAAGTAACTGTTTTACATCTCTGGTCTGCATGAACCCAATGTATATTTTTATTGTAGATTTTTTTAAAAAATGATTTAATCCCTAGCGTAACATTTTCTTAAAAGACTGATAAATAAGACTGAACAGATGTACATTTTTGGGGGGGATGATTTTATTATGGCAACTTCAAAGTTTTGCCAAACTGCATACAATGTATCTCGGTTGTTTACTGTGTGAAATTAGTTGAGTACTTTAAAACTTTACCTGGTAATATTGTACTGTTTATATTCATAGACATGAGTACATCAGTGGATACTACAGAATTTCTGCATATTTCTTCTCAAAGCTAATGGCTGATTTAATACCCATGAGGACTTTACCAAGCATTATCTTCACCAGCATTGTTTATTTCATGTTAGGTAAGTATGTTGTCCTTGAAGCTATACAAGAAAGCTTGCCAAGTGGATCCTGCAACAAAATTTTGTCGTGTGCAAATGCTCCTGCCCGTCAACCCTACACACTAGGATACTCCATCCCTCCGTCACCAGCTGGAACTTGCCAGAACTTGCACTTCTCAGGTGGGCGCTATTGCCATTATAAGAGAACAAGGGAGGAGTTCATGGTGAGTTTCAGCTCCTCTTTTTCTAGAAAAATAGCAGTCTGTGGCACCCAAATCAAATAGGTATCATTTCATGACCGCTGCCATGCTTCGTCCTCATTGAAGTGTTTTGGAGCTTTGTCTTGAATTTAGTCCTTTTTGTTTCTCCCACTCCCCTACTTTTCCATATTTCTGCAAACCTGAGATGTACGAGGGCAGAATGGGATGGCGGTTTCACCTAGTGGTTAACGCTGGGTGAAACTGCGGCCGCTCTGCTTCCAGTGCCCATCAGCAGCTTGTTGCACCCTCGGTGCGCTAGGCGCTGGTTGCAGAGGGATTCTGGAGGCAGCGGTTTCACCCACAATATACCGCTGAGTGAAGCTGTCATCGCGGGCTGCCCCTTATATTGGTCCAGGACGATATATCGCCCAGGCCTGTTCCAAAGGCCAAGTAATGTATGAATGGGCCATTGGCAAGTCATGCTCTTTCAGCTTTCCACCTAAAACTAGAATAATATGAGCAACCTCATATTATTCGTTGTAAAGCTGCACAAGGAGTAGAAAGCATTTCGCCCATGCATTAAATATAAGGATGCAACATCATGAAAATAAAGTGTATGCAAAGCTTATGATGTGTAATAAACTAGTAACATGGTACAATATTTGACTGTATATTCTTTGTCAAACACGCCTTTTCTTTTCAATCTCTAAGGTCTAAAGCCAACAGCAGAGGCCTTCTTTATCATGATGTTTACTCTGATGATGGTATCTTACACAGCGACTGCTATGGCGCTAGCAATTGCCGCAGGACAGAGTGTCGTGGCTGTAGCAAATCTACTCATGACCATCACCTTTGTTTTTATGATTGTGAGTATCCTTAAATGGTTGATAGGAAGTTGCTGGCATTGCAGCAGCTAGAAAACTGAATCAGGTGGGTGCCCCCTTTTTTTAATAACTAAAACTTTATTGCCGGAATCGCTTTTTATTGAGTTTTATAAACAAGGACCACAGGAATAGTAAACAGTACAAATAAACAGACCAAGTTTTCTCATGTCATTTGTCTATCACAAAATTAGCATAATAAATTTGCAGTACGATCTACAACATAGGGTTCATTATTAGTGATCAGCGTGTAAGTTCTTGGTTCCTGAATTGGTTTAAACAAAGACAGCGGGGAAACAGGATAAAACAGAGTTAACAGATAACATTCAACATCACATAACTAAATGCCTAATCAGGAGCCCTTGTGGTTGTGCTTAGATTAAGTATGAGTAATGGTCATTTTAACTCTTACGTTACCTATGAAGCAATAGAAAGTGTTGGTAAATTGATGGACGTGAGAGGGGGTTTCAAAGTGAAGCTAATACTTTATGTTTAAATTTAGATCAATCAGATTGAGCCAAATGCTAGGATGGTTCGGGGATGGTTCGCTGGGATGGGTGGGATGGTTCGTTTTCTGGAATACAGTCGTACCTCGATTTAAGAACAGTCCTGTTTACGAATGATTTGGTTACGAACTCTGCAATACCGGAAGTAGTGTCCCGGTTTGCAAACTCTATCTCGGTCCAAGAACAGAATCCGAGGCCTCATTAGGGAAAGCGCGCCTCTGTTTAAGAACGGTTTCAGTTTAAGAACGGACTTCCAGAACGGATTAAGTTCGTAAACCGAGGTACCAATGTACTGGCATATGTTATGAAATGAAACCACACTGGAGTAAAGCCATCTTTCTTGATCTGTCCGTGTGTCAACCGCAGTTTATTTGTTAAATCTTTCAAGAAGGGCTGATTCCCAAACAGTTTTGTACCAATTGTACAAGGTCTTTCCATTGTCTGGTTATGCTGCATCTCACTCCTTATAATAAAATGACTAATTAATGCTTTATTATATAAATCCAGATTGTTGACTACAAAGCGTCATCGGATTAATTTTTTAATTATGGTTTTGTCTGCAGATTTTCTCTGGATTGTTGGTGAATCTCACCAGTATACTGCCTTGGCTTGCCTGGCTCCAGTACTTCAGTATACCTCGATATGGGATGACAGTAAGTGCTTCATGCGAAGAATCATTTCCTCCCAAAAAGCAACTATTCTACCTATAATGGTGAAAGACAAACTAATCAGCTCAAGCCCTTGGAAATTCTGCCCCATAATTAGACATATATATTTGTTGCTTTTTGAGTTTTATAGGCTTTGCCCCCAATCCAGCTAAAGTGAGTTGTGACTAAGGTTACAGCCGTAAACATACTTGCTGGAGAGTCTACCCACTGAATGTAGGTCATACTCCTGAATAAACATGCATAGAATTGTGTTGTAAGATCCACTGAAAGCAAAAGGGCATATCACTTTCAACGTAATCCTGATGCCGTCTGCAATGCCTCGGTTAACAGCTGCCCCTAAAGTCGACCTGGGCTGAAGCACTTCATGGATTGCTGGAACATTTGCATACTAAGTCACTTAGAATCATAGAATCAAGAGAGTTGAAAGGGACCGCAAGGGTCATCTACTCCAACCCTCTGCAATGCAAAATATTCTTTTGCCCAATGTGGGGCTTGAACCCACAACCCTGAAATTAAGAGCCCCATGATCTACCGATTGAGCTGTTCCAGCTGTAGTAATCTGGGCTGAAGAATAGCTTCCTTTATGCTCACCACCACAAAAAAGTCTACAGTCTGGGAGCCACCAATTTCAAATAACCCTTACCCCCATTATGTGGTTGTAAATAATAATGAACGTGCAAATATATATGACACTTTCCCCAAATGCTCAGAGCATTTCACATACAACCTTTGTGTTCCTTACAACAATATTACTCCCATATTGCAAATGGAAGAGGGAATGTTGAATGATAATGGCTTGTCTGATATCACCCAACAAATGTCATAGTGGAAGTGAGGACTAAATCAGCAAAACAAACTCACAGCTCATTTTCTATCCTATACTAGCTAGAAAAGAATAGTCTGCACACTACAACATTTTTACATGAAACTACGCTGCAACAACTCTCTTGCTGTTACTATGCCTTTATATCATTTTTTCTTTTTACTTTCAAAGGCACTGCAGGTTAATGAACTTGCTGATCTCAATTTCTGCAACGTAAGCATGAATGAAAATTGGAGCAATTCTAACTGTACAGATCTCAGCAAATTACAGATGTAAGTAAAATATATTTTCATTCTAGCTAGATCTAACCCACTTAGCAGGAGGCACCTACAAACCCCCACAAGAGTACTGTTCACATTAATATGACGACTGCATTCAGACATACTGAACCATAGTTTAATGCAATGTGAATGGACCTAGGTGAGCCTTGGGTTTAATTTACTTCCCTGTCCCCTCCAAAAATGGTCATTGTTTTGGATGCCTCCCAGGGGAAGAAAGGCATTAGAAAGAAATTGCTATGTTATTGTTTTGACACTACACTATTTATGATAGCAGTGACACTATGAATGGTTTTAGCGTAATCCCTTTAAATGAGGAATTCTGGAAACCCCTGAGCCAAATCAGGTCAGAGGGACATTTCACTATACTGTATATATCTTATTTCATTAAGTACACACAAAAAACAGCTGTCTTAATTGCAAGTTAATTCATAACCATGAAACTAGGATCATGCTTACTGCCCACTCGGAGGCTTATGGAAAATCCATGCATAGTCTGTACGCTTTTCTGTGCTGACTTTAATCTTGGTCATGCTGGATGGCCCGATGGAACATAGGAAGTTGATTTATAGCTGGGGGTGGGTGGGGCTGATGTAGTCTCACCACCACTGCCCAAGCAGATCCCTTCCCCCAAAAGATCCTACTAATTTTGCAGTAATGTCAAAAATAGAAGTTAAAATTATATACAGCACTGGGGTTAGGTGGAGAAGTTTTTAAATCTGCCAAATCCAGTACCCTGATGGGAAGGCAAGTTCCTTGGTCATCAGACTGATCATCCATGGAGTGCAGAGGGGTCAGTATCCCTCCTCTTCAGCTGACCAAGTGAGGATGGAGGTTGTGTTCTGTGTGGTGTCTACCTCCATTCTTAGCCCAACCTACTGTTGCCATGTGGTCCCCAGAGTATTGGCTAAGGATAGATGCACCCTTAGGCCAAAAAGCTTAGCTATCCTTGTTTTATAATGAATCAGAGCAGTGGTCCATCTAGCTCAGTGCTGTCCACACTGATGGCAGTGGCTCTTCAGTTTACGATAGGGAATCTTTTCCTGCTCCACTATAGTAGATGCCCAGGACTGAAATTGAGACTTTCTAGGTGGTGCTGCGGGTTAAACCACAGAGCCTAGGATTTGCCGATCAGAAGGTTGGCGGTTCAAATCCCCACGATGGGGTGAGCTCCCGTTGCTCAGTCCCTGCTCCTGCCAACCTAGCAGTTCGAAAGCACGTCAAAGTGCAAGTAGATAAATAGGTACCGCTCCGGCAGGAAGTTAAACGGCGTTTCCGTGCGCTGCTCTGGTTTGCCAGAAGCGGCTTAGTCATGCTGGCCACATGACCTGGAAGCTGTATGCCGGCTCCCTCAGCCAATAAAATGAGATGAGCGCCGCAACCCCAGAGTCTGTCATGACTGGACCTAATGGCCAGGGGCCCCTTTACCCTTTACTACCATTGGGAAAGGGTTATGTGCTCTTTCTGTGCTAAGCTGCAAAGTCACTGGCTACTTCTGGAGGGGAGGGGGACACTTATAATACGTTGCAATTCTAGGACTAATTCTCAAAACCTCTACTTGTACTTCTTTGTAGGTGCACTGGAGAACAGTATCTCAAAAGCCAAGGGATCGAACCAACTGCATGGGGCCTGTGGCAGAACCATGTTGCACTTGCTTGCATGACCGTAACTTTCCTTACGATTTCATACATGAAGCTGCGTTTCATGAAAAAGTTCTCTTAAAAAGCAACAGCTTGGAAAACAGATCTATGATCCAGGCTGCCCTGGGGGTGTCATAAGTAGCAGAGCTAAAGGCATGACTATTCTCTTCTGCTGGCAGTCTTATTTCTTTCTTAGAACACATAATGGAGAAAAACATTGCCAAACGTCTGCATTTGTAGTGCACCAAAATATTCTCTTTCAATATTGCTATACTTATTTAGTGGCACTTCCAACTGCAAGCAGGCAAATGCCTGAACAGTTATTTTCAACTAGCCTGATCCAATCAAGACTGACTTGTAAGCTCTATAAATTTCAGTGGGAGAGAGTTCATCATGTGTTTAATTCTCCAACAGAAACCAATAGGATATAAAGTGTTTAAGTTTGGAAGGAAGAATATTTATTAGAACAGTTTTTGAGAGGTTTGCCCTCACATTTTGAAGTGTGTAAAGGCAAACAGATTCAACTTAGGAAGAAACTTGGGTTTTGGAATACAACTTCTGCTACTGCTTTAATAGCACTTTTGGTGTGTTTGGAGCATGTCACACAGATTAACATTATACCCATAAAACTTCCCTTATGTTCGGTGCATGAATGGAAGGGGGAAAGAACAGGAATGAAGTCTCACTCCCCCCACCCCCTTTCTGGCCCTGTCCCCCTGGTGTCCATGCAGTTGGCATGGTGTTTGGAAAGGAGAGGCTGTCATGCATACTGTTGCACACAAATACACACAGAGACCTTCCTTTTCAGACACTGCACAAAACATTGACTTTGGGGTGGAGGACTTCATGCATTTATTGAACGTGAGCTAGAGTGTCATGTGAAAACCCGCTAAGCCAGTGTATCAGATACGCAAAGCAGCATATACTAGGATCTCAACAAGGTTTGCTTCATTTTAAAAAAAAGAAAAGCAGCTTTGGGAGATGGGGTGAATGTGTGTAGAGATTAAGTGGGGCAGGGAGCTGGGACAAAGGATGCTCCTTATTTTCATCACTGCAGGTTACGCCCCCCCCCCCAATGGCTTCCCATCCACAGGGTTTGGAATCAGTTTGCCCACTTTCATTTAAATCAGAATTCAAGCTATTATTTCATTGCATGTAGTTTGTGAAATATCTTCTTTCTCTCTCCCCCCCCTGCCCCAAATAGCAGCTAGTCAAGAAATTAGCATATCTCAAATTTAATTTAGAAATGCTTTTATTTAGGGCATCCTATGAATGGGAAAGTTTTGCATACGAATTGTAACTAAATAGTTGAAAAATAACTGCTTATTATACACTTTATGAAAAGGATCGTGTTCCTTGAAGTGCAATTGGTTACAGATACCCAGTATTATGGTTAATGATTTTTTAAAAAATGTTAAATATTTCCTTTCTGTTATGTAGACTCTTTGTCCCATTCTGAGTTTAGGTTAGGGGGCGGAACCTCATGAGCTGAGTTGGACCCTGAATGGCTCACAGCTTTATCACTTCAACTCACCCTCAATCTACTTTCATCTCTGCTGTGTGCTGATGAGTGTGGGCCTTAGGAAACAAGGGCAGACTATCATCTTACACTTGTACAGCATTTTGTTTCTGTAGGTACCCTGAAAATAAACAAACAAATAATATCAGATGCAGTGAATGTGTTTTGGCTTCAGCCTTTTCAGACATAGGACCCACCTTTTACACATACATGCATTTGGGGACCCATTTTTTAATCTTAAACCATATATGGTGGTAAGTGCTCCTGTTGCGACCCACCTTGGATCAGGCTATGTATGACCCAGTAGCTGGTCCTGACCCACCAGCTAAAGACCAGTGAATGAGTGCAAACTGCTGCTCCCTAAAACAGTGGTGTTGCAAGCTCTGGCCATTTAGGTGGAAGTTCAGGGCTTCCCACTCATCAAAATGAGCAAGAGTACTACCAAAAAGCACCAGGTTGGGTTTACCACGTTTTGAAGTACCATTTAAAGAGCAGTCACCACCATGTAAGCCTGATTGTAGGTCTTGTTGTAGTGTTAGCTTCCAGGTGCTGACTGATTTTGTCCTTGGTTTAGTGTAGCTAAAAAGATAGATATAGTAATAATAATAATAATAATTAATAATAATAATTAATAATAATAATAATTTATTATTTGTATCCCGCCATCTGGCTGGGTTTCCCCAACCACTCTGGGAGGCTTCCAATAAAGATTTAAAATACATTAAAATGTCACACATTAAAAACTTCCCTAAACAGGGCTGCCTTCAGATGTCTTCTAAATGTCAGGTAGTTGTTTATCTCTTTGACATCTGATGGGAGGGTGTTCCACAGGGCAGGCGCCACCACTGAGAAGGCCCTCTGCCTGGTTCCCTGTAGCTTAACACTCTCTTTATGTATCGTGAGAGCAAACGGAACACATTTTAATTAACACTGCAGTAACATACCTAATCGACACTGCTGGATATAATATTCTTTTGATCTTTCCTCCTTTCGGATAAAATAAATAAACTCAATAAATAATAACTAATTGTGTTAATTGTGAAAAAGAAGAATACACGGTGGAGGTGGGGCAGAGCTGGCACAAGCCATTTTGGTGCCTGAGGCAAACCACAAAATACCCCCCCACAGGTTCCCACCTCACAGGAGAAGAAAGGGTGAGTGAAGATCTAAACCAGAAACAAAGAAGGAGGGGGAGGCAGTGGTGGTGCAGTGGTTAGAGCATTGAACTTGGACCTTGGAGACGAAGGTTCGATTCCCCACTCAACCTTGAAGCTGACCTTGAGGGCTAGCCACTACCTCTCAGCCTAGCCTGCCTCACAGGATTGTTGTGGGGATTAAATGATGGGCAGGAGAACTAGGCAAGTCCCCTTGGAGCTGCATGGAGAAAAATGGTGGGGATATAAATGCAGAAAACACAGTGGTACCTCGGGTTAAGAACTTAATTTGTTCTGGAGGTCCATTCTTAACCTGAAACTGTTCTTAACCTGAGGTACCACTTTAGCTAATGGGGCCTCCCGCTGCCGCTGTGCCGCCGGAGCACGATTTCTGTTCTCATCCTGAAGCAAAGTTCGTAACCTGAAGCACTATTTCTGGGTTAGCGGAGTCTGTAACCTGAAGTGTCTGTAACCTGAAGCGTCTGTAACCCGAGGTACCACTGTATTTGCTGCTTACTTTGGAATCAAACGCTCTTTTAATTCTCCAGTGCCCAGCTGTCCAAAAGCTCCAGCTCCCCACGAGAAAACTCTCCCGTTGTTGCGAACAGCCAGTGAGTGCTCCTTCCCACAGCTTACGTGGACAATGGTTTGTGTTTCCAGCGCTTGGATTTGCTCTTTCAGAGATGGACGCATAAAAAAGAATATTCATTTGTATAGCCAGAGGGGTCATTGACATATTTAAACCGCCTAGAAAGGCAAATGGTGATGACTTGGGTTCATGAACTGCAACCTGACGTACCACTGTAAAAAGATCCTGCTGACCCTGGGGATCCTGTCGCCTCACCTTGTCCCATGGGGGCGGGGGCAGCCCATATAACCCAGAAACAGGAGCCCCCCCTCCCATTGGTGTAGCCAAGGGGGAGGGGCTGCCTCCCAATCAAGTAAATCAATTTAAAAAAAAACTTAATTGAGATTCTGCCCACCCAACCCCCAACATGAAGCCTGCCCCCCCAACATAAATCCTAGCTTAATCCCCCCCGTCCATGACGTCTATTTTTTGTGCCCCCCCCATTTTGCCTCCTCCCACGCTCGGGCCACACACGCCGCCGCCGCCGCGCGGTGGAGGGAGGGCGAATGGGCCGCGATGGAACGTCCCCGGCGGAGCCGTTATTTCCTGGCTTGCGGTGAGATGGGGAAGGGAGAAGAAGAAGCCGGAGCGGGACCTCAGCGCGCGCGCTCTCTCTTTCTGCCGCCTTCACCTGCCGAGGCGCTCACCTGGGCCCCCTTCGGCCCGTCGGAGTGGAGGGACTGCTGCTAGCGCATGCGCGGCACTTCGCCCGCCCCGGCGCCTTCATGAATGGGTAACAAAACAAAACAAAAAGGGACGGAGGGTGTGGCTGGAAGAGGTTTTGAAAAAGAGGGGAAGTGTGTGAGTTGAGGGGAGGCTGCCCTCTAGTAATCCCGTGGTTTTGAGGGGGGAAAGTGAATCTTCCTGAGGGGTGGGGTTGGGGTTGGGTGGAATCCCTCAGGAAAACAGCAAAAGGGCGCTCTTCAAAATGGGTTGAATTTCCAAATCTCCTTCATCATCATCACCATCACCACCACCACTTTTAATTTGTATACCGTCTTTCTATCTTACAATACCCTAGGGGGTTTACAAGCTGAAGAAACAAAGAATTGTACGCCTTATAACAATCTAATGCAATACAAAAACGTGACAATAAAACATAACTTTAAAATACGCAACCTACATCAAATAATATAGAATAATATTAAATATCAGCGTATAAAAATTAACAGAAATCCACTTAAGAAGTACAATAGTTTCTAAACTACAATCGATAAAACAACGGCAAGCCACAGTGCATAAAAGAATACAATACAAATTGAGAAGCAGAGACTGGAGGGTGGGACAAGGCAGGTTCAGTGGCTCTGAAATGCCTCTAGGCCTGATGATGGTGATGGGTATAATACCCTGCCCATCTCACTGTGTTGCCCCAGTCACTCTGGGCGGCTTTCCAACACATAAAAAACATAATGATGGGGCATACCCCTAAACATTTTGTGAACGTTTTGCTTGGCCTCATTGAGGGGCAGTATTTCAATATGAGTAGCAAAATGAGAGTATCCCTAAACATTTTTAAAGGGAAAAAAGCACTGAATAAAACATTCAGATGTTTTGGTTTTGGGATGCTACATGCACCCTGAATCCAGAACTTGGGGTCACTGGCGGAGGAAGAGGAGTGCGGGGGGGGGGGGAAGCACACCACCCCTGGCAGCGTGATCCCAGCAGGGTGCCATCGCAGTTGGGCGCCCCCCCCGCTGGGCACCACGCCCCCAGATGCGTGCCACGCCCCTGCGGGCGGCCAGCCCCCCCTGTTCTCCGCCTCCCCCCCTGGTGCTGGAGCATGAAGCTCCGCCACTGCTTGGGGTGGGTGGGCAGAAGAAGGGTTCTGGTGTTTGAAGAAAAAAAATAAGGGGGGGGGCATAAATTCTAACCATGGCACTTCTCTGCTCGTTGTAGCTTTAAAAACTAAAATTAAGACCATTTATAAACTGCCGATGCATTAAAACTATAGTGGCAGTGTGCAATAAGATCATTTGCATGTAAGATGTTTCCTAAAAACACATGCTCACCTCAGAGGGAGAGACAATTATATATGTATGTATTTTCTCATAACTACGCCCCAAATAATTGTGCACTTAGGGTGATGCTGTCAAGGGTGTGCCTTTAGGAGGTGCTCTGTGGTGACTGGTTGCACAGGTCTTTTTCGGTTCTTATTTTGCATTTTTAATAGCTACAACTGGCTCGGGTTGTTTATTTTGTCAAAATGTTTCTATTCCAGAGTACATAAGTTGGCTAACAAAACACAAACAATTTAAGTTGCATTTGTTGCTCCAAATCCCTGTCATTCTCTCTCTATTAAATGCATGAGTTGCAAAATGGAAATGGGTGTTTTGCACACTGGTACCGGCTTTGCTGTGGGATAAATGGGCAACCTAGTTATTTCCTTTAGCCATCGTTTTAAAGATCTGGGTAAATGTGCATTCCTGTGTGGGCGTTGTGAAGTGGGAAGTACATAGCTTCCTAAAGAATTTAAAAGAATAAAATTAAAGGATTGTACAGAGGGCAGAAATTGCCGACAAGATTCAGCAGGTGCTCATGATATCCATGCAGCCATAGTCCACAGAGCAATGATAATAGCAATGAATTCTGTGCCTGTAGGAAGAACTATATTTTCCCAAATACAAAACTAATTTACACAGGGGTTATGTTTCGAGGCACTGTACGCGCCAGTGAAATTGTGTATATTTGAAGCACCATTGGAAAAACCTGCAAACACACCCATGAAACCTCTGTAAACCCTTTAAAAAGCCAGCAGTGCTTACCCAATGCCAAACTCCACCACAATTGTTCCCTACAAACCTTCTCAAACTCCACAGGCCTCAATGGTCAGCGCAAGGGCTCCTAGGATTCCTCTTACAAGGCTCCTGGGATAGATAGGCGCTGTTTTCACTCCTTTTTCCCATTTCTGGGCTCTTCTAGAGCCGTTTTTGCAATTATTAAATCCACTTCTGGTTCGGCATGATGTTTGTGTGTACACCTGTGCATCAGTTGGACACTCATAAATAACTGGAAGATTCCCTAGAATATTCTGAATGGAGAAATCCAACAGAGCTTAGGGACATTGACACACTCCCACCCACTCCCCAAGCACAGCTGGATCTTAAGTTGTTTGTAAGAGACAACTTCATTTTTGAGACAGAGTCTGCATATACACCATACATTTAAAGCACATGACTGCCCCCAAATAATTATGGGAGCTGTAGTTTACCACCTCACATAGCTACAGTTCCCAGCATGCTTAACAAACTGCAGTTGCCAGGATTATTTGGGGAAAGTCAGGTGCTTTAAATGTATGGTGTGAACATAGGCCAAGATAGAGAGGCAGACAGCTACCAGAAGGCTGAAAGACATAAGATGATGGAACGCCTCTCTAGGGATCTGATGGGGCAGTGTTTCTTAAGTTAAACAAATATTACAGAAACACCATAAGCCCTCTCTATCAAAGGAAGCCAAACCCTGATAGCCGGTGCCCTTGGAAATCCCCACGACCCACGCAAATAGAGAGAGTGTAACAGAAAATTAATTTAGAAAACTTGGATGCCCTGCCCTCATTTTGTTTCCTTTAAATGGCCTTCGTAAAATTTTTATTGCTGGTGGTGTTAGATTAGAATTGGGCTCACGCTATACTTCTGCTACCTGTTGCTACTGGTTCCTCGTTTGTTACAAACCTACAGTGACTTTTCTGATCACTCATTTGTTTATTGCCATCACCAGCATTTGCATCAAAAATCAGACAAATTGAAAAGCATGTAAGCATATGTGATGACGAAGATGCAGGTTTCCTACGGAAGAAGAAAATCAATTTTCTAGGATCCGGGTTTGCTGAAGGAAGCACAATGACCTTTCATCACATCAGCTACAGAGTGCATTTGAAGACTGGCCACTACGGCTTTCGAAAAGTGGTTAAAAAAGATATCTTGACGGATGTCAGGTATGCTTAATTGCCATTGCTTACTTATTCTGGGGTGCAATTCCTGCTTCTTCCATGTACGGAAAGCAAGGTGGGGAGTGGCTTCACTGGAGGGAAAGTTGCTGCAGCTCATTGGTAGAGCATCTACTTTGCATTCAGAAGGTTTCAGGTTCAAACCCTGGCATCTCCAGGTAGGGTTGGGAATGATTCCCCACCTGAAGCCCTAGTGAGCTACTACTACCAGTCGACATAGACAATACAGTGGTACCTCAGGTTACAGACGCTTCAGGTTACAGACGCTTCAGATTACAGACTCCGCTAACCCAGAAATGGTACCTCGGGTTAAGAACTTTGCTTCAGGATGAGAACAGAAATCGTGCTCTGGCGGCGCGGCAGCAGCAGGAGGCCCCATTAGCTAAAGTGGTGCTTCAGGTTAAGAACAGTTTCAGGTTAAGAACGGACCTCCAGAACGAATTAAGTTCTTAACCCGAGGTACCACTGTACTGAGCAAATGGATCCACAGTATCATGTGGTATGGAGGCAGCGTTCTATGTTCCTTATGAGTCCTTTCCTGCCCCTGGTATTGTTTTACGTGCGTTCTACTCTGCAGCTGGAATACTCATTGTCAAGAGATGCCCTTCTGAACCCATCTCTCTCTGTTACAGAGGCCAGGCTGGTTTCACCTAGAGGCAGTGGTTTTTTTCTTCTTCTAAAAAAATGTTTAGGGATACTCTCATTTTCCTACTCATATTGAAATACTGCCCCTCAATTAGGCCAAACTTAGATTCACAAAATGTTTAGGGGTATGCGTACCCCCTGCATACCCCCAGGAAAAAAACCACTGCCTAGAGGGTTTCCCAAACTTGGGTCTGCAGCTGCTTTTGGACTACAACTCCCATCGTCCCTAGCTAGGAACCTTTTAGGCCCCTCCATGAACAAAAGGATCCCATCCGTTAAGAATAGGGACAGTCTGGATCTAACCCATATAGAGAAACTAAACCCAAATGTAAGATGAATATTAATGGCATATAACCCATAATCTTGTAGAAAAGGAGTAAGGAACCTGTCACCTACCAGATGTTGCTAAATTGCAACTCCCATCATCCCTGACTGTTGGTCATGCTGGCTAAGGCTGATGAAAGTTGCAGGATATTTCCTGTTGTAGAACATTTTCTGCCTCTTGTACACTGATATTTAAAGGGGTGGGGGGAAAGATGCTTAGTTTTCAAATTATGAAGAAAGTACTCATTTTCAAACTATGAAGAAAGAACTAGTTTATTTTTGTGCAAAAGCGAACAATTTTATCAAAGATGTCATTTTATTGGAATGGCTTTACACATTAAACAACTGACTACTGACAAATTGCTTTTCGTTTACAGTGGTGTCATGAAACCTGGTCTCAATGCAATCTTAGGACCTACAGGCTGCGGCAAATCTTCGTAAGTGTTAACATATGGGTAAAGATCTATCTTCTGATAATATTAAACGTAACATTGTTACAGGTTTTTTTTTACATTCACAACCAGTAAGTGAGGTTCTGCAATGAACGTGCATATTTGATCAGAACAAAATGGCATCAGTCAAAACCAGAAAAGTGCAAGGTAAAAAGATTCAGTATGGTGTGCAGAAAATGGGTAAAAAGAAGTGTTTTTTCCTCCTCTTATAATACCATAACTTGGGTTATCCAACATGGCTGGATATTGAAAAATGCAGGGCAGATAAAAGGAAGATCTGCTGCACACAGCACATAGTTCAACTCTGGAATTTTCAACCACAGGGTGCATTGATGGTAACCCAACTTGGATAGCTTTAAAAGGGGATTAAGCAAATTCATAAAAAGATAATGCTAGACTAATAATGGAGATGGCAGGACTTTGAATGCCAGTTGCAGGGGAACATGAGTAGGGAGTGTGGTTGTGCTCATGTCTTGCTTGAGCATATCTGGTCGGCTAGCATGAGAAGAGGCACCAAATTGCCCCCAAGATTGAGGGGGTCTGATGCGTAACTCGCATGTGTGACATCACATGTGTGACGTCACACTGTCCGGAGAATGGTGAGCACTCTGGAGGAGCTGGCCACTGAAGCTGTGCTGCTCTCAGCTCCACAGTCAGCCTCCTCCGCCCCCTCAACATTGAGGGGGCCCGACTCCCTTCCAACAAGTATTGAGGGGGCAAAAGATATCTTGGCCCCCTAGAGTTAGTGTACCTGGCTAGACATGTTTTTGGTGTGATCCAGCAGGGCTGCTCTTAAGTTTGCAACAGTATGATCTTCAGATGTTGGCACAAGTAACTTTTCTTGAGTCCTTTTGGTTTTCCTTATAGGCTCCTGGACATTTTAGCTACAAGGAAAAATCCTAAAGGCCTGACAGGAGACATTTTGATCAATGGCTTCCCTTTGCCTCCAAATTTTAAATGCATTTCCGGATATGTAGTTCAGGTAAATAAAGTCTGTAGTGGATCTTTTATCGCGGTACATGTGTGATAGCTATTATTCTATTTAGACAAATGATTTTTATGATACTTCATGTGTTGATTGTCTGCCAGTGCAATAGCAGGATGCCAGTGCTATCAGTGTCTCCTTTTCTGTGCATGATTACTGTTAATCATGTAAATCCACTCACCTTCTCTGGTGGGCACCATTGCGTGCCAGCATTCCCCACCCACCCCGCCTGCTGGATCCCACCCATGGATCCCACCCATCTGCTCAGTCAGAGAATCGTGAGTGGGCATGGGGGGTGAGCCACCAGGCAGCAGGCTCAGCCACCCCCGGCATATAGCGGAGGCTGCAAAGCTAGAGTTTTCTCTTGCACTGGCTGTTTCCCAACTGATTTCATTCTAGCTTGTACCTGGACATATGGAGAGGGCCATAGCTATTAGCCACCTGTCATCAATGCTCATTAAATAATCATCTTCTGAGCAGGCAACTTCAGCCAGCTCTGGTAATGTCAACTGACCTTCAGTGCCCTTTAGCGATCAATCAATACATAAAACAAAAAATAGCAGCCTCTTCTCTTGACCCAGCACAGTAGCACTTTCTTTACTACGTTAATGCATACAGTGGTACCTCGTTTTACAAGCAGCCCTGTTAACAAACTATTTAGTTTATGAACTCCGCAAAACCAGAAGTAGTGTTCCGGTTTGTGAACTTTACCTCGGTCTACGAACGGAAGCCGAATGGTGGAAGGGCACCGGTGGTGGGAGGCCTCATTAGGGAAAGCGTGCCTCAGTTTAAGAATGGATTTGGTTAAAGAACAGACTTCAGGAATGGATTAAGTTTGTAAACCGAGGTACCATTGTATTAACAATTGTGCAGTAGTGATTAAACCTAGTATAATGTTCAATTGAAAACTTTTTTTTAATCAATAAGGATGACATAGTGATGGGAACATTGACAGTCAGAGAAAATTTAGAGTTCTCAGCGGCCCTTCGGCTACCATTGTCTATGAGCAAAAAGGAAAAGCAAGAGAGAGTGGAAACTGTTCTCAAGGATCTGGATTTGTCTAAAGTTGCAGACTCCAAGGTATCTGTGTAGTGGCATTTAATACAACCAAACATTAATTGTTAATGTCAGAACTTGTGTTATAAATACTGGCAGATTATGCAGCCCTTCTGGCCATCTGCCATAGAGGCTTTAGTCGATTCCTGCATTGCAGGGGGCTGGACTGGATGACTCTTGGGACCCAACTCTACAATTCCATGATTCTCCCCACCTACCTCTGCAGGGAGTCTAAGTGCCCATTGTTTGCTACTTGATCATGAGACTATCTCAGCCCCTTTCTTATGGGATGCCGGTAGCACGGGAGCTATTGCAGCACATCTCCCTTCTATGTCACTGGAGTAAGCTGAGGAGCCCTGGGCTGGGGAGAGAAGCCTCACCACTTTGGCATTGTCCCATTGTGGAGATGGGAAGCCCCAGCCCTGGTGACCAAATGCAGCCCTGCAGATTGCTCTGTCTGGTCTTTGGGGCTCTCCCAGGCCCCGCCCCCTCTTTGGACCACACACTCTCACCAGTCCTGCACCATGCCTTCCTCAAGTGCTAGAATGTGTCTTTGAACTATACTCATGCCTCTGGCTTGCCTGCCTGGATGGATGGATGGAAGATAGAGAGGATGAGTGTGTATAGAAAACCTTAGGCTTTTGCTGGAAGGTAGCATAGAGTACAAAGATAAAAGACCCAGAGTGGGTTACATTGAAATCAAACACATAATACCAAGGTTGACTGGTCTATAACAGCAACTAGTTTCCCTACCCTCCCTCTGACCAGAGTTTGAGCAGCAGTGCGGGGAGAGAGAGAGAGAGAGAGAGAGAGAGAGAGAGAGAAAGAAAGAAAGAGAGAAAGAAAGGGTTATGGGTTGAGTTCCAGAAAGACCTGTGGCTTGGAAATGGAGGTGTTATAAACAAGAGTGGACTTTGGTAAAATGGTGCCCCGAGTAAGAACAAAATTTGACCCCCCCCTTGAATATCTCTTATTTTCACGCCACCTCCCTCTTGCCTTCTGTTCTGTGCATACTCTCAAGCGCAATATGTCATAGTTGTGTCATATTTTGTGCCCCCTTGGCTCAGAGCCCCAAGAGAGGAACTGCCCTAAAAAAGCTGCTGGTTGTAAGAGAGGTACCTGAAAGATAGGGGTGATGAAATCTTATGGGGGGGGGAGAGAGAGAGAAGTCCAGAGATTTTTCCTGTGTGCTAACTGAAACATTTTCATAGTTTTGAGGATCCTCATTTTGAAACTTCATTTCCTGTACCTAGATTGGCACCCATTTTATCCGTGGAGTTTCCGGGGGAGAGAGGAAAAGAACCAGCATTGGACTAGAGCTCATTACACACCCTACAGTATTGTTCTTAGATGAGCCGACAACTGGACTGGATGCCAGCACAGCCAATGCCGTCCTGCTTCTCTTAAAAAAGTAAATTGTGCTAGATTCTTGGAGACTGCACCTTATGGCTAATGATGTACTCTCTAGATTGAAGCAAGAGACAGACAGACGGGGGTGGGTGGGTGAAAACCTGTGCCATGGCTGGAATATTGACAGTCTGATGTTCCTTGGCCTGGTTTGTTTTTCAACAAGGCAATTATTTTTAAAGACAGCATTCCTTTTTTTTTGGTTTTTTTGTCACAGCTTTTATATTCACTCTCTTATGCAATAGTTTCCCCATGCCTCCAACTCTGGTACGATCCCACAAGACAGCACTTACATTATGGTTATGTTGTGAGTTGTGTGACATGCTAAGTGGATATGGGTAAATGAAGAGGGGTTGAGTTAGAAGACTATCAGTTTTGGTAATAATTTTGCTTACAGTGCTGCTTAATGCAAGAGCCCAGTGTTGTTATCTAAAGTTATGTCCATTTGTGTTGTGAATGGTTTGGAACATTAAAACAACAGGTAATTACAGTAGTTGACGGTCTTTCGTGTGTTGCATTCAGGATGGCGGTACAAGGGAGAACAATAATTTTCTCAATCCATCAGCCCCGGTACTCTATTTACAAATTGTTTGACAGCCTGACGCTACTTGCTGCTGGAAGACTTCTTTATCATGGCCCGTGTGAAAATGCTCTTCCATACTTCAAAGGTCTTGGTCTCTAACATGTTGTTCCTCATTGTCCGAATAAATTAAGACGTCGTCCAAGAAGGCTACGCAGTTCTTGTACAGCAGAGACCCCAACACGTGGTGCATGAAAGCTTGAAAACAGGCGGAGCCCGACTGTAATCCAAAAGGCATAACTAAGTACTCAAAGGCACCTAGGGGTGTGAACATTGTGGTCTTCCATTCGTCCCCTCCCTCATCCTGATCAAATTGTATGCGCCCTGAGGTCCAGCTTGGTAAAAATTTTGCCTTTCCTCACTCGCGTTAAAATGTCGTCAATCCTGGGCATTGGGAAGGTCACGGGTTCTGACACCAAATTGACAGCTCTATAGTCCACTACGAGCCTGGGTTTATTTGTGTCCTTTTGTCCACAAAGAACACCGGACTGCCCCCTACTGCCTTTGATTCTCTTATGAAGCCTCTTTTCAGGTTCTTGTCGATAAATTCTCGCAACTCCTTCATCTCCCTGTCTGACATGGCGTACAGCTTACCCACTGGCAGCTGAGCCCCCGGAAGCAAGTTGATTTGGCAGTCAAAGGGCCTATGGGGTGGCAGTCTATCTGCCTCTTTCTCGCTGAAGTCCTCCCGCAGATCTGCGTATTGTGGCGGCACCTCCCCTTTCCGCTCCACCGCCATCCCAGCCACCCTGGCCACGGTCATTCTTGGGGCTTCCCCCCCTAGACAGTGTTCCAGGCAGTAAGCTGACCCAAAGGTGACTGTCCTCTGATGCCACGCCACCACTGGATCATGTTGTGCTAGCCAGCTCATCCCTAATATTATTGGGGGTCCTGCTAGCGAGGCGACGTGAAGGCGATGGTCTCCGAGTGCCTGGACACCCTCATTCTCATTGGCGGGGTCTGGTGTGTCACTTCCCTCCTAGAAGCTCCCTGCCATCAATGGTGGTCACTTGCAAGGGAAAATCCAAAGGCAGTAAGTGGAGCTGGTGCTCTAATGCAAAGTCCTTGCTGAAGAAATTACATGAGCTGCCTGAATCGAGCATCCCTTTCACCTTGACTGGGTGCCCGTTCGGGAGTTCTAGCACCACTTCGATGGCTATTGCCGCCTTGGGGGGGTCTGGTTGGGGCACTTTTACTGGTGGCTGGCCTGGCTGTTGTGCCCCTTGATTGGCAGCCAAGCGTTCCCGCTTCCCTGTTCCTGTTCCTTTACCACCTCCTCCTCACCCCCTGCGGTTCCCACCATTCCTTGCCAAGCCTTTCTTTGAGGGCAGGCTCTGGCAAAATGGCCTGGTCGCTGGCAAAGGTAACACTTCTTGGAGGTTTTCCAATCCTTTCCCTCCTTCTTGCGCCCTCGCTGGTGCTTGAAACTTCCCGCGCGCGCGCCCCATCTATTTCCATTGGCTCTGCTGGCGGGGAGGGCTGCCTTGGTATTTCAGGAATGCGGTAGTCATGGCAACGTTGCTCTTCCCTTCCCGCCTCTCCTGGGCCCGCGCTCCTGGCGCACGCCAATCGCAAGCACAGCCTTGGTCAGCTGATCCATCCCCTGTGGGCGGGGTGCGCGGGAAAGTTCATCCTTAACCGTTGGGGACAACCCTCCTCGAATAACATCTGTATGGGTTCGGAGCCCAGTTCCCACCCGAGGCGGTGAACTATCATGGCAAAGCGCGACCAGTAGTCCCTAACTGACTGGCTCCCTGTTTACAGTTCATCAATTCCCGCTTTGTCACACTTTTTGAACATCAGTGGAAAACATCGCGTCCATCGCTTGGAAGAATTTCCTCAGGTCCTGCATGGCGGCATTCTGCGTCGCCATAAGGGGTCTGACCCATTCCCTGGCCCCGTCCTGCAGGTGACCCACAACATATGCCACCCGCGCCGCGTCGTCTTCAAAATCGTTATGCTGCAATTCCAATGCGTACTCTATTTCCGTTCAAAACGCACTGTATTCTTGCGGCTTCCCCAAAGTTGTGCACCAGTCCCGGTACCTTCCTTGCTATGGGGGTGGGTCTGACCTGTGCATCTTGAGACCGCCTTTCGTCCAGCCGCGCCGTCAGAATGGCCACATGCTGCTCCAAATCTCGGTTCCTCTCCACCAGCGTTTGCCCTCCAGCTGCTCCCCCCTGGGTGCCTGCTTCTCCGGGCTTGCTCATGATGCTGCCTGCCTGCTGCTGCGCACGAGCAACTTTTCAGGGACTGACGGATTGCTGTGATGAGTATGAGTTACTCGTGCGTAAACTGGTGCCTCTCTAGGCTAATTTGCCTTGTTAAACCTTTCTGACTGCACAGCCCTTTCTCATCATGACTGTCTCAGTCACTAGCAGAATCCGTCAGTGGGCGTCTCTTGAATATCTTCCAACATAAGAGTTGTTTGAACCCAATCTCCTCCGCCTCTCACTGCGCGGGAGCCTTCTGCGCAGGGTGGGCGTAGGTAGCGGGGGACCTGTCCCCTCCTCACTGAGTTCCAGTGAAGAGTCCGTGAGCCCTCTCTCCGATTTCCCCATCTGCTCACTTTTGTTCCTGGTGTTGCGCTTAAATGCTTCCCCCTCCACTGAGTTGCTTCTCCCCCTGCTGCTGGGTCCTTCTCCAGCATCATCTAGGAGCCTCCCCTTCGCCTCCCGCTCTGATGTCAGTTCCCTGACAGTGAGTTTTCATGTGGTATGTTAAATTTAGACCCAGAATTGAACATGAGTCTTTTCAAATTCCTGGATCCAGCAAGAGTTAAAATCTAATGGAGGATCCCATGTTGAGTTAGCCAAGCAGGGGCCATAATGGCTGCTTACCCAGTCCAGGGGTGGGCAGCGGTTGCAGTTCATTATGTCCGGTGAGTGGGACCGCAGTGGCCCCTAAGTATAGGTCATTAGTTTTGTTGGCATCCCTCTGTCTTGGGAGACAATGGAAGAGTGCAGAATGTGGAGAACTGAATTTAAGACTGAAAACATGAGAAACTGAGAGAACCGAAAGTGACAGTTCGTTCCATCACTACCTGTAAATGTGTTTTCATTAAAGCTGCCTCAGCTGCCGGCTATGTAAAAATAAACCATCTTTTATTCACAGGTTATTTGTGCGAACCATATAACAACCCTGCTGATTTTTTTTTGGACATCATTAATGAAGATTCAACTGCTGTTGGAATGAGTAAAATGACCATCATTACTATACGTATGTATTCTGAAAGTCTTCAGAGTTACCGTACCTTGATGAATTTGTGTGTATCAGCACCAAACCACTTCTCTCTGTGGTTTTTTTAAAGTACTTATCCATTTGGCCCTAAAATGTGATAGGAGGTTCTACTTTTTTGTCAAAATCCCACCCATCCCCACCCATAGAATTGGCAGAGTTACTAGACCAGATTTAAGTAGCTTCTGGTCTAATCAATCACAACCCTAAGACAATATTGGGCTGCATGCACACTGTTCATTTATATTACATTTTAAGCACATCACTTCCCCCAACAAATTGTGGGTCATACAGTTTACCTCTCACAGAGCTATGATTCTCATCTCCCTTAACAAACTGAAGTTCCCAGGATTCTTTGGGGGAAGTCATGTATGTTAAATGTGCCTTAAAAGTATGGTATGTATGCAGCCTTAGAGAGTATTCCTAACTGTCCAGATCCTCTGGCTGGAGTGCTTTCAGTTTGGGGCAGAGGTGCTTCTCCACCTGTGTGGAGCAGCTCTGCTAGCAACAGGAGGACTGGGGAAACAATTATGCCCATAGAAAGATCTGTGGGCATAGAACTACCACCAGCAGTATTTTTGCTAGCCGTAGACTGTGAAACGCAGCATTTCAGTGTTCACCCAGAAGTAGCTTTGGATCTGTTGCAAGATGGTCAGTCTGTACACAACCTAAGATAGTTCAGAGTACACAAACTGTGATTTAATTTGCACCTGTTGCTTATTTGCAAAGGAGTAACCTCAGTTTTCATTATCATCCAAAACAGCCATTGATGAAGACAATGACATGGAAGACACTGACAGCATTGCATTAGGATTAGCCATACGCTTTACCAGAAGTGCTTACTACAAACAAATGATGGCAGACCTCGATGCACTATCTTCGGACGATAAAAAGAAGACGACAGCTTATAAAGGAATTCCGTACACCACACCCTTTCTTCATCAGCTCAAATGGGTGTCCAAACGCACATTCAAAAATCTGATTGGAAATCCACAAAATTCCACTGCCCAGGTATCCCAAATTAACCTCTTTTTTGGCGGGGGAGATCAATGTTACTAGGAAGCTATGCGGGCTATTTAAAAATGAATTTAATTTAAATAACAAAGAGCTATAGGAATCGTTACATTTTATATACTGTGGGATGATGTCAGGGTGGGTGTTGGGAGCAGGACAAACATAACTTACATGGTGTCAGTGAAGTGAACCATTCAAAGAAACAAAATAGTTCAGGCCTAGTGAGCACAGCAACACTTCCCAGCAGATCTTGCCCCAAGCAGGCAGTTGTGAGGACTGAAGGTCCCTACCTTTCCATAGCTCTCTAAGTCTCCTTCTCCCTTGGCTCCTTCCCAAGCACTCTGAGACTCCTTTGCCTTGACTGTCTTGGCTCCGCCCTCTTCATACCTCTTTGGGTTCTGGGAGACCAGGGGAGAAGGGAGCTGGTCACAGCAGAGGGAGAGACTCCCTGGCTTCTTCAGCAGCCTGCCTCATCTCTGCCTCTTGGCCTCCATCCTCTGCTTCTGCCTCTGGTTCTGGCCTGCTCTCTGCCACAGCCCCTTCCTGCTCACTAAACCCTGTTACCTCTTCGGCTTCCGACTCTGACTCCTCCTCCCAGTCAGCTCCCTTTTCTCCCTCTGACCACTCATTGTTGTCCCACCACCAATGCCCAGGTTCCCAGCCTTCTTCCCTTGGGGGTTCCCCACTGGTGGCTCCTGCCGCTCCTCTGCGTCCAACCACTCCATCACACCTGAACCGTATGTGTCCTCTTCTTCCCCTGGGAAGCACATTTCAAGCACACGCCTGTACTAGAAACATCCACAAGTTGAATGTGACAGAAATGATGAGGGACAGGCATGGGCAGAGCTAACATTGTCGTCCCTGCTGTCCTCCTCATTGATTTTCTGAACACTGGGTCATGATGTCTGAAGAGAGCCGTAGAAAACAGCAAACAACAATGTATTGCTGTTCCAGCAGGTATTCTGTCCAAAGGGCTCTTTGAGTTTTCCTCTCAGACAGTGTGCCCATTCCTTTCGCTATGACCTCCACTTCTGCTGCAAATTTGTCAAGAATTCTGCAGCGGTTTTCAAAGATACATAGTGATTGCTAATCATCTGTTCAGAGGCCATGAAGTTAAAAGCTTTGTGTGTGTATGTTGATATTATGGGGATCCCTATTAATTGCTTTGTAAAAGCTTGACCTTGTGACAAGAATTAGGATTTTAAGAACCTATAATCTTCCAGGGTTAATGGGCCTGACTTTTTTCTCACAATCATTTCTATCTCCCTAACCTCATTAGGGATGGATTTTGAATGCATTCTTAAAAAGACTCCACATTTCATTAAGCCTTTTTTTTCTTTTTTGGTAATCTTCTTAAATTGGTCTTGATATGATCTTTGTTTCCCACTTCAACTGGCTTAGCAGTAGAATTATCCCTGACATTTGGTCCTTTCAACAAGTCCTTAGCACTACGGTACCATGTATCAAGTGCACTTTTAGTGTTAAGGCTCAGGCAATCCCTCCTGCTTAAACACGACTGAACAGGCTGTTACCGTCATCTTGGCTGAGATTTTCATCACTTTTGCTTGTTCTTAAGAAAGCAAAGCATAGTTTTTAATCAGTTTGATCATTGTCCTCTCCCTCCTTCTCTCTGTATATTTCATATAGAGAGAGATACAAATAAATATATGTGTGCATGTGTGTGTGTGTAAATTGGCTGGGCAATTTTATTGCTCTGTATAAATGTGTTTAAAGGGACATGGGTGGCGCTGTGGTCCAAACCACTGAACTTCTTGGGTTTGCCGATCAGAAGGTTGGCAGTTCGAATCCCCGTGATGCGTTGAGTTCCTGTTGCTTGGTCCCAGCTCCTGCCAACCTAGCATTTTGAAAGCATGCCAAAAAAGTGCAAGTAGATAAATAGGTACCGCTCTGGTGGGAAGGTCAATGGCGTTTCTGCGCGCTGCTCTGGTTTCGGTGTTCCGTTGTGCCAGAAGTGGCTTAGTCATGCTGGCCACATGACCTGGAAAAACTGCCTGCGGACAAACGCCAGCTCCCTCAGCCTGTAAAGCGAAATGAGTGCCGCAACCCCAGAGGCGTCTGCGACTGGACTTAACTGTCAGGGGTCCTTTACCTTTATAAATGTGTGTAACAATACCTGGTTTGTTCCAAAATCTGGCAGAGTTTAAACACATCTCTGTTGGATTTTACCTTGTAAACATTTAGTAGAATGTTTTCTTTTCAAATTCAATTTGAGTCGTTCAAGTTGTTATTATTTCTAATAGCATTTTAAAGCAAACATTATTTTACAAAAGGGTGGGGGTTGCATAGAATTCAAGAAATAAAAGAAAGAATAAAATTCAGTTAAAGAACCAGTATTAATATTTAATGCAGTGGATGTGCTTTCTCTTGTTTTCAATCCCAAATCCATAGACATGCTGTGGGCCATGTGAATGAAATGTGGGCCACTGGTGGTCTACAGACCACAGTCTGGGAACCCTGTTCTATGTTACAGTGAAGGTCCAAAGCCCATTTTTATAAGTTACCTACAGTGATATGGTTACTTCTTCTTTTGTGGTTTCTCCTATGCCAAAGTATGATTTGTATCCAGCATTTACCGGTACTTAGAAAAGACTGCTTGAAACGAATGGGAATTATTAACTTGGGTCTGATTTCTGTGGATCTGCTCAGCTGGATACATAGTTGGATACAACCCTATGTTCTAGGACTAGTATTGCCAGGCATGACCAGAGTGGTATATCAACACACATCCTTCCCTAACAAAGTGCAGTGCTCATCATCACAGCAGGAGAGCAACTTAATAGATAACAGTTATTATACTTTCACGAAGTCCACTATTTTTCAAAAGTTTCCTTCTGCTCCTCACTCCTCCCTGCCCAAGACAGCATGTTTTCAATATGAAATATTCTTTCCCCGCACTAGATATGTATTGCCACTTTTCTGGGACTAATAGTAGGATCCGTATTCGCTGGAGTTAAAAATGATGCCACTGGCATTCAAAATAGGTGAGTAAACGCTTCAAAAAAAGAGAATGCAATGTAGCATCATCTTCAGCTAGTATTTATGTGCAGAAAAGTTTAGGTAACAAATTACTTTAGGACATATTTTATGCAGCAGTCTCCAATATATTTGCTTAAAGTTTTATTTAACCATGGGACAGGGGAAGGTAATTTCCCCAAGCTCTACCCAAGGCTTTTTTTCCCTTTTAGAAAAAGTCTGGTGTTGTCTGATTCTATCTGAGAAGGGCTTCCTAGAGTTCACAAATCTTTAGCAAAGCTGAGTCACCCAATTCAAAGAATTTGTTTCTCCCATCTAAGGATGAGGGAGAAATTTGTTTTTTTATGCATTTTCTTGTGAAACTACCTAATCTGCACCTAAACCAGAAAGCCAACTGAAGGACGGTTGTCTTTCAAAATTTGCACTTCTCCAAATTTTGCAGTGCAGTTCTAAAGCTGCAGTTCAGTTTTGCTCCGACTAAACAGTGTGCACAAAAATATATTAGAAGAAATAACGTACGAAACTAAATTATATCGGGAAATTGCTTGCAGAGATGCATATTTTAGAAGAAATCCACACAAAAATACGTGAGGCTTTTTGCACAATTTTTTTTTTTAAATTGTAGATTGTTGCAGAAATTAATCTGTGCCTTGGTATCTCTAATTCTGTCTTTTTTGGGTTCTCTTGTAGAGTTGGTGCTTTGTTCTTCTTGACGACCAATCAGTGTTTGAATAGTATTACGACTGTTGAACTTTTTATCACAGAAAAAAGGATATTTATGTAGGTAAAACTGTATTGGAAAACCAAGCTTACTCTTCTGCTAGTAGCCTTATTTGCTTACCTGTTCTTTGGTTGAGTAACTCATCAGTCAGTTCCACCTATGGAGCCCATGCTCACGGCCATTTTGCCACACATATCAGCCCCTGGTTATGATAAAAGCCTTCTCTTCATTTGGTAAGGAGATACAGATGGCCAAGCTGTCCTGGCTGAGAGCGCTCAGTCTGAATTAAAGTTTGGCTATCTGTATGGGCTCCGGGTTTAGGGAGAAAGAATTCTCTAAAATAAGGGTGAGAAGCTTTTTCCAATCCAAGGACCACATTCTCTTCTGGGCAACCATGCAAGTGTCACATGTCCATGGTGAGTAGGGCCTGGGCAAAAGTGGGAGGAGCAAGAATTTGACCATTGTAAACATAGACTAGTTTCTACACACCTTTCTCTGTCCTCCAACCAGACAAGCAAGAGGCATCATCGCAATTCAAAGACACATTTCAGCCAGGAAGAACCAGATATTGCCTGAGAAGAGGGTGTGTGACCTGGAGAAAGTATTAAGGGCCAGAAAAAGGAGCCTTGAGGGCTGCCACATCCAGCCCTGCTCTATAGCCTCAGTTTTGGCACCTAAGGAATATGTGAATGTTGAGCCCATATTCCATTTCAGCGAATACTAGCTCAGCAGTTGCATGCTGGATGCATTGTGGACCTGGGTAGAGCAAGCATACTTTCATTAAAGCTTCAGGGGCCCTAGCTAAGTGGCAGAATATGTGCTTTGCATGTTGCAGAGTAGTGACCTCATATAATCATAGAGCTGTAGAGTTGGAAGGGATCCCGAGGATCATCTAGTCCAATCCCCTGCAATGATAGAATCTTGCCCTTGGTGGGCTAGAACCACCAACCTCCTGGTTAACAGCCAGACACATTGATCCATTGTGCCACAGGGAAGACCAAGGACAGGACATGTTGCCTGAATAATCCTGGCACCATCTGGACACCATGCTCTTTCTGTTCTTGACAGTAAAGCTGAATGTGATTATATTGGGTAAATCTTTCATAAAGCACTTTTGACACCCTCACAAGTCTATAAAGCAGGACATAACTGTTTTAAATAAGCTTCTGGGAAATGTCTGGTACTAGTTTGAAAACTGGATTGAAAACTGCTGCCATTTATGAATCCATTTGTTGGTTGTGCAAGTCCTGAATGTGTGTATTTTGTGTTGCAGACATGAATATATAAGTGGCTACTATAGAGTTTCTGCATATTTCTTCTCAAAGATATTAGCTGATATGGTGCCCATGAGGACTTTACCTGGCATCATCCTCACTTCCTTAAATTATTTCTTGATAGGCAAGTATACTACAAAAGTCATGTTTCTTTTTTCCTTAATTTAGATATTAGATGGTGGCAGGCAGATTGCTTGTTGCATATCACTGTTGTTGAAAAGCACAATATGCTTATTTCGCCACTTAAAACCATGTGTGTATTCAGACACACCCTCCCGTACCAGCAACTGGGGAAGTGGACTTGATACGAGCAATGTTTATGCCATAAAAAAATTTAGTTAGTCTTTAAGGTGTCACAAATGCATTGGTTGTTTTGCCGTAGGAGACTAACATGTATGTTCCTCTGGAAATAAATAGTAAAGTTATTGTTTTCCTTTTGTCGACCAAATCTCACTTTTGATGTAAAATATATAATAGGTTGATTCTAAATTAGCAATAATATAAAACACATACCCAATGCTTGAGGTGGGGTAGGAGAGACCTGCTAACTCCTATATCTTGGCAGCCCCCTCAAGCACTGTGTATGGGCTTGTGGATTTCATTAAGACCCACTCACCCCAGAATTAGGGTGGTTAAAGCAGAAAGGGATAGCAAAAAGCTCCAAAAAGTTCTCCTGAGCTAGGGGACTGAGCATTGAAAGGTTAAACACAGCTCTTATGCATTTATGAAAGTGATGCACACTGGACTCCAAATACAAAGGTCACATATACATAGATGTGATCTGAGTGGACAGTGATTGACCAGGCTATCAGTCTTGGGGTTGTGGTGGAGAGCTGGATGAAAATGTTGACCCAAAGTGCAGCTGCTGCAAAAAAGGCAAATTCTTGGCTTTTCAGGTAACAAGATCATAGAACATTGTATTCTGTGTTCTGTTTACAATACATGCAAGGACCAAAAGCATCACAGTCAACAATGCTCTTTATTGACAAATAAAACCAGCTCTGATATTAAGGCTGACATGCTAGTGCAAAGCTGCATGTGTGTACAGTTTTGCTCATGGGGAAGCCTGCATTGCAAAATTTTGATGCCGAGTATGTACATCTACAGTGGTACCTTGGTTCTCAAATTTAATCCATTCTGGGAGTCTGTTTGACTCCCGAAACACTTTGAAAACCAAGGCGTGGCTTCTGATTGGTTGCAGGAGCTTCCTGCACTCAATCAGAAACTGCGGAATCCACATTGGACATTCAGCTTCCAAAAAACGTTTGCAAATCGGAACACTCATTTCCGGATTTGCAGTGTTTGGGAGCCAATTTGTTTGTGAGCCAAGCCGTTCGACTACCAAGGTACCACTGTGTTAACATTTTTAATTTGTTTCAGGTTTCAAGCCAACTGTGGCAGCCTTCTTTACCATGATGATTACTGTTATATTAGTTGCCTACGCAGCCAGTTCCATGTCTCTGGCAATAGCAACAGGGCAAAACGTCACGTCGGTTGCAAACCTCATCATAAATATTTGCTTTGTTTTTATGATTGTGAGTTTTGGTTGATTCTTCTCTTTCCCCTCCTCCTTTGGTGGGTGGGAATGTTTAGACAGATATTATGCAAAAAGGCCACATTGCCACATTTCAGACACCGCCCAAAGTTCTATCACATGAACGGGACGATTCATAGGGGAGCAAGTTTGCCTTCAGGGACGCGGGTGGTGCTGTGGTCTAAACCACTGAGCCTAGGGCTTGCCGATCAGAAGGTTGGCGGTTCAGATCCCTGCGATGGAGTGAGCGCCCGTTGCTCGGTTCCAGCTCCTGCCAACCTAGCAGTTCGAAAGCACGTCAAAGTGCAAGTAGATAAATAGGTACTGCTCCGGCAGGAAGGTAAATGGCATTTCTGTGCGCTGCTCTGGTTTCGCCAGAAGCGGCTTAGTCATGCTGGCCACATGACCTGGAAAAACTGTCTGCGGACAAATGTCGGCTCTCTCGGCCAGTAAAGCGAGATGAGTGCCGCAACCCCAGTCGTTTGTGACTGGACTTAACTGTCAGGGGTCTTTTACCTTTACCTTTTAAAGTTTGCCTTCAATGGTTGTAAGACTCCTAGATAGTGCCCGTTTGGGGTGAAGTCAAACTGTGAAAAGTTAGAGCACTTGCTGTGGCTGTTGAGACAGGTATGAGAGACATGGTTTTTTGCAGCTGTGGCAGATGAAGGCATCCAGTTGTGCTGCTGCAGATGCACCACAGGGTTTCTTATCTCTGCTATCCTCCCAGTGGTCATTCCTGTTCTGGCCACTGCTATGGATGTGCAACCTGTCTGTCTGTCTCCTGCTATGGATGTGCAACCTGTCTGTCTGTCTGTCTCCAGGCTCTGTGGTCGTCTGCAAGGGATTCCCACACAGTGGGGTTGATGTTGCCAGCCTTCATGCCATGTTTACAGACATAATGGGAGTTGCAAAGATGGTGCCCTATCTAAGACTCTTTATCCCATAGAAAACGAATAGCCATTCATTCCCGCAGGAGAAATGTCTGCCATTAAACTAACTTACGATGCACCCCTGAAATGGGGGCGGTGAATAAAAAACACACACAGTTTGCTGAACTTCAAAAAGTACATGCTTACTGATGATGGGTGCTCCAGAGGAATAACGTCTCGGTAAACATGAAATCCACAAAACCACTTTGTATATTTCACGGCGATGAGAATGAATTCTGGAAATGGCTGAAATCCTTTAAGAGCTCTGGGTGAAATTTTCTTCTGTCAGTTTGACTTTCCCCTGTCTTTTAAAACTACTATTACCATTTGTAGGTTTTCTCTGGCTTGCTGGTGAACATCACAACCATTTCACCTTGGTTGCTGTGGCTGAAGTATTTCAGTATCCCGCGCTATGGCCTGAATGTAGGTATCAGCCTTTCCCCCTTTCTTCTTTAGAAATGGTTCTGGAAGTTTAGAACTCGCCACCAGCTATCATAACCCTGGCTACAAATTCATATAACTGACCAGAGAAGGCTATCGTTCCCCTCAACATTGACTCTGGTTTTTTTCAAATTTTAAATACTTCTTAAACACCCAAACTTCTAAGCAGTTTACATAAAATACGGTACGATAAGTTCTCTTAAGGCTGCACCATATGTGCAGGTGTTTAATAAAAACATGTTTGCTCGCTTAGCAAACACATTTTAATTAAACGCCACATGTTACTTTCGCTAATTTTAAATGCAGGCATTAAAATGCCATTGTGTGGGACCAATCTGGATTAGGACCCTAGTGTGGCAGGTGTGGCAACAACAACAACAATGGCATTGATGTACCTTCAGTGATTTCTGCTCTTGGAGAAATATTAAGAGTCCCTTCTCATTTCATCAAGCAACTGCCTGGATGATGGCTCTGTTATACCTGGTTTGGGAATGGACGAAGGCTGTTTCCGATGGTGGAAGTGCAGGCCTGCCCCCTTTCTCATTTACTACAAAGAAGACCCCACATATTAAGCATTTGCCATACACTGGTTACTGAATGTGTGAACTGGGCACAAGCACACTTTCCACGTCCTTTTCTTTTAAATGAGAGGGTGAATTATGTGAATTGGACACCACTACATGATGAGCGGTGGGAACGAAAAACACCCCACCCCTTTTGGACCTGTGACTTGAGATCACAAGACAAAACGAAAGTGTGGAAAAGTGATCTCACAGTGACATCTAGTGATATAGTCTGTGAACTGCACAGTGCTGCCTGTTAACTCTCTTATGTATTGGCGTACATTAATTAGAATCAAATATCCCTCTCCCCCGCCCACATTGTTAGTTTGATGTGAATGATTTTTGGACTAGGGGGAGATTGAGATTTTGTTCATTTTTGTTCATTTGTTAATTAGTGGGTCTGAGTATTGCTTTATTCTTTGAGCATGGCTTTTTTATAAAAGGATTTTATACGAAATATTATTATTTGATTGCCCCCACTTCCCCCCGTGGTAATATATACTGTATATCTTCCTTTTTTTGCTGTAAATCACTTGGAGAACTTCAGTAAATCTAATAAATGAAATTAAATGCATATAAAACTTCAGGTGAAATAGCGTTTTCTGCTACAAAGGGTGTGTGTGAATTGCAGGATTTCTTATGCAACATTTTCCAGTTATGTTCTTAAAAGCACCAATTGATCCTTGGTATACTAACTTGTGGCAAAAAATAGTGCTTGAAAGCATGTGAGGCTGTTCAGACAGGTTGACTCTTAATGCGCACAGCGACTGACAGCCAAACTGAGAAGCCTCAGCTACTTTTGGGATCTCCACCAATCTTGGATATTGAGAAGTAAATAAAATGTGTAATGTTTTCATATCCTTAACAAGACTGAAATTCTTCTTGTCATTTTGCCTCTTCCTGTAGGTGTGAAAATATGGAAGTCTTCTTAGGTAACAACAGTAGAAACAAGCAAGTAATTCAGTTTTGTTTGTCTTTAAAGGCTTTGCAAGTAAATGAATTTACCGGGCTTAAGTTTTGCTCAGAACTTGAACAAGGGGTCAACGTAACCTGCATTGCTCCTAGTCCATTTACTATGTAAGTACTTGGCATTTTGCAAAGAGTTGAGCTATACAGTAAGCTAAAAAAAAAAGATACCGGAGTTTATTTAACAGTTACTCAGAGCTGATTTCTTGCACATTAGAATTAACCAGGGATGCAGGTGGCACTGTGGTCTAAACCACTGAGCCTCTTGGGCTTGCCGATCAGAAGGTCGGCGGTTTGAACCCCCATGACGGGATGAGCTCCCGTTGCTCTGTCCCAGCTCCTGCCGTCCTAGCAGTTCGAAAGTACACCAGTACAAGTAGATAAATAGGTACTGCTGTGGCGGGAAGGTAAACGGCATTTCCATGTGCTCTGGTTTCTGTCACGGTGTTCCATTGCACCAGAAGTGGTTTAGTCATACTGGCCACAAGACCCGGAAAGCTGTCTGTGGACAAACGCTGGCCCCCTTGGCGTGAAAGCGAATGAGCGCCGCAACCCCATAGTCGCCTTTGACTGGACTTAACTGTCCAGGGGTCCTTTACCTTTTTAACTAGAATTAAACCAAGAAGAGCCCACTGGATCTGGCCAATGGCTCTTCTAGCAATCTCCTCCTCTGGTTTTCAGCAACTGGTATTCAGAAGCATACTGCCTCCAACAGTGTAACACACTCACTAAATAGAGCCTAAGCATAACATCCCCAACCCCCATTCCTGAATATTTGACCCTTTGCAAAAAGCAACAAATAGCAAGAGGCAACTGCTCTTCTGCCCTTACCTCACCTCCCAACTTCAAGCCTTAAAAAAAATAAAAAATCATTCTTTGAAGATGGCTTGCTCCTTTCTCTAATGGTGGAGTGCACAATACTATGCCTTATTTAAAAAACAACAACTATCTCCTATAGTATTATTTCCTCAGCCCACCTCCATTTACAAGGGAGTTGGAGAGCACAATACAGTGGTACCTTGGTTTAAGAACTTAATTCATTCTGGAGGTCTGTTCTTAACCTGAAACTGTTCTTAACCTGAAGCACCACTTTAGCTAATGGGGCCTCCTGCCTCCACTGCACAATTTCTGTTCTCATCCTGAAGCAAAGTTCTTAACCCGAGGTAATATTTCTGGGTTAGCAGAGTCTGTAACCTGAAGTGTATGTAACCCGAGGTACCACTGTATTGGCACTGGGCTCGGAACTCAGCCACTAAAGCACCAAGGATGAGATGGGTTTACAAACTGGGTTGCATACAGCTGTGTTCCTCTGCTCACGGAAGGCTCTTCACTCCAGTGGAAGCTTGTGAACAGAAGATTTTTGCCACCTTCCTCTGCAGGGATGCTTTGGAATAGCATGGCAGAGCCTCTGCAAAGAACTGCAGGAGAAAGAAGAAATTTGTAAACATTGCCTGCTCCCTTTCCACCCATGGAGCCATGCATGAACAGAGGCGGCACAGCTGGATATAACCCAGCATCTATAAAAGTCCAAAGGTGAAAGGTGATGTGGCCAGTTATGGGAGAGAAGAGATCCTAGAAGTGGGCTGTGGTGGAGTGGAGAGGAAGGCTTCACTGTATTAATCTTAGAGTAGGGTGTGTGTGTGTATGTGTGGAGTGTCTGTGTCATCCTCTATCAACTAATAGCAGTGTCTTCTTTGTATTCCATCTTTTGTTGTCATACGTCTGACTTATACAGTGGTACCTCTGGTTGCGAACGGGATCTATTCTGGAGGCCCGTTTGCAACCTGAAAAGAACGCAACCTGTGCCTGCGCGGGTCGCGATTCGCCGCGTCTGTGCATGCGCGTGACGTCATTTTGCGCATCTACGCATGCGCGAGCGGCAAAACCCGGAAGTAACCCTTTCCGGTACTTCCGGGTCGCCGCGGGACGCAACCTGAAGCAAACGTAACATGAGGTATGACTGTATTAAGAAACAGCATTGAGAGTAAAACAAGAAAACTAGGTAAAATTAGGGACAATGCATTTCTAACAAAACTTCTGCCTTTAACCTGTGTTTTCTAGATGCACTGGAGAAGAATATCTGAAGATGCAAGGCATTGACATGACTTTCTTGGGCATGGTGAAGAATTACGTGGCTCTTATATGCATGACAATCATTTTCCTCTCTATCGCGTACCTGAAATTGAGATTTATTAAGAAGTATACTTAATCGAGCAAGGCACGCGTGCCTACTGAACACTACAGTGTATTTTTATGGTAAACATGTAATATATGTAAAGTATACAGCTGATTTATAAAACTTTTCTTTCTTTCTTTTCTTTCTTTCAAGAGAGAGAGTGGAAGGAAAGTGGCCATTGTGCCAATTGGAACTTTCCTCCCGTTAGCAATTAGCAAATAGCCAGGGATTCTGAATGGGGAAATGGGTGTGGCAAAGCACCCTCCCCCATGGTCCTAACCTGGCCTGTGACCTCCCCCACCAGTGCCATCTACATATAAAACTATATGTATTTATCATCTACAATGTCACATTTAAATTGGCCTTGTCCTTCCAAACAGTGGTTAAGGTGGTCAATGTCTTGCCCATACAAAATCAAACCAGAGGTGGGAGCTCACATGGTGGGATATAAATCTGCTCCTTGCGCAAACAGAGACGTTTGCTTTAGTTCAAGATCCATGGATTGAGTTGAACTGGGTCAAGAGACCACCTATTCCTACAACCGGCCCACAGAACTAAATTGAAACCCAGCCTGTTTCCCCCCACCTAATAACACACACAAACTACTGCAAACCATATAAAGTCTTTATTTAAAGTGGGGAGGTGGTCACTATTAAACCAATACATCTTTGACCACAATGGAAGACTTGGATAACTAATAACTTTCCAACACACCTTTGCTATTAAGACATTAACCTAAAAACAGGGGGTAACTCACGCTTCCATTGTGTGAAACAAAAGGGATACAAAAACAGGTAGCTTCGCTGTCATACACTAAATGTATGTACGTTGTCAGTATGCATGGATAACCCATGAAATCTTATTGCACTTCAAAATGAAGTTTGTTATTAAGTAACAACATGTTACAACAATATATATAAACATATATATTAATATATATAAACAAATATGATTATGAATGCAAACATTTTGGTTTTTATAGCAACGCTGCAAATGTAAGATATAATGATTGTGATGGCTGTAAATACAAACAGGAAGACACAACTTTTGAAACAAGCACGCCAAGGCGTGTTGCAATGGCAGCTTCCCACTCTGCGGCTTGGCATCTGCGACAGCATGGCACGAAAGATCTGGGATGCCATTAGCACTACTGTGAGAAATCCCTGTGGACTGAAGCACCCTCTTGAAGACATCTAGCCCCCAGCAACAAAGCCAACTGAATGTGTCCCTATGAGTCATACTGTCACACAGGTTGTTGTTTTGGAAATGCACCACATAAAATCTTTCAGAAATCTAAAAGACTCTGACTTGCTGACTTTTGTGCTCTTGCAACATCACTAAATGACCTTTCAGGGGTTTTTTAAAATTTCATGTCTAATTTAAGCCACAACCCAACCACAATCAGTGCCTAAGAATAGAATGTTGTAAATTTCCTACCAAAAAAGAGAACTCTGGGTCCCTCTTGTGGTCCCTTTAATTTTCAATTAATGCAAGGCGCATAGCTAATACTGTTCAATTGAAAGGCATGAGCTGCCAGTCTGCTTCCACAGTGGAATTTTACTGTAGGATAGACATACTTTCTGCATTATGTTCTGAGCAAAACATCCCCCCCCTGCAAGTACCCCTCCTTCAGCTTTGGGGCAATTTCCTCGGGTGTAGGTGACCTGCCATCTAGCTGTTCACTCCCCCCATTTTTGCCAGTTATGACCTGCATAGATTCATCCAGCCATTTCCTTCTCTATGGTTAATACTCCTCTCTAGGAATCAACTCTTTATCATTTTAGCCCTTCCCTTCCCAAATTTCATTAATCAGTTTCTTACCCCATCCCAAAACTCTAGAAACAAGATGGGGGGAACACTTATTATCTGGGATGCAACCCAGAGGTGTGGGAGGGTGTAGTTAACCCTTTCACCCTCATGCTGCAGCTTTAATTGAAATTGCTTCACCCTCTCAACGTTTGGGGCTGGGGACACTGCCTACCAGGCTAAAAGAATGTCATTTGAATTTCAGAGGTCTGGAAACAGAGCTGCTATTCTGCTTATAGCTTGAAGCAGAGCTATTAAACAGGGTGTTATTAAACAGTACTTTTTTCTGGGGGTACTCAAAGGTATGCAGTACTGACACCTTATTTTCTTAGAAGAAAAGCACTGGTTAAAAATGTGGCACTTACCGTAACAACTTCATGGCGAGTACCAGCACCTTTTTTTCTAGAAGAAAAGCACTGCTATTAAATCACCCGTGTTTAGAGGCACACTGTGTGAAAATAGCATCATTTTAAGAACCAGAGGGGACTTTGCCTTCACTTGCCATTTGAGAACTACCGCTTGCTTGAGTAACAGAAAATTCCTGTGCCATTCCTTGTAGAAAAACAGAAGAAAAAAAAAGAGCATACCATCCCAGCCACATTATTCTGGACATTGTGTGATTTCATTTCTCTCTGGTGAATGAAATGCAGAGGTTACTTTTTTGGCAAGTAGTTAGGATAAACTACTGTAATACCCATTTCTCTTGAAAGCAGACAACAGCTATTTATGCTTTGATTTGGACAGTTTCTTTGCAATACTATTAAGAGTACAGGATTTCCAGAATCCTGCTATCTTTAAGAACATACAGATAAGATTTGCAATAAAAATCGGTGTATTTTATACTTTATATAGCAAATTGAAACTTGATAGTTTAGGGGTCGTCGTCCCCCACTCTAGAGGGCTAATTGCATTTTTGAAGGGAATAGAGTCCGGAGGGGAAGCCTCTATGCATCTGTATGAAAACATGTAAAACAACTGCTAACAGTGCAATCCTATGCATATTTAGTAATGTGTTCAATTGTGCTGACTTTCAGGTAAGTATGTATAGGATTGCAGCCTTAGTTATTGAGCTGACAGTTCACTATACGAGCTTACTCATTTTCTATGGAAAGCAGAGAAATCTGTGACATTTCTGTAGATTCTTAAGTAGCTCCGAGCCCAAGGCTGAATCAGTTCTCTGGTAGTGAAAGGGTTCTTGCACTAGCAGATGCGAAGGTTTGTGGAATGTGCTGGTGGAAACTTGGTGCGCAACCTACTGTACAATCTATCGTGCGACAAAGTTACCCGCAACCTACTTTTACATTACTCTGTGAAACAGCGTTTTGCCAACAAAAGTGTATCGCTAAGTGATTTTAATTGAGTGCTGCATTAGAGACAACCCCAAATTAACTTTTCTTTTTAAAACACTTCTTAGTCTCCCATTTTATATTTAAAAAAGCATCAACAGCTCGGCTGTTTCTCTGCTTACTGAATCTGCCTCTGCATATCTTAGAGCTTCCTGTGACTTAGCCAAATCACTAACTGTGCGCAATACTCATAATTTTGTAGGCAAAGGAAAAAGTCTACTAGACATGGACATTGTTGCCACTGTTCCCACCTCCTCCGGCATCAATGCCTTCTGTGGACTGTGAGGAAGAAGGGCGGGAACTCCTAGCCCGGGACTGGCCATTGAGCCCCATTGGAGTTCCCAGTCTGTGGCTCACTTGGGATGCCGTGTCATCCGATTCCCATCGCTCCAGCTCTTCTCTTACAAGTCTCTCCATCTGATCCCTGTGGACTTCATTATCACGGCCCAGCCTGTCGTCCTAGGCACAAATATCATAGTGTCCGATCATACAAAGATTGCAAAAAAAGATACACTGGAGTATGAATTCTTAAACTGGGAAGAAACACTTATGTGGTTGTCAGGGGTTCAGGAGCAGAGGCACAGGAAAGGGAGGAAATAGAGAGCGAGGGGGAGGAGTCCGAAGGAAATGTTAGCGATGACAGCGGTCCGAGGTCTCTGAGTCTTTCCAGCGAATCGGAAGATTCACAGAAAGGGGCCCCTTGGTCAGAGCAAGGGGGGTGCCGAGGGGGACACCCCAGGAAGAAGGGGCCAGAGGGGACTCAGAGAGCAGCAGTTGGAAATCAGGACCAGCGTCCACACCAGAGTGCAGTAGGGGGGGAGGGGTCCCAGGCATCGGGATCAGGCGGCGCACTGCCAGTGGGAGGACATGAGTCAGGATTGGCCACGCCTCCATCGGGGAGCGAGGAAACGGTCGAGAGGAAGGTTGAAGGCTGGGCGCGCGCCAAGTTCAAATGTACAGGAGGGCGGCGCAGTTGGCAGCCCGGATAGGAGCCAGGTCCCAAAGCCCGCCGAAAAGAGGGGGAGGAGTCAGGGGGTCAGCGCCAGAAGAATCCAGGAAGGAAGGGACCCCGGGGGGTAGCAGGACCCAGAGGAGAAAGGAGAGACGTAAGAGGTGGAGTAAGGCTAGAATCTTAAACTGGTGTACAGGGGGCGGAGACTCAGATGGAGCTTCGCCGATCTAACCCCTAGACGTAGAGCTGAGGCGCTGCGGCTTGAAAATGGAAACTGTACTTCAATAAAGACTTTTGTACATTACTGCCGGCTAGCGTTGGTCCTCTGTGAGCTGGGACCTGGAGCCAGCTCTGACAGTAAGCTCCATCTCTAAAAGTTTTGCACCAAAAACCTCGTAACGTGAGTGGACGCAGCGAGGGAAGAAGATTGGTGCTTCGCGAGCTCACAAAAGTCAGGCAAGATGACTACAGAACAGCAACTAGCAGCCCTGCAAAATGCAGTGACACAACTCAACGCGGAGGTACTCGCATCCAGGAAAAGGGAAGAGGAAGCGGCTGCCGCCTGCAGGGATCTCCAAGCCAGGTTGGAAGTGCTTGCTAAGCAGGGGCAACCGGGACCCAAATCAGAGGGGATTGGGCTGGGGAAAAGAGGAGGCAGCCTGGTATCTCATTTCGATGGGAATTTGCAGCAGTACCCTAACTTCCGAGCAGACGTGCTGTTTGCGCTGGAACTGCTGGATAAAGACTTTAGAGATGAGCAAGAGAAGGTGGGGTTTATCTTGTCCCATTTGCATGGGGAAGCTAAAGCGTGGCTGCGCAATCTGTGGAGAGATAAGGATCCGGCGCTCCAAAATGCGGATGCATTCATTAAAGCGATGGATTCGTGTTTTTATCAAATATAGACATTGATATCGCCAGAAAAGACATACATGGGCTCAAACAAGGCAGAGCCAGTGTAAGGCAGTACCATTCCCGCTTTTTGCATTAGTCCATGCGCTGGGATGGGAGAAGGATTCTGCCCCAGCCAGAGACCTTTTTGGGAAGGCTTGAATGCAAATGTGAAAGATGAGATTGCAAGGGGGGAGAGACCAAAGAGCACTCAGGAGGTTGTCCGGCGGGCGCTGCAAATTGGGGTGCGTCTGGAAGAACGTCCATGGAACAGAGAAGAAGGACGTTGGGGACGTACGCCAGTGAGAGCACCTCCCTCTTTCCCAAGGATGCAGCGCGTGTGCAATCCCCACCTCCGCAAGGAGGGGGAGAGCAACCGATGGAGATTGGAGGCGCCAGGGCTCAGTCAGCAACCAGAGCCCTAACACCGGGAGCAGTCAAAGCGAAGCCTCCTAGAGGGAACAGGAAGTGCTACATCTGCGACAGTGCTCAGCACATGGCGAAAGAGTGTCCCCAGAGGCTCCACAAGCACACTGCAGCCTCAGCAACAGTAACAGACGCAACTCAGCAGAGAGAACCACAGCAGGGAAACGACAGAGTCTGGTTGGAGGAAGAGGCACTGGGGCCCAGCCAGACAAGTCAATGAAGCCGTCCCCAGAGATTTTGCAGCCCACAGTCCCCCTCCCGCCCAAACCAGTGGTGCAGCTCACAGCATCGCTCCAACTACCCAATGGACTCACTATGGAAGTGCCGATTACCATTGACTCTGGTAGTAACGCAGACTTCATAGGACTGGATTTCATTCAAGAGCACAACATAGCACTCCTGCCAGCCACGCTGCCTCTGAAAGTTGTCACGGTGGATGGCAGGGAATTGCTGGGGGGGCAGGAGCTGCAGCAAACTCGCCGATGGTGATGCAAATTGGGAATCACCGAGAAGTCATCAGCTTCAATGTCACCCAACTGTCGGACACGCCTATAGTATTAGGCATGAGTTGGCTGCACAGGCACAGCCCAGCATTGGCGTGGTACCAGCGACAACTGACCTTCGGCTCCTCATACTGTGCGGAACATTGCATTCTGCCTAGCCCGGAAGGGGAAGAGGATGACCCGCAGCTACAATTAGGCACGCTGCAAGCAGTGCCACCTAAGTACGCAGCGTTTTGGAGGTTTTCTGCGAGAAGGAAGCGGACAAGCTACCTCCCCACAGGTCCTATGACTGCAAGATTGACCTCCTGCCAGGGGCGACGCTGCCAACCGGGAAACTGTATTCCATGTCTGAAGACGAGCTGCAGGAACTCAGGGAGTTCATAGACCTCAACTTGAAGCGCGGTTTCATCCAGGAGTCGAAGGCAGTGGGGGCAGTCCTGTATTCTTTGTGAAGAAGAAGGACACGCCCCAAAAAAGGCTTGTGGTGGACTATAGAATTTTGAACTCGAAAACCAAGCCCACAGCCTTTCCCATGCCCAAGATAGATGACCTGCTCGCAACGGTGAGGAAAGGACGCGTTTCACAAAGTTGGATCTGCGAGGGGCGTACAACCTGATTCGCATACGGGAGGGCGACGAATGGAAGACTGCCATGTTCCTGGGCACCTATGAATACAGAGTTATGCCCTTTGGATTACAAAATGGCTCCCACTGTTTTCAAGCCTTCATGCATCACGTATTGGCGGGTCTCCTCTACAAGAAATGCGTCTGCTTCCTGGACGACATCCTGATATTTTCAGAATCAGAGGAGACCCACGAGGGAGACGTCAAGGAAGTTCTGCAGAGACTGCAGGAGCACAGGCTGTACGCCAAGCTGGAGAAGTGCCAGTTCGACATGAAGGAGGTAGATTTCCTGGGCTACGAGTTGTCGGACAAGGGGCTCGCCATGGACAGCGCCAAGGTTCGCTCAGTGTTGGACTGGAAGAGCCCGCGCAATCGGAAGGAGGTCCAGCGGTTTGTCGGTTTCGCCAACTTTTACCGCAAGTTCATCAAGGGGTTCGCGATGCAGACGGCGGCCATTACCGACACGCTCAGCTCCAAGAAGAAGAAGTTCATCTGGACGGAGCAAGCGGAGCAGTCCTTTCAGAAACTCAGCCGCCTCTTCTCGTCCGAAGAGCAGCTACTGCATGTGAATCCCAGCAGACCGATGAGGGTTGAAACGGACGCCCCAGACAGAGCCGTGGGAGCAGTACTGTTGCAGCAAGACCCGCATGGGGACTGGAGACCGTGTGCCTTCTACTCCAGGAAGCTCAGCAAGTCAGAGCAGAACTACACCATCTGGGACAGGGAGTTGCTGGCCATTCATGCAGCATTCAAGGCGTGGCGGCACTTCCTCATTGGAGCCAAACACACAGTGCAGGTCCGCACGGACCATAAAACCTGGAGTACTGGCGCACGGCAAGGTTCCTGAACCAGAGGCACATACGATGGGCGGAGTTCTTTGCGGATTTCGACTTCAGGATAGAGTACATCCCAGGCGACAACAACATCATGGCGGATGCACTGTCCAGAAAGCCGCAATACCTCGAGGAGGCGGCACCAGCAGCGGCCAAGCACATTTTCGCACCGAAGCGTGGGCGTGCGCTTCAGCAACCGTGGACCTGGATGCTGTACGTCGAGCACTGCAGGAGGACCCCTTCGCGCAAGCAAAGATGGCAGAGGTGCAAAGGGGCACAGCGGAGGACGACGAGTTCCAGATACGCGACGGATTGCTCATCCGCAGAGGGGCCCTCTACGTACCGGGAGACGACCTCCGCGCGAAAGTACTGCAGCAGTTGCACGACGCACCCACCGCCGGGCACTTTGGCAAGGAGAAGACGGTAGAATTAGTAGCCAGAGATTTTTGGTGGCCCAAGATGCGGGGGGAAGTCGCGGATTACGTCTCGAGGTGCGACACCTGCCAAAGGGCCAACGAATCGGAAGATTCACAGAAAGGGGCTCCCTTGGTCAGAGCAAGGGGGTGCCGAGGGGACACCCCAGGAAGAAGGGGCCAGAGGGGACTCAGAGAGCAGCAGTTGGAAATCAGGACCAGCGTCCACACCAGAGTGCAGTAGGGGGGAGGGGTCCCAGGCATCGGGATCAGGCGGCGCACTGCCAGTGGGAGGACATGAGTCAGGATTGGCCACGCCTCCATCGGGGAGCGAGGAACCGGTCGAGAGGAAGGTTGAAGGCTGGGCGCGCGCGCCAAGTTCAATTGTACAGGAGGGCGGCGCAGTTGGCAGCCCGGATAGGGAGCCAGGTCCCAAAGCCCGCCGTATAGAGGGGGAGGAGTCAGGAGGGTCAGCGTCAGAAGAATCCAGGAAGGAAGGGACCCGGGGGTAGCAGGACCCAGAGGAGAAAGGAGAGACGTACGAGGTGGAGGAAGGGTAGAATCTTAAACTGGTCTACAGGGGGCGGAGACTCAGATGGAGCTTCGCCGCGCTAACCCCTAGACGTAGTGCTGGGGCGCTGCGGCTTGAAAATGGAAACTGTACTTCAATAAAGACTTTTGTACATTACTGCCGGCTAGCGTTGGTCCTCTGTGAGCTGGGACCTGGAGCCAGCTCTGACAGTGGTTTAAATGGTTAAAAATTACTAACACAGCTAACAGAAACAATACTTTGTCTTAAGAAAACAGGAATAGAGTGAAACAGCAAATTTGCAAGAACTGTTTGCCTTTTTCTGGCACATGTGAGTTACCTCTATGACCCCATCAAGCAGCCTTCCCAGCACCTCTTTCCTTTTCAGTTTTGCTCTCTCCATGGCTTCCAACTTCACGATGACAGCGTCAATCTTAGAAACAATGCTGCCTATGGAATGCTCCATGCGATCCACTCGCCGCACCAACCTAGAGCCAAACATTTTTTTAAATAAAATATGGTTTTTACTTAAACAATGCGTATTTTATTTTGACTAGAGATTTAATGATCAAGCAATTCATGTAATACTTGTTAGGAAAAAGCCCCTCTGCCCTAGTGGTCTATTATCATGTACTTTTGCACAGATCAGTCTCTTGCATCTCCAATGAAAAAGTAGTGTAAGAACAGGGAGAAACCCCGAGGAGCCGCGGCCAAGCAAAGTGGTCAGTACTGAAGCAGCATCTGAATCAGGGAAGCCTCACTTTGAATTTTGCCTCTGACATGGACCTATGAAGTGGCCTTAGGAATGCCACTCCCATTCAACCTCCCATTTTCAGTAATGGTAAGAATAGTAGCCAACCTTGCAGGGCTGTTATATGGATTTCAACAGTTTAATGCAGGTGAAGTACCTTGATAAATAAATCCGCAACAAAGCATAAATACATGGTTATTTTATTACGGGGTGTGTGAAATGCTGCAAGCAACACTCCACAGACCATAGCAATGGGAGCCACAGCTTCTTTGCATGGCAACTGTCTTCTGGAGCACACAAGAGGTGCCACTTTAAATTGAGAAAAACAGCCGAGAGCTCATGTTCTCTGGCAATCGTATAGTTCTACCGCTGAATATACAATAGCCTTGATTAAAAGGGAGGAAAGGCACCATGCAATGTTCTTTGAACATTCATAATCAAGTAGAATTCCGCTATATCTGGACATCTCAGAAGACAATTGAGCAGTCTACACGTACTACTGTGGAAGGACACTAACAGCAGCAACCCAAGAACCTTTCAGCACCTCGCTCAGAATGCCTAGGCAACAGAATCAGCAACAATCATCTCCTATGCTTGCTGGCTGCTCATATAGCTACAACCCTATGCAAGGCTTTGCAACACACAACAGAAAGACATCAAGATTAGAGAGTGGTCAGGATACTCAAGTGTTTTAGCTTATTCTAGCAGGATGACAGCATAAATGCACAGCTGTCCAGAAACAATAGTCCCACATTCCTTTGCTGACTTAGTCACAGGACGGCTTGTTGTTACTACCCATCTGTATTTAGTGTTATTCCCCCTTCTGTTTTCCACTGGAACAGAAGCATTTTCCCTCAGATATTTTTCAGCTGGATTCCTTCACATTATGTTCCCAGACTGAAGTTTCCAGAGGCAATACAGAACATTCATAAATCAGAGATGGGAAGAAGGTAGACAGTGATCCACCAAGGGAACTCTGAGCAATTTCTGGCAACTGCCTTCTCCCTGCACCTTCTCCCAAGACAAATCCAGCACTCCATTGCAAGCAGAAGCCTCATGCCCCACTGGTTTGAATGCAGGCTATTTTATACATATATAAATGCTGAAAACAAACAAACAAACAAACGCAAAACCCATGAAGATCCTGGTTATAGCAGGAGCTCTTGCCTTTGATAAAAGGGACGCGGGTGGCGCTGTGGGTTAAACCACAGAGCCTAGGACTTGCCAATCAGAAGGTTGGCGGTTCGAATCCCCCCGACGGGGTGAGCTCCTGCTCTACTCCTCGGTCCCTGCTCTTGCCAACCTAGCAGTTCAAAAGCACGTCAAAGTGCAAGTAGATAAATAGGTACCGCTCCGGCGGGAAGGTAAACGGCGTTTCCGTGTGCTGCTCTGGTTCGCCAGAAGCGGCTTAGACATGCTGGCCACATGACCCGGAACGCCGGCTCCCTCGGCCAATAAAGCAAGATGAGCGCCACAACCCCAGAGTCGGCCACGACTGGACCTAATGGTCAGGGGTCCCTTTACCTTTTACTTGCCTTTAATGCTAATGCCCACCCCCAAGTAACAGATTCAAGTCTCTCTCACACAACCACACGAGGGATACAAGCAACATGTTGTTGCAGGGCTCTGCTTGTAAGTGATGGAGCACCACAGTTCAATGTTAAAGCATCTGTTTTGCATTCAAAGGTCCCAGGATTTAGTTCCCAGCATCTCCGTGTAGGGCTGGGAATATCCCCTGCCTGAAATCTTGGAGGCTGCTGTCAGTCAGTGTAGACAAGACTGAACCTGATGGACGACCAGTGGCCTGGCTCAGATTGAGGTCGTTTCCTAGGATGCATTTCAAAAGGAATATCCAGAACTGTGTTGGACAATGACATTGTTTTAAAACCCCCAAAATTCCTAATACTAACACTTGAAATTCTTCATACGAAACCCCACTTGAGCTGCTGCCTCTCCTCCGGGAGCTGTGTCCGCTGTCGTCATCGTCGTCCTCTTCAGAGTCATCCAGGCTTCGTGGGAAGCTACGGCCGCTCAGCGGACGATTCAGAGAGCTTCTGTCTAACTCTAAGTCCTCCTTGGTGAAAATAACAAAGGCTATAAGGTTCGTAGGGCAGGCACAATATCAGAAATACACAAAGCTCTCTTTCCTCCCGAGCTTGTTACAACCAGGGACCCATGCTTGCCACAAACTGAAATTCAAAATTCTGCCTAAGTGATTATTTGAGACAGCTTCCTGCAGCATTATTCCATGTGTACTTTGTGTCTTGCCATTTTTACCTTCTTTATTCTGAAACTAACGATGGCATTTGTGGCTCGGCAAGGCCAAACATAAGGCGTCGTTCTACTCTGCCTTGCACTGGTCCAAGATCTGCACAAGCAGAATACAGTACAAATGGAGCAAGCAAAAATAAGATAAAACTGCTTCGCTGAAAGCAAAAGCAGTAGCTTGGATCATATAATCCAGACTTCTAATAGCGAATACAGCTAAAAACAGTATTTGTTCATTTCAGGAAGTCATCCCGTGGTATTTAAACCATAACTCACCCTCTCTTTTTCCAAATCATCTCTCATTTGCTGATGCTCCAGCTCAGTCAATTCCTGATCTCCATCTTGGTCATACTTTGTAAAGATGGCTTCAATCTCGGCATCAGTGTGTCCCCTTCTGGAAATAAAACACACACACACAAGCTTCAACAAAAGGTTGCCAAAGGATACAGGGTAGGAGAAGTTAAAACATTATGCATGAACAGACACAAATCAGCAAATATAACTGCTCCTTGGATCCATGATGTTATTTTGCTATCGTTAGTATGTCTAAAATTGGCATTCCATACAAAAATATCCATTGAAAAAGATCAAAATCCACCCATCGCACAAAAAAAGGTTGGTGAAATTAATTACTCCTTAATGCACCATGTGGAAAGCAAGTTCAGGATGCTGAAAAGGCTACTCACCACCATTGTTCTTGAACTATGGTCACCAAGAGCCTTTTGCTGGGAGAGTACAGTGGGCCCTCCGGATACAAACTTAATTCATTCCGGGGGGTCTGTCTGCAACCTGAAAAGTCCACATCCAAAGGCACCACTTCTGTGCATGCGACGAAACCCAGCAGTATACACTTCCGGGTTTGCCGCATTCGCAAGTCAAAGTTTACATATCCAGAGGGATACATAAGCAGAGGTACAACTGTTTTACAGAGGAGGACAGTTAAACTTACCCCTTCAGGTCTTGCCGCAGTTCATCAAAGTTCAATTTGCCTCCGCTTTGTCGCAGACTCTCTGAAATGTCATCAACTGGTGTTTTTTTAAGTTTTAATTTCACCATGGCTTTAGTGTAACCCTGAAATAGGAAATACAGTCTGTATATATAGTCAAAGCTATAAAACTTAGCAGCATATGCTATAACTGTGTATTTTTATGGATGCTTTCCTCTCACATTACCTTTGGTATGAATGCACTGAGCTTCCTACTTCCACATCAGAGGATTAACTTGGGAATGTTTTGTGTGGCAAAATGCTTTCTAACTGACCTGTGACCTGTACATTGCTGCTTTCTAACTGCTAAAGAGATCAGTGTCAATCTTCTTCAGCTGTTAAGTTTACTCACATGAAGATATTGACTTTCCAGGGTTCTAACATGCAGGGAGGGCCTCCTCACTTCAGAAACTTGCTCTCCCACGTGTGGAGGACTGTAAAGGAGAGAGTGGTGCACTGGATGGGGAAGAGACTGTCAGCTCTCCCTGCCAGAGATGGAAACCTTGGACCCTCCAGATGATGGACAGCTTCCATCAGCCTTGATGGCTATACAGGTTGGAGTTGATGGGAGTTGCGAGTCCAACTGCTGAATGCCTACAAGTTCCTTATCCCTGACATGTCCTGGGAGCTGCATTCAGGTACCTTCATAAAATACCAGCTGAAGCTCCATGTTTAAATATGATTAATAAAAGGAACTGGTAAATTAATTTGCCAATCAGGAATTGTGAATTAATTTGCTAACCATTCTGAAGGGGCTCTGAGCCCCTTGCTTGTGCCGTAAGGTCAAGGCAGCAAAGATACCTGTAAAAGGCTTTTACCTTTCTTATAAGATCCGACAGTTCCATTTCAGATTTCTGCTGCGCCATATCCGATTTGACTTCAGAGTATGTATCGTTGATGATGGCCAAAAACATGTTCTGTTTAAGACAAAGCATTTTAAAATGCAGCTTGAAAAACAAACAAACCCAAAGCCTTTGACTTCATTAAAATATAGTTACTGAGCGTATGCTAAGATTAAGTTTTGTAACTTTCAAAGAAAACAGCAGGCTCTGTCCAAGTGAGAGGAAGGGGGACCTAGAATAATGAGGGTAATTTGCAACAGCTCCACCAGAACTAGTTGTTCATTATCCTGTCCTCTCAAAAAGAGTGAACATGCCTCGGTCCTGTATACCTGAAGGAGCGTCTCCACCCCCGTCGTTCTGCCCGGACACTGAGATCCAGCGCTGAGAGCCTTCTGGCGGTTCCCTCATTGTGAGAAGTGAAGTTACAGGGAACCAGACAGAGGGCCTTCTCAGTAGTGGTGCCCACCCTGTGAAACACCCTCCCTTCAGCTGGCTGTGAAGGAAATAAGCAGCTATCCTATCTTCAAAAGACATCTGAAGGCAGCCCTGCTCAGGGAAGTTTTTAATATTTAATGCTGTATTGTGTTTAACACTTGATTGGGAGCTGCCTGGAGTGGCTGGGGAAACTCAGCCAGATGGGTGGGGTATAAATAATATATGATGATGATGATGATGATGATGATATAATGTATAACCCTCTGGGGTCAAATGCAAAAGAAAAATAAAATTAGGCCAGGCTTGGTGCTCTCCCTCCCCCTTTCAGCATCACGCACTCTGACAAGAGCTGTAGATGTATACTGTGAATGGCCCCGTGATCCTTGGATAAAGCATGGTGTATAAATATAGTAGATATAACAACAACAATGGGCAACAACAACAACAACAGGTAGTTGCATTCATAGCCATAACTCATTTCCATAATGCTTTGTCTCAAAATAACAGCTCCTGAACTGATTTTAGTTTTAGGTTTATTTAGAGTTCAAACTGAGCTTGGGAAGAATGAAGGCCTCTTGATCCACCTCAATTGAAAAATGCAAGAAGGACATGGACAATAGGGAGAGGCTGCCATCTCTACGAAGTGTATTTCACAATTTAAGAATGGAACGCAAAGCAGTCACAGTCTCACATTCCAGAAACTGAGTAAGCTCGTAACAGATTGGGGCAGGATACTTGTGCCTGCACTTCCCCAGGGCCCCACGCACATACTGTCAAACTGTACAACTGTTACTTTTTTATAATGAGGAGTGGACATTATCATGTGGACATACACAACTCAGAAACTGCACACTGTTAAGGCCCTTTGAGTATTAGTCGTATTGAAGCCCAGGAAAGATAATAAAACAAAACAAATAAAATTCAACTTAAGAGGATGATGACAATAAAACAAAAGTGGTTACATACCAAAAGAATGAAGAACATAAAGAACACAAATGTAGTGAAATAAACTGGTCCCAAAACTCTGTTAGCTTCTTCAATCTCTGTAAAGTCAAAATCTCCCAACAGGATGCGGAACTGAGTAAAACTTTAAAGAGAACAATGCAGTTTTAGCCAATAGTTGAGTAAGTCTCATAAAACTGATCCCACCCCCCTTTGTATTCTGGCAGTGGTCTACAACATTCTTTTCAACACAAAGATAGGTGGCTGCTAGCAACTGCCTAAACAAGTCCAGCTGCATTGCACATATATCTGCAAAAATTAAAATATTTTATCGATTCTAAAAGTTCAGTTGGTTACAGCATGGTGCTGATAATGCCAAGATTGCAGGTCTGCTCCCCATATGGAGCAGCTGCGTATTCCTGCATTGCAGAGGGTTGGACTACATGACCCCCAGGTCCCTTCCAACTCTACAATCATATGGTTCTAAGTTTTGCGTAACGTCAGAGAAATTTATTTGATGCTAGAATTTTGAAAATCCACAAGAAGAACTTCACTAAAACAGACAGAATTCTAACAATGAATTTGATGCGATCTTCTGTGTCCGATGAGGACATTTGCTAAGCCACTGGCAGCCTTTTAAAGATTCTATTGTTGTACTTACACACTGTCCTGGAAGGTACTGAAATCGTCAACTTGTGCACCAAACACAAGGTAAGCTAGCTGAGCATAGGCTATGAAAATGATGAAAAACATAATGGCAAACCCAAGAACATCTTTGGCACATCGTGACATCGTGGTAGATAACTGGTTCATTGTTCGGTTGAAGCTGATAAATTTAAAGAGCTGTCAAAGAACAGAAAAATATTTCATGAGCTGGGTAATTGAGTGAGAGTAGGAAACAGGGAGAAGAATTAGGCTGCTAAATACTGTAAACCACAAAAGGAATATTAAACAATTCTGTAGACTTGTTCAGACATATTGCCAAGCCACGGTTTGTACTAATCATAGACGGACTCCAATTCACAATGTGTGCTCCAGGCAAACACATGGAAGCCATGGTTTTTGTGGTTTTCTTCTTCTCCTGCCTTCTCTGTGATTCTCTGGATTCTATTCTAAACAATGGAAGCCAGCCAAACTTTGCAAACTATGGAGTGGTGCAGAGGCTACACCAAATCCTTGTTTGCTGAACCTTTAAATCATGGATTCAGGTCCTGGTTTGGCAGACACTCACAAACCACAGTGGATTAGAGCGTATTGGTTCAAAAATTATGAAAAATGGTATCTGGCTTTTACAGCTGAATTATTTCAGAGTGTAGTATGCTGGTACTGGCAAAACAAGGTTCAAAGGAACTCTCTCTGCTAAGTAGCACAAGATACCAAGGATGACACAAGTAGCAGAAAACAGTGTTGTAATAAGTCACTTGGAAATGAAATTTACATTTAAATCTAATTTTCAAATATTTTAATCATTCTTTCAAGGCAAAAAGCAGGTGGTCTAGCCAATTGAGTTTTCTCTTCCTTTCTAGCAACAGCTTTCTTGGATCAACATTAGCTCTTAAAATATAAAGAGTTTCAAAAGCAACTTTGGATTTGATGGATTTTGCCCTTGGTTTGGAATGTTCTCTTTCCTGCTATGAGTCTTTATGGCAGGGTAGGGCACAACACATGTTTAAAGGAATAAAATCATGAACAGATTTGGATGTAAACTGATTTATCGAAATAACAAATACAAATTCCGTTAAAAAGATATTAATATATGGGATGAAATGCCATTTAAGTTAAGCACGAATTACCTTAATCCAGACGAAAAACATGGTGACAGCTGCAATATTGTTGAACTGTGTTTGCCAGTATGCTAAAGGTTCAAAATTTGGGAAGTTATTTTGATTTTCCAGCAGCTCCTTCAGTAACCTATCCACAGCAGATGTTCGATATATATTAATTCCAATAGCTGCCACCGACAGCTGAGGGCAGAGAAAGAGTACATAAATAATATGGAACATGCATCTTAAAAGAGCATAAGAAGAACCTGTAACTCTTGTCCAGAAATCTTGTGAGACACAGAACTGCCTAGTCTTGCAATATCTCTCCCTCTCCATGGGATAACTGAGAACTCAACCATCATGACAACTCCCCTAGAGGTTTTCTTTCCCAGCAAGAGGCAGCTACAGAACCAGTGCAGAACCACTGGAAGAGCAGATAGGCACACTGCCTCCTCATGCACAGGGAACTCACGAGACAAACTACCCAAGGTCTGTGCCCATTAGAACTAGTGAGTCAGTCCACTCTTCACATCAATCCACAAGCACTTCTCTCAAAAGACAGCAGTGACACTACTGAAAGATTTGTAGTCCTTAGATCTCACTTACCACGATAATGAGAACATCAAGACAATTCCAAAGACTCCTGAAATAAAAGAGTCTGTGTATGTGAATTTCCAGGATTTCTTCCACCACGTAATAAAGAACAAAAAGACAAAAGACAATTTCGCAGGCAGCCAGGAAGAAGTCAAAAGTGGAAATGTAGTGGATCAACTTTACAGGCTGGAATTGCCAAGATGTAAGGAGGCCTCCTGTTGGTGGGAACTCCACCAATAACCTGCATTTCAAAAAATAAAGACATGTATAATTAATTCACCTTGTTATTAGTATTTTTCGCTCTATAAGACGGCACTTTTCCCCTCCTAAAAAGTAAGTGTACGTCTTATGCAGCGAATGAAGGCGGGAGGCTCTGCTCAGCACTCCCTTTAAAGAGCCGCGTGTGTGCGGCTCTTGGGGGCTTTTTTCCTCGGGGAAAAGCCCCCAAGAGTCGCACACACCCTCCGCGTGCTCTTTAGAGGGAGCGCGGCTCTTGGGGTAGCCTTAGCCGCGTGCAGCCTCTCCCGGGCAGGGGATGAAGGCTCCCCTTGCCCGGGAAAGGCTGCTCACGGCTAAAGAAGAAGCCAGGACGGCAAGAGGGATTGGTGCGCACCGATCCTGCTTGCTCTCCTGGCTTCAAGGGCAGCCCCACAAAGCCTCCTGAGCGAAGATGGAGGAGCGCTCCCTCTTAGCTCAGGATGCTTTGCAATCCTTTCTTATTTCTTGTTTTCCTCCCCTAAAAACTATGTGCGTCCAATCGTCCAGTGTGTCTAATAGAGCAAAAAATACGGTATATAGTTTGGCTCTAGTTTTCATTGATTTCAATGTTAATTACTTCTGAATAAATACGCACAGATGCTTTAAATCAAGCTTCCTCATCCTCGGGCCTCCAGATATTTTTGACCTATAACTCCCATGATCCCTAGCTAGCAGGACCAGTGGTCAGGGACAATGGAATTGTAGTCTTAAAACATCTGGAGGGCCGAGGTTGAGGAAGCCTGCTCTAAATCTACACAGTGAAAGCAGACGCTACCATCTGCTTCATAAAGGCTGTGTTCCATCATCCAACAATTCCAGACTTACCTGATAATGCAGAAGAGATTGATGTTTGCATTGTACACTGAAAAATCTATAAATGTTGCCCGTGTGCCTCTGTCAAGCCACAAGCTGTTCTTAAGGCCAAGAATTAAAGCAGATGTCTCCTCTCTGCTTCTGGACAGATCCTGGTAATAGCCAGCTCCACTGTAAGTTGCAAGCAACCCCCAATGGCTGCTTCCATTCAGATCTTTTTCATTGGTATAAATCCAACTGAAATGCAACCGGAAAAGACACACTGAAGAAATTCTTTTCATGCATGTCTACTACTTTGCAGGAAAACCTAACTGTAAATTCTTAGGGTTAACAATTCTGACACAGATGGAGGAAATTCCCTCTCAGCCTTTTCTCTCTCCATCAAAATTAAACTGTTGTGGCAGACATGGATGCATCTGAACTATTAAAGAAAACAGTTTTTTTCAAATTTACACAGGCTGTTTATGTTAGCAGAAACAAATTAGTGGTTATGGGATCTCAGGTAAAATACAGTGGACGCTCGGTTTGCAAACGTGATCCATGTGGGATGCACGTTCGCAACCCGCAGCGTTTGAAACCCGGGTCTGCGCGTCTGTGGACACACGGGTTGCGATTTGGCACTTCTGCACAAAGCGTGATTTAGCGCTTCTGCGCATGCGCAACCACCGAAACCCAGAAGTAACCCGTTCCGGTACTTCCGGGTTTCGGCGGTCCGTAACCCTAAAAAACGCAACGTGAAGCGGCTGTAACCCGAGGTATTACTGTAGTGCTTTTATAGGGACTACAGCACAGATTGAATGAAATCTAACAAAGTCCCCACACCAGAAGAACAGCCCCCATTTGTGAGATGGATTCCCCCTTCACCCTACAGGCTCCTGCATTCCCCCCAAATCTGCTCCAGATTGCTAGAGTTGGCTATATTTATGTGAGAAAAATACATACGCGGTTCCATTGCGAGGCCCAAACGGAGCAGTGTCCTCATTGCTCACAGAGTAAACATCGTAACAGTCTTTAATTTCATCTTTTAAATCTTCAGGTATTGAACACGTGCCATTCCTCACTTTCAGCTGTCGAATGCGAGGCACTCCCAAAAGCAGGTTCTCATGGTAGATAAAACTCCTGTTCTCTGCCACGGTTCTGTTGTTGTACCACATCTCCCAGTACAGGCCATCTAGCAAAGGACCCTCAGTGAACTGAAACAGAATGCAGTTTCAAGGAAATTAACTCTTGCTAAGATTCTGCAGGTTGTTTTTTTTTTAAAGATACAATTTTATCACCGAATAATGTTTTAGAATAGGCATGGTGTAACAATTTCTACTATTACAGCATAATCCTCTGTGTATATCTGTTCATACTATAGAAAACTAGTCCTGTTGATGGCAAGAACTGTTTCCAGGCAATCCAAAGAGAAACTTTTGTATACAGTGGTACCTCGGGTTACATACGCTTCAGGTTACATACGCTTCAGGTTACAGACTCCACTAACCCAGAAATAGTGCTTCAGGTTAAGAACTTTGCTTCAGGATGAGAACAGAAATCGTGCTCCGGCGGTGCAGCAGCAGCAGGAGGCCCCATTAGCTAAAGTGGTGCTTCAGGTTAAGAACAGTTTCAGGTTAAGTACGGACCTCCGGAACGAATTAAGTACTTAACCCGAGGTACCACTGTACTGGAGAGAAGTTGGTTTTATCCTAACTAACCCCACCCCACCCTCCCACTATATGTAAGGGTCTGGTGACTTCTGTTTCAGTGTATCTGAAGAAGTGTGCATGCACACGAAAGCTTATACCCGGAACAAACTTAGTTGGTCTCTAAGGTGCTACTGGACAATTTATTTTTTTATTTTTTTACTGCATCAGACCAACATGGCTACCTACCTAAATCTTTTTCCAATTAAGTCATCATTGCACCACAAGAAATAAGAAGGTGAGGTAGTTGTAGTTTCATTAACTGGCGTCTTTGAAAGACTGGATTAAATCGTACCATTAACTCCTGCCAAATCATACATACTTTTCAACACTGCAATAGACTAAAATTGCTTTCATATTTTTTCTGATAACACACCATGTACATATTATTTGAACATATTCCTGCTCAAAAACCAAATGCCACAGTACCTTCCAGAAGTCTTCCATTGTAGATAACGTTTTAAAATTGGTCTTCTCCATTTTTGACACTGGTGTGTCTAGAAAGAGCTGTGACATCACCCTTGTGTAGTAGTACATATTCGAACTCACCATCCCATATGACACTGTAAACGCAAGTTGGAGGGGGGGGGAGTCAAAATGTTTTTTTAAAAAAAACAACAACATACAACCCATACAAGTATCAAACAATATTTTTTTAGGCTGTGTTATGAACCCAGTAGGTAAATAAACTTTTGATTCAAACACTCTACGATTTATCTAGCAGACGCCAATGGGGGTCTGGGACTGATCCTATACTGATTCAGGAATAGGGGGGAGGGAATGCCCACAATCTTGTTGGAACCTGCCTGATTTCATGCTCCACCCAAATAAATGTGCTGTAGCATCAGTGGCCCCGTTACAGAAAGACCTAAAATATTGTATATCTTAACAGTAGCTTTCATCCTTTTTGACCCACCTTTGAACTCAACCCTCATCATGGAATCTACCTTTGACTATTTTTCTGCGCAAGTCCATCTTTGTCCTTCTCTTTCTAGTACTCTCCTCTTTCTCCTGTCCTTTAAAACATTTAAACAAAAGAAAGAAAATGGTGGCGCTGCTGCTTATGTAACCCATTTTAGATCATGTCACAACCAAGTTTTGAGCACCTAACTGCTGGCTGGAAGAATACATATTTGATTTCTCCAAATATCTGAACCATAAGCAAATCTAAAAATTGTTCTAATAATTCAAACAAAATGGTCCATACGATCCAAAAATGTTTCTTGCATATATATCTTTTTAAAAAGGGAAAAGATGGCAACTTCGCAATTTCAATGAAACCACATTAGACAGCAATGCATTTCATACAAATTCACATCTGGTTAATCAGCTGCCTAAGCTGCTAATATGGATAGCCTCTAACAGCAATAAACTTCACAGAAAGCCTGCACTGCAGAACAGCAAAATGCTCTCAGAATATTTTTTGTTTCTTTAGGAAGCAACGCTACTGGCATAAGCACAAATGAGCTTGCACCAGCCGTGCTCCGAAAGGGAAGAGACTAATAACTTGTCAGTAGCATCTTCTTCACTTTACTCATATGCTCTGTTTGTTGATTTCCACTAGTGAAGAGAGGATTATGAAATATTGTTCTTGACACTCAAAATTATTCCTTAAACCCCCCCCCAAAAAAACCCACCTTAGCACAGGTGAGGAACTGAACCAAATACAGAACTTCAATTTTGTGAGTGGCAGTGTTGCTTTTGCAAAATCGTAATATCATCTGCAACTGAATTTTGATAGCATAATGTAAGGCTCTCTTTTTCTATAAAAGATGGACGTTCATGAATTGTCAAGACAGGTTAGCACATGTGCTATTTCTTTTCTAGGACTATTAACCATGTAGAGACACACTGAATCAGAGAAAATGTATAACCATTACAGCTGAATAACTAATTTTAGGAACAATGCCAGTCCATAGTCTTGAAAGAGGAATGCTTTAAAAACAACAACCCACTAGAACTATACTGAATTACCTGTTAAGAATAACTAGTGGTCATTATTAGTTATCATGTTAAAGTGATAGCAAGAGTCTACTTACAGAAACACAAGACCAGGAGAAAAATCAAGTACGTGATCAGTTCTCGTAAAACACTTTTCAGATATCTCTCTCTGGTTGTGGTTTCTTCCATTAGGGTAGTACCCCACAGACCTTGAAAAGGAAGCATTAACAGAAAAAACATAAGAAATGTAACATACTGACATGTTTAACTGTGCCTATACAATCAGGTCAAAGTGTGCATTTGATTTTAATTTGGTATATAAGCTCTGGCATTCATTTCCCTCCTACACAAACTACCAGATCTACCATATATTGCTTTAACATTTTGGGCTTTAACATTCTGGGGCAAGGAGCTATGAGTATGCTGAGGACGCTCCACTCTGTTTCTCCAAAACATCTGAATTGGTGGATCTGTTGAGACTTAAACATTACACATTACACATAACTGATTGCTGTGTGTTTTAGGTAACGTTATCTTTTTAAGCAACTGCTGCTGGATCTCCTGTAAATATTTTCCATTCATTTAAAATATTGGGACGTTTTGAACAGTACAGATTTTGAGATTAATACATCAGCAACAATGGAAGGTTAAAACAACAACAACAATGAAGTAAGGATTTAGCACCATGTGCTGCCAGAAGTATCTCTAAGATTTAGTACATATGCCAAAACATGACCTAAAATCAAAGCGTCAGTAAATACTATACATTCTCTTCACCAAGAAGAAGTGCTTCAGTATGTGACTGTAAAAAAGATTAGCCGGCATATTACCTAGTCACAAGAAGGTAATAGAAAACTACTCAATGCCGGGGCTTTTTTTGGGAGGGGTTGAAATTATACAAAGCGGTTGGGAATATTTTGCAGGAAAATACTCAACACAAAAAAAGCTTAACCTGAATGTCCCACAACTTGCTATAATTAAGCTTGTAACCAAGTCTTGTTTACCTGTCTACCCCTGACTCTACCTTCCAATGGCTCAATGTCAAATTTTAGTTTGTAAGTTCTTCTGAACAAGGCCCTTTCCCCTTTCATACTCTGTAAAGCGCCCAGTCCACAGAGGACGATGTAAAGAATACACTAACCCAAACAAAAATGGGAGCGAGTGAAACATGGAAAAAATTGCTTATGCAAGCTCATATCACAACAAACCAGCAAATATCTGTCACAGCACTGTTTGCTTTTTTGCTGCTATGGGCTAAGATGGCTCTCCTTCTGGAATTTGTAGCTAGATGGTTATCCTGAACTGGAACAAATGAGCAAATACTGGTTGACTAGGCAACAGAAAGCTTGAAATGTACTCTGACGGAGCTGCAATTCGCAAAACTTGGCAGGGTGCAGGTTTTTATATATATATAATCAAACACATTGCTTTTCTGCTGTTTCCCCCCTCCAAAAAGTCTCCTGGTCAAAACAGCAACAACTTAACAATAGTGTATACAACAACTTAACAATATTGTATAAACCATATTGCATGTGGTTTTTAAAGGGATACTGATTCCTGAGGATTTGGAAATCATGCAGTCTATGCCACTGCAATTCTGCATGTACGTTTGCCAGCTTAGAGTCCAAAGTAAAGTGTCTACATTTTTTGAGGAGGCTCCCATATAACATCTTTACTGTTAGCTTTGGATTTTCTCTTAGGAACTTGAACAACTTCAATATTTTCTTTTAAAGTAGCCTAGTCTGCAAGAAGTCTTCAGCACTGGGCGAGAAATCTTTTTCATGCCAAACCTGTGTGCTTTTCTAGTCAAATACGTATTACCTACTGGTTTGCATGAAATGGTAAAAAACTTTGTTGGAAAACAGTACACGCAGTGTATCCCACATCAGATGCAAACAAAAGTGAACTACTTTGCTTGGTTTTCCCCATTATAACTAGTTTGGCTCAAAGCGTTACAACTTTTTGAGATAGATTAGCTAGATGGATGAAGGAAAGGTCTGACTGGATAGAAAGCAGCTTCCTGGGCTCTTAATAAAAAAGCATTAGTAGCAGGAGAGGAGACAAGGAGGTGGTAGGGCAGTGGTGTCCAAACTTTTTTCAAGGAGGGCCAGATTTGATGAAGGGAAGGGCCGTGAGGGCCAACCAAAGTTGTTGCGCTGTTTTTAGGATTGAAATTATTGAGCTTTTTTTTAGGGTTGAAGTTGTTGCGCTTTATTTAGGATTGAAGTTGTTGGTTGTTGTTTTTTAGGATTTTACCCCATAAACTGCCGAAGGGGCCCCCAAAACGGGCTTTGGACATGCCTGTGGTAGAGCTTTTGGCCAACAAGGGAATCAAAGGTGTGCAAGGAGATTGCAGAGGAGCTGAATGGATTATTTGACTCGCGAGAAACATGAAAGTAATAAGGTGAGGCAGGAGAGATGCGAGCCGGGAAGCGCGACAGAAGGGCCCGGCCGGGCGGTCACTCACCTCGCAGGCGGTGCGCCATCCCTTTGGCCCAGGCGAGCCGGCGAGGCGGCGGCGGCTGCTCGGCGACCTCCTCGCCCGTCTCCTCGTGAGGGAAACGCGGCGTCGGGGCGCCTCCGGCGGAGCAAGGCCGCTGGCCTTCGCCTTCCCCTCCGCCCTCCCCCTCTTCGCCGCGCCGCCTGCGCCTCCGCTGCCTCCCGCTTTCGGCGGGCCCTCCCGGGCGCCGGGCGTCGGGCTCCGAGGGCGAAGGCGCCCCTCCTCGGCCCCACTCCACCACGCCCATCTGCAGCACGGGCCCCGCCGCCACCGCCGCGCTCCCGCCAGCCGCCCTGGCCGCTTCGCCCGCCTCCTCCTCGGGCTCGAAGCCCGGGTTGTCCCGGCTCCAGGCCTGCCTCGAGCAAGACGAGAGCGGCGGCGACGGCGAGCAAGACGAAGGAGGAGGCGAAGGAGAAGAAGCGCCGCCGCCGACGACTCCGCCGCTGCTGCCCGGCGGGTCCCGCAGCCGCCCCAGCTCCAGGTGCTCCAGGCCGCCGGGAGGGCAAAGTCCCGCCATGGCCCCCCGACCCTGGACGAAGGCCGCCGCCTCCGCCTCAGAAATTTTCTCCGAGGCCAACCGAGTAACGGCGCGGGAAGGGAGCGCCTTCGCCTTCTCCACCGCCCGCCTTCCAGCCCCCCATCCCCGCCCACAGCGCGCCGCCTCGCAGGGGGAAGCGGGCAGGCCGGGCTGCGTGTGTCTCTTGGCCGGGAAGCTGCGGGGAGGGGAAGAGCTGCGCTCCCCACACAGCCCGGAGTTCCTGCGGCTCCTTCCGAATCTAATAGGAGTTTTGTTCTGTTTTTGTCTCTCTTTTTCTGCAGTTTGAGCTGCTGACACGCCTCCGATTAGGATTACCCCGGGGGATCCCTTTCCAAGGTTCCTCTAGTCCACTGATTTTTCAATTTCCAAGAGACTGCGATCTACTCCTACTAAAAAAACAGCAACTGGCAGTGATCTACCCATTGTATTGACCAAAGTTGTTGAGATTTTTTTGGGAGAGGAAGACCTAAAGTTGTTGAGTTTTTGCTTTGTTTTTTGGGGTGACCGATCAGGATCACACGGTCGACCAGGGACGCCCCGCAATCAACCGGTAGATCGCAATAGACCTGCTGGACATCCCTGCTCTAGTCTGTTATAGAATTCTCAGATACAGAATTAAGTTTTGATAATTGCACAATGTGAACACACACACATAGGTATATAAACCACATTAAAACAGTACAGGAGAGCAATTCAAAAGCCACCTTGGCTCTCCCTAAAGATTCTAAATCAGTGGTTCCCAACCTTTCTTTGGCTGTGCCCCACCTAAGCATCTCTAAAATCCTGATGTCCCCATCTGTGGCATATAATTCTTATTATTCAAAAAGTGAACTCCTGTTCACGTGGAGGAAGCCTAAAAGGCCATTAACTGTTAATAATTCATTTTTGAATTGTCCCCCTTAAAAATCGAATTGCTCCTCTGTGGGGTGTGTGCCCCATGTTGGAAACCACACTCTCAATATTTCCTCTGCCTTCTTAATCCCCCTTGCCAGAGAACAGGTAGGCAGATAGCAATCAGGGAAGTTCCTGAAGGTTATTCCTCTCTTATATCTATGAAGCTCCTTTGTACAAATTGTCATTGTTTGCCCAGATGCTCTGCACTGAGGGATGACAGGCCTCCTGATTATCTTATCAAATGCTAATGTTTTGTGTAAACTGTGTCTGGAACTATGTAAAGCTTGTTAAATCCTCAGGAATATCACATCTTGGCCTGCCTGAGCCACAGTAACCCCACCTTACATGTGATATAATTTCTGACTGTACAGTACAGGGGGTGTCCTTCTTCTCCATGCCAAAACGCAAACCCTTAAAAGAGATGTTTCTTCTTGGTTCTGGGTCTCTCATGCCTCCTTCCTAGGAGGAGAGGAAACTCTGTCGCAACAGAAAAATAAATATCTGCCTTGCTTTCCCTGCATCCTGCCTCCATCTATTCATCTCTGACCGATCATGGACTTAGGGGACTCAGTCCCTTGGGGAGTTGGGCAGCAAAAGCCAACCATCCCTATTTTTTCTATATCAAGTCCAACCCCTGCAATGCGGGGATCTCAGCTAAAGCATCCATAGCAGATGGCCATCCAACCTCTGCTTTAAATCCTCCAAAGGAGAGTCCACAACCTCCTGAGGGAGAGACTGTTAATAAAAAAGGGTCCAATTTAACTAACTTCCTTTCATGTTTCTTATGTGCGATGTTTTCCGTTAGTGCCAAGTCTCACATTCTTTGGTCCCCAGTTTCAATAGATGGTTGTTGGCCTGCTGTGTGGTGCTTTTTGTGTTTTTAAACAGATCAACATGCCTGAGTGTGTTTTGGTGTACTTTGGAAAATAGACAACACTGCTCATTTAGACAACATTTATTTCAAGTGTTAAAATCATTAAACGTGAATCACATAGAAGACTCTCTGGGTTTTTCTTTTACTTTTCATGATGAAAATGAGAATGAGCTACACAGAAAGGCTTGAATTGCTTTAGTGGAAATGAGAACTAAAGGCTTCAATTTGTTTATATAACAAAGCCTGTTGTATTTGGATCTTTACTAACTGAAATCGAACTCATTCTTGAAAATAAATGTTGACATGAAAACAAGTTTCCCATCTGCCTAGCTGAGAAAAAGAATATTACTGATTTGTGTCCACATTTTAACGTTAATCTTCCTTGCTTTGAAAGCAGAAATTTCATTGTCAATGCTAGGCAGTTTCAAGGACCTCTGATGATTGTAGTTATTTTAGAGGCACAGGTTTCATATTAGACTTCTACACTTCAAACTTCAGCTTCCTCACTGTCCTGGAAATCCCCGAGGACATCTGCTGATGGTTCACTTTCATCAAAGACCTGTCAAAAATGTAATAAAATTACGGTATTGGCCTGAATATAAACCGCACTCCCCCCCCCCCAAAAAAATTCTGAACGTGAAAAGTTAAAGAATTTATAGAATTCTATTATTCTATGAAATCCTCAAATAGTGACTTACACATACAATCATGCAATCAATAAAAACTGCTGTGATGGCACACAAGGCAAGAAATGAGCATCTCTCCTAAAACCAAAGGTTGAACTACTAGAATGTATTTACTGCTAATAAATTAAACAGTTAACATGAAGAGCGTGACGACTTAGAAGCCGTGACCCACCAGTTGAAGCCTGACGGCCTAAAATCTACCTGTAGTTGTGATCATTAAGGTGCACCTCTGGAGGAAAGTAAGCTAAGAATATTCTATTGCCTAGAATTTCTAAATTTGCCTTATTTGTTATAGCAGTTATCACTGAGCTACCCAGTGTGTGTGTATGCTTAAAGCAGTCATTTAAAATCTTAGGATACTTAAATTTGTGCTTCTATAGGTAATAATACTTTATCTCAAAAAACTAAAGCCAGCAGAGGGATAAACTTTAGCCATACTGACTATTGGCATTCTCACAGCCAATGCCAAAGTGATGCTTATAATGAACTAACTGAAGCAGAGTTAGATTTCTATGTTGTAATTTTTACCTGTTGCTCAGCAACGTTATTGTTTTCTTCTGTTAAAAAGGATACCTGTAACAAAACAACAACAACCCAGTATATTACTGTTATATCTGTAGAGTTGTGCCAGATGCAAAACTTTGGTGCTGCCCTTTTTAAAGCAACTCCCTTCCTCTTGTCAGGAAAGAGGGTTAAAGGTGGTTTAGAGTTCCAAGGACACTATAGTTAATGTGAATCGCTTTTCGTTGTAATCACGGTTGCAAACAAATTTCAAACCATTAGGGAAGGACTGGAGTTCATTAGTAGAGTATTGGTTTTGCATAGGGGGATGCAGGGGTACACATACCCCTAAACATTTTGTGAATCTAAGTTTGGCCTCACTGAGGGGCAATATTTTAATATGAGTAGGAAAATGAGAGTACCCTAAGCATTTTATTTTTAGAAAAAAGCACTGAATATATGCATTTTTAAGCACACTGTATATGCATTTTTATACACCTTAGTTGGCTGGGGTCACAAAATTCAGAGAAGTGTGAATTTCAAAAGATTGCTGTTTTAGGTCATGTATTGTGTTGGAAAGTATGAATTAATGAGGCTTGCCTTTAAATGTGAATGTGATTGGATTTCTCCACAAGCTCTAGTGCCAGATTCAATTCTAGGCATCTCCAGGTAGGGCTGGGAGAAAGAGCTATCCAAAATTTTGGACAGCCACTACTAGTCATTGTAGACAATAGTGTGCTAGGTTGACCAATGATCTGTACAAAGCAACTTTCTGGGCTCCAAATTCTCTGTGTGTGCATGTGCTTATGTGTTTCTAAGGGAACCATGGTTAGTGTTAAACCTGGTTAGCATTGGTACACCAGCAGTAATCAGCAAAGGCAAGGAAGGGAATTTTTATTTAGAGGGGAAGGAGAGAAAAAGGAGTGCACATGCACAAGGTTAGTTCCCAATTTGTAAACCATGGTCTGCTCTGTTTTGTATCTGCTAAAGACCTTGACAACTAATCCTGTAAGTTACTCATGAACAAGTTATTCATAGCATCACACACTCACTGTACAATTCTCTATAAGAAAGCTTACTTGTGGTTCAATCTTCTCTATAGCTTCATCCGAAGAAGGAGCACTCTGAAAAAGCAAAATGGATAATGTCAAAAGCTATGTCTATGACAAGGCTGCCTGAAACATAGTGAAAAGGTCAAACAATACATTGGTTAAGTTGGAAAAACCCAAATACAGTCGTCCCTTGGTTGACTAACACCTGGTGAGTCGAATGTTTTGATTCCCAAACACCGCAAACCCAGAAGTGACTGTTCCGGTTTGTGAACTATTTTTGGAAGCCGAATATTTGATGGGGCTTCCAGTTGGCTGCACGAAGCCCCTGCAGCCAATCAGAAGCCGCACTTTGGTTTTTGAACATTTTGGAAATCGAATGGACTTCCGGAACGGATTCCGTTTGACTTCCAAGGTACGACTGTATACTGAATGTTACATTTGTGCATGGGTACCAGCCCTGACATCAAAGCGAGAACTCTGAAATAAAAAAAATACATTCTTGTATGTGTGGCATCGTATATTCACTGATAGAAACATAATAAAACCTTTGAACAAAAATGTGTTCATGTCAAGTTGATTGTTTGTAGTAGTTAATTGAAGCAACTTAACCATAGTCCATTCTGTAAAAACTCAGTGTGATAAGTTACTAGATAAGATGTTAGATTCCAACTGACATCAGGAGAAGCATCACCATCAATGGTCAAAGCAGATGGGAACTGTAGTCCAACAACAGCTGGGGGGCAAAAAACTCCCCATCCCTGATCTAGATGGAAGCATTCCTACTGCCATTTTACTTCAAAAAATGGAAGGAGAAGAAGTGTTTGGAAAAGTGACCCTGAAGTGTCTCCGGACAGCGCTGGCCCCCGGCCTCTTAAGTGAGATGGGTGCACAACCCTAGAGTTGGACACGACTGGCCCGTACGGGCGGGGGTACCTTTACCTTTACCTTAAATGATAATACTGAAAGCAGTGTCTCGCCTAAAACCAATCTAAGCATAATGCAAGCTTCTTATAATTAAATACGAAAACGGAAAGTCCCAACTTTATTAAATGTTGCCGTATTACCTCTTTGTCAACCTCTGTCAAGTCCAAAGCAGATGAGTTCAGAAAATCAAGAGAGTGGATTTTAACAGCACAATTGTCTTGTTAAAAATGATTTGTATGGCTTACTCCCAGGTCAATGGGGTCAGGACTGCAGCCTTTGTAGCTATCACATCTGCAAATAACTCCTATCCATAGCAAAGAAAGGTATTGCCATATTTCCTCATATCGCTGGTCATGTTATTGCTCCCAATATATATATGCTTTGTATCATGTTAGAAGTCATAATTCTACCAATGATGGCCCTGAACCTTGTGGATACTTTTTTGCTGTATTTCTCCGGAGAGTTCAACAGCAATGAAACTTTACATACCTGATAATCTTCTGCTGGAGCTTGCAGTTGTTTGACAGCAGGATGGTTTTCAGCATGCTGGGCATAGAAAAAGAACCAAAACCTGTATTTTTTCCAGCACATCAGTGCGGAACTTAATAAAAGCAACAGAGGGTCATGGTTTATCTAACCACAGCTGTGAGAGCACATGTTCCTGTCCCTGCTCTGCGGGGAACCATTCTTACAACCAGTGCCATTTTTCTAGAAAAAGGGGTGCCGGAATTCACCATGAATGCCTCCCTTGTTATCTTACAAGGGCAATCGTGGTCACCAGAGAACTCTGTGCCAGTGAATTCTGGCTGGAAAAAAACCTCTGCTTACAACTCAGTTAGGAACCTTTTTACTTCAAAAAATGTGATAAAGGACATCATTAGAAGAAACATAAATGGCAGTATTTAACGGGGTATCCAACCTAAAACCGATGAAAGCATAATTAAAGCTGCTAATATATAAGGAAAGGGAAAGTTTCAACTTTATTAAATGCTGCCATTTTACCTCTTGGTCATCCTCTCTGGTGTCCGAAGCAGGTGAATTCTGAAAATCAGGAGTGCAGAAGAAAGTCAGTTTCTGCTCGCAAAAGCACAATTTTCTGATTAAAAATGATTTATGTGGAAAGGGCCCCTATTTTGATTGATTGCATCACTGCTTAGATGACAAATGTGTCCATACATCTAGTTCAGTGTGTAGTGTAGTAACAAACAGCACAATCCTATAAGACTTCCTGTGAAGTGCCAAAATCTTCATTTGTCATCATGCATGAAGTGGTCCATAAGGCTGATCTATTAGATGTTGTAAATTCTTGATAAGGGGGAACCTGTGGCCTTCCAGAAGTTGTTGGATTCCAATTCCCATCAGACCCAACAACAAGGTCGATGGTCAAGGATGATGGAAATTGTAGTCCAACAGCAGCAGGAGGACCACAGATTTCCCATCCTGGCTCTAGATGGAAACATTCCTACAACTATTTTACTGCAAAAAAATATTTATTTAATAAGGTGCTGGAAGAAATGTAAATGAAAATACTGAAAGTAGTGTCCCGCCTAAAGACAATCAAAGCAATAATGGAAGCTGCATCTAATTAACTATGAAAGGGGAAAGTTCCAAATTTATTAAATGCTGCCATCATACCTCTTGGTCAACCTCTGTCAAGTCTGAAGCAGGTGAGTTCTGAAAATGAAGAGTGTGGAAAGTCATATTTCTCCTGACAAGTGCACAATTTTCTGATTAAAAAAGATTTATGTGAAAAGGGCCCCCATTTGCACTGATTTCTCTTAGATTTCTGCATCACTGCTTAGATATGGCCCACATCAGCGAGTCATAAGATCACAGCAAGGAAAAGTCTTGCCATAGCTATTGCTTCAAATATTTGTTTGTTTGTTTGTTATCATGTTAGAAGTCATAACTCCACCACTGATGACCCTGAAGACTTTGTGGTTACTTTCTGAAATATGCTCAGAGTCGAGAGTGGATTTCATGCTCTTTATTCAGCTCATAGTGGTGAGGAGGAATGAAAGTCCCCTCAAAGTATCTACTTTATATACATTATTTACACAATGGGCTGCCCGTGATTGGCTAATTCCGGAATTCTCCTGTAGGCCAATCAGGTTGTGGATTCACTTCCATCTGGAGCCGGATTGGGTGGCTCCTGCAGACCAATCATACTGCTGCATTGTTCTAGGACCAATCCGACTGCTGCATTCTGAATCCTATTGTTCTAGGACCAATCAGACTGCTGCATTTTGGATCCTATTCAACTCAGTACATAACACTTTCCTGCTGCATTTCTCCGGATAGTTCACTGGCAAAGAAACTTTACATACCTGAGAAGCTTCTGCAGGAGACTGCAGTTGTTTGAAAACTGGTTGACTTTCAGCATCCTGAGCCAAAGGAAAAAAAGGAACAAAAATCCATATTCAAAATGAAAGTTTTCCATTTGTAATGTTCTCCCCACCACACAAATGGGCAACTTCATAAAAGCAACAGAGAGCTGTCCCACTCATAATGTGTTTTATCTTATACTTGTCCTCATGTAAAGTGTGAACTGTCTCATAAGATTGGCGTATTAACTATTCTGGACTCTAAATAAGGAATGGGGAACCTGTGGCTCTCCAGATGTTGTTGGATTTCAACTCCCATCAGGCCCAATGGTGAAGGATGATGGGAATTGTGGTCCAATCACAGCATGAGGGCAACAGGTTCTCATCCCTGCCATAGATGAAAACATTCTGACAACTCATGACCAAACATTTAAAATTCAAAAATGTGATTAAAAAAGACCATCAGAAGAAACGTAAAGGTAAAGGGACCCCTGACCATTAGCTCCAGCCGTGACTGACTCTGGGGTTGCGGCGCTAATCTCGCTTTACTGGCCGAGGGAGCTGGCGTACAGCTTCCAGGTCATATGGCCAGCCTGACTAAGCCGCTTCTGGTGAACCAGAACAGCACGGAAACGCCGTTTACCTTCCCACCAGAGCGGTACCTGTTTACTTGCACTTTGACGTGCTTTCGAACTGCTAGGTTGGCAGGAGCTGGGACTGAGCAACCGGAGCTCACCCCGTCATGGGGATTCGAACCGCCAAGCTTCTGATTGGCAAATCCTAGGCTCTGTGGTTTAACCCATAGCACCACCCTTAGAAGAAACATAAATAATTTATTGGAAGAGGGTCTTACCTAAAAACAATCAAAACATAATGGAAGCTGCTTATAATTAACTATGAAAGCGGAAAGTTCCAACTTTATTAAATGTTGCCATCCTACCTCTTGGTCAACCTCTGTCAAGTCAAAAGCAGGTGAGTTCTGAAAATCAAAAGAGTGTGGAAAGTCACATTTTTACCGTTCAGCTGTGGATTGCTGCCTTGATGCAGTGAACTGTTTTGCCATTATCAATGAAATTTACATCTTCTTTTCATCCTCCACAAAGAGATGGGCAGACCTGAGTCTAAAGTGCCTAAATATTTGTCAGACACTAGGTGGGACGCACACGCAAAATCCACAGAAGCTGTTTTGGAACGTTACAGTGCTATCACTAATGCCCTCAGTCATTTGTACTCTGACGTTAAAGGGAAGGGGGAGACCAGGCTTCAAGCTAATAATCTTTTGCAGAAGATGGAAGAAATGGAATTTGTGTTTATGCTGCATTTTTAGGCCCGTGTGCTAGGTCATTTTCACAAGGTCAGCAAAGCTCTTCAGAAATCAGACCTGTTAATGAGTTCTTGTGCAAGTTTGTACAGTTCAATTTTGGATTGATATAAGGATATAAGGAAAATTAGAGAAGATTTTGATGAGCTTGAGAAACAAGCAAAGGCCACCTTGCCAAATGTTAACTACAAAACAAGGAGACAAAGAGTGAAGAAATGGCAAAAAAAGTGCACCTGATGCCTTAGATGCACTTTCTTCAAGAGATAAGTTTAGGATAAAATCCTTAATTCCTATATTAGATGCGCTTGAAGCCAATTTAAAAAGAAGAAGTACTGTGTACAGTGATGTTGCACAATTGTTTTCCATTCTTGCTAATCTGACAGCATCTAAGCAAGAAATTCAGCAAGGTAGTGAATTGTTAATGGAAGCATACCCAGAAGATACTGACCTGAAACTTCTTGATAAATTTTTGCACTTTCAGCTGTATGTGAGACAAAGCCATAGGCTTACAGAAGAGCACTCTCTGTCTCATACAGACCTTTCTCAAATTATATACAAGGAAAAAATTCAGCTGGCCTTTGCTAATGTGGAAACAATCTTGCGGCTATTTCTTAGCTTTATGGTCACTAACTGCTCAGGAGAGTGGAGTTTTTCAAGACGCAAAAGAATTAAAAATGAATTAAGGGCCACAATGTCTCAAGAGAGGTTGTCTGCACTGAGCATTTTGTACATTGAAAGTGACAAACTTAGACAAACAAATTTTGATGAAGTTTTGGATGATTTTGCTATGAGGAAGGCTAGAAAAAAACATTTTTAGTCTTACTGTATTTGATAGCTGTAGTTTACTTCTTAATATGTAATTTAAAACTGACTTTTTAATGAAAACATAAAGTAGATTCTAAAAGTGCCACACTGTCAGATAACCATGATCATATTACCGTATTTTTCCGTGTATAAGACTATATTTTTTCCTAAATTTTTGAAGTTTAAAAGAAGGGGTTGTCTTATACACGTGTTATACACGGAAAGATATGGTATTTAAACTTCCCAGGCAATATAATCTGTAAACTCAAGGTGGTTTTTTATTTTTAAGAATAACATTACAACTTCATTTTCCTAAAAAATAATGCTTATTCCACAAAAGGTTTACAAAGTTCAGCTATTGCAAAAGTTTTTCAGTGTTAATTTTAACATTTATGCATTTTTAAAAACCACCATGGTATTTAACAATAGTATCTTATGTCCTTTAGAGGAGAAACTGAGAATTGCAGAATTTTAAATACCTGTCATATCCTTGGCTTCAATCAATTTTGTTTATAGCACTCTTCCATTTTCTTCTAGTTGTGAGTGTAGGGGATTGGGAGGGGCATCACAAGTAAGAGTAGCCTAGGGCCCCTCTTCGTCTAAATCTGGCCCTGGTTTTCGTGTCAGAAGTCATAATTCTACCAATGATGACCCTGAACCTTGTGGATACTTCCTTGCTATATTTCTCCAGAGAGTTCAACAGCAAAGAAACTTTACATACCTGAGAATCTTCTGCTGGAGCTTGCAGTTGTTTGACAGCAGGGTGGTTTTCAGCATCCTGAGCACATAAAAAGAACCAAAAATACAGAGAAAACCTGTAGCGTGGAAAGTCTTATTTCTCCTGACAATGGCACAATTGTCTGATTGAAAATGATTTATGTGAAAAGGGCTCCATTTGGACTGAAACCTATCCATTCTTAAGGAAATCAGCCCTGAGTGCTCACTGGAAGGACAGATTGTGAAGCTGAGGCTCCAGTACTTTGGCCACCTCATGAGAAGAGAAGACTCCCTGGAAAAGACCCTGATGTTGGGAAAGATGGAGGGCACAAGGAGAAGGGGACGATAGAGGATGAGATGGTTGGACAGTGTTCTTGAAGCTACCAGCATGAGTTTGACTAAACTGCCGGAGGCAGTGGAAGACAGGAGTGGCTGGTGTGCTCTGGTCCATGGGGTCACGAAGAGTCAGACACGACTAAATGACTAATCTAAACAACAACCTTTAGATTTCTGCATCAGTGCTTAGGTGGTGCGAGAGGGCAGGAGTGTCTACACTTCTAGTTCAGAATGTAGTATAGTAACAAACAGCACAATTCTAAGACTGCCCCCTCAGAAGTAAGCTCTACTGAATGCAGTGTAACTTAATCCCAGGTTAATGGTGTCAGGATTGGAGCATTCGTAGTTGTCGCATATAGGCCACACCAGCAATTAAATCCTACCTATAGCAAGGAAAAATCTGGCTATATTTCCTCATATTAATGGTCAAGTTATTGCTCCAATTTTATTATATTTTTTGTTATCATGGTAGGAGTCATAATTCCTGACCCTGAACCTTGTGGATACTTTCCTGCTATATTTCTCTGGAGAATTCAACAGCAAAGATACTTTACATACCTGAAAATCTTCTAATAGAGCTTGCAGTTGTCTGACAGCAGGATGGTTTTCAGCATCCTGAGCCTTAAAAAAGAACCAGAAACTGTATTCAGAATGAAACTTTCCCATTCATAATCTCTCCGCCACATAAGAGTGGAACTTAATAAAAGCAACAGAGGGTCATAATTTATCCAACAACATCTGGAAGACGTCAGGTTCCTATTCCTGCTCTGGGGGGAACATGCTTACAACACAGATAGGAACTATTTTACTTCAAAAAATGCAAAGAAAGAAAAACATTAGAAGAAACATACCGTATTTTTCGCTCTATAAGACACACTTTCCCCCTCCTTAAAAGTAAGGGGAAATGTGTTTGAGTCTTATGGTGCGAATGCAGGCTGCGCAGCTATCCAAGAAGCCAGAACAGCAAGAGGGATCGTGAAAGCAGCGATCCCTCTTGCTGTTCTGACTTCACCTCGCTTCTCTCTCTGTGCAGCGCCTCTTCAGTGCTGGAGAGGCGCTGGACAGAGAGGGAGAGAATATTTTTTTTCTTGTTCTCCTCCTCTAAAACTAGGTGCGTCTTATGGTCGGGTGTGTCTTATAGTGCAAAAAATACGTTAAATGGTAATATTGAAAGGGGTATCCGACCTAAAACTGATGAATGCATAATGAAAGCTGCTACTGTAATAATTAAACAAGAAAAGACAAACGTTTGACTTTATTGAATTCTGCCATCTCACCTCCTGGTCATCTTCTCTCACGTCCAAAGCAAATGATTTCTGAAAATCAAGAATGCAGAAAGTCATATATCTCCCGATGAAAGCACAATATTCTCATTGGAACATTATTGATGGGCTCCTCTTTGGACTGATTACTCTTAGTTTTCTGCATCACTGCTTAGGTGGTGAAAGATGGCAGATGATTTCACACTTCTTGTTCCGTATGCAGTGTAGCAACAAACAGCACAATCCTAACCATGTTCACTCAGAAGTAAGTCCTATTGAATTCAATGGGGCTTACTCTCAAGTAAGTGGGGTTAGGGTTGCAGTGTATTAGCTGTCACATATGGCCCACATCAACAATAAAATCGTATCCATAGCAAGGAAAAGTCTAGCCATAATTCCTTGGATTGTTGGTCAAGTGATTGCTCCAAATAATATTTGTTTTGTTAGCAAGTTAGAATTCATAATTCCACCAATAATGACACTTTCCTGCTACATTTCTTTGGGCAGTTTAATGACCATGATGCTTTACATACCAGACCAACTTTTTCCAGATTCCTGAAAGCAGGTTGATTTTCAGCATCCTGAGCCACAGAAAGAGAACCAAAATCAGTATTCAAAAATGAAACTTTTCAGCTGCTAAAGCTCTCTCCACCACACAAGACTGTAACTTCATTACAGAAACAAAGGGCTCTCCCAGTCATAATTTATCTTTTCTGCAAAAGGTTGCCTTTCCCACTGTAGTTCACCAGGGAGGAAGCATTCTATGCCAGTTTACAGCGCATGTTTTGAGGTTCTGCATTATACTGCTGAATATAGGAATAAATCTCAGCAGTTCATCAGTTGCTTTGGTCAGAAAATAGAGATAGAGTCGAAAGACTAAAATTTGGCTAATTAAAACATAGTTAAATATGCTTTTGATAGAACTGATAAGGAGTTAAGTTGTTTCAAACATTTAGTTTGTGGCGGGATATTATATTCCATGAATTCCACGGTATTAAATATAAAGAGCCCTTCTGAGTCAGATCAAGAGTCTTAGGGCGGATCTACACTCGTCGTTTATAATGTTAAAGGTAAAGGTAAAGGGACCCCTGACCAATAGGTCCAGTCATGGCCGACTCTGGGGTTGCGGCGCTCATCTCGCTTTATTGGCTGAGGGAGCTGGCCTACAGCTTCTGGGTCATGTGGCCAGCATGACTAAGCCACTTCTGGCGAACCAGAGCAGCGCACGGAAACACCGTTTAGCTTCCCACTGGAGCGGTACCTATTTATCTACTTGCACTTTGACGTGCTTTCGAACTGCTAGGTCGGCAGGAGCAGGGACCGAGGAACGGGAACTCACTTCCGTCGCGGGGAACCTTCTGATCGGCAAGTCCTAGGCTCTGTGGTTTAACCCACAGCGCCACCCGCATCCCTTTTACAACATTAAAAGTGTGTTATTAAAATGTGACACCAGAGGGCACTGCAGAGCAGCGAGCCACCGGCGATGGAAAACTGTCATTAAGCGGTATAAAACGTTACATTTAATAACGTTTAATGTTTAGAAGATCAATGTAGATGCAGCCTTAAATTGGCCAGTTGGATGCTTCCAGGAGGCCAACATACAGGGCTCAAAGGCAAGAGCTCACCTTGATTGTTTACCCATTAGCAACTGGCACAATATAGAGCTGCCATTTAGCTGTCATGGCTGACACACCATTGATTTATCCTCATTTAACAATTTCTAAGCCAGTGGTAGGGAACCTGTGGCCTTAATAATAATAATTTATTTATACCCTGCCCATCTGGCTGGGTTTCCCCAGCCACTCTGGGCGGCTTCCGACAAAATATTAAAAAGACATTAAAACATCAGTCATTAAAAACTTCCCTAAACAGGGCTGCCTTCAGATGTCTTCTAAAAGTCAGACAATTGTTTATTTCCTTGACATCTGATGGGAGGGTGTTCCACAGGCCGGGAGCCACTACCGAGGAGGCCCTCTGCCTGTTTCCCTGTAACTTCGCTTCTCACAGTGAGGGAACCGCCAGAAGGCCCTCGGCGCTGGCCTACCAGATATTGTTGCCCTTCAACTCCCATCATGTCTGGCTGCTGGCCATTTTGGCTGTGCTGTGTAGGAACTCAGCGCCCAACAGCACGTGGCTGGACACAGGTTCTCCACCCCTGTTCTAAGCCAGCAACCCACCTGATAAAGCTCATTTCATATGCTTGTTCTGTGCAGTGCACATAACTTTGTTTTGACCATCCTGAGTCTACCACCTGCATTTCCAGTACTTGTGTGAATGAGAGGGAAAGGGGGAAATGTCTCTGTTTCAGTGGAATGGAGGTTTCACATACCGGTGTTTTCAGCGCCCGGGTACTCTTGGAAGTAGGCTTATCTTCAGAATCCTTCAAACACAGAAAAAAAATAAAAATATGAGCAATACTTCAAAATGAAACTGCCATGCCCTAGTATTTCAATATTTCATTCACAACCAGGGACGGATTTAGGTTTGATGAAGCCCTAAGCTACTGAACGCATTGGGGCCCTTTATTTATCCTGCTGTCCTTTGTCAACAACAAATTGTCACTGTTTTTTTGTGTTGAATATATGCTATATGGTAATTTATGGACCTAATAGGTATCTAAAGCCATTTGCACATAACAAAATATGTATTTTATCAAAGTAATTGTTGAACTGAAATACAATTAAGAAGTATATTAATAGTGAAATTTTTGGGGGGACCCCCCAAGAGAGTGGGACCCTAAGCTATAGCTTATTTAGCTTATACGTAAATCCGGCTCTGTCCACAACACACTGCTGTGTTTTAGTAAAAAGCCTTTTGGTGGAAACATAAATGATTTGGTGGCTGGAACGCCTGTTTTATTGATTATAGGCCTGTTCAGTTTGCTAATTTCAAAGGCTGAAGTGGTCCATAAGGTAAAGGTAAAGAGACCCTTGACCATTAGGTCCAGTCTTGACCGACTCTGGGGTTGCGGTGCTCATCTCGCTTTATTGGCCGAAGAAGCCGGCGTACAGCTTCTGGGTCATGTGGCCAGCATGACTAAGCAGCTTCTGGCGAACCAGAGCAGCTCACGGAATCGCCGTTTACCTTCCCGCCGGAGTGGTACCTATTTATCTACTTGCACTTTGACGTGCTTTCGAACTGCTAGGTTGGCAGGAGCAGGGACCCAGCAACGGGAGCTTACCCCGTCGCGGGGATTCGAACCGCCGACCTTCTGATCGGCAAATCCTAGGCTATGTGGTTTAACCCACAATATAGGTTGCAGTAGTTATCGTTGGCCTGCTTTGGACTAATTATGCAGTTCCGAGAGCTTGGAGCTTGAGAGAGTACAGGGAGATGTAGAGGCAGAAGCACTCAAGACTCATGTATGAAGCACCAAGCAATGATATGGCATTATATCTGATCCACGTCTTTAAAACCCAAAGCTGAACAATTAAATGGGCTCTATCAGAACATTAGCAATGAAAGGAGGATCTGTAACTGAGCCCGTGAAACCATTCTGAAATATTGCCGTTATAAACCGCTTAGAGGAGGAATGTCCCAGTTGTCGTGAAATAGAATCCTTTTCGTTTTCTTGCCTTATCTTCCTTGGTTTTCCCGCTCCCAACATTAGAAGGTTGGTCCTGAAAACAAATATCAAAAACTAGTACAGTATGTGAAAAATCGTATCACACAATATGGTGTTTTCTTTCTCATATTAGTTCAGTGTGTTATAGGTTTGGGGGAGACACTCTGAATGATAGCTGTGGGTCTGTTCCTAACCTGTGACCCTGTATTTGTGAGTTTAGCATCTAGTAGAAGAAACCTGTCAAAGCAGTTCCTTTGTGAAATAGTAACTCTCTTGGTTCCTTACCTTTTCTTCCTTGGGTTTGTCGCTTTCAGCTTTAGAAGAATGCTCCTGAAAAGAAAAATCAAACACGTGTGTGTGTTGGGAAAATGCATCTCACAATATGACGTTGTCTTTCAGAGAGACAGAAACATGGCTGATCTGTGCTGGACCTAAAATGGTGGCTTGGGACTTCCCTGCAAACCAACTGGGGAAGGAAGATCTGTTGGGGTGTTCATGCTGTGAGCCCCTCCATCTTACGCTCAGGTTGTATAGATGTGTATATATGAAACCATATGCCCTAAGGACACCACAGTCTCCATTGACCTTCACTCCAAGGGATCGGAACCTTGGCTATGTGCAGGGTCCCATGGAATCTCTTGCTGCTTGGAGACTGGGGTGTGTGCCACGGGGTCCTTTTAGGTTCCTTACCTTTTCTTCTTCAGCCTTGTCACTTACAGCTGAAGTCAAATGGTCCTGAAAACAAATACCAAATATTAACATGTAAAAAATACAGTCGTACCTTGGTTCTCAAACACCTTGGTTCTCAAACAACTCGGAACCCAAGCTCTGCAAACCTGGAAGTAAGTGTTCCGGTTTGCAAACTTTTTTCGGAAGTCGAATGTGCTCCTTTTTGAGTGTTATGCTTCTGATTTGAGTGCCACACTTCTATTTCGAGCCCCACACTTCCGTTTAGAGTGTTATGCTGAGGTCTGTCTGTTTTTGCTATTTATTTTGCGTTTTTGTGGCTCTTTTTCTTTTGGTGTGTGACATTGTGGAACCCAGTTCAGCTACTGATTGACTGTGTGACTGCAGTACATTGTTTATTGCTTTCATTTTATGAATCAATGGTCTTGTTAGATAGGAAATTTCATGTGAAATTGCTGTTTTGGGTTGTTCTTTTTTTTTAAAAAAAAAGTTTGGAATGGATTAATCCATTTTGCATTACTTCCTATGGGAAAGTGTGCCTTAGTTTTGGAACACTTTGGTTTTGGAACGGACTTCCAGAACGGATTAAGTTTGAGAACCAAGGTACCACTGTAAATAAATCACATCTCACAATAGGATGTTGTCTTTCCCAGATCTATTCAGCAGAAAGGAAGCTTTGCATACCTTTTCAGTTTTTCCTTTTTCTGCTTTAGCTTCTTTCTCCTGGTGATCATCATCATGCTTAAAGCAAAGAAAAAATATCAATATCAGTATATCATTTGACACTTACTTCATGCCTCATAACTGTCAGATAGGAACTTCTCTGAAGTGAGAAGTCTTCATATGATCCATGATCATAACTGAATCCTGTTTATTTTATGGTGCAGTTTACCTATGGTGCAGTTTTCCATTAGTGGATTGTATGCGTTTTGCACCAGTGCTTAGTGCCTGAAGTTCTCGATTTTCATGCTGACCTCCAAAATCTTTTTTTCAAAACCACCACAACAACAAACCATTTTTTTTAACCTTGGTGCTATCGCTTGTAGCTAGACAAGGATGCTATATTGGTGTTGTGGTTATTTTGATTGGGTGTGTGTGTTTAGTTTGATTATATATTTTGTGGTTTTATATTTTGATTTTGTTCTGTGAACCACCCTGAGACTTCCGGGTATAGGGCAGTATATAAATTCAATAATAATAATAATAATAATGGCAGCGGAGACCAATCAATGGGGACCAAGATTTACATACTTTTTCACTTTTTTCTTTTTCTGCTTCAGCTTCTTTGTCCTGCTCAACGGACTTAACCTCAGCATCCTTAAATCACAGAAAAAGTACCAACATGAGTATTCCATTTGACACTCGCTGCAGACATCATGCTTTTCAGATAGGAGTTATCCCTGAAGTTGGAAGCCTCAATATTGCCAATAATCATAGCTGACTTCTCTGGGATTTTTGGTGAAGTGGATGCATCATGGACTAACCTACTTAGTGCATAAAGTTCTGTGTGGGAAGATTGACTTCCCAAACCCTGGCAAGACAGAATTCTTATGAGACAGACTCAACACCAGTGTTTAAAGATGGGACTCTGTTAACAGAAGGAGGTCTGGAGGCATTGCATGTAATTAATTGCATTACATAATTCCTTTTTGGGTGATTTAATGTCATCATGGGAAAGAAAGGCTCCACTGAATATTGTGTTTTATACCACTCCATTCTATCAGGAACTTATCACTGAACTGCAGAACTGCTCTCCAAATCAACAAAGCAGGAATTTTTGCACACCCTGTGTGGCAATAACAGCACTAAGAAATAAGGGAGGTCTTTCTTTAAGTCACTACACGGAGGGCTGTTTTACACAGGCTTGAATATATAGACTCTGCATAGGTTGTGGGGCATGAACAAATTTTTATGTAAGCTGCTACCTGTTATTTGTATGCACAACCCATCTCCTGGGCCCTAAGGAAGTTATACTATCCTCCACCAGGGCCAGGTCCTTTTCAGTGATGGATCCGACCTGGTGGAATGTTCTGTCCCATGAGACTAGGGCCCTTCAGGATTTAACCTCCTTCCGTCGGGCCTGTAAGGCAGAGCTATTCCGCCTGGTGATTAATCTGAATTCAGCCTGATCTTTTATTTCCCTTCTCTTCCCTCCCTCTCCCCTTTTATGAAGATTACCCGCTCTGAGACCCCACAGCTAATTCTCCCCTGGCCTCCTCGCTGGCCCAAGTAGGACCAATTCAGCCAGCTAGCCCTGGTGATTATCTAATGCTTATTAGATGGATTTCCCCTAAATTGATTTCTGAACTTTGAATTTTATTGTTATTCATGTTTTTATACTGTAATTTATGCTGCTTTTATAATTAAGTGATTTAAATTTGTTGTTAGCCGCCCTGAGCCCGTTTTTTGAACCGGGAAGGGTGGGGTATAAATAAATTTTATTATTATTATTATTATTATTTGTAACATTTTTCACTTGAACTAGGCACATCTCAGCCCTAGTGCCACACCAGCACCCCCTGTCATGGGGAACTCTGTGAACTGGTACTGGGAGTTCCTTAAGGCATGATTGAGTAATAAATCAATGGATGCCCGATCTTGAGGGCATGTGTTTTTTAAGAGCAATTTGCCAGAGAAGTAGGATAGAACTAAATGACTCTTCCTGTCATGTCAAAGATAAGATGCTCCTATATTTGCAGTAGAAACTAAAGCTGTTAACACATTAGTTACATATTAGGAATTCCCTGCTTTGGTTCCTGCTTCTGCCCTAGATTCCCCATGACGGTGACCTTAGGCAAACTGCTGTCTCTGAACTTCAGGCCCTCCTCACACCTGCGCAACAGGGGATCCAAAGACAGGGATGTATAACTGAGCCAGCTAAAGCCTTTTTTAAAAAATTACAGTTACAAACTAGTTAGCGCAAAGTCCTTTTTACCTCTTGTGTATCAATCTTTTCACTTTCATCTGAAGAAACATCGTCCTGCAAACAAATATCAAATGCTAGTGCATGGAAAACCATTTCCCTCCCTTTCTATATGATGTTGTCTTTCCCTTCTCAGTTCAGCGGGGAGGAGGTTTTACATACCACTTCCGTCGCTTGAGTGTCTGTGTCCTGGTTATCGTTATGAATCTCGGCCTGCTTAAAACACAGAGAAAGGGACCAAGGCGAGTTTTGCACTTGCGAACTTCTTTTTAACTTTTTTCTTCACAAATGTTGTGAAATAGTAAACTCTTTTTGGTTTCTTACCTTTTCTTTCTTGGCTTTGTCGCTTTCAGATTCAGAAGAATGCTTCTGAAAATAAATACCAAACACAAGTAGCGTGGGGGGAGGGGGATTGTGTCTCAAATTATGATGTCATCTTTCCCATAACTGTTCAGTGTGTCTGGAAACTGGGGTGTGCGCAACAGCATTTCCTACCTTTTCTTCCTTGGTTTTATCGCTATCTGCTGGAGAAGAATGGTCCTGAAAACAAATATCAAATATAAATGTGATATATAGACACACACACACACACACACACACACACACACACACACTGACATTGTCTTTCCCATAACTACTCAATGTGTTTGGGGATGGGGGGGGGTCAGTCTGGATTCTCCTTGTGGGTGCCCTCCAAACCTGTGATCCTGTGTTTGTGAGGTTTAGAATCTAGTAGAATAAACCTACTAGAATTTTGAATTACGGTGCTGGAGGAGACTTTTGAGAGTCCCATGGACTGCAAGAAGATCAAACCTCTCCATTCTTAAGGAAATCAGCCCTGAGTGCTCACTGGAAGGACAGATCCTGAAGCTGAGACTCCAATACTTTGGCCACCTCATGAGAAGAGAAGACTCCCTGGAAATGACCCTGATGTTGGGAAAGATGGAGGGCACAAGGAGAAGGGAACGGCAGAGGACGAGATGGTTGTATAGTGTTCTTGAAACTATCAGCATGAGTTTGACCAAACTGCGGGAGGCAGTGGAAGACAGAAGTGCCTGGCGTGCTCTGGTCCATGGGGTCACGAAGAGTTGGACACAACTAAACGACTGAACAACAACACAGAATAAACCTGTTAAAGCAGTACTGGCTTTGGCTGGCCAGTTAAGTGCCCTCATCAGCATCCAAAAGAGTGAGCTCTGTTGCCATAGAGACAAATGGATGGACGTTTTCACACTTCAACTGCCTGGAAGCCACACCATTTTAGGATAGAGAACAATAGACTGGTGGGGGGAGTCCTATGTGTGAGAGTTTTGGTTGATGCTGGAAGCTGGAGAGACAGAGACATGTCTGCTCTGTGCTGGACCTAAAATGGTGACTTGGGACTTTTCTGTAAACATAATAGGGAAAGAAGAGCTGTTGGGGTGTTAATGCTGTGAGCCCCTCCATCTTACACTCAGGTTGTATATATGTGTATATGAAACCATATGCCCTAAGGACACCTCAGTCTCCATTGACCTTCACTCCAAGGAAACTGAACATTGAGTACGCGCAGGCTTCCTTGGAATCGCTTGCTGCTTGGAGACTGGGGTGTGTGCAACAGGATTTCCTACCTTTTCTTCCTTAGGTTTATCGCTTTCTGCTGGAGATGAATCGTCCTGAAAACAAATACCAAATATTAATATCACACGCACACACACACACACACACACAGAGAGAGAGAGAGAGAGAGAGAGAGAGAGAGACTGACATTGTATTTCCAATAACTGCTCAATGTGTTTGGGGATGGGGTTGTGTGTCAGTCTGGATTATACTTGTAGGTCCCTTCTAAAACCGTGATCCTATGTTTGTGAGGTTTAGAATCTAGTAGAAGAAAACCTGTTAAACCAGTTCCTTTGTTAAGGTATTGGCTTTGGCTGGCCAATTAAGTGCCCTCATCAGCATCTAAAAAAGTGAGCTCTGTTGCCATAGAGACAAATGTGTGGATATTTTCACACTTCACCTGACTGGATGCCGCACCATCTTAGGATGGAGAGCAGTACACCGGCAGGGGGTAGGGGTGGCACTGTGTGAGAGAGTTTTTGCTGCTGCTGGAAGCTGAAGAGACAGAGACATGTCTGCTCTGTGTTGCACCTGGGAAACACTGGCCTGTGAGCGCTCCAATTGGAGAACAGCCTTTACCAAAGGTGTCCTGAGTTCTGAAGATGCTGGAACTCAGGATGAAAGGGAGAAACGTGCTAATAGGAAGGCATGCATGGCAAACCCTTACCATGATCAACTCCCACCCAGAAACCTATGTCCCCACTGAGAAGGACATGTGGGTGCAAAATTGGCCTCCATAGTCACTTACGGACTCACCTTTAAAACTGTGTTTATGGAAGACAGTCTTACTCGGCTACAAGTGATTGCCGAAGAAGAAGAAGAAGAAGAAGAAGAAGAAGAAGAAGAAAAAGAAGTGGTGCTTTACCTAAAATGGTGACTTGGGACTTTTCTTAAAACATAATGGGGAAAGAAGAGCTGTTGGGGTGTTCATGCTGTGAACCCCTGAATCTTACGCTCAGGTTGTATATATGTGTATATGAAACCATATGCCCTAAGGACACCACAGTCTCCATTGACCTTCACTCCAAGGGATCGGAACCTTGGGTACGCGCAGGGTCCCATGGAATCTCTTGCTGCTTGGAGACTGGGGTGTGTGCAACAGGATTTCCTACCTTTTCTTCCTTAGGTTTATCGCTTTCTGCTGGAGATGAATGGTCCTGAAAACAAATATCAAGTATTAATGTGACACACACACACACACACACACACACACACACTGACATTGTCTTTGCCATAACTACTCAATGTTTTTGGGGATGGGGTGCATGTGTCAGTCTGTATTATACCTGTGGATCCCTTCCAAAACTGTGATCCTGTGCTTGTGAGGTTTAGAATCTAGTAGAGCAAAACCTGTTAAAGCAGTTCCTTTGTTAAGGAGACCGGAATGTGTGCAACAGGGTCCTTTTAGGTTTTTACCTTTCCTTCCTTAGTTTTATCGCTTCCTTCTAGAAACCAGTGTTCCTGAAATCAAATACCAAATATTAATGTGCAAATAAAAATAAATCTCACAATATGACGTTGTCTTTCCCATATTTGTTCAGCACGAAGGAAGCTTTACATACCTGTTCAGTTTTTTCTTTGGCTGCTTCAGCTTCTTTTCCCTGGTGATCAGAATTAACCTCAGCGCTCTTAAAACACAGAAAAGGTACTAATATGAGTATTCCATTTGACACTTACTATATGCCTCATGACTGTCAGATAGTTTTTAAACTCGAGGTGAGTAATCTTCATGTTATCAGTGATCATAATTGAAACCCGTGGATTGTTTGGTGAAGTTTACATACACAGTTTTCCATCAGTGGATGGGACATGTTTTGCACCAGCCTCCTAAGTGCCTGAAGTTCTGGCTTTTTAAGGAGAAGACTGACCTCCAAAATCCTTCCAAAATAGAATCCTTATGTGATAAAATCAATACCAGTTGTCAGGGAACTGCCATCGGAAGGAAGGGAGGTGAAAGGGCTCACACAGGTTGGGAGAGACTCAGCAGCTGAAGAGGGAACCAGTAGGGGGAGAGGAGCTGAGCTGAGGGAAAGTGAGCTGGAGGGATGGCTCAGAGACACTTCCAGCGAAAACAGTGGGGAGGTTTCAGGACCTCCTGTAGGAACACCCACTCCTCGCCGGAAACTGTCACGCAGAGAGTCCAGAAGACGTGTTTCCGTTAAGGAGCTTTTATGTTGGAAGCGATTCCGAAAGCAACCACTGTCGGAATCTGCTAGTGACTAGAGGAGCCATGTCTGAGGGGCTCCGTCACAGACAGAGGTTTGTGGACTTGAACAAACTCTGAGGGGATACTATTTTACGCACAAGCAGCTCATCATCCCATCACAGCATTCCGACAGTCATTGAAAGCAGCTTGTGCAGGAGAAGGCATCATGAGCAACCCAGCCGGAACCGGAGAAGCAGGAGCTGGAGCGGGTCCAAGCCTGGAAGAAAGGTACCGGGTGTTGGAGGTCCAGCTAGCGCTGCAGACGGCGAGGCTTGAGGAGAGGAGGGCTCAGGATGCAGACAAAAGGGAAAGCCACCCAGCTCGCCAGAAAGGTACCAGGATTGGTGCAGAAGTTTGGGGGGGAGCCCAAAGACTATCATGGCTTTCGGACAGAGATGCAATATGCCCTCAATCTGCAGTTTGATGAATTCCCTGACGAGGAATCACGAGTGGCTTTCGTGATTGGGCATCTTGAAAAGGGGCGAGAGACTGGGTTAGACCCCTGATGGCAGCGAATAGTGACGTCCTAAAGGACACGATGAAGTTCTTTCGCGCCATGGATCTGATGTTTTCCAGCGATATTGAACAGGGAGTGGTGCGCAGACAGTTAATGGCTTGCAAACAGGGGAGCCTATCTGTCCGTGAGTACTGGACTGAGTTCACCATGCTGGTTCACAGATTGGGGTGGGACTTATCGGCGGAACCCATTCAAATGCTCTTTGAAGAAGGGCTTTCTTCGGCTGTGAAAGACGAACTTTCCCGGGCGCCCAGGGCGGAGTCTATGGACCAGCTGACCAAATCAGCGCTGACCATAGGAGCGCGCCAGGAGGCGAGAGCATTGGAGAGGCGGGAAGGGAAGGGGGGAACGTTGGAAGGAGTTCCGCATTCCAGACATTCCAGAGCCAACTTTCCCGCCGGCAGAGCAGATGGAAATCGGAACAGCGCGCGCGCTCACTGTTTCATAGCAAAGTGAGGGGGTAAAGAAGGAGGGAAAACGCGCCCGGAAATGCTATCTCTGCCAACAGCCAGGTCACTTTGCCAGAGTCTGCCCCCAGAGGAAGGAATGGCAAGGGATGGTAGGAGCTGTGGAGGGAAGAGAGGAAGAAATACCGGAGCAAGTAAAGCCAACGCCTGGCTGCCACCGTCGGGGCACAGCAGCCAGGCCAAAGAGCAGTGAGAGTGCCCACGCCAGAACCTCCTAAACCCGCCCTAGTGATAGAAGTGGCGCTAGAGCTGCCAAACGGACACCCTCTAAAGATAAAGGCGCTGTTGGACTCAGGCAGCTCCTGCAATTTCATGAGCAAAGAGTTTGCAGCTGAACACCAGATACAGACGATCCTTTAAGCAACCCCTGCAGGTGACCACGATCGACGGCAGGGAGCTGTTGGGAGGAGAAGTCAGCTTGCAGACCGTCCCAATGATAATGAAGGTGGCAAGGCACACCGAACTGATAGCGTTTAATGTGGCCACCTTGGGAGGAGCTCCCATTATATTGGGGATGAGCTGGCTAGCGTTACATGATCCGCTGGTGGGCTGGCATCAGAGAGTGGTTTCTTTTGGTTCAGCACATTGCTTAGAACACTGCAAAGAGGGAAAGGGTTTGGCAGGGGCCCAAGCCACCCTAGCAGGGACGGAAGTAACGGAGAACGTGAAGGTACCACGACAATACGCAGATCTCCGCGACGTCTTCAGCGAAAGGGAAGCTGACCAACTACCCCCGCATAGACCCTTTGACTGTCAAATCAATTTACTCCCTGGGGCACAGCTCCCTGTAGGCAAGCTGTACGCCATGTCAGACAGAGAGATGCAGGAGCTAAGAGAGTTCATTGACAAGAACCTGAAGAGAGGGTTCATCAGAGAGTCCAGGGCGGTGGGGGCAGCCCAGTGTTTTTTGTGGATAAAAACACGAACAAGCCGAGGCTGGTGTGTGACTTCAGGGCCTTAAATGCAGTGTCAGAACCAGTGGCCTTCCCTATGCCCAGGATTGACGACATTTTGACAAGGGTGCGGAAGGGAAAGATTTTCACAAAGCTGGACCTAAGGGGGGCGTACAACCTGATACTGAATAAGGAAGGGGGATGAATGGAAAACCACCATGTTCACCCCTTTAGGGGCATTTGAATATTTGGTTATGCCCTTCGGCCTACAAGCAGGCTCCGCATGCTTTCAATCGTTTATGAACCACGTCCTGGGGCCTTTGCTTTACAAGAATTGTGTGGCCTTCTTAGACGACGTGTTGGTGTATTCTGAGAATGAGGAGCAGCATGTGAGAGACGTCAGAGAAGTGTTGAGCAGGCTGCAAGCCACCCAGCTGTGGGTGAAACTGGAGAAGTGTCAGTTTCATACCAAGGAGGTGGAATTCCTGGGGTATCGCCTGTCAGGCAAGGGATTGGCCATGGATCCCGGCAAGGTCCAGGCGGTGCTGGAATGGAAAACACCCAAAACAAGGAAGGATGTGCAGAGGTTCCTAGGATTTGGGAACTTCTATCGTAAGTTCATCCGAAACTTTGCCCACCTGACGACGCCCATTACGGACTGTCTCAGCAGTAAGAAGAAGTTCGTTTGGACTGAGGAGGCGGAGCGAGCATTTGAGGAACTAAAAAAGGGCCTTCGCCTCGGAACAACAACTCCTGCATGTGGATTTACAAAAACCGATGAGAGTGGAAACTGACGCATCAGACAGAGCGATTGGGGCGGTGCTTCTGCAGCCAGGGAAGGAGGAGTCAGAGTGGAGACCGTGTGCCTTTTTTCGCGAAAGCTGAACAAATCCGAGAGGAACTACACGGTGTATGACCGAGAACTACTAGCCATTCATGAGGCGTTCCGGAGATGGAGGCACCTGCTAATTGGCGCACAACATAAGGTGCAAGTGTGCACTGACCACAAGAACCTAGAGTATTGGAGGACGGCACGAGTGCTCAACCAACGGCAAGTGAGATGGGCCCAGGAGTTCTCCAAATTTAACTTTGAGATTGGTTACGTGCCAGGCCCAGAGAACATTAGGGCGGACGCTCTCTCACGCAAACCTGAATATTTGGAGGGGAGGGAGCACCCGAAGAGAGACATGTCATTCCAGAGGACCGCTGGGTGTGTGGGGCGGCATTGGTGGGACAAAGAGAACTGGTAGAGGAAACAGAGAATGATGAATACGCCCAGAATAAGCTCAGAGGTCTTAGGGGTGAGGGAGAGGAACCAGGGGTTTCGAGGAAAGAAATGGAGCTTTGTATTACAAAGGGGCACTGTATATCCCTGAAGGAGACCTAAGGTGGGAGGGTACTCAAGCAGTTGCACGACAGCCCTACGGCGGGGCATTTTGGACAACACAAAACCATGTGGTTGGTCACCAGGGAATTTTGGTGGCCTAAGGTGAGGGAAGATGTACGTGAGTATGTAAGAGGGTGCGAGCAATGCCAGCGAGCCAAAGGAGAAAGGCGGGCGCCGGCGGGGCTATTAGAACCCTTACCAACCCCAGAACGACCTTGGGAGGCAGTGTCGATAGATTTTATGACTGATCTGCCGAAGTCCAAAGGGAAAACAGCCATCATGGTGGTGGTAGACCTACTAACAAAGATGTGCCACTTTGTAGCTTGCTCGCATGCAGTCACGGCGGAAGAGACAGCGAAGTTATTTGTAGAACACATTTTTAGGTTGCACGGGGTGCCATTGAGGGTGGTCTCAGACCGAGGAAAACAATTTACTTCCAGGTTCTGGAGGAAGCTCATGAGCTTACTGCAGGTGGAGGTCAATTTTTCGACTGCCCGGCACCCTGAAACCAACGGGCAGGCGGAAAGAGCAAACGGTGTCCTCCAGCAATACCTGAGGTGTTATGTCAATGACAGAGAGAATGACTGGGTAGAAAAGTTGGCGCTGGCGGAATTTGCCTACAACAATGCCGAGAATGTGTCCACAGGGATGAGCCCCTTCTTGGCTAATTATGGGTGTCATCCCAGGGCTTTCCCAGGGGAGATGGGGAGAGATGGAGCGTCCCGGCAGCCGAGCATTTTGTGGAAGAAATGGAAGCAATCCATCGTCAGCTCCAACTCAACTTAGAAAGGGCGAAGGAAGAATACAAGAGGCAGGCAGACAAGAACCGAAGGGAAGGTGAAACCATAAGGGTGGGAGATAGGGTGTGGCTGTCAACCCAAGGGTTGCCGTTCAAAGGAGGTTGTAAGAAATTAAGACCCAGGAGGTTGGGTCCCTTTGAGGTCATTCAACAGGTCAACCCAGTGGCTTTCAGGCTCCGGTTACCCAACCACATGAAACTGCACCCAGTATTTCACAGGTCGTTACTGTCACCGTACGAAGGGGGACGAGAAGGGATGGCCACTCGGGACCGGTCATAGAAGAAAGAGAATGCAGCAGCCATGTGGCAGAAATCCTCGACGCCAGGTGGAAGGGGGATCAGGTGGAGTATTTGGTAGCGTGGGAAGGAGAACCGGAGTCAGAAAACACTTGGGTAATGGCCGAAGATATCAATGACGAGGTATTGATAGAAACGTTCCATCAAAGGTTCCCAAGGAAACCTCAGCCTGTGGAGAGGTTCCGGAGGGAATACTTTGGGACCACTGATGAGGAGGAGGAGTTGGAAGGATTCCCGGACTCGGAAGGGGAAGGGGAGATGGACTCTGAGGAGGAGGAGTACTTCGAGACCAGGAACCGCAACAGGTGGAGAGAAGTGTTCGAGACATCGGAAGATGAAGGAAGTTCATTCCGGGGTTTTGCCTCCTCACCGCCCGTAGAGGAGGGGGCGAGAGGGGGTGAAAGGGGCCCTGGAGGGGGAGGTGGATGTCAGGGAACTGCCATCGGAAGGAAGGGAGGTGAAAGGGCTCACACAGGTTGGGAGAGACTCAGCAGCTGAAGAGGGAACCAGTAGGGGAGAGGAGCTGAGCTGAGGGAAAGTGAGCTGGAGGGATGGCTCAGAGACACTTCCAGCGAAAACAGTGGGGAGGTTTCAGGACCTCCTGTAGGAACACCCACTCCTCGCCGGAAACTGTCACGCAGAGAGTCCAGAAGACGTGTTTCCGTTAAGGAGCTTTTATGTTGGAAGCGATCCGAAAGCAACCACTGTCGGAATCTGCTAGTGACTAGAGGAGCCATGTCTGAGGGGCTCCGTCACAGACAGAGGTTTGTGGACTTGAACAAACTCTGAGGGGATACTATTTTACGCACAAGCAGCTCATCATCCCATCACACCAGTAATAAAAAAAATGAGTGGGTATGGGATATTCTTAATTACAGAGTTCCTTTTGAATAGATTAATGTCCTCACAGCAACGGCAGTTTCCACTGAGCTGGCTCCATTACTTTGTTCTACCAGTAACGTTTCCTTGGGTTGTGGAACTGCTCACAAAATCAACAGAACAGGAACTGCCACTCACACAACGTGGAAATTGTGTCTACCAAGAAATAAGAAACACCTTTCCTTAAGCTGCAACACGGCTACTTTACACAGTCTCCACGCACAGAACAAAGGGGCAAAGCTAAATTTTGCATAGGGTGCTGTGTGTTATTTGCCTGTGTGTGCAGTTCATCTGACACACAACAGATGGATCTAAAGGGCAGGTACTAGCATGTGTTGAGCATTCTGCACATGTGGTGGGCACGTGTGAGCCCGAGCGCCGCTCCTGTGTCCCTCACTGTATGGGCTCTACGTGCCACTGAGTTCTTATGGACTGATTCTGTAGATCAGTGGATTATCAAAGATGGAGGCCGTAATGAAAGGTTTGCCAAGAAGTAGCATAGGGATGTGATTCTTTCTGGTGTGCCAGAGGCTCCTTTAGAAGCAGTAAAAACTACAGTGTGCTGGTGCAGCATAGTGTCTAAGAGATCGAGCTATGAATCAGGAAGTCCCTGATTTGAACAACATCTCCATCAACACCTCTCTATGCTGCCTTAGGCTGTTGTCTGTGAGCATCAGTTCCCCCCACATCTAATAACACTGATTTTCTTCATAGGGTTGTTATACAGATTACAACTACGACGTGTATGTGAAGCACTTTGAACTCCTGAAAATGCTATTCAGATGTTAATATTGTTATTAATGCTTTGCCTTAGTGTTGTTAAACTGGATCTACTGGATTAGGGTGATCATACAGACACCTGGCCTGTGCTTCATTTTCCACAGGAGGCAAATGAGGGGATACATTACATACCTTCTTTATTTCCCAGTCCTTCTCAACATGGCCATCTTTTTCATGGTGAATCTTGGAGGGAGAGAAAGTAGAAAAAAGAGATGATGGGGCTGGATCTCCTGCTGTCAAGCCATTAAGACAAATTTACAATTCTTGGCTTTTTGCTTTTTTGCAAATGTACTTACTGGCAAAGCCAAGGCAATGCTGAAAAGGCACCAGCAGATCACAGCAGTCTTCATTGTGAAAGGTCCCCTGAAGAAGATGTTCTAATGGTCAGTTGATAGGTTACATGTATAAAAGAAGAAAAGCTGAAGAGCTGATTGCAAACTTGCTAGAACTTTTCTAAGTGGCAACACGATCACGCTCTTTCACTTTGTGGTCTACATTCCCACTGCACACTGCTCATCAGTGCCGAACCATCATCAACGCAAGGGAACAGTGGATAGACTGAAGCAAAGAGGCACAAGGTGGCTTCCTGAGATTGGTACCTTGAAAGCAGGTGAGGGCGACAGCATTGCCCACTATGGCATTTACATTTGTTCCTTTATTGCCCCTGGTAAATCGGTTTTGCTGCAGGTGATGTGTGGGTAACAACCTACAAAACTCGATTAATCTGAAATAATAGCAGGACAAAAGAAATGCTTGTGTGTGTGTAGACTAAGGATGTCAGAGAAATTCAATTCAATTTGCTTTTAAAGGAAAACTTATGTCATTTGCATTTCCCAAAACAATACATGAACTGAAACTCATCCATCCTGAGAAAAACCACATTTTTTCCTGAATTTTGTAATGCAGTTCTTCAAACGAGTAATGTGTACAAAAATGCATATACTCTGGTAAAGTGTGCATATAGAAACGCAGATATTGGTGGAAATGACCTCCAAAAACGCATTGCATTAGAGAAAATTGCTGTGCATAAATGTATGGGAAATGGCATACAAATATGTATATAGTGGTACCTCGGGTTACAAACACCTCAGGTTACAAACACTTCGGGTTACAGACTCCACTAACCCGCAAGTAGTACCTCAGGTTAAGAACTTTACCTCAGGATGAGAACAGAAATTGCACGGCGGCAGCAGCGGGATGCCCCATTAGCTATAGTGGTACCTCAGGTTAAGAACAGTTTCAGGTTAAGAACGGACCTCCGGAACGAATTAAGTTCATAACCAGAGGTAACACTGTGTTAGAAGGAATCCACTCTAAAATGCTGATGAATTCTCATGAGGACTTTTGAAAATATATATCTATAAATGGATGTGGAAAATGAGAAATTCAGAGAAGCCAAAACTGACAGATTCGTCTAAGAGCAGTCATTCCAAAATTTACTTACATCTGAGAGTGGAGCTTGGAGCAATCTTGGCTTACTCAGTCTCTTCCTTTCTTCTTCTGCTGCTGGATGCCTACAGCCCCCTGGCATTTAAACCCTTCCCAAGAAATCAACCCACCAGTTGTCACCCATGAGGTCGAAAGGGGGAGGCCATTAGCTTTCTTATCACCATATTCCCCCCCCCCATTCAATGACTTTCAGAACAGACAAAAGCTACTGGTTGAAGGTGTTCCTTATCATGATCAAGCATTTGTGTTCAGTGCTTGTTTTTTCGTCTCAGGTGGGAGGATTTAAGGGGCACAGAGTATTTCATCCAGCCCGTGTAGGAGATTGTGAGGGGCATGTTGTCTTTTGCAAACTGTGTGGAAGAGGAAAACCAGTTCTCTCTTCAGAGATCAACTGATAATTGCTCTTAGATTTCTCATGGATGAAGATATGTTTGGTGTGCTTCTTTCTGTGTGCATGAGTGGTTCATTAAAAGGACAAGGTAATCATTCATTGGCATTTGGCTTCGGTGCAGAAAAGGGAGGACGGATTTTGGATCCCATATGGAGGATGAAGTAAGAGGGCTGTACAGTGTAGTGCAATGTATCCACAGTGTACTGATTACATTTTTTTAAAAAAATCCCACACTTTTTCAGGGCATCTCATGGTGGCATACAATAGTCTTTTCTTTCCTCATTGTTTAACCTTCACAATAACCCTGTAAGGTAGGAGGGACTGAGAGATGGCAATAGACTTAAGGTCCGCTTGTAAGCATCATGGCTGAAAGATTCAATTGATCCTGTTGTCTCTGTAGCTCTCATATAACACTGTACAGTGGCTCATCTAATATATATTTTGAAAAGTGGTTTGTCTGTCTGCCCATCTGCTGTCCATAAGTTTGGCCACCTCTTGTCAAACTCAGCACGGGGGTTCCTGAGTTGGGGTGTGTGGTCGTTTTAAACATTTGGGCACCCACCACCATTTTAAATCAAGATGGCAGACTGAAATGTGCCTTTGGCCTGACTTCACCTATTTTTTTGGCCATAGGTGAGGCTGCCTCTTGAGATATTACACTATCCATGTAAAAAGTCACAAAGTGCTTTTGGTTTCTACAAATTCCCGGGCAGTGCCAGGCACTCCCTGCTAATATAATATAAAGATAAAGGGATCCCTGACCATTAGGTCCAGTCGTGACCGACTCTGGGGTTGCGGCGCTCATCTTGCTTTACTGGCCAAGAGAGCCGGCGTACAGCTTCTGGCTCATGTGGCCAGCATGACTAAGCCACTTCTGGTGAACCAGAGCAGCGCACGGAAATGCCATTTACCTTTCCGCCAGAGCGGTACCTATTTATCTACTTACACTTTGACGTGCTTTCAAACTGCTAGGTTGGCAGGAGCTGGGACAGAGCAACTGGAGCTCACCCCATTATGGGGATTCGAACCACCGACCTTCCGATTGGCAAGTCCTAGGCTCTGTGGTTTAGACCACAGCACCACCCATGTCCCTCTATTATACCTAGGTAAAGGTAAAAGGTAAAGAACCCCTGGATGATTAAGTCCAGTCAAAGGTATACAAATAAAATGATGATGAGATTATGATGATGACGATGACTATGGGGTTCGAACCGCCAACCTTCTGATCGGCAAGTCCTAGGCTCTGTGGTTTAACCCACAGCGCCAACTTCGTCCCATAATATATATAATATATATAATATATATAATATATATAATATATATAATATATATAATATAGATCGAGGCATAATGACAGAGTTCCATATTAGGTGAGATGCTGAAGGCAAAAAAAGTGTCTTTCATTTTAATGTTTGGAAGGCCATTTAGCTCAGGGCAAGGGTCCATAGCTCCTTGGTAGAGCATCTGCTTTTCATGCTGCAGAAAGTCCTAGGTCCAATCCCCATCATCTCTAGGTAGGGCTGGACCTGGGACAGACCCCATCTGAAATCCTGGAGATTCTCTGCCAGTCAGAATAGACAGCACTGAACTGCACTGACCAATGTTCCTATAGTGCAGGGTTTTTAAAAAATAAAGACATAGCATCAGTTTGGGTAGTGTGTGTAATGATTATTAGGCCTACAGGAGGTGAGAGGTTGAATTTAAACAATTCCTCCACTGCTGTAGCCCTGAAAAGCAATCTTCTGAAGTTGTCCACTGAGCCACAGTCCCTTCTCATTTCCCCATCTGATGCAGGTGAAAAACTGATCAGAAGAACATCTGGGTTTATGCACTTTAATTTTTAACTCAGTGGCAGGGAGGGGGAAGTAAAGGAATCTTTAAAAAGCTCTCACATCTATATTAAGTCTCTCCCTCCCATGTATCTAAATATAGAGACTGATTTGCCAAACTCGTTCCCCCATCGGCTTAGCTCTCAGATGAGCTTAAGAAGGACAGATTGTACTTGCAAAACGGGCCAGGGAGCATTTTACCACAAAACTGACAAAGCAACACATACCATATACAGAATCGTAGAATCATAGAAACATAGAGTTGGAAGAGACCACAAGGGCCATCGAGTCCAACCCCCTGCCATCGAGTCCAACCCCCTGCCTAGACTATATATAGAGATAGTCTAGTTGTGGATATTTTTGGATACAGTACTTTTGGTATGGATTGAAGAGAAAGCAGCAGAGAGGGCATTTAAAGGCTGCTCCCCGCTTTACACGATTTCAAGCCCAGTACATAACCCCTGTGTAAGTGGGGAGTCACCTGTATACAAGTTTGAAGTCAACAGCGCAGAGTATCACTTTCAAGCCCATTGCTGGCTTTCCCCACTAGGTGGGGCTTGCTGCATTCCCAGGTTTGACATTAGTTCAATTAGCTGGAGTATTTGAGCAATTTTTGTTTTGTAATTTCACGGGCTACAGGGCTGGCACAAGGTTGCTGAATAGCAGAGGCATTTTGAGAGGGAGAAGGTGGATTTCATTTAGTTTGGTGGGTAACAACTGCCGTGGAGCTGCAATCAGTACCACATTGTTCCCTGTACAATAGCCGAAGGGGAATGGTGCTGCAAAGTGATTTTTCCCCATTACACGGGACACAAGGCTGGCTGACAATGGCAGTGCTGCGCTCATTCCAAGCCACCTCAAGTCAGCTGTGTGAGAGAAGAGCCATGTTCAAATATATAAAAGGATGTCACATAGAGGAGGGAGAAAGGTTGTTTTCTGCTGCTCCAGAGAAGCGGACACGGAGCAATGGATCCAAACTACAAGAAAGAAGATTCCACCTAAACATTAGGAAGAACTTCCTGACAGTAAGAGCTGTTCGACAGTGGAATTTGCTGCCAAGGAGTGTGGTGGAGTCCCCTTCTTTGGAGGTCTTTAAGCAGAGGCTTGACAACCATATGTCAGGAGTGCTCTGATGGTGTTTCCTGCTTGGCAGGGGGTTGGACTCGATGGCCCTTGTGGTCTCTTCCAACTCTATGATTCTATGATTCTAAGAGCTGTCCTGTCCTCTTGGGCTTGGATGTTGCTCCTGGATCTGCTCTGAGATCTATTCTGGAGGCGGGTGGAACGTTTCAAGTGGGGACCACTTTTTATTCGAAGAAGAAGAGTTTGGATTTGATAACCCACTTTATCACTACCCGAAGGAGTCTCAAAGCGGCTAACATTCTCCTTTCCCTTCCTCCCCCATAACAAACACTTTCTGAGGTGAGTGGGGCTGAGGGACTTCAAAGAAGTGTGACTAGCCCAAGGTCACCCAGCAGCTGCATGTGGAGGAGCGGAGATGCGAACCCAGTTCACCAGATTACGAGTCCACCGCTCTTAACCACTACACCACACTGGCAAGACACTCAGAATGACCACTGACATTGGTGAGGAGTTGCTGATCTTAACTTGGCTGTTAGAACTGTGACTTAAGAACTTGCAACTGAGGTTGCTTTGTCCTCCTCCCTCCCATTCCTTTTTCCTTGTGCCTTTTTAGAACGTAAGCCTGAGGGCCGTCTTAATACTGATCTTTGTAAGCTGCTCTGAAAGCCTTTTTTGGATAAAGGGTGGGGTATCTCTCTCTCTCTCTTTTTTAAATGATATTTATTGAAAAAAATTTTAGAATTACAAAAAAGAACAAAGTAGAAAAAGAGAAAGAAAAAACAAAGAAAAAACAAACCACATCAAACAATCAAAAGACAAAAATTTACCACAAACATTTAAAAACAAATCCAATATTCTCAAATCCTTAACTGTCATTACCTTCTTTCTTTGACCTCCTCCTCCTCCCTTTTTTTGTATCCTGGTTGTTAATTGTCGCAGCAAATCCTTTCCATATTTCATAATATTCTGTCATTACATTACCTTAATCTATTTTAATCTTATCTTACTATAAAAAACCTTAAAGCTTAAAACTTAAATCTTATTTTTACCAATTTCTCATAACCATAATATTCTTACATAATTCTTTAAACATTTTTGCTAAAGCCAGATAATTTCGTTCCAACATTTTTCTAACATTCATCAATTTTATAAAAACAACCTGTAATAAATGTAGGGGTTACTCGTGCGCAAGTTGGTGCCACTCCTGGCTAGTTTGCCTTGTTAAACCTTTTCTGTCTGGACAGCCCTACACTTCGTGGCTGCTCAGTCGCTAGCAGAATCCGTCAGTGGGCGTTTCTTAAACCTTTTCCAGCATAAAAGTTGTTTGACTCCAAGTCTCCTCCTATTCTCCCTGCGCGGAAGTCTTCTGCGCAGGGAGGGCGAGGCAGCGGAGGACCCGTGCTCTCCTCGCTGATCTCCGGCGAGGAGTCCTGGAGCCCCCTCGCCGATTCCCCCATCTGCCCCCCTTTATCCCTGGTGTTACGCTGATTTCCTTCCCCAGCTGGTAAGCCGCCTCTCCGCCTGCTGGTCCCTTCTCCAGCATCGCTTGAGAGCCTCGCCTCCGCCTCTGGCTCCGATGTCAGTTCCCTGACACAACCCTAATAATAAAAATAAGAAAAACAATCCAATCTTCATCCAGCGTCTCTTCCTCCTGGTCCCGGGTTTTGTCAGTCCTTTTTATCCCATCAATCTAGCGCATTAACCTGGTAATCTTATATCTGAGGCCCTTAAGTCCCTTCCATGTCCCTTCCGCGGCTCTTCTTCATATTTATAGCTGTATTTTCCTTTGTCTCCTGCTCCTTTCACTCGTGGGAACTCCAGCTTAACAATATTTTTGACCCTTCTTGACAAATCAGCCCCTTACTTACCTGGCAGGGGAGACACCTTGATCATGAAGTCCACACTCTCAAAAGTTAAAAGAATTCACCTTCCACTTGAAAGTTGGAAAAATTTCCCCTCTTTCGCAACTACATGAATGTCCCGGTGAAAGTATGTGTGTGAACTTCAGCCAAACACTACTTTAAACCAATGATTTGTCCGTAACAAATTTCCTCATACCCAAATGAGTTGGTCAACAGAGTTATAGAAGCTTCATGTGTTTATGTGCATTCTAGACTCCATGCTTAGTTTATATCAGAAGTATATAAATTGAATATGAACTATCCGAGCCAGGTTAGCCTTTTAGACCTTCGGTTTTTTTAGACTCTTGATTTCCAAGCTCAGCTGAGAAGCTCACTTGGTGACCTTAGGTCTGCCACTTACTCTCGTCTTCCTTACAGGGTTGTTGCTATGATGATGGGCAGAATGGAAATCCATGCATGTATGCCCCCTTGCCCCCTTGGATGATTGACATAGCCAAAGTAAGGAAATAATGTTTGTTTGCCTGAAGCAATTAGAGTAGAAATTAGTGTACTGAATGGTCTTTGGAGATTTAATTGTTGCTTTCAAAATGTGTTTTCTTCAAAATTAGACTATGGGTGGATCTACATTCATGGTTTATAACATTAAGGAAGGGTTAAAGAACGGTTATCACAACGTATTTGGACATACTATGTTTTGCCTGTAACATTAATAATACGTTATTAAAACACCAGACAGAATTGCAGAGCAACCAGGGAAACTGCGTTGTTACGGAGGAAACAGGTAAGGAACGTTTTTGTTTTAACAGTATGCCCTGTGATGTTTAAGAAATATATATTTAATATCGTTCTAATAACGGTAAAAAAGTCAGTGTAGATCCAGCTTCTGTTACGGTGTGGGATTGAAGATCCGTTACTGCTTTTTTCTTTAATTTATGCATTTGCCATGTTTCTATTTACACATCATACTTTCCCATCATACCTTGTTTTTGTACATACGTAATGTTGGCAGTACAGAAGAGTTCTGCAAGTAATTTTAAAAGATGGAACCAACACAGGAGGTCTGGTGAGAAGACCACACTGGTCTCTTAGCATATAGCTCAGCGACAGAGTATCTGCTTTGCTGGCAGAAGATCTCAGGTTCAATCCCTGGTATCTCTAGGTAGGGCTGGGAGAGACCTCAGTCTGATATCCGGAAAGCATCTACACTCAGTGTACACAATACTGAGCTAGATGAACCAATCGCAGAAGGCAACTTCCTATACAGTCATATCTTGGAAGTCGAACGGAATCTGTTCCGGAAGTCCGTTCGACTTCCAAAACGTTTGGAAACCAAAGCGCGGCCAATTAGAAGCTGTGGAAGCCCCGTCGGACATTTGGCTTCCAAAAATAGTTCGCAAACCGGAACAGTCACTTCCAGGTTTGCGGCATTCGGGAGCCAAAACGTTCGAGAAATAAGCTGTTCGAAAACCAAGGTATTCCTATGATAAGAACACATGCTGAGTCCTAGGCATATAAGGTTTCGTCTTTTTATTTAATTCACAATTGTCAACAAAATATACATTGCAACAGTAAATCCTTTGGTACTACAGTATCATGAGATGCAACATTCACTCTGATTGTAAAGCTAGATTTCTCTCTCTCTCTCTTTCTCTCTCTCTCCTCCATCACAACCCCCTATGAGACAGAGCAGGAAAAATATGCAGCAAGAAGGGCTTACAGTTCTATAATGGACAGGACAGCTAGTACTGCACATTTAAGGTTGACATCCTCAGCATGTTTACCTAGCAGTAAGCATGCACCAAAATCAGTGGGACTTACTTCCAAGTAAACATGTGTTGGATCAGGCTCCGAATTTGCCTGGTTAACACTGCTGCCGATAACTGCTATGATTGCTGAAATCAAACGTGTGATATGCATAGAATTGGGAGCAAACATTCAAGTAGAAATTGCATTGCCTTTCTCACACTTCTCTCCTTCACGCACTCAGCAAAACAAATTTAAAAAAAAATTCCCAGAAAAGCCACCTGTTATGAATTTGGGCTCCAATCCTAGCTGTACCCACACATGCGAAAAATCTGGGGAGTGCTCTTAGATAGGTGTGGAGACAGGAGCCTGCCTGTTTATCCACTTAGAGGGTGACCTCATTGTCCTCAATGCTGTGGTGGTCCTCAGCGCTGTGGTGATGATCCTCAGTGCTGTGGTGGTGATCTTCAGTGCTGAGGTCGTGCTCTTCAGTGCTGTGGTGGTGATCCTCAGTGCTGTGGTGATGGTCCTCAGCGCTGCGGTGATCCTCAGCACTGTGGTGATCCTCAGCGCTTTCGAAAGTTTGGTTGCTGACACTGTCAGCATCATGGCCGTGATGTGCCTCTTGGAGTACCCCACTGAGGGCCTTCTTATACTCTCTGCTGTCATGGCTTTCCATGGATACGTGGCTGTCATCGTGGTCACTGTCGTCATGGGGTTCCTCAGCGCTCTCAAGTTTCTGGCGGCTGTCGTTCTCCGTGCTTTTATCGTGGACCTCTTGGCTGTCTCTCAGGTGACTTGCGTCATCACTTTCAAGGCTTGTGTCGTGGCTTTCGAGAGAATGTGACTTGGCAGAATGGGATTCGCGGCTCTCCACGTCTGGGGTGCTGTCCACGTCATCCGAAACATCACGCGAATCAAACTGCAAGGCCCACAAATGGAAGACAATAAATGGCCACCCAGAAACAGGAGGGATAGCTACAGTGTTGACTAACAGAACAACTGTCGTCTCCAGCTACGTTTTACTCATAGCAGACCCACTGAACGAACCCAAGTTAGCCATGTCTATTAATTTCAATGGGACGACTCTGAGTAGGACAAACATTGGCTACAATGCTATGCCTACTTGGAAGTAAACCCCATGACATTCACAGGGACTTTACTCTCAGGTATGTGTGCAGCCTTAAACAGGTTTAGCAGTCATCCTCTTTCTTTAGGAAGCTGTAGGAATGGACAGAGCAGCCTAATTTCACCCTGTTTCTGGCTGCATACTCACCACGCCTTTAAAGCACCCCTCCGCAAGGAATATTATATATATATATATATATATATATATATATATATATATATATGTATATGTATATATACAAATTTTATTACAGTCCCAGACGAGTTTTACATACCATACTAGACTAGCATAAAACACAATAGAATTAAATTTGGATCAACAATCAAATATAATAATAAACAATACGAATATGGCAGCCGTTGGAAAGGTGGTTTAGGTCGTAATCTCTAAAATATTATCTAGAGTTTGCATATGAGATCTTAGTCTTTGTAGTTGCACAGCTTGTTCCCTGAGTTTTATGGCAGCTACGCAAAATTTGGCCACCCTTAGTGTGAACTCTGAATCCTTGTCCTGTAACAGAAGACAATAAATCTCGATCACCTCCACGACTGAGTCGCAAAGAATATTGGTAGCTCTGTGAGGGATAAACTAAAGTTCCCATGATTCTTTGTGGAAGGGGCTGTATGCATTTGATGTATGATGTGTATACAGTTATCAGTGCCTCTGGTGCTCAGGCAAAGGTCTCTCCCTTTCAGTTCTCATTTTTTGAAAGAATGCACGAAAGGTCCACATATAAATTGTACATATTTTTGTATGTGCTTTTTATGTAACCCCCCTCCCCACACTTTTAAGAAGATAAAATATGTGCTTTTCAGTCCTCTCATTTGAAATATATATGCATTTCTGTGTGCAGGTTTTAGGTTATAATACATATTGTATGCGCACATTTTGTGGGCCAAAACTGCACCAGAAAATCTGCTGTGAAAATTGAACAAATTGCTCCCCATCCCTAGGAGAACACACACCTAGGAATCTCTAGCATTCTTAGCAGTTCAGTTTGTTGCTTCTACCCCGGAGTACCCAGGGTGGCTTCCTAATAAAGAATAAACTACATTATAAAATAAAATCAGTGTTTAAAAATAAATAAATAGACACAATCAACAATCCAAACTACCTTCACCAGACTACAACACCTAAATTTATTATGCCCAGATAGTTATAGTGGCAAAGAACAGGGCTGGGTAGGTCAGATAACTTTATAGCGACCTTACGTTTTATTTCTAATTGAACTCTGAATTGGGGAACCTGGCAAAATTTCTTTTCCTTCTGGAGCTTTTATGCTTCCAAACAAAAACAAACATGTCTCGGTTAACTAAATTTTAAGACTGGGAATCCCAGAGATTTTGCTTTTCTTTCCTGGGATTGCTAGGACTTTTGTGAAGTCTATCCACCAGATTTTTATTATTTTTATTTTGGCAGGGAGTTTCCTAAAAGAGGATTACTACTTTTCCTTCCAAGCCTTCTTTGCAACATCTTGCTTCCTGTTTCAACTGGCACCTTCACAGCGACCACAAGCGATGCTTTTCAAATATGCAATGTTTTGAATATCTCTGCCTCGCAGAAGCTTCTGTGAGACAGATGGACTTTTAAAACAGAACATTTGCTTCCTCTTATGCGGTTAGGGAAGATGAATGGAAGGAGAATGAGTTGCTTAGCGTTCTAAAAAACCCACCCAGATGTACTATAGCATTGCTGCCCCAGGGGAATTAAACCATGATGGCCATAGAGTAAGAATTCCACTGGCAAAAATGTGTGAACCGTAATAACGGCAGGTGGATTATATATTTCTAAAGAGGTCAACTGCCTAGCTCTTTTTACTTACAGTACATCTGTAGCATTTACCTTTCCAGATCTTTTGTGTGCCTTTACGGAGTCCTCATAATGTACCAGGTCAACTTTTGCCTTGATTCCGTAAGGTACATCTCCTCTGCCAGTAAAGACCTCAGGAGTGACAGGCAAGGAAAAGGGAGCCTCGGTAGGGTAATCTGTGACGCCGTTTTCATGTGACTCATCCGACTCATCCGAATCGTCATGGTCATCATCGTCCACATCACTGTGGTCGTCGTCATCTTCCTTGCTCTCGCTTTGAGGCACCAGAAGGGTCTGCAAGGAAAAAGAAGCAAGTCAGTATTACAGGATGCAGATGTAACAGTCAAAACATGTTTATAGGCCTGGGTGCACCTGATGACTGCACAACACAAACACAAGCCTAGGGGGAGGGAAAGAGGTGAAAATATTGGGAGGTATGTAGTGATGTATGGAAGTGAGAGCTGGAGCATAAAGAAGGCTGATCTCTGAAGAATTGATGCTTTTGAATTATGGTGTTGGAGGAGACTCTTGAGAGTCCCATGGACTGCAAGACGATCAAACCTCTCCATTCTTAAGGAAATCAGCCCTGAGTGCTCACTGGAAGGACAGATCATGAAGCAGAGGCTCCAATACTTTGGCCACCTCATGAGAAGAGAAGACTCCCTGGAAAAGACATTGATGTTGGGAAAGATTGAGGGTACAAGGAGAAGGGGATGACAGAGGACGAGATGGTTGGACAGTGTTCTCGAAGCTACCAGCATGAGTTTGACCAAACTGCAGGAGGCAGTAGAAGACAGGAGTGCCTGGCGTGCTCTGGTCCATGGGGTCACGAAGAGTCGGACACAACAACTAAACAACAACATGTGGTATGTGGAGGGGAGAATTAGTTAGGCACCCATGCTGTCTGCTGAGTGTCCTCTGCAGATGGCTTTTCCAGCCCTTGTCTAGCAACACTAATACAAACTCAATCTCTGTTTCCTAATATACAGGTTCCTGCCCCCTGCCCCAGGCCATGTAAACTCCCTCCTATGGTTCCTGCACTGGGGGAAACAGTGATCTGCGATGGATGGAAGTGAAGGGCACATGGATGTAAGAAACAATATTCTACTGTCGGAAGTGAAAGGCACATGGATGAAACAATATTCTACGGCAGGGATGGGGAGCCTGCAGCCTTCCAAAATTTGGTTGGACTGTGGCTCCCATCAGCCCTGACAATTGGTCATGCTGGCTGGGGCTTGATAGGGGTTGAAGTCAAACAATGCTGGGGAGAGCCATAGGCTCCCCATCCCTGTTGTACAATCCTAGTGGCAGCACTGACACAGGGGTTTCGTACCTAAGATGCACATGGTTGGAGGAAAATTTACCTGTTGCTCAGTGATCTCATCACTTTCTTCGGAAGACAGAGAGGCCTGGAAATGAAACAGTTATTTTGTGAAGGCTTGTTTTACACACACACACACACACACACACACACACACAAACACCATGATCCCACTGAATTAAAAAAAAAGTCAAATGAGTAGTTTTAGGACAGACAAAACGTCTCTGCGCATTGCATGACTGACTAATGGGATTTGCTGCTACACAATGCAGTGATGACCAGTGGCTCAGACAGCTTTAGGAGAAGATTAGACAAATGCAAGAAGGGTAGGTCTATAAAGGACTCTTATCCTTGACAACTAACTGGAACCTCTGGATTTAGAGGCAGGGAAGCTCAGAATACCAGAGGACAATCACAGAGGGACAGCTATTGCCTTTAAGCACTGCCTGGAGGCTTCCCAGAACTATCTGGTTGGCTTCTGTTGAGAAGAGGATGGAGGTGGCAGGAATTTCCTTATATCTCTTTCTGGTCAAGCGATGGATAAGTGTTTGGGTTTGGATTCAATTGGAAAGTTTAAAAAAAGACAAACTAGAAACACAAACTGAATAGAAAAGTGACCAAAAATTAAATCTAGGAACCAATACGGGGGTCTGAGGCAAGCTAAAAGTTAGTCATGACTAACGCCCAGTGGGATTTCCACATTGATCCTATGCATCTTTGCTTGGAATAAAGTCCCACTGATTCAGTTGAACCTATTTCCAGGTAGGTATGCACAGAATTGCAGCTAGATTGGGATTTTATCCAACCAGGTCTGTGGAAAATTATCTCTGCTGAAATTTTCTTGGACCAAGAACAAGAGCAAATTATCTGAATGGTTGCCTACGTACATGGATAGAAGAGTACTGGTTCTAGATTCAATCCCACTGTCCCCTCTTGGCATTTTGGTACAGTATAAAGGTAAAGGTACCCCTGACCATTAGGTCCAGTTGCGGACAACTCTGGGGTGGCGTGCTCATCTCGCTCTATAGGCTGAGGGAGCCGCCTTTTGTCCGCAGACAACTTTGGGGTCATGTGGCCAGCATGACTAAGCCACTTCTGGAGAACCACAGCAGCACATGGAAATGCCGTTTACCTTCCCGCCGGAGTGGTACCTATTTATCTACTTGCACTTGACGTGCTTTTGACCTGCTAGGTGGGCAGGAGCTGGGACCGAACAACAGGAGCAGGGATTCGAACCACTAACCTTCTGATCGGCAAGCCCTAGGCTCTGTGGTTTAGACCACAGCGCCACCCACATCCCGCTCGGTACAGTATAGGTTATATCAAATGTCGGTCGTACTCAGAATGGACCCATTGAAATTAATGGGCAGGCCAAATTTTGGTCCATTGATTTCAATGTGAGTGGAACTTAGTTGGGTACAACCACATCTTGATTCTTTAGAGATAGCTTTAACTTGATGGAGAAGAAAGGCTTCATACCGGCTGGGAGGACTCCTGATGCTCTTGAGACTCGTGGCTGTTCACATGCTCCTGGCTGTGCTCCTGGCTATGTGAGTGATGGTGGTGATGCCCGTGAGCGTGGTGTTTATGATGATGCTTGGCAACCTTTAACAATACAAAAAACAACAACGTTGGCATTCAACGTGCAACATCGCAGAGCTTGGCTAACGCAGAAGGGGAACCAGGGCCTGATCAATAGATACCCACCCCAGAACTGTGAGAACAAGGTGGAATAGTTAGCAGAATTCAGATCCTACTGCGGAAGTGTTAGGGGTGATTGAAAATAAGTCAGCTAGTGCCACCTTGAAATCAGTATTGGCCATATCAGGGCTGTGCGCAGTTCTGATTACCTCAATTTGTATACACCATACATTGAAAGCACTTCCTCTCCCCGAACTGTGGTTTCCCCTCACAAAGGTACAATGCTCAGCATCCATAACAAACTACACTTCCCAGGATCCTTTGGGGGGGTGCTTTAAATACAGTGGTGTCTCAGGTTAAGTACTTAATTCATTCCAGAGGTCTGTTCTTAACCTGAAACTGTTCTTAACCTGAAGCACCACTTTAGCTAGTGGGGCCTCCTGCTGCTGCTGCGCCGCAGAAGCATGATTTCTGTTCTCATCCTGAGGTAAAGTTCTTAACCAAGGTACTATTTCCTGAGGTAAAGTTCTTAACCTGAGGTTAGTGGAGTCTGTAACCTGAAGCGTATGTAACCCGAGGTACCACTGTATATGGTATGAACGCAGCTAAGGCTCTGAGGAAGGTGCGGGAAAGTCAACAAAAGTGACTAACTGTTCAATCTTCTGCATCTTTACTCAGAACAGAAGTAATTCTCGCTGTGTTCAGTGGGGCTAACTACCCAGGAAGAGAGGGTAGGACAGCAGCTATGGGGATGGAAGATGCTCCACTTGGAAGCAGGTCATTGTTTTTGCTTGTCTTCTCAAAGGGGGCACATGAATTCATGAAAAAGAGACTCAGCCTTATGTAATAGGTGTGTGGATCTCAGAATCGTGGAATTAATCCCAAGCTGTGATATAATAAATCCAACAGTAAAATGAATGGACTGCTAAAAGTATGGGGGGAAAGAACTTACATGATAATCTTCAGAACTCTTTGAATCATCATGGTGTTTGCCAACCTTTGAAAAGAAATGCGGGGGAATAGAGAGTCAGTATCAATTCACTTACTCTGCATTACGGAAATACGTGCTTCTCATGGCTTATTTGTTGTATTTGTATTGTACTTACAGGAGCTGCCAAGGCGATGGCGAAGAGACACATGCACAGCACAGCAATCTTCATCATGATGGATTTGCAGTTGACTGTTCAAAAACATAACAAACACTTCGCTCTTAGGACCGGTCCAAATGCACAGAAATAGTACACGGTATAAGTCTTCTTGGATAGTACCATCTCAGACTTCAAGAGGGAGATAGAATGTTTGCCTAACATATAATTCTGCCCAATATACTCATTTTTACAAAACACATTTTCCCATTATCTATATTTTCGCTCATGTATTTGTATATTATTTTAATATGCATCTTTTAAAAAATATATTACAAACTTTATTGAAAGCATATGCATTTTGTTTTCTTTGCACACATTACTTGGCTAGAGAATTGCACTGCAAAATCTGGAGAATTTCCAAGGATTTCCGTGTTTCACTTTGCATATTGTTTTGGAAAGTGGCAATCAAGTAGATTCACCTTTAAATGTGGACTGAATTAAATTTCTCCTCCATCTGTAAGTTTGCATGTGTGAATCAGCTTTTTCACATTTCCCTTTCTCATGGAAGAATACATTTTTACACACACACACACACACACACACACACACACACTCTGTGTGTTTTTGTGTGTGTAACCACAGAAAGCTATATAAACAAAGAGGCTAGCATTCTGCCTGTAGAACTTTCTTCTAGGTTTTGCACCCTGATATGATATTTCCCCTCCAAATATTATTCCAGGAAAATACCGTATCAAATCAGAATCAGTTCCCATTGGTTTCCCTGTATTTTTGCTATCACTTGACAAAGCTAATCCGAGCAACAGAAGAGACCTTCTGCTGCCCAACATCAGACAAAAGGGAATTAGATTGACTTCTCAATTCAGCACTTTGTTTGGGCTGAGAGATGAAAGAACCGAACGTAAGACCTCTGCAGATAAGATGCTCTTGATATGGTCTGATCCCAGGCCATGGCTGCAGTGGGAAAAATCTCTATCTACTGTATATGTGGTGCTGCAAACATGGGCTTGGGCAAGGCCCGCCCCCTAGATCAAGTAAAACAATAGAAATACTTAACTAACGGACTAATCATGTTGGTTCTGTGCCCCCAACAAAAGTCCTGCCCCCCCAAATCCTGGCTACGCCCATTGCTGCAAACAAAGTCAACACTGGGAGTTGTAATGACTGGGCATCTGCTGAGGCCCATGTCTCAGCAGAGGCCCCTCCAGCAACCCCTAGCGCAGCCTTCCTTAGCCAGAGGACCTCCAGAACTTTTGGACTACACTTTCCATCAACCCCTGCCAGCATGTCCAATGGCCTGGGATGATGGGATTTGTAGTCCAAAACATCCGGAGGGCACCAGGTTGCGGAAGAGTGCCATAGAGCTTCCTGCTCCTACTCCTTCTTGCTGTTGCTACCAGTTTACTTGTACTGTCCATAAGCGAGGGCTGTGAAAGAGCATCCTTCCTCTGTCCCTCTGGGCAGTGATGTAGAATGGGTCCAAAGGGGCAGGACTAAACAAATGGGCAGGAGCAACAGTGATGCAGAGGAGAGGGACTACTTAGGAAGGGCGTCTTTGCCAAGCCTTCCCTGAAACCCAAAAACCAAAAACTAAACATCCCTGGAGACCGCAAAACTTACTTCCTAGATGCTGCTGGAATGTTTCTTGGAGTTAATTGTTAGAGAAAATGGAACAACCCCCACTTTTTGGTTCTGAGATCTAGCAAATCTGCCTGACAAAGGGTAATTTTTTGAGATTCTACCAAGGAGCTGACAGTGCTCACAAATAATATAATAACCAACAGGGCAATCCTATATTCATATACTCAGAACTCAAATTCAATGGAATTTACTCCCTAGTATCTGTGCTTAGTATTGCAGCCGGAGTCGATGAATGAAATAAACACCAAGAGCAAGCACAATATTGACAAAGATTTGTATTGTTACTACATCTTCTGCTACCCTGCCTTTTACATGTGGCTTGACTCATTTGCCCGAGGCATCAAGAGCTGTTTTGGAAGAACCTTTCAATACTGTTTGCAACTGTGGAACACTGCAGTTTGGATTGCATATAGCTATTGAATAGTGTCAGATGTGGGATTAAATCTGTAGGCTCTTGGTAACTTCCACTTCTATGGATCTACCATCCTCAGCATAGCTCAGTCAGTAGAGTATGAGACTCTTAATCTCAGAGTTGTGGGTTCAAGCCCCATGTTGGGCAAAGTATTCCCAGATTGTAGGGGGTTGGATTAGATGACCCTTGTGGTCCCTTCCAACTCTACAATTCTGTGAGTCTATGATTCTAATTCTCAGTTAACTTATTCCAGAGTAGCCCACAAGGCACTCTGTGAGATTTAAAGCTTACAGACTGCAAAAGGACACACACTATTTTATTTTAAAAACCTCTGTCTTGCTCGAGAATATTACAATCCAATAGAATTTACTGATTTTTGCTCCAAGCAGATTAATGCACCAGTTCTATAAATTTCCACAGATATCAGAGCGCTGTAGTATTGTTGGAGGATAAAAATGTAAGAGGAAAACACTGCTTCGTAGCCAAAGGGAAAATTCTAGAAGAGAGAATTTCCATGGGGGGGTCCCAACTCATCAGCCAACAGATTTTCCCTCTTTCTCTGACCTTGCTGCACATTAATATGAATAGGAACCTGAAGCAGAATTTTAATTATAAGTTGGTTTTGTAATTGATCCTTCCTTCAAAGGCATTTGAAAAGAACAAGCTGAAATTTCCAAATCAGGAAGGATCGCATTGCTCAGTGTGGCACTGCAGGGGAAAAAACTGATGAATCAGGGCTCAGGGGACATCAGAAATTGATGAATCACGACGGAAGGCTAGGTATTAGCAACCAGGCTGATGGGGAAGCTGGCACACTTCACTATGCATTGCCCTTCCTCTCACAAGGTTAATGAGCACTTGTGCTAAGAGAGAAAATCGATGGGAGAACATTGCACCAAACTGTATTTGAGCAAAACCCTTGCAGAGCAAAGCAGGAGTGCTTTTTCAGAGATTAAATGCAAGAGTAATATGATGGCTTTTAGCTAGGTGCACAGTGATAATTAACTGGAAATTACATGTGAGTTGATGGTACAAGAAGTTAAAGAACCTTCTTGGACAGAGTTAAAGTCAAGCCCAGACCCTCCAGGCCTCTGATCCCAATACATATGAAATAATAACTGAGCATATACAGAGTGATTTCCCCCATTACCAAGTAATCACATCCTGCACTTGCGTATATGGGACTAAGGAAACAGATTGTTAGTTATGGTTGCCAACTGTTTTTCCTTGACGGGGCTCTTCTGTCATTTAACAGCTGCATGGTAGGCTGAATATTCAGCTCCTAGTTCTGTGCATTAGGTGGCTGTTAAAAGGCATAGGACCACCCCGCCCCCCAACATAAAGCAGCTGGCTGGCAGCCCTAGTTTCCAAAGCACAGAATCTGAATTTCTGACAAGCTTATTTGTTATATTTTCATCCTCCTCTTCCCCCATGTTATTCTCGCAACAACCCTGTGAGGTAGGTTAGGCTAACAAACAGTGACTGGTCCTAAGTCACCCATTGAACTTCATGGTTGAGTGAGGATTCGAATCCTGCACACTCCTAGTCCAGCACTCTAACCTTTGACTCACACTGGCTACCTGCGTGTAAACCCCTAGACTTCAAATATTATAAATTTAGCATCAGGGATGCTGGAATGAAAACTACATCTTGTGCCAAAAGCGTGTGGCATTGGGAGTTGGCAAGGGTACAACTCACAAATCCGTGTTTTTAAGTGGCAGGTTCTGTTCAGCAATACTCTCTCTCTCATAAACCGCTTCCTCCCCGAATCCCTAAACATTCTCCCTAGTGCAGGCAAAAGAGGCGTTGTAAATTATTTTTAAAGCTGTGCACTAAAAGTCTTTCTTTTTCTGCCCCTGAAGCTGGAGGAGTTTAAAGCCTCCATCAAGTACTGCTGCGCTGCTTTCAGCTTTCTGGAAATATAAGAAGACTGAATAAAATAGGTAAAGCAAAAGGAAAAGGCTCAGGTACCTTGCGTTGTCTGGGTCCGAAGTGTAGTCTGAGGCAGAGGTCTGCTGGTTTGTATGGAGAAGCTCAAGGCAATCCTTGGATCATTCACTCAGATGGTGCGTGATCGTTCTCCTCCTGTTCTGTTGCTTTTCTGTCTGCAGACCTCTGGAATTTAAACTCTTCTTCCAGACACGAGCCGACCAATCCCCACGAGGCGGAAAGGATGAGGTCATGAGGTTTCTTGTCACTGTCCTCCCACCGTTCTCCTACATTTCCTTCTGGGGTTTGTGGCTTTCAAAGCAAACAAGAAACTACTCTATGGTTAAAGCATTACTTATGTACAATCCCATTAACAGGCATTTCAGATCAACGCCCAGCATTCAGTCCTGAGCCAGAGGGCTTTAGGGTCAAAGAACTTTTCATGGCATTTGTCGGAAGGAGAAATAAAATTGGGAGGTAGGTTTTTTTTTCATGGAACGTCTTCATCTCAAAACAAATCATTAGAAGCTGAGGGTGGGGGGAATATGCGCTGCACACAAACCACAGGGAACAGTGGGGTGCAAATAGCATCTCTGAAACATAAATGACGAGGCAGCTCAGAATTAATCTGTATGGAAATCAATTCTTACAGATTTTATATTTAGGGAGCTTGGAAAGGCGAAGAAAGAAAGCGAAACGCCAGCTTTTGCAATATTTGCCCCCTGTCCTACAATGTGGTTGACCTCTATCACTAGTACAGGCTTATAAGGTAGCAGAAACAAATTCTTGATCCTTCTTGCCTCATCTGCCAGAATGCTCATATACATTCAACTGGTCCTCATTATTCCTGTTCTTCCTTTGGGATCCATAGCTTTATGTAACTACTAGTGATCCATCACCTGGAAAAGGCAGGATAGACGGGCAGCTTTGTGGGAGGGCTTCCCTAGTAAACCAGCCTATCACAGGCCAGATTGTCTTCCTGCTGCCAAATGACCCAATGGCGACAGTACTTAGGGGGCATTCCACTGGGCGCAGGACCAATTGCGGCCCTTGGCATCACGTCCAGGAAAAGTTTAAATGCCTGGCCTGTGGGGTCTTTCTGTTTTGCTTTGCTGGTTCTCCCACCCTCTCTCCCTCAGATTAGGGTTTTTCATGGATGGTACAATCTTGCTATGAACAATGTCATTAGCCTAATTTTCAGGGGAAGTGCAGGAATTTTCCCCACTTGGCTAACTGGCACCACCATTTGGGTTTTCGCCTACCTCATAGCAATTGTCACAACTTTGTAAGGCGGATAGGCATTGGGTAAGTCTTGGTTGGAGGGGAGGTTGTAGCCTACACCTCCATGGAAGAAGAAGAAGAGGAGTTTGGATTTGATATCCCACTTTATCACTACCCGAAGGAGTCTCAAAGCGGCTAACATTCTCCTTTCCCTTCCTCCCCCACAACAAACACTCTGTGAGGTGAGTGGGGCTGAGAGACTTCAGAGAAGTGTGACTAGCCCAAGGTCACCCAGCAGCTGCATGTGGAGGAGCGGAGACGCGAACCTGGTTCACCAGATTACGAGTCTACCGCTCTTAACCACTACACCACACTGGCTCTCACTGGGTAAGGGCATCCTCTTAAAAGGCTCTGGGAGGAATGGCTCCTGTCCGATGGCCAGGCGAGGGCTAGGGCCATGCCACTCCTCAAACGCGGACCACTTTGGGGATGTCCCAATTTGACGTAGGTCATAGTGTGCTCCCCTCCCCCGCTGTCTTCGCCCTTAGAAACATTCCCAGTGGATGGGCAGGAGTGACAGGCACTGTTGCTTACCACAATGCCTATGGCCAAACTCCACATCTGTAACCAATAATATTGTGGGCTTATTTGATCCCGAAAACCAATATGCCGTGTGTTGTCTAGTTATTCGCACCTTAGGGAACAGGGTGGTCACGGGGCCTTGATGCGCAAATCCTTCTGTTTATCAAGCAATATATAAACTTTACTAAACTAATAAACTAATAGGGAGGCTGCTGCTGCTGCTTGAAGAGGTGGCAAAGTTTATATACCACCTCATATATATCATGGTAATCCCCACTCCCAAATATATAAAAAATTCTCCCAAGTATCTTTAGGGGTCCTTTTCACGCAACGCACATGAAATGTGAAGAAAAAGAAGAAGAAGAAGAAGAAGAAGAAGAAGAAGAAGAAGAAGAAGAAGAAGAAGAAGAAGTCGAATGTATTGAATTTTACATTTTTGTATGTAGCTTCTGCAATAAACACATTTATTTTGCAAAGCAAATTATCTGAATGTCATGCTTTTTCTCTTTTGCATCAATGCATTCTTATATACAATTTACTCCAGTTACATTGCATTTCTGTACCCGTTATTCAGCTGGAGAGTTGCATTGCAAAATTCAGAGATGTGTGAATTTCAGACTGTAGCTGCATTTTGTTTTGCGTTTTGTTTTCGAAAGTGCAAATTTGGTGGGTTCCTCCTTAAATGTGCATTTAATTGAATTTGTCCACCCTCCTCTAGTGAAGAGTGAGAAAAAAGAAATGGCGTAAGGCACAATGGTGTCAAACTACTGCAGTGCATCCGTGCCATTTGCAATGCAACCGACAGACTTTAGGTTAAGGTGTCATGCAGTCTGAAGATTCTTCATGACCTCTTGACATTTATTTCACTGGTACCTTATTTTGAAGCTGCAGAGTGACTAGCTAGCCACCAGAGGGCTCTTATTGACGGCCCTGCTTTTGCAACAGTTTCCCCACCCTCTTATTGAGGTTACCTTGTTTAGGCAGACATAAACAAGATAAAATAAGGGGGGGGGGTTGGGAACATGTGTTTGGGTAGAAAACCAGTTTCTTCAAAATCAGGGTTGGGAAGACATCGGTGGATTCGAAAGACACGTGGTCACTGAGTTTCTAGGAAATCAACAAAAACAAAGTCCAGTTTGAAATGAAATTTAAAATTTGGGTTTCAAATGTCACTTGGCAGCCAGAGTGTAAATAAGGTCTCTGTGGTCACAGCTTTCCAAAGCAAAGCAGGCTGTGTGGAGTAAATAGAAGTTTACATGAAAAGCAAACGAAGAACCCAAATGTACCTTCACTATTGCTGGCAATCTATCTTGCTGGGAGGTGATGGAGATTTTTTTGGGGTGTGTGGATAGATGAGAAAGAGAAGGAGCCTTTAAAATCCTCTCACCCAAATGGCCCATCTAATAATAATAATAATAATGAAAGCCTGGAATAAGAAATATGTTTATCAATTGAATTACATGTTCTCACTTTCACTTTAAGGAGGACAGACGAGAACAGACTGTTCTCAGGTAGGAAGGGACTGTTCTCTGGTCTCCTGTAGCTGCACATAGAATAGGACAGAGAGAATGTGGCCTGCAAGGCATGCTGAGAAAGAAGCAGAGCCAAGGATCCCTGTTACAAAAACAAGTTTCAGTCCATCAAATTGCTGAGTCAGGATTGTCAACTATAGCATTGGGTTTTGACTATCTTCTTGAGATGGGGTTTAAAATTTCTTTACCGACCAGCAAATGTTAAAGATGAAGTTCTTGGACAAGGGTGGGGAACCTCAGGCCTGGGGACCAAAATGTGGCCCTCCAAGCCTCTCTCCCTGGCCCTCAGGTCTCTTCCCAAGCCACTCCCTAAGCCTGTTAAGCAGAATGGATCTAATTCACATAGAAATGAAAAACGTATGTGTATTAATGAAGGTTTGAAATGGAAAAGGGCTCAATATGCATTGCTAACATTTGAATGAGAAGTGACTATACTTGCTTTTGTTCAACTTTTGATTAGATAGCTCATTTTTAAATTGCTTTTGTACTATGCAGCCTACTTGATAATGCTCAATTTACAAATGCATGATTCATCCCTGCCGTATAAAATTTTGTAAAATTTCCTGCAAATAACAACAACCAACAAAATGCTGGCCAGGGAGGCTGATGCTGTCAACTTTTCAAGTGAAGAAGAAGTGTATGAACTCTATTGAATGGATAATTGAGAAGGTACTAACCATAAACGCAACCCTCCCAAACCTGGCTTTCCTCAGCTGGTCACCTACATAATTGGTCCCGGCAGCAGTGGCAGGTAATAATTTCTTGGATTCCGAATCTGCTGCCCCCTGTGGATCCTGGCACCTGAGGTGGCTGACTCACCTTGCATCATGGGTGTGCCAGCCCTGGTCATGCTACAGTGTGACAAAGAAACAAAACACAGGAAATAGCTTTAAACATTTATGGTATACTAGCGCAGAAAAAACACACACCATTTTACAAAAATGGATTAACAAAACCATGGGTTTAATCATGACTAAATCTGGCTCCAGCCCATAAAGTTTTGTACGGAAATTCTAATTCACCCCCCAAATACCCCTCATTGAAATTGCAATACGTTGCCACAATCATTTATTTATTTATTTATTTATACATACATACATACATACCCTGCCCATCTGGCTGAGTTTCCCCAGCAACTCTGGGTGGCTCCCAACAGACTATTATTATTATTCATAATAAAGCAATAAAATATCTGTCATTAAAAACTTCCCTAAACAGGGCTGCCTTCAGATGTCTTCTAAAAGTCAGATAGTTGTTTATTTCCTTGACATCTGATGTGAGGGCATTCCACAGGGTGAGCGCCACTACCGAGAAGGCCCTCTGCCTGGTTCCCTGTAACCTCACTTCTCACAGTGAGGGAACCGCCAGAAGGCCCTTGGCACTGGACCTCAGTGTCCAGGCTGAACGATGGGGGTGGAGACCCTCCTTCGGGTATACTAGGCCGAGGCTAGCTTCCACATTCTGGATTAGTTGTAGTTTCTGGGCCACCTTGATAGGCAGCCCCATGTAGATCACATTGCAGTAGTCCAAGCGGGAGATACCTAGAGCATGCACCACAATGGCTATGCTATACCTCCATGGTAGGTGAGGTGGTAATGCTTCTGGATATCAATTTGTCAGGAATGAGCCAGCTCCTAGTGGAACTTTGCAGCCTGCAGCATGTCAGAGACTTAGATATGACACAGGCTGAGCAAAGAACACAGCAGTCAATGGTGACTCTTCCAGAGATTGGAATGTCGGTTGCCAAGGGAACAACTGAGAGCGGGCTGGAACACAGCCAAAGCTCTCATGAAGCTCAAACAGGCATGAACAGACACGGAGACAGTCTGTCAGAGCAGGTAGAGGCTGGAGCTAATCCAATAAGTTGGAAGTTGGCGAATGGGAGGGCTGCTAGATAGGAAGCAAAACAAGAGACCCAAGGGGAGACAGTTCAATATATTCTGTAGTATCCGGAAGAAGTCTTCAGAAGAGTCATCTTGAGTGATAATGTCAGCGGCTGCGGCATGCTGTTTATTTTTGCAATAAATCCTCCTTTTTAATTACCTACACTTACTGTGTTATCAAGCTGGGAACCTGGACTCCTGACACAGTTGCTGGAAGCCACAGGAGGGGAGAGTGCTGTTGTGCTCAGGTTTTGCCAAAGGGTTTCTTACTACCATCTGGTTGGCCACTGTGAGAACTGGATGCTGGACTAGGTGGGACACTGCCCTGATTCAGTAGCCTCCTCTTATGTTGTTTTCCAGGAAGAGAACATGTGCATTGACAAAGGGGGGAATTTGGGAGGTGCACAATGTTGTTGCGGGTGCCTTTCCTCCTCCCCAAATGAACGCCCCACTCCAAGTGGGAGAAAACCAGAGCATGCACCACTCTGGTGAGACAGTGCGCAGGCAGGTAGGGTCTCAGCCTGCGTACCAGATGGAGCTGGTAGACAGCTGCCCTGGACACAGAATTGACCTGCGCCTCCATGGACAGCTGTGAGTCCAAAATGACTCCCAGGCTGCGCACCTGGTCCTTCAGGGGCACAGTTACCCCATTCAGGACCAGGGAGTCCTCCACACCCGCAGCTGCCCTCTGTCCTCCCAAAACAGAATAGGCACTGCGTAGATAGTAAGAATGTTGCCAGAAAGGAACGTTTCTGGACTCCTGAACTTCAAAATACCAGCACACAAGTTGTTTACAAGATGTTAACTATGACGATAATGGGCAACAGATGGAGAAAGAACATCCTGCATATAATTTGATGTTAGACATATAGGAAGATTATTGGTTGAACACGTGGCAGAAAGTTTGGCAGGAGCAATGGCAAATTGTGGCTGGCCCCACATGTGGAGAAGGAAATTAAGCTTTAAGGTACACATTACAGAGAGGAAAGGGAAGCTTTGGATTTCTAAAACCAAGAGACGTGGAGAGGTCTGGGGCGCCATTTAGGGAGGGTAACAGGGGCCGCTCTCTCCTGCATGTGATTATTTCTCTACAGCACCTATTATCTCAGTCCATTTTGAATTATGGTGCTGGAGGAGACTCTTGAGAGTCCCATGGACTGCAAGAAGATCAAGCCTATCCATTCTGAAGGAAATCAGCCCTGAGTGCTCACTGGAAGGACAGATCCTGAAGCTGAGGCTCCAATACTTTGGCCACCTCATGAGAAGAGAAGACACCCTGGAAAAGCCCCTGAAGTTGGGAAAGATGGAGGGCACAAGGAGAAGGGGACGACAGAGGATGAGATGGTTGGACAGTGTTCTCGAAGCTACGAACATGAGTTTGACCAAACTGCGGGAGGCAGTGGAAGACAGGAGTGCCTGGCGTGCTCTGGTCCATGGAGTCACGAAGAGTCGGACATGAGTAAACAACTAAACAACAACAACATCTCAGTCCAACTCTCTAGAGGAACAGCTGCGCTTGGAACAGTGATTCCTGAAGTCTAAACAAAACTGCAAAATTCTATGAGGGTAACATTGAATGCATGGTACGAAACCTACTTGGTGTCTGCAGTATGTTGATGCATGGGCAACAATAGGTTATCTGTCATGTTAGGTTCTGATGCTCTCTGCAATTCCCTTATTTTCATTTTGCAGTCAGATGAAACTCCCCAATATAGGTTTGGATATGCCCCTTCGCACCTGTGTGCTGAGGGAGATCACTCAACATCATTTAAAAAAAAAACAGATGCAAGGAACCCAGATTGAAAGAGGGCCATCATGGTATTGGGAGAAGGAAACTTTAGGCTTTCCACTGCCTAAAGCCCCTGCCTCCCTCTACTAGCGAAACAACATGGAGAAAGGGTTAACTCCCTCCTCCACCAGCGCCCCTCTGGTACAGCAGCTTTTGAACCTGAAAAAATACTTTGCAAGTTCAGTGTTGCTTACATTGACTAGCTGGTTTTCACATGGGGGACGATCCTGGTCCTACCTGGAGATGCTGGGGATTGAACCTGACATTTTCTGCATGCAAAACAGGTATCAGGACAGGAGTAGGCAGGAAAGGTGACAACAATCATGAATCTACCAAAATAGATAGATACTGGCTTAATCTAGGTTGATATTGTTGTTGTGAGGTATCTGAAAAAGATCACAACCAGTTCTTAAAAAACAAATTACTTTTTAAAAGCAATTTAATTCTTTGATACTGTATATCCAGTGGATGGGCCTGTGAATCTGCCCCCTGCACAGGAAATAGCTTTGCTGTCCCCTCCACCCACCAACCAAACCCTGATATGGCATCTTGAGGTAGTTGGTGGACAGGATTTTGAGAAGCAATAGAGATATATAGGCCCAGCCCTGAAGTGTTCAGGTCCTGAGTACATTGGAAAACATAATATATAATTGCACACACAAGTCTGTGAATTACGGAAGTTCCTCGTATGGCCCTATGACTGAGTGCCGTTTAGCCCATTTTGGTCAAGTGACTTTTATTTCTCCGTGGAAAATGCAATAACAGCAATACTCAATGGAAACAGTTATTGTGGAAAGTGGTTTTAAATGGCCTTCAGGTGGACATCTTATGACGTGTTGTGCAATCTCAAAAGATAAAGACTGGGTTCTCAAACTGGGGTGGGGGCATATGGCAGCTATAGGAGGTTGTGAGAATTACATTCTAGAGAAAGAAAGTGTCCTGTGGCAGACAGTGCTTTCATTCTACTGAGAAACTGCTTGGTTCTTAAAGCCAGGGCCGGCCCACAGGCAAGGCAAGGTGAGGCAGCTGCCTCAGGCATCAGGTCCACAGGGGCAGCAGATCCAGATGTAGCTATTTACTCCCCGCTTGTTCCTGATGTAGGTCTTCACTGACTCCTTCTACCCTGGCAGGGAGGCGGGTGCCATTTTGCGGTTTGCCTCAGGTGTCGAAATGTCTTAGGCCAGCTCCGCTTAAAATTATATTGACAAATAGTTCATGACAAGTTAAACTCCTTCTGTTTATTAAGACTTCAAGTGGGAGGCTGCAGAACTGAATGCTCTCCTGTATGTATGTATGTATGTATGTATGTATGTATGTATATATGCAGGCATGAATGTGTGTGAGAGTGTGTGTATGAGTGTGCATATATGTATAATAAAAACAGCACCTTTCTGTGCATAGAAAACTAGATGCTTGTCACATAGTTTGGTGTTGCATATAGGGAAAAATGAATTTGCCAATTTAGTCTCTCTCAGAAAAAGTACAAATGGGGGCCTCCGTAAAGTAGGACATGTGGATCTTGGTCCATTTAACGTTGGCTCCCAAAGTCAGATTTTTTTTTCACTTGTGCAAATATTTCTGAGCTATGGGGCTCATGCGAATTTCAGGCTTCTTGTCCTGCCCAACTGTTTTTCACGTTTTCATCTACTCATTATAACCACAGCAAGAGGAGGAAGACACAGAACATTCCTGATGTCTTTCCAGCAGTCTAGTGGAAAGACGTTCCTGGGTGTCTTCTTGGAATTTATCTGTGAGTGGAAACATCATCAGTGGCATCTCACCACAATACAAAGGAAGTCTGAACACCTCCCAGAAATAAACCTATGATTTCATTGGGACAGCCTTACTGACCCATGGCCACAAGGTAAACATTGCGTCTCAAACACTCACCGGAACTTATGGTTACAGGGCATTGAAAACATTTTTTTCAGTAGATTTCACAATAATAATAAAAAAGGACATCTTCATTTAGTTTACATAGCTGGAATTCTTATTGTCCAAGCATATGAGAGACTGCTTTCATACTGCATTGATCCAATTCATTGGACATGACCCAGCTAACTTTTGGGGGACTTCCAATGCAAGCCTGACCAAGTTCAATGGAGCTTACTCCTTGGTAAGCAAGCCTAGGATTGCAGTCCGAAAAACATGCTTACATATCTCTCAATAAACCATAATGAAAGAAACCTTCTACCGGATAGCTGAGTTGGTCTGCTGCAACAAAAATAGCACCCTAAAGCATGTGGAAGATTTCAGGCCTGGAGACAGAATGTAGCTCTCCTGGGAATGAGTTCTAGTTCATTAAAGCTGTGTTGAAGTAAAGCAACATTTTTTTCTATTAGTCTCTAAAATGCCACATGACTTCTTGTTGCCGCTGTTAACCACTCATGAATCACCAACCAAAAATGGCTCTTTCATTTGTCTGTTTGTATATAGGAACCTGCTTTTACACCATGGCAGACTGTTTTGGCCACCCAGCTGGGATGTATTAAAATGTTGGTGGTTTATAAATATTTTTTAAAATAACAATAGAAAAAAATGAAAGACTAGTATTCGTGATATTTTGGATATTGATGCAGGCTGGAACTAGATGTAAAGTAATGCCATCGTGTTCTGCATTTCTCTGCCACACTGTTGGTTGCTGTTGGAGAGGAGGGTTGGGCACTATATCATGTGTTTCCTTACGTGCACATTCAGGAAGAGCAGAGCGTAAATACAGGGCTGCCATTTTGGTTGCCAGCCCTGTGAGCAGTGTCAGCGCCCAGTTCTAGCTATAGCTGCGGGTTCCTTTCTATGGGATAAGCTGTAGGTATTTTTTTATTTTTTTTTACTGATAAATTTTTATTGGTATTATACATATATACATATAAACTTATACAAAGTCCAATACTTAAATTACACATAATATATTCATTCCATAAATCATAAATACATTTATTTTAGGCTCTGCCAAGCCTTGAACTTCCTTCCACTCCTTTGGTAAGTATCAAATAGACTTTATATTCACGTATTTTATCTCTTTTACATAATAACCTTTTACTGTTAGAGTTATTCCAATCCCGCCAGTGTCATTTAAAGTTTGGCCCCAATATATGTCCAATATTTAATCCAATTGTCATGAAATTTCTGTTCATCTTGATCTCTTATTCTTCCTGTTATTCTAGCGAGCTCGGCATAATTTGTTAATTTAATCTGCCAATCACTTATATTAGGTATGGCGTCCGTTTTCCAATTTTGTGCTAACATGATTCTTGCGGCTGTTGTGGCATATAAAAATAGTACCTTATCTTCTTTTTAAATTTCTTTACCTGTAATTCCTAGCAGAAAGGCTTCAGGTTTTTTGGGAAACGTGTATTTAAATTTTTTTTTAAGCTCATTATAAATCGATTCCCAAAAGCCTTTCACTTTGCTGCATAACCACCACATACGGTAGAAGTCACCATCTACTTCTCCACATTTCCAACATCTTTTGTTCTTTAGCCTATAGATCTTAGTCAGTTTCACTGGTGTGAGGTACCACCTAAATATCATTTTCCACATATTTTCCCTTAATGCCATACATGCCGTGAACTTCATGTTAATATTCCATAATTCTAGCCATCTCTCAAAATCGATGTTATAGCCAATGTCTATAGGCTGTAGGTATTTTTTACGGACATCCTTGTCATTTTGTGCCTCAGGGTTCGGCCATCGCTTGGTTACTTTCACAAACTTTTAAAAAGAATCTTCTGTCACCCTTCAAAAAGTAAAGTGAAAATAAAACCCCAACAACACGTCATGGTGTGTCTATGCTTTCCAACCCTGAGGTGAGCCTTGCTTGTTGTCTTTTCCTAGGCTGAGGCTGGGCTACACTGGAACATTTGGATAAATGCCTCCCAGCTATGTCTGGAAAGTGCCCTTCGCATGTTCGTTCTGTATCACTTTACGCCGCATTGTGTGACAGACATTTCTCCAAGCAATGCTTGTGCTGTGAGGTCATTCATAATTATTAATCAATATTTGAAGGAGGTGCTTTTCTTGTCTCTAGCAACCTCAGAATGTACCTTTCACCACACCAGTACAGTGGTACCTCAGGTTACATACGCTTCAGGTTACATATGCTTCAGGTTACAGACTCCGCTAACCCAGAAATAGTACCTCAGGTAAAGAACTTTGCTTCAGGATGAGAACAGAAATCGTGCTCTGGCGACATGGCGGCAGCAGGAGGCCCCATTAGCTAAAGTGGTGCTTCAGGTTAAGAACAGTTTCAGGTTAAGAACGGACCTCCGGAACGAATTAAGTACTTAACCCGAGGTACCACTGTATTTCCTTGCTCTGCCAGAGTTGCTAATATGTCTCTGCTGTGATTTTATTTTTATTCTTTTTTGTAACACATTTTCGTGAGGAGGAAGGAGCTGTGATGCTTCACTTTGCACCATGCCAGCTGACGGTACCTCTGGCACAGATCTCTACATGAGTTGACCTGCACAACCAAGACTCCAGCTCCTGTAAAAGCCTACACAGTGTGCATAGACAAGTGTGCTCATAGGCTGTCTCAGTTAAGATACCTGTGCACAACAACATAGAACAACAATAATAACAATATAGAATAATAATATGGAAATGGATGAATTCCTCCAGAACACACTCTGCTTTTGAAATCTGCAGCCTTTTAAACCAGATACAGTTTCAAAAGTACTTAATTCGTTCTGGAGGTCCGTTCTTAACCTGAAACTGTTCTCAACCTGAGGTACCACTTTAGCTAATGGGGCCTCCTGTTGCTGCCACGCCGCTGCCATGGAATTTCTGTTCTCATCCTGAAGCAAAGTTCTTAACCTGAAGTACTATTTCTGGGTTAACGGAGTCTGTGACCTGAAGCATCTGTAACCTGAAGCGTCTGTAACCCGAGGTACCACTGTAATTCAGAGTCAAACATGCAGTCTCTTCCTGATGCTAATTGTGGTTAAGCGATTTCTACCTGTGCCAAGCCAAGATGCCCACAAACTGCACAGACAAGCGAAACCACCAGTGGGTGAGGCACTGATTAGGAGCCACATGACAATGGCTTGCCTCGGTTTCTGTTTGCAGCGTCTGCTTCCTACCCCCATGATAAGAAAGTGCATGGAACCGCTTCCCAGATGCAAACTGTGGTTCCTGTGTGTATGTCTGCTTGCAGGCCCTTGTAAACATACCCTAATCTTGCCTGCCCACTCCTGCCTCAAAGGCAGGACTTTCGGTAAGGGCAATGGCAATTAAAAAACCCTACATGTCTCGAATACAATTACACGGTTAGCTTCTTTTTATTTATTCGATGTGTCTGTGTTGGCTTCTTGCTCTGGGGAGAGGAGGCGGGGGTGCTCATTGTGACAGTAAATTGTTGCAATAAAAACAAGAAAAATGAAGCCCCAGACCTAAGTATGATGTAACACAAGGCTTCATTGTTCTTGGACTTTGTTTTCCCACATGTGCACATTTATGAAGGTCGTGCCCTTTGCTATCATCCCCGGCAGAAGTCAAAACACTTGGCTTTCTAAGTTGTAAAACTTGAGGGTTGGCTCAAGACATTGAGCCATTTGGAGCAGTTGCAGCCTCACACAACTTTGGAGGTGGGTTCTTCTTCTTCTTCTTCTTCTTCTTCTTCTTCTTCTTCTTCTTCTTCTTCTGTTTTATAGACTACTCATCATCATGTCAGAAACATGAGGGTTGGTTTCCAACATATAAAATAAATTGATTACAGTGTAGTTGTTAGGGCAGAGAATGGGAATCTGCTACCTTAAAGATGTTGCTTGATCATTGGCCATCATGAGGCTGATGGGATTGGAATATATAAAAATCTGGAGATTTCCGAGTGTTGGACTGGGATTGGGAAAACCAAGGTTCAAATCCTCACTGAGCTATGAAACCAAGAAAAGACACATCATCCTCATCCACAAAATTTACTATCTACATGCCCTGCCATCTGACTGGGTTCCCCCAGTCGCTCTGGACAGCTTCCAACAAATTAAAACACAATACGACATCAAACATTGAAAACTTCCTTAAACAGGGCTGCCTTCAGATGTCTTCTAAGTCAGATTTATTTGACTTCATCTGATGGGAGGGCATTCCACAGGGCGGGTGTTATGTACTGAGTTGAATAGGATCCAAACTGCAGCAGTCTGATTGGTCCTAGAACAATAGGATCCAAAAGGCAGCAGTCTGATTGGTCCTAGAACAATAGGATTCAGAATGCAGCAGTCTGATTGGTCCTAGAACAATGCAGCAGTATGATTGGTTGGCAGGAACCACCCAATCCTGCTCCAGATAGAAGTGAATCCACAACCTGATTGGCTTACAGTAGAATTCCAGAATTAGCCAATCATGTGCAGCCCATTGTGTAAATAATGTATATAAAGCAGATACTGTGAGGGGACATTCATTCATTCCTCCTCACCACTATGAGCTGAATAAAGAGCATGAAATCACTTTGCGACTCTGAGTATATTTCACTGGCGACGAGGATGGGATCCCGCTGAGCTGACTGCCACACACAGCACCGCAGCACCGCCAACTGCCGCACCGCTGCCTCGCACCGTGTATCCAGGCTTCAGCTCCGGGACACAAGGAACTCAGAATGGCAACCGACAGCAGCTTCTCGCCATTCAACCCAGCATCTGGAGACTGGGAAGCGTACGCCTCCCGTTTCACCTTCCTCCTAGAAGCCAAAGGGGTCACCGACGAAGAAGACGCCAAGAAGAGGGCGATATTCTTCAGCGTCTGCGGAGAGGAGACGTTTGAAATCGCCCGGGCTCTCCTTGCGCCTGAAGACGTCGCTACTGTTCCATACAAAACAATAATGGAACAGCTGAAGGGGCACATTTCGCCGCAGCCCTCAGTGGTGGCTCGTCGAAATGCCTTCTACGCAAAGCGGCAAGCCCCTGGGGAAACCATAACTGGGTTTGTGACCTCTCTCCGCCAAGCCGCCCGGTTCTGCAACTTCTCAGAGCTGGAGAACATGCTTCGTGACCGCCTCGTCGGTGGCCTGAAGGATGAGAAGCTGCAACGACGCCTCTACGCTAAGAAGGACCTAACGTTCCAGGTCGCTCTGGAGGAGGCCCTGGCAACAGAAGCTGCCGAGAGGTCGACCCAAGAGGCACGGCCGAGCCTGCCATCCCAACCGAGGGTCCACCACGAAGACCTCACCGACGACTCAGGATCCGACAGGGAGGAGGTGCACCGAGTACAGCAGCGCACTCAAGCAGCGCACAGACCACAGCTGCCTCGACGAGAAGGAGGGAACTGCGCAAGCTGCGGGGAGAGTCACGAGAGGAGGACCTGCCGTTTCCGCAACGCAGAGTGCAGGCAGTGCAGGAAATCGGGACACATCGCCCGGGTGTGTCGGGCTCGGCCCACCCGACACCAGGCATCAGATGACCAATCCAAGAGCCCCAGGTCCCGGGGCCCAACGCACCAAGGCAACTCGACGGAGCTCACGGACTTCCAGGTATACCAGTTGCCCCACCCCAACGTAGAGAAAATTTATGTAGAGGTACAGATAGAGGGGCCCCATGCCGCATGGAGCTTGACACGGGTTCAACTCTATCCATAATCTCGGCAAGGACCTTAAGGAAACTGTGTCCGACTGGGGGTCCCAAACTCAGGCCGGCCCCATTCACCCTCCGGGACTTCCAGAAACGTAAGGTCCCCACAATGGGGGTGGGGACCTTCAGGGTGCAATACCGAGGGCGGACGCGGCAACTGGACTTGCTTGTGGTCAAGGGCCCCTACATTAGCTTACTGGGATTGGCATGGTTTGGACCACTGGGGCTAGCTGTCACCGGGGTGAACCACACTAGCTTACAAGTGGACGTGGACGCCATATGCAAGGAATTTCCAGGGGTTTTCGATGGGAAATTGGGACAGTATACGGGCCCCCATTGCGCTACAGCTTGACCCCGCAGTACGACCGGTCAGGCTCAAGGCCCGCCGGGTCCCGTTCGCCTTGAAACCCCGTATAGACGAGGAATTGGACCGACTCGTGGAGCAAGGAGTGCTGGAGCCGGTGCCTAATGCCCCCTGGGAAACCCCAATCGTCACACCCGTCAAGCCTAATGGTTCGGTCCGCATCTGCGCAGACTACAAATGTACCATAAACAAGGCCCTCACGGCCCACGCATACCCAGTGCCAGTGGTCAGCCATGTCCTAGCCACCCTGGCTGGGTCGAAATATTTAGGCAAGCTGGACTTGGCCCAAGCATATCAACAGCTGCCAGTAGATGAGGCCACAGCAGAGGCACAGACGATTGTGACGCACAGAGGAGCGTTCAGGGTAAAGCGGCTGCAATTCGGTGTCAGCGTGGCACCAGGCATATTCCAGAATCTAATGGACTCTCTCCTTAAAGGGATTCCTGGCGTCACCCCTTCTTCGATGATGTGTTGATTGCCGGGCCCACACCAGAGGAGTTTGAGGACCGCCTCCGCACCGTTCTGCACCGTTTCCAGACGGCGGGTCTCAAGGTGAAGCGGGAAAAATGTCTACTAGGAGTGCCTCAGGTGGACTTTCTGGGATTTATGGTGGACGCAGAAGGGGTCCACCCGACTGGGGACAAGGTACGGGCCATTTGTGATGCCCCAGCGCCCAAGAGCAAGACTGAACTTCAGGCCTTCTTGGGACTATTGAACTTTACCATTCCTTCCTTCCCCACAAGGCGGCGGTAGCGGAGCCCCTACACAGACTCCTGGACAAGCGGGCCCCTTGGGTGTGGGGCCAGCGCCAGGAGGCCGCATTCCAGGCAGTCAAGGACTTGCTTGTCTCAAACTCGGTCTTGGCACACTTCGACGAGAGGCTGCCGGTGGTGCTAGCATGCGACGCCTCACCCTATGGCATTGGAGCTGTCCTGGGGCACCAACTCCCGGATGGAAGAGAGGTACCGGTGGCGTACTTTTCCCAGACACTCAACACAACCGAGCGGAACTACTCGCAAATCGACAAGGAGGGTCTGGCAATCGTAAAGGGAGTAAAAAAATTCCATGATTTCTTGTACGGGCGGCCCTTCACCGTGGTGACTGACCACAAGCCGTTGCTTGGCTTGTTTGCCCCGAAAGCAGACCCTCCAAGTGCTGTCTCCTCGCGTCCTCAGGTGGTCAATTTTCCTTGCCAGCTACCAGTATGCACTGATTCACCGACCTGGGAAGGCGATGGGCCATGCGGACGCCCTCAGCAGGCTACCACTACCGGAAACAGGCCCTGACCCAGCACCTGCACAAGAGGTTATGAGCCTGGAGCTGCTTCCCGACCGCCCCATTCAGGCACAAGAAGTTGCACACCATTCCAAGAAAGATAGGGTCATCTCCCGGGTCCTGGACTGGGTGTGGAGGGATGGCCCAGCAGCAGCCCGGGCCAGAATTCGCCGGCTACACAACCCGCAAACATGAACTGTCGGCCCACAAGGGGTGCCTGTTATGGGGAAGCAGAGTCGTTGTTCCCCAGCCCCTCCGCAAAAGGGTCCTCACAGCCCTACACGAGACACATCCAGGGGTAGTAAGAATGAAGGCCCTTGCCAGGAGTTATGTGTGGTGGCCGGGGATCGATGGAGAGATAGAGGCCTGGGTCAAACACTGCCAGGCCTGCCAAGAATCCCGCCCAGATCCCCCAAGGGCCCCAGTCCAGTCCTGGGAGTCCGCCCGAGCACCATGGTCACGCCTGCATGTGGATTTCGCTGGCCCCTTTCAGGGGAAAACATTCTTCATAGTGGTGGACTCCTACACCAAATGGCTGGAAGTCGCACTGGTACCGTCCACTTCCACGTCCGCAGCCATCCGGGTACTACGCAGGCTGTTTGCAACCCATGGGCTCCCTGACACTCTCGTCTCAGACAACGGGACTGCATTTACGTCAGGAGAATTCCAAACCTTCACAGCGCAGAACGCCATCCGCCACATCCGTTCGGCGCCGTTCCACCCTGCCACCAATGGCCAAGCAGAACGCATGGTGCGGACCACCAAGGACACCCTTCGCCGCATGACGCAAGGGGACTGGGAGTACCGCCTTGCCACATTCCTTCTAGCACAGCACAGCACCCCCAGCTCAACGACTGGCCGGAGCCCTGCTGAACTACTAATGGGTCGGCGCCTTGCAATCAGATTGGACCGCCTTCACCCCGATAGAGCTCAGGATGAGGTAGTGGTGGGAGAAGGCAGGAACCCCCGGACCTTTGAGGCCCAGGACCCAGTGTACGCAAAGAATTTTGGGGCAGGCCCAGCATGGGTACCCGCCACAGTCACCAGGGTCACTGGCCCCGTGTCGTACGAGGTGCTAACGGATGGGGGCAATGCTGGCGCCGCCACTGCGACCAGATACGGCGACGATTCCCGGGAGAAAACCAGGAGGAGGACAGGTCAGAGGAGTCCCAAGGGAACAGCGGGGCAGTGAGGCCCATAGAGCAGGAGGGGCCAGCAGGAGAGGCAGAATCAGTAAATACAGAGAGGACCCGTGAGGCCGAAAGGACACCGGAACCAGAACCACGACTGAGCGAGCCGGTTGCACCAGACCAAACAGCCCCATCACAGCCAGCATCCTTGGAACACGAGCCAGAACCTGGAGCCCGGACCAGGGAACACCCCAGGCCACAACGCACACGTAGGCCGCCGGCGTACCTTGAGGACTATGAATGCGACCTCCCGGGCAGGACTGGACCTTAGAGGGGAGGGTGTTATGTACTGAGTTGAATAGGATCCAAACTGCAGCAGTCTGATTGGTCCTAGAACAATAGGATCCAAAAGGCAGCAGTCTGATTGGTCCTAGAACAATAGGATTCAGAATGCAGCAGTCTGATTGGTCCTAGAACAATGCAGCAGTATGATTGGTTGGCAGGAACCACCCAATCCTGCTCCAGATAGAAGTGAATCCACAACCTGATTGGCTTACAGTAGAATTCCAGAATTAGCCAATCATGTGCAGCCCATTGTGTAAATAATGTATATAAAGCAGATACTGTGAGGGGACATTCATTCATTCCTCCTCACCACTATGAGCTGAATAAAGAGCATGAAATCACGTTGCGACTCTGAGTATATTTCAGCGGGTGCCACTACCGAGAAGGCCCTCTGCCTGGTTCCCTGTAACCTCACTTCTCACAGTGAGGGAACCGCCAGAAGGCCCTCGGAGCTGGACCTCAGTGTCCGGGCTGGATGATGGGGGTGGAGACACTCCTTCAGGTACGCTAGTAAAGATAAAGGTAAAGGGACCACTGACCACTAGGTCCAGTTGTGACCAACTCCGGGGTTGTGGCACTCATCTCACTTTACTGGCCGAGGGAGCCAGCGTACAGCTTTCGGGTCATGTGGCCAGCATGACTAAGCCGCTTCTGGAGAACCAGAGCAGTGCACGGAAACGCTATTTACCTTCCTGACGGAGCGGTACCTATTTATCTACTTGCACTTTGACGTGCTTTCGAACTGCTAGGTTGGCAGGAGCAGGGACCGAGCAATGGGAGCCAATGTAGGTCTTTCAGGACCAGTGTTATGTGGTCTTGGCAGCCATTCCCAGTCACCAGTCTAGCTGCTGCATTCTGGATTAGTTGTAGTTTCCAGGTCACCTTGAAAGGTAGCCCCACGTAGAGCACATTGCAGTAGTCCAAGTGGGAGATACCTAGAGCATGCACCACAGTGGCTATGCTGTAACTCCATGGTAAGCGAGGCAGTAATGCTTCTGAATACTAGTTGCTGGAAGTCACAGGAGGTGAGAGTGCTGTTGTGCTCAGGTTTTGCCAAAGGGTTTCTTACTGGCATCTGGTTGGCCACTGTGAGAACTGGATGCTGGACTAGGTGGGACACTGCCCTGATTCAGCAGCCTCCTCTTATGTTGTTTCCCAGGAAGGGAACACATGCATTGACAAAGGGGGAAATTTGGGAGACGTACAATGTTGTTGTGGATGCCTTTCCTCCTCCCCAAATGAGTGCTCAGGTTATTACCATTACGCAGAAAATGTCTGTTGTGCCCTAAATCGAAGGCTGCCGGGTTTCTAAAACAGAGTTACTGTATTTGCACACTGTGGAATCATTCTCTGTGTGTGTGTTTTAAGCTTGCTTAGGAAATTGTTGTTAAGAAATATGTCTCTTTGGCGGAATGTAATTAGCATCGCTTTCTTCCTGCTATGAGCTATAATTCTGTGAGTAACTGGAAGCAAAAAAAATTTTGAGGTTATTCTGAGCCATGGTTTATGCATTTCAAATAATTTGTAAAGTTAGATTTGTAGCAGTAGATGAAGAAGGGGGTGTGCGGAAAAGCCCAGCAGACGTCTCTTTCACTTCCTGTTTAAGTCCGTGGTCTGGGGAGGAGTGCCACAGCCTCTAATGACAGTTGGTTCACTGGAAGAAATTGGTTTCTTCCACAATCTATAAATGTAATTTTAGGGAGATTAAACAGAGCATCACAACATGCATAGACTTTTGTTCTGCAATCTTTGGCTTGACATGAACTGGGTAACTCAGATTCTGATCATGAGTAATTTGTGATGCTTGTACCAATAACTTCATTTATTCAGAAACACTTTAATATTATTATTCAAGCTTTTTTTTTTCAGCTGGGACTCAACAGAACTCAGTTCTAGCACCTCTCAGATGAGTGCCATTGCCATTACAGTCGTACCTTGGAAGCCAAATAAATCGGCTCTCAAACAATTGAAACCTGGAAGTGAGTGTTCCAGTTTTCGAATGATTACCGGAATCCAAACGTCTGGTGCGGCTTCCGATTGGCTGCAGGACACTCGTGCAGCCAATCAGAAGCCACACTTTGGTTTTCGAATGTTTCCGGAAGTCGAACGGACTCCCGGAATGTGTTCTGTTCAAAAACCAAGGTACCACTATATAAGAGAACAAGGGAGGTGTTTGTGGTGACTTCCAGCACCTCTTTTCCCAGAAAAATAGCACCGTTTATTATTATTTTATTTATTAAATTTGTATACTGCCCTCCCTCCGTAGATCTCAGGGCAGTTCACAACGCCAAAATAAAAGAGTTAAAAAACAACAACACAAAATACGGAATAGAACAAGAACAAAAACCAACCATTAACCCCCCTACCACAACACATTTAAAAGGGTATTGGATGTAATGAGCCAAAGGCTTGGTTTTCACCTGCGCCACTGTCAAAGGTGGGAACACATGCAACTGAGACTTGCTGAGGCTCATTCTCGTTTAGTGGTTTAGTGTTGTGTCCAAATGCTGCCCATCTCCTTTGTCTTCCTTCCCCTCTCCCTTTTTGTCACAAAAAAGCCGGTCAATACACTTAACTGGTTTATTAGCAGGGTTGTACATGATGTCCTGACAGAGTTCCTAACAAGGCTTGACACAGAGTTTCTCCAAGCCATAGCAAGGGAGGGTACGTGCTAGGAGGAAGGCAAGCTTGGCAAATCCACACTGTGATCAACTCCCGCCCGGAAACCAATGTCCCCACTGTGGAAGGACGTGTGGGTTCCACAATTTGCCTCCACAGTCAGTTACGGACTCATTGTTAAAACCGTGTTTATGGAAGACAATCTTACTTTGCTACAAGTGATCGCCACAGAAGAAGAAGAAGCAAGGGGGCAAATGCACAGTTAATTCACTGTGTCTAAATATAGTGCAGAGAGCCAGGGCAGAAATGTGAGTCAATGAAGTGAGAGGTACCTAAGATTTGTTTCAGATCATGATGAGTTTTGAGGAATTAAGCTGTTGGCTTTTAAGAGAAGGTGGGTTTTTGAAGGAAAGGAGAAGTGAAGAGTAATTATTCTGGAAACAAGTCCCGACACTGGTGGAGGAGGAGGCGTGCGGGGGGAGCGTACCGCCCCTGGCAATGTGATCCTGGTGGGGTGCCATTGTGGCTGTGCCCCCGCCCGCGCAGGGCGCCAGCCCCTAAGGGCGGTGCACCACACCCCCAGGACACATTCCAGCCCTGCCCCCGCCTGCTCTCTGCCCCCCCTCCGGTGCCAGAGCGTGAAGCTCCGCCACGGAGTCCCAACTACTTATGTGGATTCACTGACTGTACCCAGTATCAGGTTTTTGAAGCAGGAATGTCATATGTTTTCAGCCTGGGCTCCAGATTTGTGTACTAAACCTACCTTAGACTATCTGTGTTTAGACCTCAGAGCCCTCGTCCGGCACAGAAAGGATGGTGTGCAATGCCTAGCAACGATCTAATGAAAATGACTAATAAATACAGCAGCTGCCTTAGAACAATAGAATCTTAGAAATCTAGAGTTGGAAGGGACTCCAAGGATCATCTATTGCAAGCTCCTGCAACCACAGGTGAACATGCTGACAAATTGACATCTTGTGGCAAAGAGCTTTGTGGACCAAACAGCTTTGTTGCATCTATACTATGCAACAACCACACAACTAACAAGCCTAATTATTGGTTCTTGCTGGATTCATGGTGTCAGAAACTGGAGTGTGTGGGTCTACATTTTCTATTTGCCACAGGGTTCAACTTCTATGACTACTGTGCCTCTGTGAATGTGAGTTGCTGAGGAACAACAGCAAGAGATGGCTGTTGACCTTGGGTTGTGTTAGCAGACTTCCCAAGGGGCATCAGGCTGGCCACTGTGAAAACAGGATGATAGATGGGCCTTTGGTCTGATTCTTATGTAAACCCATTGTGCGAATTAGACAAAAAGATTCCATGTGACTTGAATGCTTCCAAGTTGGTCTAATAAAAAACCGCAAATGTCTTTGTTGTTGTTTTTAATCCTCTAGGTCTAAGAGGAATGAGGTAGCCCCTTCCTCCACCCAAACCACAGCCCAGATTTCATTTTTGAAAACACATTCCTTGCCATCTTTTTGGATCAAAACACTAGAATAGCGCATCCAATGGTAATTTCCCTTCTAAAACCATTGTCCAAGGCATCTTGGCAATCTGGCTCCCAAGTTGCTACACCCTGCTATTGAATCAAATGCCAAGGTCGGTGCCCTGCTTTTGATTTATATAGCCCAAGTTCTTGGCACCACCACGATTTTCTCCGCACCTCCTTGACTCCATATAGTTAAGAACTAGATTTTGCCAGCTAGGCAGCTGCTGCATATTCCATCACAATGACTGCATTGAAGGCATCACACCAGCTAAAGAAGATGATATAGCCAATTGCACATTTAATAGCAATTGTGTAGCATATTTTGCATGTAACAGCGCATGCCAAAAATGTAGCTGGCAGACAAGTTGCACATTTTCCCTCAGCAACTAATAAAAAATGAATGCAACCTTGTTTCAATTGGCCACAAATAGCAAAACATCGAGATAATAAGAATGTAATTAATCCATACCACAAAATCACTTTTGAGGACCCAAACACACCCATAATTAAAAATGCCTCTCCCAAATCTCTCTTTCTTCCTTACTACACTAATTAGTTCCATCAGAGTCAATAACTGGTTTAGCACTGTACTTCACAAGCCCTGAGGTTCCTTGTGGATTTATTGGATGCCAAGAAACTATTAAGAGCTATCAGGGTTTTTAAAGTCCACAAGCTTATAATGGAAGCATGCCACAAGTCTCAGCTGGTAGCTGCTGTCTCTGTCAATGCTGGTGTGGTTTATTAAACCATACTCAAGACCAGCTGATGGTGCAATGTATTAACAAGGTGGAAAGCAAGATGAGATGCAGACAGGGCTGTAATCTGAACCCCTGGATGGGCTAGAGGCCTTGGGTGGTCAACCTGGATGACCTCCAAGCTTTCAAGGCCCAGACTAACCACATGTAAACAGAGAACAAGCAGACGTCTGTGCAACATTGTGAAATGTTCCTCACCTGTGTCTGCAGCTTGTCTTTCTGTATGCACCACTACTAAACCACCTTCAACTTAAGCACCTTTAAGATGAGGTCTGTCAACATAATCCTTCTCCATCATCCTGAACTCAATCCCACCGTACACTGGACCTCTTTATTTGAAGGCTGTTCCAAACATGGCTTAATTTTTATTTATTGTATTGATTTCTCATGTTTTCCTCCAAGGAGCACAAGACAGCACACATGGTCTCCCCTCATTCAACCCTACTTAACAACCCTAAGACCCTACATAACATCTTCCAGCCTTGGTTATTCAGTGTATGCAAGCTGATTCTCAAATGTTTAGTACTAGAGCAAAGTTGGGGTCTGATTTCCAGATTTGGGATGTACGTTCTCATGTTAGGCCTTGATGTTAATTATTATTGCATTTATTTGCATACATTTATCTGGTGCCTGCTTCTTGGGAGAAAAGCAATGACAAACCTAGACAGCATCTTAAAAAGTAGAGACATCACCTTGCCAACAAAGGTCCATATAGTAAAAGCTATGGTTTTCCCTGTAGTGATGTATGGCAGTGAAAGCTGGACCATAAAGAAGGCTGATCGCTGAAGAATTGATGCTTTTGAATTATGGTGTTGGAGGAGACTCTTGAGAGTTCCATGGACTGCAAGAAGATCAAACCTATCCATTCTTTGGATGGCCCCGGCCCCCGGCCCCCGGCCTCTTGAGAGAGATGGGCGCGCAACCCTAGAGTCGGTCACGACTGGCCCGTACGGGCAGGGGTACCTTTACCTTTTTAAGGGGGCGACTGTCCCAGACCACACACTTTGAGGGGACGCTGCCTTAATGTGGCATCAATGACAGTAACCCTGGTGGGCAGCTAACAGCTGGCTAACAGCAAGGTTGGACCTGCACCCTCACCTGGGGCCCTACTTCCCTGCACCTGTATTCAAAACCCAGCTAGAGATGCCACAGGGCTGAGAGAAAGGTCAGAGACCGGAGGAAGGGAGAAAACAGAGCGTGCCTGGGACTGATTAGCTCTTCAGAATTTAAAATGTTTTCTGCTAGTTAATCTCGATGAGGATCTGTATGCCTATTGTTTAAAATAAAACCGAAAGAGACCTGCATAATGGGAACCCTGTTTGCTTTAGATTGCAAGGAAGACTTTTTGTTCACTGATCTAAGAAGTTAAGGATTTAACATCTTTGCAGGATTGCTGTGTATCATGTGTTCTTCAACCTGATCTGAGTTTGCAGAAGGTATACATCTTTCTCAGCTAAGACCCCCCCCTTTTTTCTGCCCCTTTGGCTCATCAGTTGTTCACCTGATCTGGATACAGCCGGTTTGTCTTTTCTTAGATCTCTCATTGATCCAGGTTTAGGGGGAAGAAGAATGGAAAAAACAGTCCTTCCCACATATAGCCCGGATTGGGTTGGAACAATCCAATCTGATCAGCAAGCAGAGCCTTAAACAAATCTGCTCTAATTAACCTTATCTCAGCAATCTCTGAGTCTCATAAATGCCAGCGAGATCACCCTCTTGCACGAAGCAGCCTCATTCTACCAACATCAATGGAGCCATGTGGATTTTCACTAGCCCCGTGCTGGCTGGTTCACTGAAAGGAAAAGCACAAAACCTTCCTTCAATAGACAATGGGAGCAGAGGGCTTGGGTTAAGGGGAAAAGGAAGACCCTGCTGTCTTTTTTCTATCTGCTGCAGAGCAAAAACTTGCTAGCATTTTATCCCCGAATCATTGCACGCCAGTCTGCTTTGCTTATGGATTTGGGTCAGGGAGAAAACAGAATTGCCATATTTTAAAAAGTGAAGCTTGTTGATTATTATTTTTTTGGTCAGAGTTGTTGAGCATTTTAATTTTTTTGCAAAAGTCATCATACGTTGCCATACAGACTTTTAACACATACCGGAAATTCCCCCCAAGACAAAACCCTAGGACAAAAGCAAAGCAGTTGGGTGAATGATAGCCAGCTTGCATGATTGCAGGAAGGGGCAATGGAGGATCAGCTGCCTGTGACACATGCCAAAGTATTGTGCAAAGAGATATGCAAGATGGATGCTGTGGCTTGAACTGAGGACCAAATGGCCTGGCCCTGTCTAGTGTGATATTTGGGCCTCAGCCAATAGAACTTTCTTAACAACCATGGTCTAATGGGATACCTGAAGTAGTTGCTGGTTAAATTTACTTTTGCTGTATTTTAGAGTTAATGTTCACGCACAGGAGTGCAGTACTCTATGATAAAACAACCACGTGATATTCTACCAGAACCTTATTGTGAAGGACAGGTAAGAATAAATAAATACTAGTAGGTCTTGCACAACATGGAGAATCTGAGGATGTTCAGAAATTCTTTGTCTTGGATCTGTGACTTTTAATGACTATCCATAAATTGCATACATTGGGAAGATTATATTGCCTAAAGTATCTAAATTGATGTACCTTTGAAGACTGCAACCTTCTAAACATCCAACTTGTTTGTCAGCAAATTATTTTCTAGAAAACATCTCTGTAGACCACACCAATAATGTTCTTTCTCCAGAAATCCTGGAGATATATATTTTTTAAGACTCTTTTTTATTAAGCTCCTCTGAAAGCACTGGAGCAGTCATGGGTTTCGTGGTTTCTTGCATGGTTTCGCTTTGGGAGGCAGCAAATAAAAAGCTTAATAAGAGAAATCGTGTTTTTCCAGACTCCAGCTGGTGAAGCGCAGCATGTAACTAGCTTAATTTGTAAGTGGCTTTGACTCATATGTTCCAAAGTCTTGCAGTTAAACGCTAGACGTTATGTGGACGTCACAAGTAAATTTATTGCTAATGGAAATAAAGGAGAGATTGAGAGAAGTCTTGTGACTGAAGATACTATGCAAGCTTTTCATAGTGATAGCTGCTGAGTTGGCATCTGGCAAATCATAGCTTGCCATAATCAATAAAGTATTAAAATTGTATTTTAAAAAACAGAGCCCCCAAGAGAACAAATTGTGGCCACTCAAGCATTAAGCATTACTCTATCTCCTCTCAGACCACGTTGCCTATTGCAACCTGTGATTCCATATCCATTGTCATGGATGAAGGCAGTCCAGTCGTGGCCAATTCTGGGGTTGCGGCGCTTATCTTGCTTTATTGGCCGAGGGAGCCGGCGTACAGCTTTCGGGTCATGTGGCCAGCATGACTAAGCCACTGCTGCCGAACTAGAGCAGCGCATGAAAACGCCATTTACCTTCCCACTGGAGCGGTACCTATTTATCTACTTTCACTTTGAGGTGCTTTCGAACTGCTAGGTTGGCAGGAGCAGGGACCGAGCAACGGGAGCTCACCCCATCATGTGGATTCGAACCGCCGACCTTCTGATTGGCAAGTCCTAGGCTCTGTGGTTTAACCCACAGTGCCACCCGCATCCCAAGAGTCATGCTGGATCAGATCAAAGGCCTGCACAGCATCCTGTTCTCACAGTGGCCAACCAGATGCACAGAGGAAGCCTGCATTGAGTGCAGCACCACTTTCCTCACTTGTGATTTCCAGCAACTGGTACTGAATACCAGTGTGCTGCCTCCAACAGTGGAGGCAGATTATAATGTGATAGGAATTTTATGGTTTTAGATATATGGCAACGTTCATAACTACACGTACATAGATCAGCACAGGAAAGCCAACCTGGAACCATTTTGATTCCTAAACTGAGCAAATGTTTCTCTGCATGGTAAAAATGGAAAAGCCTCCCCATTGTCTCTTCCTTCACAAATCCTGTCTTAATCTGTGTTTGAATAAGGGTGTGAGCCTTATCATTACAAAAGACTGCCAAGGCTCCCCAAGAAATCCAATCAAGTAACCTGCCAGACAGGAAATAAACAAAGCGACAGGAGAAAACAACATGCAAATGTTCTGTTTTAGACCGCCTTATCTGAGGGGTGGTCTTAGGTTACACCCCTTCTGTGATGAATGCATAATGTTTCTGGGGGTGGTCTTGATCTAGAGGATGGGAATTTCAAAAGTCTTTATAAGCCCTTGCATAGCATTTTTGGGGGCCTCCTCCTTTCCTGTGTGTGAGTGAGGACCCTGTTGCAACAGATCAATAAAGATCAAGCTTACTAGCTGCTTTGCTTCTCAATATTCTCTGGTTGGCCTCTGTTATTTTCTCCTACCAATAGGGAACCTATGTAAGGACTCTATATGGGCTCTTGGATACCCCATAAGGGAAAAGGGCATATTTTTATTTACAACAATAGCCATCACCTCACCACCACCCCAGCCACAAAGTACCCCCACACTGATTTCTTGCCTTCATTTCTTGTTTAATATTGTATTAATATGTTGGTTCAATTATAATTTCCCTTGAGCATATTTTTTTATAATGGAAAGGCAGGATAAAAATCCTCTACTAAACAATAGTAACGATATGAAGCCATAATTTTTAAACATATTTTGCAGTCATTTATCTCCTTAAAGCGATTTGAGGTATAGTATAGGAGTTTCCAAAGTGGTTTACAAATGTCTGAAATGGTAGAGTTTCCGCAAAGGTAAATACAGTAACAACAGAACGTTGCAACAGGAGACCATAATGCTAAGTTAGAGAAAGCCAGCCATTGAATGAACTAAAGAAAATCTTCACCTGATGCCAAAAAAACTAATACTGTTATGGTTGAATAGGGGAATTATATAAACAGCAAAGTCCAAAGGGAATTAAATTCAAGAGGGTACAGACTGCATTAACTACTTTGATATCAATGACTATTCATAAAATACAATTGTGTTGATAACACAGATATCCAGGTATTGTTAAACCAGGATGTCTTTGGTGTACTATTCTTCATTTCAGTTTGTTTTTACCCTTACTGTTTAAAATCCTCCCATTCCCGCTGTGTGTGTGTGTGTGTGCCAAACATTTCATGAGTCTAATGAAGAAATCTGTACTCCATGAAAGCCTGTGACATAATAGATTGGTTAGTTTTTGAGACCTCATTGCAACCCTCTTTGTGGACTTCATAGCCATTCCTCCTATATTCATATTAACTGGACAGCAATTTCCAGTTTTTCAATTGGTCTTTCCATACAGGCATATGTTACAGATACACTATTTCCATTTCCTTGGGCCCCTTTGGAAGGAAGGGTGGGATATAAATTGAATAAGCAACTAAATAAATATTGGGCCCAAATCATCATATGTTCCTTCACTTGTTTAAACTCCCATTCAAATTTTAAAGATGATTTTGTAATGATAAAATGAGATGTTAAATGAAATTGTTTTTGTCCTGCAATGAATTCCTAGGACTTGGTTGATGTTCTTAAAGATATGTTGCCTCTCAAAAAAGAGAAGAAGAGGACAGCTTTGTTAAAGCTCAAATATAATTATGTCATTTATTAGATTTATATAGCGCCCTGCATCGTAAGATCTCAGGGTGGTTCACAGAATAAACTTCAGGCTAAAAGCCTGGTTGGATTCATTCCATTTACCTTGTTCTTACTTTCACTGTAACGTAGAATATTTTAAGGCACAGTTAAGGCTGTTTCCTTTTACCTGCGAGCAAGTCCTCTTGAACTCAAATGTGGCCCTCCAGGCCTTTATCTGGCCCTCAGAATTCTCCCTAGACTGTGCCCCACCCCAAGGCCCCATCCCTCCCCAACATGCACCACACCTACATTGTGCTTTTGCACAGGTGAAATGTGTCCTTTGAGCTGTGATAATACCTCTTGCTGGATGAAAGATGGAGAGATAGGTGTGTGTGTGTGTGTAGACCTTAGACTTCTGTACAAAAGGTAAAAAAGAATACCCTTTGCTCTTCCAACTTTCTTCTCACCCCATTCACCTCTGGCATGTGACACTTGCCTTCCACTCAAAGAAGGTTATTCATGAGGGAATAGCTCTAGAGCTGCTGTTTTAACTTCCCCTGATTCCCCTGCTGTAGTGTTGCTCCAGGCCATTGTGGGAAATTAAAATGGCGGCTCTTGGACCCAGCCTCCTGTCTGCTTCTGCTAGGTTCCTGGACATGCCCACATTGGAGAGGGGTCCCTGACACAGGACAGAACCTACCAGAAGATAATTTTGAAGGAACTCTGAAACCTGGATCGAGCCCTATGTCGGGGGATCAACATTGAAGGAACATCTTTGAACTTCTGTCAAGACTCCACGCAGGGAGAGACTGTTATGACTGCCATCCTGGTAGTCTCCTGCTACCAGCTACAACCTGGACTGGAATGACTTTGGTTTACTACTGAATAAACATATAAGAAGAAGTAAACAGTCCATTCCCTGTACATGTGGACGGTCAGATGTTTCTTCTTCTAAGTGTCTCTACATGCAGTTTATCCTTTAAAGCTCAGCCTCTCGACTTAGTAGACAGACAAGCTGGCAAATCAACGAGAGCTTGTCTGCTGGAGGAGGAGTGGAGTGAACTCAGTAAATGTGTACAGAACCCTCTGCCAGTAATCAAGTCAACAGATCGTATTTTATTGGAATGGGGCCTAGTGCGGTAAAGGAGAACCTCCACCCTTCCCTCCACCTCCAGTGATAGTTTTTAATGTCCCATCAGGGCAGTAAGAAAAATAAAAACAGTCTGTCTGGGGTCTAAAATTGCTAGAGTAGAGTGCATCAATAAAGATGTCCATCATGCAAGATGTTCTGCTCAGGAAACACCAGGGCCTGTTAATAGTTATAACATGCTCAACTAACTGCACACAGAGGCTCTTTAGAATTTTTTTATATACTGTACTTTTCCGTGTATAAGACGAGGTTTTTCCCTTTAAAAACCATGCTAAAAAGTGGAGATTGTCTTATACATGGGTAGTGCATAGGGTGGACATTTGATTGGTTGCTGCTGAGGCTGTCAGTGGCTATTGTGCATGTTATTGGTTGCTACGTCAATGGGTGGTGTTGACTGGATGACGCTCTGGCAGTTGGGCGGGCAATGGGACAGATGGGAGGCGGATTTAGCGACTCGCGTGGGAGAGTGATTTCGGCAATCCCCCCCCCAAATCCACCTAAAAAAAGCTCAACAACTCTGTGCCATTCCCACCCCCCTTTCTAAACTTGAGTCTACCAAAATAGGGGGCGTCTTATAGACAGAAAAGTACGGTACACTAATATAATGCCATTTTAAAAGGGGGCTTCACTCCGCTGCTTAAGGTGCCACTGCTTACTCTGGAGCAGGCCCTCTCCTCACTGATGCCCAAATGGCACGCTGATTATGTTAAATGCAGGACTGAATGGACTATGTGTCTGTTTCTTTATAGCAGCTGTGGGGATGGGTGACTAGTGTGGATACAGTGCAACTGCTCCATTTTGAGTGGGACATCCTGGACTGACAGAAGCCATTCCAGCTTCTGATGCTAATCCCGGATGTTCCAGAAGCCAGTGCCGCACTCACTCGGGAACCAAAAGAGCACGGAACCAAAAGTTGCACATTTTTCGGTGCCGCGCTCTCCTATTCCTCCCGTGCCACTTCTGAAAGTACAGTGGTACCTCGGGTTAAGCACTTAATTCGTTCTGGAGGTCTGTTCTTAACTTGAAACTATTCTTAACCTGAGGTACCACTTTAGCTAATGGGGCCTCATGTTGCCGCTGTGCAATTTCTGTTCTCATCCTGAAGCAAAGTTCTTAACCCAAGGTACTATTTCTTGGTTAGCGGAGTCTGTAACCTGAAGCATCTGTAACCTGAAGCGTCTGTAACCCGAGGTACCACTGTACATGTTTGTGAGGTGTTTGTGGAGGTGGTAATGTGTACACAACCAAACCTGAGATTCTCTCATCTGTATTTTGAAATACTTGAGTCAAGAAGCATGCTTCTTCTGAAGATGTCCTCTAGCTCTTGATTACACAATATGCCCAGCTTATTTAATTTTCTATATTGAAAAGGAAATCCAAAAGCAGAGCTTGCTCTGTGTGTGTGTGTGTGTGTGTGTGTGTGTGTGAGAGAGAGAGAGAGAGAGAGAGAGAGAGAGAGATGTATTGAACATTAGGAAATCAGTGGCAGAATAGCTGCAGACTAAATTTTTGCAGACGACAAAAAGTTGGGAGAAGCAAGGACAACCAGTACAGAGAGGAAGAGGAACAGAAGAGAGGTCAGCCAGAAATTGATACAAGCAGATGAAATTACATGTCCTTCTAGACTAAGGGCAGATCTCTCTAAGGTAGAAGGCGTATACTGTGCATGCTGCTCTGAATCATCCAAATCAGGGAAGCACATTAGAAGAAGGGCTGTAGCTCAGTCGCAGGTTCAATTGGACTGGGAATGTTCCCATCTGAAGCCCCAGAGGGCTTCTGCCAGTCAGTCTAGACAATATTGAGCTACATGGACGGATTCAATGGGGAAGCTTTCTATGTTCCAAAAGAACATTTAAATTATTGCTATCACAGGGCGTTGAGTCAAGGAGGAGCCAATTTGAGAAGATCCATGTGGGCGGACGATGATGACAAATTTTGGCCTTGCAGCGAGTGCCATACTACAAAAGATTACCAAAGCCGACAGCTATTATTGCAGGTGTGAAATGGTGCCCTAATAGCTCTCGGTTATAGCTTAAGCTACTCCCCCCCCCTTGTATCACAGCGCAAGTAAACCTTGGAGGTTTTTAAGCAGAGGTTGGATAGCCATCTGTTATGGATGTTGCAATTGTCAGGAGCTTGTCCTACTCTCGACTGGCATGTTCCCTCCCTCCTGGTTGATCGTTTGGGAGCTTCAAAAGCTTTCTTCTGCCTGAACATCACAGCAACCGATGCCAACAGACATCGACACATTTAGGAATCCGCAGAGTTTGCGCAGCTTGCATAACACACTTCAGCAACTCAGCATTTTGGCTAATCTACTTTATTTACATATAAACACACACTGAGCGCTGCAACATGGCTCCCTCTCTCTCTAGCATCGGACAGCAAAGAGAAAAAACAAAGGACAATAGTCCCACTTCACGGAACACAGTAACACAAACATCCTGTCTCCCTCACTTCCCACTCTGTGGAGTCAAAGCATATACCGTCATGTGATAGACAACAACCCCATGACTGCAGTCATGGAGCAGGAATTCTAACAGCAATACCTGCACTGCAGGGGGTTGGAGTTGAAGAATTTTGGGGTCCCTTCCAACTCTACAATTCTATGGTTCTAAGTCTCAAATGCTGCTACCGTTCCTCACAGAGGAGTTGCTCCATCTCCTTGATCATTTTGGCTGCCATTTTCCAAACAGAAACGGAAAGAAAGAAGGGACCAGTATGGGTAAGTCATTAAATATAAAGGATAAGTCATAAATATAAAGCCTCAAATTGAAGCACAGAAAAATTGACGTGTACTGCATGTTTTCAACTAGCTGTTGCCTTGGGCAAACATGTCTCACACACTCTTAAAGCGAGGGTGGTATAGTGGTTAGACAGAGGTTTGGACCAGGATGAGAGAGACCCACGTTCATCTTCCCACATAGCCATCAACTTCACTGAGTGACTTCAGGCTAGTTACTGTCTCTGAGTCTAACCCACCTCACAAGGCAGATGATAAAATGAAGTGTGTGAGGGGAAACATTCCACACAACAACTCGAGCTCCTTAGGGGGGAAATGAAATATAAACAGTTCTACTGCCTCATTGCAGCCATTCAATTTAGAGCTAAGTTGAAATTTTCCAGAAGACATTAAAAAAAAAATCCCCTTAGAAAATGAAGATCACTTTGTAGAATTTTACCTGAATGTTTTGCACAATATTTTTGATGGGAAGGTGTCATCCCACCTTCCCACCCCATGCTGTGGGACGATGCTAAGTTCCAAGGCATTGTGACATATGCAAAAGGTTGACCAGGTTGCTAACACACTTGTTGCCATTGCCACTTGCAGGGGCAACAAAAAACGAAAAAGAAAATAAGCGTTGGGGGGGGGGGGAGAGAAATAGCTGTGCTGCTAACTGCTAATGGTGAGCCCCTCACTGTATAAAGTGATCCACACCTGATTGCCCTTGGTGTGAAATATTAGGGCACTTTCCTCTCCTTTTTGTGTGGGGGGCCATTCAAAAATAGCACATACCCCCACCCACAGTCTGAAATGGCACAAACCATTCCAACAAATTGTTTTGCTGCACCTTTAGGTTTTAAAGGTCAACACCAACAGGTGAAGGTTAAAACAGAAGGTGCTTGCTGAATCTTTATTGGCAGAGCATTCCACAAGACTGGGCTGATGATATTAAAGGTGTAGTTTCTCGTTTTCAGATAAGCCACAACACCTCAGGGGACGACCAACAACACTGAGGCAGATGATCGCACTGATCGAGCTGGACCATAAAGGTTCAGGTGATTCCTAAGGGATTGTTCAGGGCTGGGTAAATTAATACAAGGACCTTGAACCTGGCTTGGTAGTAGATGGGAAGCCATGCAAACGTTTTAACTAGAGTGTCACATGTGTCCCCATCAGTAGTCTGGCTGCCACATTCTGCAGCAACTGCTGCAGCTTCTAAACTAGGCCTAAGTGCAGCCACTTTTGCCACATGTGTAGACCAGAGCACCTGACGTTCCCATGGCTTGTGGTAAAAGGGTAAAGATAAAGGACCCCTGGATGGTTATGGGGTTGCGGCACTCATCTCGCTTTCAGGCCGAGGGAGTCGGCATTTGTCTAGAGACAGCTTTCCAGGCCATGTGGCCAGCATGACCAAGCCGCTTCTGGTGCAACGGAACACCATGACGGAAACCAGAGCGCACAGAAACACTGTTTACCTTCCCGCCACAGTGGTACCTATTTATCTACTTGCACTGGTGTGCTTTTAAACTGCTAGGTTTGCAGGAGCTGGGACAGAGCAATGGGAGCTCACCCCGTCACAGGGATTCAAACCACCGACCTTCTGATCAGCAAGCCCAAGAGGCTCAGTGGTTTAGACCACAGCGCCACCTGCGTCCTTGTGGTAGTGCTGCCCAGAGGTTGTATAGCTTCCAATCTTTGGGATTCTTTTGTGTGGTTCACCTACAGATTTCTTTCACTTTTGATTTCACTTGGCTGAGCATATATTTGGATCTCATCCTCTCCATTGTTCTTCTCTCTTTTG